GGTGTGGCTCACGGCTGACCGAAATGCCAGGGGTAATGATACTCGGTGTACCTGGTGACATTTAGCAATTCCCAACTCCGGGACTTCGGCCCAGATGCCTCTTCGAATCCAGTTGCGCAGACCGTTGGATGCGTTCCCTTTCACTCTCTATTTTCTTCGACTTCTGTAAGTTTACGAGTCTATGGTTTAACTATCAACCGTCAAATACGTAGGTCTCTGTACTTGGTGACGGGAGGACGAGGCCCTGGAGTATGTGAATATGCGCCTCTACAGTCAATTTATCTCAGTTGTTCTAAGTGGTAAATGTATCAAGCTTTAGCAAAAGATCTGCCGTAAGCTTGTGTTCGAGCTGGGAATACTTGCTGTCCAGGATTAAGGGCCATTCGGCAACTCTGGAAACCCTTTGTACCAGTACGGGCAAGACGACGGTTACAAAAAGATCGACTTGAGTTACAGACGGAATTGAAGAAAAAAAAAATAAGAAAAATATTTTTTACCCAATTTTTGAAAAATGATTTCGTTGTCCTAGACTTGCGATCATCCTACTTTGGTACCATCCATCAAGAAGCGGCAATACCACCTTACAGCAACAGTGTTGGTATCGTCGCCTACACACCAACAACTTCACATCGCTGTAACCAAATCCATCCCGTCCCAAAGATCCGGTACCAGGGAATGGACACACCGAGTTGCGGCGCATGGACAAAATCAAATTTCTCATGACCAAAGGAACGCCCGATTGACAAGGGGGCTTGTTGCAGACACCAACAGCAGGTACCGAATCCCATCAGAGTCGGCACGCTTTAGGCTAAACGCGACGGATAAAACTCGCCCGCCATGGACGATGAAGTAAAAGGAGAAAAGAGGGAGGCGGCAACGGTGAGTGCGTACGCTGTAGGCGAGCTGGCAGCGTGGGCATATGGCCTCCAATGCCCTGCGCCAGCAGAGCTGCTGCAGGATAGCGGCGCAGTATGCAAGATATGCCCTCTTTCGTAGGGCCCATTACGAAAAATTTGCCACTCTATGCCTTTTTCAGTTTTCTCTAGAAGCGGTGAGTTTCAACTGGCGTGCGTATGTTACCCCAGAGTCGACAAAACTAGTATGGCAGAGGAGGTGAATAGTCACCCTTACTCCCTCCACCGTGACGCACAAGGACCCTGTGACGCACAAGGACCCTGCGAAGTCTTCACGATGTGTCTCGGGGACTGCAGTCTCCGTCGTCACGAAAGCAGTATGTCATTGAAGGGTATGCCCTCAAAACATAATGAGGCATTATCTCTCTCGGGCCGGCGATGGTCCTCCACGTGGGCCAACAAGTGTGTGCATCATATGGGAGTATTTGCCGTTGAAAGAGGCCCGAAATTGCGGCCCTGATGTGGTTGAAATGATCACACCACATCAAAATCAATACTGATTTGGGACCGCCACAGAAACGGCTTGCAGCCTGGGAGATCTGCTGTAAGGGGTCTGGTGACGATGTGCCGCATTGGGCTTCCGGGGAAGTGGTTGTTGGCAGCGCCCGCGGTGGAAAGTATACCCCTCCACCACCGTTGGGTGTAAAGGCTATGAAGTCCCTTCGGCACGGAGTCTCGGGACGCGGGGTGAGACATCGGGGTATGTCTCTGTTCTCGATAGAGTTGTCGTTTTGCAAGTGCCTCGGGCTGACGAGGCTTCGGTGGGCACAGCTTTAGATTTTGATCTTGTGATCACTTTCATCGTCGCAGGATGAGATGCGATGCTCCCTTCGCCACGCCAAGGTTTGGAGTAAGCAAGTCAACCCTCTCGACCAACCAATCTTGCGACTCAGCCCCTGAAATGGAAATACCTCAACCCGCTCCAGGATAGTATGGCCGATTTCAAGTTACCTTGGTTCGATACGTCAAGGCTATGACGATCAACATACACAGCTATGAGTACCTGCCGATGCCTCGGTTGCCTAGGTCACTGATCGCCAGAATCACAACTGCGGTACCTCGGCTGGTCTTCTTGAAGACGTAGATCCGGATCGACGGAACCGGGGTACATGAGGCAGACTTGCTGTTGCAACTCCTATTGGCCGGGTACATGTTCTGAAGAACGATGGGCTCTGGTTGTCTGATCCGGGGAAGGGGGCACCTGAACACACATGACTGACTTTGAGCCATGCCACGTCGACTGCCCCTGGCAAAGAGCCAGCTCAACATAGGTACGTTGCTTGCGTTCCCGTGAGCATAAAACACATTGGGCATCGAGATGACTCGGATAATAAGGCTATTATGGGCAAAGACTTGGGCATCTCCTGCTTTGTGTATCAGCTGGCGTATTGATCAGCGCATCGAGATCGAAAGTAAACGCCATCTAAGTCTTCATTTGTACCTTGCGAGCTCACGATTGTCCTTTTAGGCCAAATGATGTGCTGGTCCAATAATAGAGGTAAAGTCAGTCAAGGGTACTGCAATGTTGACCCGGCATACGCCTCGCTGACCAACAAGTTCGTCTTCGAAGCCATAGACTTGCCTTTGTTTCCCTCTCTTAGGGCACAGAAAGTGAAGAACTTTCAGTTATTGGGAAACGAAAGGGCTATATGGACAAGCATACAAACTAGGCCTCTAAATGAATGGACATATTTGAGTACCCTTTTATGTTTCTCCCGCAACACGTGGTCAATTTTGAACCCATTAGACAACATAAAAATCTAGAGATTCTCTAGCAATATCTTTAGATCGCTGTCTTAAATTAACAAATTTGAAATTGATATGCTACCTTCAACTCGAGTAGAACTTATACTATAGAGCGCAAGAAAGACACTGGGAAAACATGTAATTCTATAAGCGAATATTCAGTCTACATATGAGCAGAACTTGTGAAGTAACTTTGTGCCAATTCATCAAAGAGTAGCTGTTGCATTTCGTTTGTTCTCATGACTCTGACCCAGATTCCAGGACTAAGCCTAACTAGCTCCGTTCAACTGACACTTGTGCCTCTTGTTATGTGTTTGTTCCTTTTCGAACAACATGGCTAAATGGTCAACAAAGTAGTAAGTGGTTACCAGACTCTGTCTATAACTGATCATAAAGTCGAACACAAGGCACAAGCCTGATGGTGCCATTTTCACTGAAACCTTTTTGTGATACTTTCCACTACATCAACCGCTTCTTGTCAGATGAAGACGAAAAAGTCAATGAGAAATACGTGCGAGACTACATCGTCAAATCCAGTTTAGACTTCGAATCTCTTGTGGTCTCGTGTAAGGTGCAAGCGCGATATAAGTTTGCAGCAGCCAAGAGGAGTTCTTGATTTCAGGTCCAGCAAGCCCACGTATACCCCCAGGAAACATCCAAGTCGAACTGCCGGCACGAAGAGCTGGGCTGTGGCGATGCCAGCTTGAGGAGCACGCTCTTTTGTCTCCGAAACTACTGCGTTTGATACTGGCCACGGATGACTGCGAGTAGTGTTCGTTTCAGATAGTAATTCTTCGGAAGGTCTTAAGCTCGAATCTTTCATTGTTGCGTGTCAATGGGGGGGGGGGGGGGGGGGGGGGGGGAGTAGCTCTGACATCTGTGCCTGATTCATGCCTACTAAGCTAGCTCGTAGGAGCCATGATGTTGATGTTCATTTTCTCTTCTTAAATTGATGCTTAGGCTTGCCATTGCCTTCTAGGAAACCTCTTATGCCGTATCGTCGAACATAAGGCAAGGTTATGAGTGTGATAAAGTCCGGCCCATTGTCGAAGGAGTCCAAAAACTGGACGGAGCATCCACAATCCCGATCAAGTAATGAAGTTATTCCATTTATGCAACATTCACACATCAGAGTAAGAGGGATTTCTCTATTACGAAGCCTCGGTACGAGATGTCCCACCACAGGCATTGTTGCATCTCGCTTTGGAGTTGGTAGAAAGTATCACGTTTGTTGAAGTATTACGAACAAGATAGTTTCTGCGACTGGTATTCAGCATGCCTCTGCGCATGATTTGGGACCTGGATTACCACAAAACTGCTTTTTAGATGCTCCGTTGCATTATTTTGCGTCACTAAAGATAGATTAGGTTATCAATACGCATGTAGTCATCTCCAATGCAATGATTTTGTTTTCAGCCTATAAGACATCTACGACGAGACTATAAATTTCCCTACTAAGAAGCTTGAGACACATTGATTACTCTACGGCATGATCAGATTTGTTAGATATACCCCATCGTCCAACATAAGTGTATTCCAACCAACAAATTCTGTTAGCCTATATTCTAGCAATGACGCCAGTTGACGGTAAGACTCCTATTCAGATGGAAAATGATGTACCGAAACCTACGGCCTCTCCTCACATGGGAGTCTTTACTGGCTAAGCAGATTATACGCAAATTGGGATCGCTTCAATAGTATGAAATCGCTTTGCAAGTATATACTCATGATGCTTTGGGCTTTCATAATATCAGAACATAAGCACGGTGTTCTAGAGCGGCTGCATGAGCAGGCTGCAATGGATCTTAGTCCTCAATATGACTCGTCTGCGGTTAGCTGAACAACATCCTGTCTATTTCGATAGTTTGTATGCCATATCGATTCCAGCATCACATGGTGCGTCTACTTCTAACTAGGCCTCAGTATATCCATCGAGATGGCAATCAAATCTCTTCAACCCGTTGAGATAGTACCACGGGTGAAATATCATCTCTTGTGAAGGAAAAAAGTACATAATATGTTTTTTAGATTAATCTTTTGTCGTGCTGGCTCCGGGCCTCCGGACCCACTCTGCCGCGTCTCGGCCGCGAGGTCACGTGACCTCGCTCCAGCGACCGTATTCTTAAACGTCCTTCGCTCCGCTCGCTCACTTAGAGAATACAAGCCGTTTTGTTCCTAGTTGATGCCGCCCGTGCCTGACGTCGGTCACCACAGTTATGAGCCCAGCTTACCACATCACCCCTTTCTACTGTTAACCAGACGAAGGGTTCGTGGCGGAACACCATCAACTCCTTACGGTCTTCACAAATTTCGCTTCAAACAGCAACTTCTACAACGAAGATGTCGTCGCAGATATCTGTTCTCACGAGCACGACAAGGCTAACCTGCCGCCGGGACTTCCCCGTTTGGTACGACGCTCTCTACGCCGAAGCCGACGCAGCAGACGTCTGGGATCTCATAGACCCAGACGACACTACGTCTCCGTCAGACCCAAGAGAGGACGATGAAGAACTCTCGATCGAATCATGGATCACGCAGCAGAACGAAAAGCAGCGTAGAACCTATGATCGGAAGCGGAAAGCCTACGATTCGATTCTCCAGCATAGGGCAGAAGCGAGTGACGATACAGGGGAAGAACTCCAGGAGCCTGTAGCACAACCAACTCTCACGCAAAACACGCCCGGGATCTTTGAAAGATATACGAACTACCTCGCTTCAAAATCAGGCCGCGACGTCCTCAAAACTCGTCGGGAGCGGGACTTCGACTCTATTCAGCGTTGGGTTAAGGAAACGGTCGACAAGGACATCCTCTACGCTGCGAGATCGGAGATCCTAGCGAACAACCAACGTTCACTCCGTGCTCTTATTCAGTACCTTCGGAAACGCTACGCTCCAAGCGAATCAAGCAGTCAAACTACAGTTCGCGAAGAGTACCTTCTCCTCCTGGAAAAGGCCAACACAAGCGTAAACCCCCAGACCTGGCTAAGAGACTTCCATCGAGTACTGCTCCGCGCGCTTCGATTCAGAATACCGGAAAGCCAGGGAACGCTCGCTTCGAAAACTTTTCTTCGAGCGGTGGGACACCGTTTTGCCCCCTCCTGGGCGACCTCCGAGCTCACTGAAATTGTCAAAATGGAGCGCAAGGGGGACCGCATCCCTACTGTAAGTGAATACAGGGATATGCTGGAGGACTTGCTGTATGAGGACACCCTATACGACAAAAATCGGGGTAAAACAAGCGGTGTGTACGCTACCCTTGCCGGTCGCCCGAGCGAAGCAATCTCAGATGGAAAAAGCGGTTCGAAAGGAAAAGGCAAATCCGAAGCGTGCCCCTGCAACAAACCCTACAACGCAAACCCCCTGGAGTGCACCCGCGTGGAGTACGCCCTTACCGGGCGAATCAAGCCTTCCCAGGACAAACTATCGAGGGACGAGTGCAAGGAGATTCGAAAGCGTATCAATCAGTCCGAGAACTATGATCTCCGAGCCGAATTAGCTCGGAAAGGCTGGATCTGGGCGACGGAACCTCCCAGCTTCCGAAACCCAGCGCCGCCTCGCAATAGGTCGTCAGGAAATACCGGCTCTAAAGCGAAATCGCAGCAAGAGGAGAATGAGTCAGAGGTGACACTGAAGAGAAATATCCACGCAGTAACGATCAGCCGTGAACTTCTCCGGGAAATTTCGGACGACTTCGACTCGGACTACGACCAACCAAGCGTATTTGCAACCCCACTGACGGGACCCCATGTTCTGTCACGAAGCACGGTTCTCGACAACTGCGGAGCTACGCACCTTGTTAACAACCTTGACTTGCTTGAATCGTCTTCTATTAAAACGTGCATCGGCGACGAGAGAGTCGACTCAGGAACTGCTTCGTACCCAATCCTAGCAAAGGGAACGTGGATCTTGCCAAAAGCACTAAATGGCCCTGATGGAGACCTCACAGCAGACCTTACGCTCCATAACGTTGGATACGTAGAGAACTTTCACGTTAACATCGTTTCGGAAGCACTCCTCCGAAAGACAGGCATCTGGTACTCCGGATTGGATAACACACTTCGCCAGGGAACGTACAAAAACAGCGTGGTAGTCAAGCATCTTGTTAGGAAGATGAACATTACTTTCTTCGAATATAAGACCGGTTCCCAGTATATTGCTCAGAAGCGAATTACCTCGAGTAACGCAGGAATCGTGAACCATTTGGTGCTTGCAGTACAGGATCCCGCTCGACTCTCGCTTCGTAAACCACCTGATAGGTATGATGACGCCTGGTTATGGCACCTTCGTTCGGGTCACCTCGCACCAGACGCACTAGAACGAATGGTGTCAAACGTGAGAGGAGTAAAGATAAAAGGACCCACGCGTCTGGAATGCGAATACTGCGCGACAGCGCACGCGAAACAGTTAATTTCGAGGCGAACCTCTGAACGGAAAGCAATTCGACCGTACTATAGGGTCTCATGGGATCTCTTCGACTACCCGACAAGCTTTGACAAGAACCGCTGGCTCTTAGTGATCAAAGACGAATATACCGGTCGTCTTTTCGCGTTTCCGCGCGTAAGTAAATCGCACACCTTCGTCTTCGACGCTCTCAGGCACTTCGAACGATGGGTCGCTCGCCAACGAGGCGTTACCCTGTGCAAGCTGAGACAAGACGTAGAACGCGCGGTAATTGCGATAAACGGAATGACTGAGTATCAACTTTGGGCCCAGCATAACGGGATTGAAATCGAAGAGACACCCCCCTACACCAAGGAACCCAATGGCGGAGGCGAACGAGCGGGCCAGGAATTAATAACCCGAGCGATAAAGATGCTCAGCGCAGCGGGCCTGCCAACTACTCTCTGGGTGGAAGCAGTCATGGCAGCCGCCTACCTGTACAATATGTCACCACGGAAGCGAAGAGCTTGGCTCTCACCAATTCAAGTCGAAGAGAGCTGGTTCCGACAGTATTTTCGCTGGTGGCAACCACAATACAGCGCGAGCCTCGCCCGCGACCTTCGCCCCCACTGGGGCTGGACGTACGCGTATGGGTGTAGGGCTTATCCCCTGAAAAAGGACCGCGAAGCGGATAGGAACAGACGTAACTTCAAGGTGGAACCGCGAGGACATATTGGATATCTGGTGGGCTACGTTATGGACGCTCACAACCTATACAGAGTCTGGATACCCTCGCTTGATCAAGTGATTATCACGCGAAACGTTACCTTTGACGAGACGAAGTTCTACTCGAAGGACGATGCAAAAGCTAGTTTACAAGCGGAGGTGGCCGAGACAGTCTCCACGGAGATCTCGGAACCTCCGGCTACGGCGAACCCAGGACTCTAATTCCTCGGACTCGCAAAACCAAGCGAACTCGTATTTTCACTTGAAGAGCAGCCCCTGCCACCTGCCTTCGCGCCGTCGACCGTAATCTCAGAAGAGACAACGGTAAAACGCTCCGCGGTTAACAGCCGACGCGAAGAGGGCCTGCTCACCCCGGAACCGACCCCTGAGCCGGCCGCAGCGCCGGAGGGGACGGACGGGCAAACGACCGGCCAACAAAGCTCCGAAGCGATGGACGCCGGCGTTCCCGACCCGGGGCACGAAGCCCTCTCTGAGGCGGTCGAAGACGTGATATACGTCAAGACCAACAACGAACCTCCACGAGAACCGGCCGTGGAGGCCGACTCGAGTAATGATCTCGGGGGTGACTCCCCAACTCACCCGGTGCGGCCACACTCGGATAATGGGAACGGGCGCGAACCCGAGATAAAGACCAAGCGGGTGTACAACCGCAAGGACTACGGCCAACAACAGGGCAAACCGAGACGATCACCTCGCTTCGCCCAACACTTCGCATTCCTACAAACGGAACGTAATTGGGAAACTTTCTTCCATACCTATATGCCTGATCAGCAGAAGGCTGTGGAGGAAGCGAACCAAGCCCACTATACGCTCCATTGCTTCGTCTTCGCGTCAATACACCAAGCGAAGCACTCCAGAGCGGTCACTCCACAGCGAGTGAAAATACACACAGATGAGCTTATAAAGCCCCCACGAACGTGGAAAAGTGTTGAAAAAATGCCGACCCACCTCCGAAACCTGTTTTACGAAGCGGCCCAAGCCGAGATAAGTAAATTAGAGGAGATGGACGCTTGGAAAATCATTGACGAACACGAAGCGTCTACGAAACCTATTCCTCTAAAGTGGGTGTTCACTTACAAGCTTGATCAAGACGGCTACCTCGACCGCTGCAAGGCACGAATTTGCGTCCGCGGCGACCTCCAGGCGAAGCATCCTCTCGAACAGACCTACGCAGCGACCCTCGCAGCAAGGACGTTTAGAGTAGCGATGGCGCTCGCGGCGGAATTCGACCTTGAAGTAGACCAATTCGACGTAGTCAATGCGTTTCTAAACGCAACAAGAGGACCGAACGACCCGCCTGTCGTCTGCTACCTACCAGACGGCTTCAAACAGAACGGGAAGTACGTCGAGCTCCGCCGTGCCTTATACGGGCTACGAGACGCTCCCCTCCTTTGGTATAAGGAGTTCTCATCAACGCTGCGGCGCCTGGGACTCAAGCCTGCAAGCGAAGACCCCTGTCTCTTCACTTCAAACGACAAGAAAGTGATGGTACTCTTCTACGTAGACGATATCCTCGTCTTATACCATAGGGACCACCGCGAAGCTGCTCAAAACGTTATAAACGGGGTGAAAGCCGAGTATGAACTCAAGGACCAAGGCCCTGTCGAGTGGTATCTAGGCATTCGCGTGATACGTGACCGTGAGAAGCGAACAATTAACCTCGCACACGACCAATATATCGAACGCGTAGCGAAGAAATTCAACCTTATCGACTCGATCGTGCCGCATACACCATTGCCATTCGTCCCGCTCCAGAAGAACACCGCTGAAGCGACCCCTGACCAGGTAAAGCAATACCAAGAGAAGGTCGGCTCAATTCTGTACACTGCGATCATGATTCGCCCCGACGTCGCCTTCGCTTGCGCTACACTCTCGAGGTTCCTAACGAACCCGTCTCTCGAACATCAGAAGGCCGCGAACCAAGTCATTAGATATCTTTATCACACTCGCTACCTTTCGCTCTGCTTCGGTAGCTCGGGGGGTGCAGGTGCCCAAGTTCTCCTAATTGCGGGCGACGCCTCGTTCGCAGACGACGAAGAGACGCGGCGTTCATCTCAAGGGTACATCATCTCACTGTTCGGCGGTCCCATTCAGTGGAAAGCCGCGAGACAGAATACCGTTACCACTTCTACTACAGAAGCGGAACTCCTTAGCCTCGAAAACACTGCTAAGGAGACCATCGCTCTCAAACGCTTATTTCGGGATATTGAACTAGACCTCGGAGACGTATGGAAGATCCATTGTGACAATCGCCAAACGATTCGCCTGGTAGTAGGCGACAAGGAACGCATCTCAACGCGCCTTCGCCACGTTGATATACAGAACATGTGGCTACGCCAAGAGTATGCCAAGAAGACGTTCGACGTGGTATATATGCCTACCGACGAGATGCCAGCAGACGGTCTCACAAAAGCACTCTCCCGAGCGAAGTTCGAACACTTCAGGGCACTTCTAAACCTACAAGACATTCGGGCACAAGTCACAAGAAGCGAAGAGAAACAGGTGCGCGCGAGCAATGCTGGCCCGGAGGCCGAAAGTTAAATTTTGACTTGGCCCCTGGCCAGGAAGCATGATACGCTCCCAAAGGAGCAAAAGCAAGCGTACTTACGCCCCGTAGGGCGGGCTCTTTTAACGACCTCGGAGGGAGGCCGCGTACGTGTCCATCAGGACGTTGTACGCGGGGAGAACAGCCGCCGGCAAGTGTCCTCCAACAAGGCTGTCAATGGCAGCACGGAGACCAGCCGCTTCGGCCACGGCCGGAACCGCTGCAGAAGAGTCAACGGGCAGAGGAAATAATAACTGATGGGCAACCCACGTTGTGGGCCAATCAGAAGGCAGGATTTTCAGAAAATTCAACTGGCAATAATAAGAGGCAAGTACGACGGTTGAATAAAGGAAAGTGCGATTATTGCGCCAGGCGGCGCGCAAGGGCGAATTTCGCCATATTCACATCACTTCGAGCACAAAGACCGAGGCGAATACAACAACACCTCTCTTTTGTTATATATATATTCACAAGAGGCTCTGAATAGCCTCATAATCTTGTATCTAGGCGATAGTAGCGATATGGCCTCGAGGCGCGGTTTTCCAGACGACTACGCGCCGTCTGGGGGGGTGTGTCGTGCTGGCTCCGGGCCTCCGGACCCACTCTGCCGCGTCTCGGCCGCGAGGTCACGTGACCTCGCTCCAGCGACCGTATTCTTAAACGTCCTTCGCTCCGCTCGCTCACTTAGAGAATACAAGCCGTTTTGTTCCTAGTTGATGCCGCCCGTGCCTGACGTCGGTCACCACATCTTTTCAACGGATTCATTAAAAACGTTTCGAAATCTCATATTATTTTGCCATCCTGAAATTATGCTCTATTTCAGCAATCTCATGGTTAACTTCGCACGTAGTTTGTTGAGAGTGTTGATACGTTCTACAGAGCTAATTTTTAACTAGGTACCATATAATTTCTGGGAATGGAAGGATGGTCCGGCTAACGAAGAGGTGAAATTCCCCGGTTAACTTCTAATATATATAGTCGATGATAACAATGTATGTAAAAAACGCTCATTTAATATTCTCTGATTGAGTCTAGAACTGCCTATGTAGGCCATCGTATGTTATTGCAGCCATTCAAGATCTCAAGCAGGAGCACAGAGCGAGCTGCGAACAAAAGCGCACGTACCATGCCAAACAACGACAGCGCTCTAATCTCATCTAGACCTACCATTGCCTTCAGATTCTCCTTGACTTTAAGTGCTTTTACTCTCCAAACCATATTGCAGATTTGGGCACTTGTTTCCATGTTATGCTGTAGTTGGAAGATGCCTCCGAGTTCGTGTCCATAACTGTGCTAAGACATTCTCTAGGGTTGGGCGAATGTTTGAAGCTGCAAGGCGTCTAAACGATTGTTTGTTTTCCATTCCGTAACTCTCTGGTTTCAGTTAAGATGGAGGCTTAACAAACAAACCTTTGCAGTATATAATATTCTTACGGCGTCTTACAAACTCACATGTCATCTTGCAAGCCAGAGAAAACAATGGAAGATAGAGAGCGTGTTTCTGCTCCCTCATACGGGAGTCAAATCCAAGAGCACAACAACAATTCAGAATCTACGTATTGTTCCTATAAATTTACAGCACCTTCACATTTTGCAGTATCGGTTTGCGTAAACCTTTAACTCTATGGACTTTGAAAACCTTTAAAACGATTCATCACACGCTGTCTTTATTCCGGCTCTATGAATCTGTCATTAGGTTTGTTTGATGTTGCTGATAAGGTATAATTGCTGTGGCCTGAGCACTCAGCAAACGAAACCAATATTTAGACGCCTTGGATTCAATTAAATTCACGATGTTCTGGGCAGAGTTATAAGACAAACTGTTGGATACCTTGGATTTAAATACATCCATGATGTCGTTTGGAGAACAATAGCGTATTTCAATTATGATTCCGTTAGCATTGATGCCTTCAGAAAAGCATGCACATTCACCTGAATTCTTTGAATCATCTTGAGCCAGCGCTATGGGCTCGACTATGGCCATGCTCCGTTTCTAATGCACATCGAGAAAATATCTAAGCTGCAACGTCTCGGGTCGCACGGCTCTGAACAAACCTGTTTGGATATGTAACAAGAAACGTCTATGACAGACTGGCAAGCATATGATTACGGTGCATCAATAAACACCATTTAGGTGAAAATGAGTTGAAATCATTTCTCAAGGGTACATGAGCATGTGTCATCCCACGAGTCTTGTACATCCGGCGTGTTCTATTCATGGGCATTCCACCCAAATCAGGTTATGCTGAATACAACCGTGCATAAGATCAGTCAGCGCCAGTCATAAAAGTGGCGACTGCTTGGGTCAGCCAATCGAAGAAGATGCCAGGATCAGTCACACAAAATCGATTGGGGTTGACGGGACAAGATTGAAAATGGGCCGTGCAACAAGCACGATTGTGAGCTTCTTTCGTCAGATGTTGACAGTTCTCAAGAGAAAACAACAATTTTGACTCGTGTGGTGATCTTCATCTGCCTCGTGCTGGTTCAGGGCCCGAAACCTTGATAACCGACCTGGCGGTACGTACCTTATCTTGAGTTGCTGTGCTTTTTCACATTATTCTTTTCATGATTTCCGACTCGTGGTTTTTTTTTTTGTTTTTTTTTTTGCTCTTGTGTTTGGCTCACATATTTGCTTGGACTCTGTATTCTTGTGCAATCAAGGGTCTACTTACTTGCTACCTACGTACAACGGTTAAGGGTCCGCATCCCTTGTGATTCACTACGTCAGCGGGGCCAGCTCACGCGCCTCTCGTTGCTGCTACCTGGCCTGCCACCCTGCGACACCCCGCGGACCCAAGCGGGAAGGGGTGCCCTGCCCCACCACCGCCTGCCTCACCCGTCTCTCATCAATGCTCCCGTCGCTCACTTTCATGCAATTCCTTCTCCCGAAAGCCCGACTCGGAGCCCGATTCTGACGTCGACGGATAGTCTTCTCCGTCACTGATCTCATCCTTTCTGTACTTGTATCTACCGGCGACGATCTTGTCCGCCCCGTTCCGTGCCTCTGCATCCCCCGACGACCGACTTGGAGCCCGACGGCGGCCTCCAAACCCCTCATCTCCGGCGCCACCTCATTTGGACCGCGCCACCCAGGAACTTAACTCTGCCCAGATCAGAGTTGATCTTTTCATACATACGTGCAGATAGACGAGCAACTACACTATCGTAATCATGTTTTCTCAGGTAGGAGGACCCCTCTTCCCATTCCTCATCACGGCGGCACGCCATGGCAATCGGGTTGTCCTTCGTCGCCAGCCAGAGCAATATAGCCCATGCTCTTCGAGACCACCTGAAGCTGCTTCTTCATAGCCACCTTGGCATCTCAAACATCATGAGATTCATCTCATAACCCTCCTCCATGAGTGAGCGCTAACCCTTTCAACAGAAGAAGCCGTACTCCGCCGTTACGGTGAGCATCGAGACGCTCACCAGCGAGACGTACGAGGAGGATGACCTAAGCGGTATCCCCGATCTTGTTGAAGTCATCAAGCTCCAAGCCTCGGGTCCTGTGGAGGCTGCCCGCGCAATCCGCAAGAAGCTCAAATATGGCAACGTCCACCGGCAGCTAAGAGCCCTGACCATTTTGGATGGCCTCATCCAAAATGCCGGCCCCCGTTTCCAACGCGCCTTCGCCGATGAGCCTCTCCTTGAACGTCTGCGAGTCTGTGGAACGTCCGACTTGTCCGACCCTGACGTCAAGAAGAAGTGTACGGTGCTGTTCCGGAGCTGGTCTCAGTACAAGAGCACGCCCGGCTTGGAGCGTATTGCGAGGCTGCATCAGGTAAGACTCACCGATTCCTACGTGAAATGCCGCGACTGACACATTTAGGAACTGCCTAAACGCAAGGTTGCCGCTACGCAGGAAAGATCCAAAGCCGTCCGAGAGACCGAGAACCCCTTCGACGAGGAAACAGACGACAAGCCTCCCTCGCCTACCGGACGTGCTGGCGAGTCCTCGCGGCCTCAGCAGACGCCCTACGGCGGTACAGCTGGCACCGTTGCCTCTTTCAGCCATGCTAAGTCCTCGTCTGGCTCAGGAGGCTCCTTCTTCGGATCGTCCAAGGACAAGAAGAAGAAGGACAAGGATAAGAAGGGAAAGCGCAAGCCCTTCAACTTGGAGCTAGAGAAGGAGCAGATGAAGAGCGCCATTGCTGAGAGTTACATCGCCACTGTTGACCTGAACAATACTCTCCAGAGTATCAACAGAGAGTTGGAGCGAATTTCGGAAAACCCTCAGGCCGTGCAGCAGTTTGAGGGCTGCAAGCAACTGAGACGAAAGATCCTCCGCTACGTGAGTCTTGACAGGCCAGCGTCATACCCAGCCTCTAACCAAAACCTTTTAGATCCACCATGTCGAGTCCGAGGAATGGCTTGGCAGCCTTCTCAGGGCCAACGACGAGCTCGTCACGGCACTCATGACGTTTGAGCAGCTCGACCGATCCATCGATGCCGACAGTGACTCTGATGACGAGCTGGCCGAACAGGCTCACATTTACCGAAGTATGATGGTATTCTCCTTGGGAGCACTCCGTGACAATGCTAATAACGTTCTGTAGTGGTCACCGAAAAGGCCAAGCAAAACATGTCTCCACCTCCTCCGGACGTCTCTGGCCTGAGCATCGGCAGCACGCCCACACCTCGTCCGCCTCCCCCGCCGCGCCCGGTCCCGGCAGCGAAGCCTCCGCCCCCAGTGCCGGCCCCTGCTCCCCCGAAACCCCCTAGACCCCCCGTTCAGCCTGTTCAGCAAGACTCCGAGGAAGAGGATGATGACGATCCATTCGCGGACAGGAACGCTCTCGAGACACCCGCAACGGAACGAGCAGAGCCAAGATGGTAACCTTTAACTGCTTGCCATAATACCCAAGCCTCCCCCTTTTTTTTTGTTCATCATTTCATGTTCAGGGTAAACCCCCGCTTCGTGGGGTTGGTAAGTGTGTCGATGGATGGTGTCTGTGGCCGGTTGTAGAACACGTCACGTACGAGAGAGAGTCGTCTAGCACATTGTCCGTCTAGATCATAATCATGAATGAATCGAGAAAGTCCCCATGACGTTTCCTTTCCTGTCCCCTTCCCCCCACCACCCCCAAATATGCTGCTCAAACCTTGCAGAAGTCCCTTCTTCCCTGAACTTCCGAAATCGGTTACCGACCTCTGCCGCCCGTGGATCCCCGCTTCGGCCGAGATCCCCCTTTGGGATCAGCGCCCGGTGGCCCAAGGTGCCCGCCGAGCGCTAATCCGGGCTCTACCACCCGAAGGCCCCCATCCGAGATGCTACGATCCCGACCTTCCCTCGGCGGCATGTGCTAAATTATTGCTCAGATCCCTCATCCAGGGAATAAGCTTCATCCAATGACATCCCCGCTCACGGGGCACGAGTCTACATTTCGCGTGCTTGTGTGTGTCTCCATTTGGACTGTTTGGCCAAAAAGAAAAGGGTCAATCATACCATAAGCCGAACCCCCCCGCGGTTCAATGCGACATTAAATCAAGACCTGTGAGGTTGCACCAACGGCGGGACTTTATTGATAAGTTAGATAACCTTGAGTTGGCGTCAGGGGGACCCTTTTCGTGACTCGCGCAATCGTTAAGTGGGCGGGGGCCCCGGTGTGAGTATGAGCGGACATGATATTGAAATTTGAGATGGAGAGATATGGGCTACTTCGAACCCCCGTGGGATGTTGCAAGAGGCCATCGTGGGCGGGCATGCTACATGGACGTATGCAATCATGGTGGAGAGCATTGTGACGGTGATGTGAATCGCGCATATGCGCCTGTCGTCGCCAAGAGGTGACCACTCCCCCCCCCAAAAAGACTTATCATGCCTCCATATCGACTCGACCGCCATTGTCTATATCAGTGCTTTCCGTCCGCCCCCTCCCAAACGTGCTGTGAGTGTGATATTGGTCCTCCAGCCTTCGTCTCTCAGTAGGTCCTGTCTCTCTTACACACACATAAACACAGTCGTCAAGATGCTCGGCCTCCTCACCCTCGCGCTCGCCGCCACGGCCAGCGCCACCAACACCACCAGGATCCTCCGTCCCATCCTCCGTCCGGAGTGCAACAAGGCGGACCCGGCCAACCTGGTGCCCTCCAACGACGTGACGCTCAACTACGGCGCCAAGGACGAGAGCCTTGTAAGCGTCGTGTTGGCCATGAAGTACCCCTCCGTGGTGCTCGAGGAGGTTGAGGCCGTCGCTGCTGTCGACTGCGCCGAGACCAGCATCACCGTCACCTTCAACGCGACGGCTGCCTTTGAGCAGACGTCGCGTGACTGGCAGGCTCTCGACGACTTTGTCATGATCACAAACCACCTTGGCAACTGTGATGTTGAGAACGAGCGTGGTTTCTTCCTCGTCGACACCGTCTCTTTCGACGCTGCCACTCTCAAGGTAGTTGCCAACGCCCACAAGAGCGATGTCGCCAACACGGCTAGTAAGTTTTGCCCCTTTTTATTTCAAAACAAGCCAAAACAGAAAGGAAAAGAAAAAGAGAGAAAAAAAAAGAAAAGACTGACACAAAACGCTCAGTCTCCACGGAGATCTCCTTCTCCAACGTCCCAGTTGAGAACCCGGCCTCCAAGCGCGACATCAAGTGGGACGAGAACGGCGTGCACATCTCCAACACGCTCTCGCTCCCCTCCGCCACCACCCTCTTCACGGCCGACCCCTACCTCGCCATCACGGCCGACGAGGCCTCCCTCAGCTCGTCCATGACCTTCTCCGGCAAGCTCAAGTACACCGTCGTGCCCCCCACGGTCGAGGAGCTGTCGCTCGACGTCGACACCACCTTCGCCGCCACCCTCGGCCTCACCGTCGACGTAAAGGCCCCTTACTCGGGCAACTTCACCTACGACCCGGAGGACCCCGGCTACTACTTCGTCGACATCCCCGGCATCATCAAGCTCGGCCCCGCCCTGGGCTTCGCCATCGGCGTCGAGCTCGAGGCCGACGCCAAGGCCTCCATCACCACCGACCTGGGCCTGTCCTTCCCGGACGCCAGGCTCCACCTCGACCTCGTCAACTCCTCCGCCACCGCCGCCACCGGCTGGGACCCCGTCTGGACCGCCAACGCGAACATCTCGCAGAGGGCCGCCGTCGGCGTCAACCCCTACGTCGAGCTCGGCGTCCAGGTCGTCTTCAACATCCTCGGCGGCGCCATCGACCTCAGCACCGGCGTCACCTCCCACTCCAAGCTCGTCAACGACTTCACCCTCAGCGCCAGCCAGGAGGTCGGCAGCGGCGGCGTCGGCATCGGCCAGGACAACACCAACTGCCAGGAGGGCTTCGCCATCAAGAGCGACTTCTTCTTCAGCGTCGTCGCCTTCGCCACCAAGTGGTGGTCCCAGGAGCTCTACAGCGTCGAGGTCCCTGTTGCTAACGAGTGCTACACTTGGCTGTGAGCGCATGTTTCATGATTTAACGATTGAGGAGGGCATGGTTTTGTTGTTACGGGGGATATCATGTATATACCACTTCTCATAATGTTTGAATCGAATGCATGATGTCGGTAATGAGATAATACAAACCGGCCTGGTAAGGTCGTCTACCAGAGGGTCGGTGAAGATATGATGGTGAATGACTCCAACAAATGCGGTGCATGTGCGTGTACTGACCGTGTCGCTTGACTTGCCCTAGTTACCTGCGACATCTCTTGGATAAAAGTCAGCCCCAAGGTTTTGTCGCATACCTTGTGTAACTCAACAGGACTCCAACGCAGCCGGTACACTGTAAGAATAATCAGACGAAAACGAATGCACCTTCCCCGAACTCATTTATCCATCAAAGCCGTCACGTACATTGACAGGTCATCCAGCTCATACATACTGAACTTGCACTTCTGACTTGGTACATGGGGGACCCAACGTTGGATCTCAAGATCCCAAGCATCCAATGGCAAAACCAAAAGAATATACCACATAATATCGACAAAGAACATCACCCAACTGTTCGCAATTTGTCACCCTCACTCAGAACTTGTGCTTGCTCCAATCCTTTCCCTCTTCTTCTTCCTCCTCCTCATCACCACTTTGCTCAGGCGAGGCATCAGCCTCAGCAGCACCGTTCTCACCACCATTCTCTTCGTCACTATCACTTTCATCATCGTCCAGGTTCAAGTCCGGCATGACCACACTGTTCAAGAACGTAATCTGTGCCTACTGTCAGTCCCAGTCAAATCATCAACTCATACGCAACTAGACTCACGAAAGGCTCCATGGCGGCGATGATCTCGCAAACTTTTTGCTGTGCGTCCTCCTCGGTAAACACCCTGTCGTCCACCTTCTTGCTGATGGTGAAGTTCCGCAGCTTCAACAGCTCAATGTCGCGGTGTTCAGCAAGGTAGTTCTGCAAGTATGTTAGCAACATTGTAACTACTACACCTAGCCAGCCAACCCTAGCATCCCCGCCCTCGTAACATTTCATGCACCAGCTGGCAATACCAGAGAAGTAGCACTCACCATGGGCCTCTTCTTCAACGCGTTTCCCTTGTTCAGATCCGCAAACGCAAGCAACGCCGCCTCTTCTCCGCCCTTCTTCGACGCCTTGGGCAAAAACGTTCTCTTGAACCGCTCGTTATTAAGGACTCTCCTCCACCGACGTGGCCTCTCGTCAATACTCTCCCTCAACTTCCGAAGATGCGCCGCTTCAGGACACCATAAGCCTCCTCCAACGAAGCACGAGCCCGGCTCGAGGTGGATATAGTAGCAGGCATAGGGTCCTTTCTTGCCCGTCCTAGACCAGGCGGCTGAGAAATGCGGCTGTTTCTATCGTTAGCACTTTTCATACACTTCAAATGGGGGATAAGATTCGCCGCGGCGCACCTTGTACGGGGTCGGGTTCTTGCTGAAGCGAATATCCCGATGAATCCTGAAAATCAGGTCTTTGGCAGGCAACTCGGGTATGGTGAAATCCACCTCGGTAATCTTCTCCGTGATAGACTCGACAAACGACTGCCAGTCCTTGAGTGCGCGTCTGTACTCTCCATCGTGACCTGGACAGATTGTCAGCATTTTTACCACCTCCAAAGCGACCACCAAGACAGGCTGGGCTGGGGATAGCATACTCTTGAGCCACGGCCTGATGTTATTCGCCTTCAGGTCTTTGAGAAACAGAAGCGTGTTCTTGTGCACCGTCTCATCAGAGTACTCGACCCCATCCAACGGGCGCAACTTCTCCAGGGGAATGATGGTGACACGAGGCCGTCTGTTATCGTCATCCTCCTCCGCCTCCTCTTCCTCTTCGTCGTCATCTTCCTCGGGCAGGTCATCCTTGTAATCATCCTCATCAGTCTCCTCAACCTTTTGCTTCTTTCCGGCATTCTTCAAAGGCTTGGCTTGAGGCTTCGCCTTGGGCTTAGGCTTCGCCACAGACGCCTTGGGCCGGCCCCGCCCACGTTTCTTAGGCTGCTCCTCTTCCTCGTCCTCTTCCTCGTCGTCGACCTCACTCTCAACTTCAACATCACCGTCATCAAACTCTGCATCATCATCATCATCCCCGTCGTCGAAGTACTTGCTCTTCTTGGGCGTGCTAGAGATACGCCGGGACCGCCGGCGTGGTTCCTCCGCCACAGGCGACGCAGCACGCTTACGAGCTGGCATAATTGCAGATTCAAAGAAACAATTGAGGATCCGGGAGCCTTATATACCTCTCAATCTAGTGCAAAAAAAGATAATGCCGGTGAATGTACGTCAAAAATCCGTGTCGCTCACTCTAAAAAAAGGTGTCGTCATAGCTCGTGGACCGCGCGGGGAGGGAAGGCGACGCGACAGGAACAAACGCAGCTAAAACGCGCAACCACGTGACTCGACGCATGGACCCAAGCCGTTATTTCTCTGCGGCTGCTCGACATTAATTACCCCAAATCCCACGTCGGCTCACATAACCAAGCACAACCAACCTACACTGGTACTGTACTGTGTGGGCAGGGGCGCGCGGTAAGGTAAGCAAGACAGGAAACCCGACTCCAAGAAAGGGTCTCCATAAAGGGGGGCCCTGTTGGATGCACTCCAAATGCAAGTCCTTCTCCAAGGATGAAGACGGAGATCTCCAGAATCCCATTGCAGCAATGATACTTCTTCCCCTCTCCCCCCCCCATTCCTGCTCAGTTACATTCATGTATCGGTCCGGGCGCCTCTGCAACCTGCCCGATGCGGGTGCCTGCGTTTCTCTCTCCAAGGGGACCTCAACCCACTTTCCATCCCCTCGTCGCCGCACCGGTGAGCCGAACGGCAAAAGGCCCGTGGATGCTTGGCTAGGAGGAGCATTATTAATTTCATAGGACAATACTGGCATGGAGTAATCTCTTGGGTTTCTGTTTAAATGCAAGAGCACCGATAGAGCGTCTCTCCGTCTCTAATACCACGTCGATCTGTATTCATACAGATATACGACTCTGTAGAACCTCCTCGCCTCCCCATTGGCGCAGTAACTATGCATAACGCATGTTTTCTTGTTTTGTTTTTTTGTAGCTTTAGGAAGTTTCCCTTTTTCTACTCGACTTTACTTTTTCCCAAGTGAGGATGCATACCTGACAGTTACGTCTGATTGGATCCTCAACACTAAGTCCTGGCTTCTGTCGTCTCTACAGACAACCCCAAAACCGCCGGCTGGCTACAAATCTCCAATCCCCCCCCCCATTCTCACCCTTCCGCTCCAATCCCTGGTACACACATGCCTCATCCAAGCGGGTTGTTCGGCGGTCCCCTTTTTTGGCCATTTTGGGACCTCAAAACAAAACATTACCAATCAATCCCAAAACCGGAAAGTATCAATCCCCAATCGAGCCAGCCTGTCGACAATTCCACACCAGGATTGCCTCATCCAATTCGTGGAGCTTCATCTCCACAGAGTACTCAGAAGGAAGCGGCCATTGACTGCTACTAAGGTTACGGTTTCTTTTCGATATTAGGACTAGATAGTCAAGTCACCAGGCTTCACCCCACTCTGAAATAGATCCGCAATTTGGTCGGATTAGGACATTTTTGACGATGCCACGTCTCCCAGGACGTCGTTTACTGTACCGAGCCGGGCCATAACTTACGTCCATGGTCTAGTCCAAAGCACAGACGTGGTGCTGATTAAAGCTATTGTTGCAGGGTAGAAAGGACCCTTGGCCTGGTGACGATGGTCAGGTACGCGAGACCGCCATCTGACATGGGCACCCGGAGCAGCCACATTCAAGAGCACAGCATCAAGAAGCCCTAGACAAAGCTAGCTAGCTAGATGCCCAATCCATAGTATATAAGATAATTTCATTATTCATACCACAACCCATCATAGTTACAGATTCCTGCGCGTATCGCCTCAGCGCAGCGTCAATAACCATACGAAACAAAAAAAAATGAAAAATAAAAAATCAGTCGGGTGCCCATCGGCACCAACACTGCACAAGCACTGCAACAATTCTCCGGTCCTTGCCCACGTTTTCAGCCGGACAGATTTCCCCTCTCCACCGTTATCTAGCCGGTCGGTACCTGTCTGTCGGTACTCCGCCGGGTCGTCGCCCCGAAATCCCGACAAGGCCATCAGACGCGCTTGTCTAACGACACGCCTTGCCTGCATCGGCGCCTCAAACCCAAAACCCCTCTGGCTGTTGGCAGGATCACACTTCGAGTGACATAAAAACATTGTACATTGCAAGGTTATCTTTGCATATCCTTCGTCTGGTAATGACTGTAGGAGTAGACTGTGCCGCAGACAACCCTTTCGGGAGAGATTATGTCTTGGCATCGTATGGCCAAACAACCAATGCCCGGCGACTCATCCCTTCTGTTTAAAGTTCCTTTCGGTTTGTAGGCTCGTCTTTCCTGGCCTTGGGAAACCTCAAGTCTTTCGATTATTTGCTAACCATCTAGAGCATTCACGCAAGATTGGGATCATGTGCGATCCTCCCAAGTGGTGTCCTGTCGCGGGGCTTCTCGACCAGGTCGGCGTATCCGTCCAGGCTTGACCCCATTACTCGCACCATCTCAAAAATGTGCGACCCCTTGAAGGTCTCCGCCCAGAGTCGGATGACTGCCGCCGCCAGCTGTCTAAGTCGTGTGCTGTCGTTCGCAGCTATTTCTGTGCTCGCCGGATGGCCGGCTGCGGGTCCACCCAGAGAAGGGTCGATAGGAACAGCAAATTCTGTTTCGTCGAGCATCCTCCTGACCGACTGCAGCAAGTTCTTCTCTTCGGGTGTCGCAGGGGGGTCATTCGGTCCGATCGAGGCGAGGGTGAGGAGCCACTTGGACAAAAGAATGGCGCATTCGAAGTTACACACTGCCACCATCCTGGGTTAACAAACGCGCCATTGGTAAATGTTTGGAATACTCACGGGAATGCTGAATGCTCCACTCCAAAGACTTGGTCCTCGCGACGTAGTTAACTCCTGCTTTGACGAGCATTGAGAGGGCATGGATTGCTTGGAACACCGCTCTGTGTAACCGTAGTGTCCGAACCAAGAGGGGCATGTTACTAAGAGACGAGGCCACCAGCATATGATCCCGGGTTTCAAGGGACCTTCCTGGTGGTATCTCCGTGTAAAGACGCATGTAGGCGAGCCGGAGAAGAGCTGTGGAGTTGAACGCAACCGGGCCGCCTTGGAATGAGTCGCTGCTACCAACGTGCCCTGATTCGGCCGCGCGCAGTTGATGCCTGTGTTCGAAGCTCGCCTGCCATACTCGTAATGCCTGGGTAACTTCCTCAACGTCTTCGGGCTTGAGGCCTCTCTGTGGTTCGAACGGCGAGCTGAGTGCCAGCGAGGTTTGCTTCAGCAGGTAGACGTGCTGGAGGAGAGCGTGTATCAGAACGTAATTACCCAGAGACGACATGTGCGGAGGCAGCCCCTGGGGCGATCGGCCAAATAGCCTGGCGAAGGCGTCGTGTACGGTGATCTCTACGGACGGGTACGCTTGCCTAACTTCCTGCCACTGCCATGCTGATTCTGCCCTCCACATCCGGGACGGATAGGGAAGGAAGAGGTTGAGTTCAGAGGTAAGAATGAGCGGCGGCATATTGTAGGCTATGCTGCAGAGATTAAAGAAGCAGTAAGCGATGAGTTTCGTACGAGTGGCACCCTCTAATCGGATCCATGTCTCCCAGTCGGGCGCGACGGCAGGGCTGGTCTCAGCAGTCAAACCCTCCTCGCGGACCAACATAGCAAGATGGCTCTGGAGAGAAAGGGCTTCGTGCAGGATTGCTTTTGCCCCCCAAAGGCCGACAGCGAAAAGCAAAAGGACAGCTTGAATCGTTTCCAAGCGTGCCTGTGGTGTGTTCGGAGAGCTGCAAAGTCTTGGTCAGCACCTGGCAAGTATTTTACATTCATGGACGCTTACAATGGCTCACGATGTGTGTCCTGGGTCATGGGGCGGTCCTGCTGCGCCGAGGCAAAGGTATGTCTAAATCCAGAGCTGGGGGAAGGTCGAGTTGAGTGCGGGCTGTACGCAGCCGGGGTCGGGAGCAGAGCGTGCACTTCGTGACTATGCCGTCGGCGTATCTGCTCCAATGCTACGGCTTTTGCGGCATACCACAGTGCATGGCCTCGGTGGCTTTCGAATCGATATTGCGCGCCAACAGCCAAAATGGCGAGGAGAAGCTCGGGGGCCATCTCGGCAGGCGTCAAGGTCGGGATATGGAGGAAGGGGAGGTATTCGTGGAATCCGCCAATGTAGCCCTCCAAGAAGCGTGTGAGCGTATGGCGGGATGGGAAGACAAAGTCGTTAGGTATCACAGAGGAGAACTCCTCAAGTCTGTTCTTGATAATGGTATGGTCAGCAGCAGAGATTCGAAGTGGTGCTCTCATCGATTCCTCATGATTCCGTGGACCACCTTCCATAATCTCTCGACCATCTGGCTGAACTGAGGGGAAACGAGAGGGGAACTGTGAAGAAGGTTTTGATGGTCCACGTTGGTGGATATCACCGGATCGTGGCCATAAGCTGCCCATCTGCTGATCGGACTCAAACGGAGGAGGCAGGTAAGAAGAGGTTCCCAAGTCGTCGAGAAAAATATGATAGTCGTCATACGGCGCAACTGGCGGCTGTGGAGCAAACCCAGGCGCCAGGACGGATGGGTCCTCCCGTGGCCTTTCAGAGTACCCCATCTGCTCGTCGTAGGACTTTATTCTCGCATGTTCCGAAGGTGGTCGGCCCATATCCGCCATCATGGGTTGCTGCATAGGGTTGACTTCGCTGGCCAGAGCCGCATCAGAGAGCAAGTCAAGGTTACAGGCCGCAGCACGGGTAGGCCCTGGCATGCGATGATCCGGGGCCATTGAAGACGTCACAGCGGCTGTTATCGACTCCTGGTGATACTGCGGTTGAGGAGGGCGTTGGACGCCCAGCATCTCGTGTTCAACATGGCTGTCAGCGGAAGACGGGGGGTGGTTGGTGCTAGATGAAGTCTTCCGTGGGCGGTTATGCTCCTTGTTGCCCTCGTTGAGATGAACGAGCTTCTCATGGCGGACAAGTAGATCACTGATGTCCATATAAGCATATTTCTCGAGTTAGACCAGAGGGATATCGGGCGTGTTCGTGGTTGAGTATCAGGAACAGGGAAGAGGTGGAGCAAGGTCGGGGGTTGGGATGGGGGAAAGCCTTGGGATAAGGTACTTGGGTGGTGTGGTTGGTGTGTGTGCGTGTATGTGTGTGAGTGGAAGACCACAATGTGTGGTGTCGAAGTGGTAAGGTGAGTGTGGACTTGGGCAGGATGATAAAATGACGAAAGGCCGGGGGGGTGTAAGGTTGAGAGAGACTCACCGTCGTCCGAACGTTTTCCCACAGCGAGCCCAACCGCAGGCAAAGGGCTTCTCCTTGGTGTGTGTCCTTTCGTGCCTTTGGACATGCTCCACACGCCTAAAATGCAAAAGCCATGTAAGCTAATAACAGGTACAGAGTGAGGGCCAAGGTAAGTAGGGCAAGGTCAAATTTGGGGGTCTTGCACTAGGAGGGGGGAGGGGGGCAACTCACCTAAAGCGCTTGCTGCAATACTTGCACGGCAAAGTCTTGGGCTTCTGCTGCCGGGTCTCTCCATTCTCGCCAGCTCCGGAGGCTCCGTGAGGAGTTGACCCCTCTATCGACTGGAGAGGAAGCATACTGAAGACAACAATTAGGGGAGAGGAAAACAGGCTAACTCGATGATGGCAATTAGAAAGGAAGTGGTACGGTGCGCTCAGGTAGGTATAGACAGGTCGAGGGCCTCCGAGGTCACACAGCACAAGAAAGTGGGGGCAACGGATGAGATAGGCGGAGCAGAGTTGTGCTCACAATGGGAGAGATACTTTGCGGGGTGGGCAGCTTGTGTCGATGTGATGATGACTGAAAAGACGGGGTTTAACCTCTCGTAGGAGAGTGGCGAGAAGAGAAGCGCGTCGATATTGCTAGCCACTCTGGTACTCCTCGCCCTCTCGTTTCTCCATGCAAGGCTCGCGTGAGCGAGTCTCAGATGTCTGGTGGTTGGCGTGGGCATCCACGGGCGGGTGACGACCGTCGTTTGCAGTGATGTGATTCCAGTCGTTGCTTCAAACCATGCGTGAGACGCTTGCGAGGAAGGCAGAAGTTGGTATTCGGAGTGGGATGCCCCGGTGGTAGGGTGGCCGAATAGTGAAGTACGGTACCAGGAGCGATTGAGGTAGAGGAGAGGAAGAGCTGGTGTCACGGCACCGTTGAGTGACACGAGGGACACAAGCAGAGTGAGGCGTAGTATGAAGGGGATGCGCGGTGGGAGGTAGCGGCAATTGTGTCTGGATGTTTGGGGTGAAGACACAAACAAGCATGCATGGGAGGACGAACGGGATGTACTCGGCTCAAACAAAACAACCTTGGATAAAGTGGCAGCGAGCGCGAGATGAGTGGCAGGGAGGGGGTGGGAGAGCAAAAGGCGGGGAATGATGGAGATGGATGAGGAGACGTCTTTCGGGAGAGGAGCGGAGGAGGGAAAGAGGAGAAGGGAGATGGCGAGATGGGGGAGATAGGTTAGGTTAGGTTGGGTTAGGTAGGTTGGCAGGTAGGCAGGTAGTTAGGTAGGTGTCAAGGTAGATCCGGCCGGTTGACAGGGTAGAGCGCGGACCAGCACAGCGAGGTGGAACTCGAAGACGGAGCGGAGGAGACAAGAGCGAGACAAAGAGAAACGCTTTTGCTGCTGCGAACCGCGGGTTTGAAGCCGATGTGGGCAAGATCAGTGAGAATGTGAGAGGCTGGAGCCGAAGAGGGGGAAGCACGGGAATGTCGGTTGTCTGCCGGCGCCGTACGACCAAACAGAGTGTGAAAGGTAACGGTTGGCTCGAATAGAGGAGATGGGCGTGAGGTCGCTCTATTGTGACGAGAGATGTTCTAGCACGTATGCGTATACGCAAATTGGCAGAGGTAGAAGGTTGTCGCGTGAGGTGAGGGGGAGCAAAAAGAGAAAAAAAAAAAAAAAAAGAAACAACAAGAGCCGGCGTGTAGGTGCTTCAGTAGCGGCAAAGATTGTTTGATGATATGCCACGGAAGATCAATGGAGACATGTGGTCGCGATGTAACGGTATTGCTTCAGGTTACAAAGGAGCAGCTGCGGCAGCAAGGCGCGTACTTTCGGAGATGGAGTAGGTCGCCCGGCGGTGAGGAGGAGGAGGACAAGTAGGAAGATGCAGGTAAGGCGAAGGAGGAGGAGCGACAAGAAAGGTGATGCACAGCGATGCGGCTTGGTACGGCGGTAGTGGTGGTGGTTTTGGTGGTGGAAGCTGTGGGAGCAAGGTGAGGAGGAGGTGGTAATGCGTAATGGGTGGGAAAAGGTGGAGAGAGTGATGAGGAGAGAAAGAATTGGCTTCTGTTGGATGGGGGAAATCCAGGCAAGGAATCTGGGGTCTGGGGTTGTCTCCTCTCTCTCCGCATTGGAGAAGCAGAAGCACCACGGCAGGACGGCAGTAGTAGCGGCAGCGGCAGCGGCAGCCTCGAGCCTCAGCCAGCAGAGCTGTAGCTGCTGCGACTGGACTGTCATCGCCACTAGCCTATGCCTAGCACCAGCTCATGTCCTGTCAAGGTACTTTGCCTCGCTGCGCATTGCAGCGCAAATGCAAAGTACCGGAAGCAAGGGGGGAGTAACGCCAAGCAACACACAGCACCTGAAATGTGGTGGTGGTGGTGGTTGTGGTGGCCTGGCTCCCGGCGTTGGAGAGAGCAGGAGCCAAAGCACTGTTCGAAAGCTGTCTGTGGGGCACCTTTGAGAGAGGGGAGACCTTTGGGGTTGACATGTGTGAAGTACCTAATCTGTGGAGGTCCCACGGGGCAGCTACTTTCTCCAGCTGACCTAACCAGGTATATGGCCAGCCAAGCTTCAAGGTCTTCCCCTGCTACGCATGCTAAGATGGGTTGCATGTGGTGGGGGGAAAGCTGAGCGGGGAAGACACAGAGAGAGAGAGAGAGAGCTTCCACAGCCAGTGTGAACGGAAAATCAGCCATGAAATCATTTGTCGTCGGTCGCCAAGGGGAAATGCTAGCCGACACCTCTCTGTTTTTTTTTTTTTTTTCGTTGCTGTTTTCTTCTGCCTTCCTTTCTCATTCTTGTCCTTCAGTCTAGCCCACTCTACAGAGTTATTGCATACATAATAGTAATTGTATATCTGGCCACCACGACTGAACAACAACAAGTAATGCAATCAAAAATCACGCCAATCTCACCTCACCTCATCTCATTTCATATCATCTTCCCCGCAGACTTTGGCTCGCATAGCAATGGCTTTGCTTGATGATATGCTCTTCATTCCGGAGAGTATAGCTTGTGCAATTCAACTTTCCCCTCCTCTTGGAGTAAGACAAGCTACGTAGAAAAGCTCCCAGTAGTCGTCTGCCAGGGCCATCCCCCCTCCTCTTGGTTGTCCGTGCCAGCTGCACTGACACTTCAAAGAGAGGAGAAGGTAAGAGAGACATGGATTAGTCTTCATTTGGGCATCGGAGGACCGAACCGGGAGACTGCAGGCCAGAATACGCGCCAATCGCAGCTGGGCAATAGCGGTCAATTATGGCAGGGAACCCTAGGTGAGAGGGTCCTTTGCCAACGAACCTCTCTCTCTCTCTCTCCCCTTGTACTCTCCTCTTGTTTTTCGTACATTCTTATTTTGGAGAAACTACACGAACCGGTCTGCATGGCTTGGTTGATCGATCAGCTTGGTAGATCACCCAAACCCCCAACCCCCGTTCTTAGTGTGCAAGCACCGATCAGTTTCGAATGCGTCGGCACGATATGGAGCGAAGCGCGGCGGCGCTTGGCTTCTCCCGTCCTGTCCCCAATTACCCATGTTTATTGTGTGTCAAGAGAGGAATCGAATTTGGTATGTGCTCCTAGGTGACGAGACGGCCAACCTTGCACAAGTAGCTTCATTGTCTCCAACTGCGGAGTCCGAGACACTCACTGGAATGGGCGGGCAAGGAGGGGAGAGGGGTTTGCGCAAACGCAAAAGAAACACTCCCGAGGAATCGCAAGAGAACGGAACGAAATTCAAATTCGGCCTCCATACGTAAACAGACAGTTACATGGTGGATGTAACTTAGCATGTAGGTTTTTGCCCGCTCATCAACCTCAGGTATTCGATTCGCATGAGCGGCCACAAGAGTCGCAGTCGGGTGTCTCGGTACAACTCCAAAGCAGGGAATAGGTAAGATGAGGTACCCTGCTCTCGAACTACCTTACCCCAAGCACGAGATAAGGGAGCACGCGGTTGCGCATCCGGTCTGTCCTCGGTGAGAAGCCGCCCATGATACTGGCCACAAAAATAAAACGCAAAAAATGAAATACGGAAAACAAAATAAAGGGTAACACACGGCATCTGTCTGTTCCTCTCCCCTTTGGGAACTCAACCTTGGTTGTCTCCGTGAAACTCTGGTTACCATCCTCGGCAATCATCCAGCGCAAATATGCCTCCGGCTCACTTGACCAGATCACTCAAAATAAAAAGACGACTCCCCTTGCGCCTCGTCCCCGTACTCATTACGCAGAACTGCATCTCAGGGCATTCTGGATGGCGGGAAATTGCGTTCGAATCTTCTGGGCCCCCCTCCTCGGCCCCGCCCTTGAGCGTGACATCCCATCTCCAACCCAAGGCGAGGAAATTTCCCGATGGCTGCTGCCCTGCACCTGTACTTAGTAAGGTGGTGGTGAACGGGCAGCGGAGGGTAGGCAATTTGGTATGTGCTATGTGTGTGGTGTGTGTGGTATGTGGTATGTATATCGTGTGGTGGTGTGTGTGTGTGAGAGTGGGCGGACGAGGGTAGGATGTGGGATCCTCATGGCCCTGGATGCAGCAGCAGCAGCTCCCTCCAAGGGAGGCTTAGTAGCGGAGGGAAGCAGCAGGCAGGGCAGGTACAGGCAGGGCACGCAGGGCAGACAGGGCAGACAGGTACCATTTCCACCTTTCACCTCTTAAGGGAAAGGGTACAAAATGGGGGATGCGGAGGAGGCAGGCAGGCACACACACGTCCGACGCAGGGCAAGACACAAGTGAAGCCTTGCCCAGTACCAAAAAAAAAAAAAAAAAAAAAGCTGCAGCAGAGCAGGAAGGGACTGCGCAGCATGGAAACGGAGAACCTGCCCCAGGTGCAAAAGTGTGGGGTAAGTCAGGTAGACCCACTGTCACGGTCTGTGTCCTCTCCTTCTGCCCCACAGCGTCCGGATTTTCTTCCCCCATTTTCCCCCGTTTGCAGTTTCAATCACAGCTTTTGCAGGCAGGTGCAAAAAGGGGATGCTGGGTTTGTGGGTGTTTTGTAATCAGCGAATCCTCGTCATTCCCCCCTCTCTCCACCCCACCCTAAAGACCTTTTGATTTTCAACCCACCACCCAGGCCGCTGCTATGTAATGTACTCTCCAGGAGAGCCTACCATTACAGACCCAACCTCCAATTCACCTACTACGTAAGCTGTAGGCTTTTTCAAATGTCATTCACACCTTTTTTTTTTCTTTTTTTTTTTTTTGGTAAACCTTGTCAAAGGACGGCGATAAGACCTCGGCGACTAGCATGTCCAAACTAGCCAAGCTTCCACCTGGCGTCACAATTGACACCCTTTCCCAATTCATCTCAACTCCGCATCCTCCTTTCTCGGTATACTTCCCCTGACCTTCAGGCACATGTCAGGTGGCCAAAAGGTCATGATGATCTGCTCCTGGCCACGATACTTTGAGAATTCCATAATGCCGTTGCTCCATTTCGTGGCTTACATTCGATGCACTTCTTTTATTCTTCCTGAGCTTGACCATGATCACGGCCGTCAATCGCACAGACACCAACCACGGCCCCTAAACCATCTGCCAGACGAGGAGGTTTCCCCCAATGTCAGCTTGTCACAAACCTTGAACCATCTGCAAGCCAATAACAAGGCTTCTCTGAGCCATTCCGACCTTTTGCATTTTAGCCTCGGTAATGCTGCGTCTTAAGGCCTTTGGCCAGAGGGCCAAGAGGAGATTCTGTTTCCTATGCTGACCGCACGCTCAAACACCCAAAACTGGGTTGATGAAAGCAGACGTCGCCGTCTCTTGCGTGACATCCGCTCTTGCCGTGACACGATTCCATCTTTCCTATACTTTTGATAAGCCCAGTCTACCAACTGGACAACAACGGAACTCCAATCGTCTTCCTAGGGTAGGTTCCTGAGTGCGGCGGCCATCCTCCGCCAAAGTCAAGACCCCCAACGCCAAGTAGGACACGGGACTATTATGCAATGTAACAGGCAGTTGTCTGTATGGTCCGCTTACACATTTCCGGAATAGCCTATGCAGTGCTCCTTTGGCTTTGGGTTCGGTGGCAATCATCCGCTCCGATGACGGCCAGCATAGTTTTAATGTTGGATGAGAGTTTCTGGCAATATTTGAGAAACCTGGAAACAAAACCCCCCAACCTAGATGACCCAGCGGTTGCAGTCTGCAAAGTGAACCACGTGGTTAGTTAGGTAGCTCATATCCAGATGTACCAAAGCATTATAGTACAATTCTTTGCCGAGCCTGAATCATTTCAGCCTGCTTGAACAGCTTTATACGATCGCTGCTATAATGCCTTCGTCAGCTATATCACGCCTTTGCCCATGGTATGATGTACATGAGAGTTTTGCAGAGGAGATGTTTATGCTCCAGTAGATGTGCCGACATCTTCGAGTCCTATATGTTACTGGCTGGTTCTCAACGTCCTCTAGCTTTGATAACAACCCCGAGGCTAATTCAAAAAGCCAAAGACATCCCGTCGTCCGAGTATTTTACAACAAGGGACAATATTATCCCTAATACCCTGATTACGCCTGTCATTTCCGGCGCATGTATTTTAGTCTCGGCAATACTCAGTCTCCTTTTCTCTACATGACGCGAGGTTTTCCTTTTCTGGCAAATATTCAACGGCTATTTGCAGCAGGCGGCTGAGATGATGGCAGGCCAACATTTGTGGCTTATTTCAGACGCCTAATGAAGTAATTGCATGGGTAACACGAAGTCTCGACTGTGAAGTCAAAACCTCTCTATGCCCTGACCTTCCAACGGTCTTCTAAATGGCTGTAATTCAGGCTATCCTAGAGAATGCCATCTCGTGAATTTCATGCCCAGCTTAGGTCTCGATTCGCATACCTAAGGACATTTGAAGTGCTTCAGCATCCACCAAATGCCATTTCTCAGTGGCCCACTAAAATATCATATCTTCGAGGTTTCCTAGTGCTCGGAAAGATTATATCCTGTTTGAGCATTCGGCTGGACGACAGACCTTTTGCGAGTAAGCGAAACTTCCGTCCCGAACGTGTCGTTGGAGTCTCTGGATCGTGACCAAACTGACGTTTGGGGCCTTTTGTTAATAAATTGAGATTTGTAATTCACCAAGTAAGCCTCGAAAGAGATAAGAAGATCCCCATGTGTATGAATATGGGCTCAAGGAGGAGCGGAGGGAATGGATAGACTCTTGGATGAACAAACAAGTGGCCCCGCCTAGGTGATGATCACGCAAACCGTTCTCGCGCCAATGAAGTATATGAGGATAGTTTCTTTTTCAGTAATACTCGCAATAGCCGCCCAATGCCCATGGTCTATCATGATTCTCCCAAGTCGTCGATTTCTCATTGACATCCTTTTTCCACGCATTTCGTTTCCCACCATCTGTCTCCCAGTCCCATTTGTAATACCCAGATCTTTAAAGAAAGCACCTGCCGCAAATCCCCTCCCTCCCGTATTCCAACCAATGCATGCCCCAAAAGAAAAAAAACACACCCTCGCCCGAAAGCTCCCTCATCACACCAAAAACCACCTGCCAACGCTCAACCCTCCAACAGCTCCTCGGGCCACCTCACCTCGAACCCGCTGACAGTCTTCTGGACCTCGACATCTCCAGGGTCGCCCTCGAAAAGCGGCTTCTCCATCTTCTTCTCCAGCACCTGCTCGACCACCAGGCCCCTCTCGCGCGCGACGTCGAAGAATGCGAGGTCCTTGTGCCGCAGCCAGGGGCGGTAACTCGTGAAGAAGACGTACGCCACGCTCTCCTTCTTCCTCGACAGCGCTTCCCAGATCGTGTCGACCAGCTTGCCGTGCTCCGAGTGCCTGAACAGCAGATCCGCCAACACGAGCACGTCGAACTTCTCGTCCGCCCCGTCGGGCAGCTCCTTCAGCAGAGGCGCGACGTCCGCCCCCCACACGTACCCGAGCGGCACGACGACGCCCTCCAGGTCCCCTGCCTCGTCGACGTTCTTGTGCATCGTCTGGACAATGTCCGCGTCCGGGAAATCCGTCACGACGACCTTCTTCGCGCCGAGGATACCGGCGGTCAGGGACGGCAGCCCCGCGCCCGCGCCGAGCTCGAGCATCGTCTTGCCCTTGATCCGCGACGGCTCCGCCTCGAAGTAGTCTGATACGATGCGGCTGCCGTTCCAGAGGTGATGCGCCTCCGTGGGCGAGTAGCCGACGAGGTGCAGCGTCAGCACACGGCCTGATGAGAGCGTGTGGGACTGCGTGGTGGGAGGGGGGGTAGGAGGGTAGAAGTCCTCGGGGTCCTGGAAGAGATCACCCGTGTCGCCGTCCGCGACATCGCTGACTGGGCTCATCTTTGTCTTGGGTGGTGTTTTGCCGAGTGAGGCTCGTCTTGACGAGCAGTGAGGCGGATGGAGGGGTTAGTGGGGGGAGGGGCAGAGTGAGTAACTGATGAAATAAATTTTGCAAACCTCTTCGGTATGAAGAGTGTGTGAAAGTGAGACCAGTGAAACCGCCAAATGACCGTAGAAAGTCGATTTGCTTTTGAAGATCTGCGTGCTTAGTTAGACTGTGTTCATAATGATGGGTGAAGAGGTACACATACCTTGGTCGTGTGTGTGCGGGTTGAGAGAGGATAAGTCGCAATTTTTTTGTGAATCTTTTTACGACTCGAGGTGAAGTTGTGGGTACAGTGCGCGATCCCCCTCCATTGCCCCTCTTGCTCGTGGATATCTCGCCTTGTCACAGTGCGAACGCTCTCCGGCTTTTCACATGGTACTCATGACACTCAAGTAAAATCCAGCAGAGCTGAAGTCTTGAAGAGGTTGCTTCATGTGAGACGGAAGCTTGCCCGGTAGTCCATTCTATTAAATGGTCAAGTCCCACGTTAAAGTGGCTTTGAATGCGACAGACAGGGTGTGCGAAATGCCGATGCAGCCCAGCATGAAAAGGCTTCAATGTCATACCTGTTGCTTGCCCTGGTATTATACAGATTCTCTTCTTGGGCGTCAATAGTACACACAAACTTCCCGTAACTCCTCATACAAACCTCAACATCATCTACATTAGCCTCCTTCTTCTCTACCCAAACCTCTGCTTAGCCAACTCCTTCAGGCCCTTCATTACCCCCTCCTCGCGCTCTCTATACTCTCTAACTCTCTCCTCCCTCTCCGCGGCTCTCGCTCGCGCAACCTCCTCCCTCCTGATCTCTCTTTCAGTTTTCTTCCGCTCCTCCCTAGCCTTCATAGCTCTATACTCCGCCAGCGAGTCCCCTCCGCCCATCAGCTCTTGCTCACCGACCTCGGCCTGACCGTCCCCGCCTCCGCGCTCTCTGAAATCCTTCATCTTTTCGTTGACGAGTGCCTTCTTCTCCAGCATCCGTTCTCTGGTGCCAGCCTCGGCGCGGGGTGCCAGATCATCGAGCCTCTCTCGCTGCATCTTCCTGTCATCCTTCCTCTGCTGTCGTAGGTCTTCGTTCCTCGCTTCTCTTTCGCGCTGCGCGTCCTCGGCAAGGTTCTCTCGGCGGAGCGACAGGTCCGCCATACTGGGCATGCCAGGCCCGGACCGCTGGCCCCCTTCTCGCGCGGCGGACGGCAACCTCGGTCCCAAGTCCTCATCGTCCTCATCATCATCATCATCATTCTCATCCTCGTCCTTCTCTCCGCTGGCTTTCCTGTTAGTCTCCTCCGCGTCCGGTCTCCGGGGCCCTTCCTCTGCCGCCCTGTCCTTGGCGGTCATGAACATCTCCGGATCATACCACCCAGAACTCAATTCCCCACGGTTCCATTTCCCCATAAAACTCTTCCATCGGCCTCTCACCTCACGCTCATCCATGTCACGCATGTCTTTTTGTTTCTGCAAGTCGAGGTAGTACGCCAGCAACGGTCTGAAGACATCCAGGTCGTTCTTAGAAAGCGTCCGCGCGTCGTAGGGCAGTGTAATGGGTGGTGCGCTGTTCGTAACATCTCTGCTCCCTCCACGACCGCTCTCTCTGGGGCTATCCCGATGGCGATGGTGGCGATGGTGGTGGTGATGATGCCGCTCTTCCCGCTCTCGTCTTAAATTCCCTTCGCCAATCGGCGACCGCCGTCTTGTCTCATCCCGACGTCGCCTCGGTGACCGCGACCTGCTGCGAGTACGTGTCCAAGTCCGCTCATCCGTCATGACGGGCATCAAACACTTGCCAAATGAGTCGAAAAGGTTCCTTCAAGCGCAAAGTGACGACAGCACGTCAAAAACGCTATTGAGTAGCTTCGATTGATGTGAACAAGGGTCACCCCCAGAGAAGGCTGAGTTGGTGGGGTCTGCGTGTGGAAGGGCGTTTTGTTTGACTACAGTTTCAGGCGTTCGACAATCTGCCGCGAAAATCGAATGGGATCCTGCCAATGAGTCTCTCTGGTGGTAACACTGGAACGGTGGCGTCGAATGCAACTGAGGGGTTTGTCCGAGGCTCTGAAGCGGAAAACCCTGAATAATGACGTCGGTGGAAATGGATAAACTGATGTTTGTTTTGTTTGTAGTTGCAGGAGGGAAAGCTCGTGCCTTTTACCGAACCAGGGGGGAAAAAAAGTTGGAGAATGGAGCCGCGAGTGCCCCAAACTCGGCTTCGGAAGGACTGAGAGAGTGCCACTTCCCCCCGGCCACAGGTGCCGCTTTCCCGCACGAATCTTCAACTACCGGTCCGCAAAAACTCTATCTGTCCCGGTCATCCGTCTAACCAACGATTCCAGCAGTATCCTTATTGATCATGTATCAGGTAATCCGCTGAATTCACACAAAGTTTCTCAAACATCTCCCGCGTCTGAGTGAAAGTCGTAAATGAATAGAATTTGACACACGTCAGGATATGACCTGTAATCCTGAGATCCGCAGACCTGAAGTAGCAAATCTATGAGACATTTGCGATATAGCCAATTGAGGGTATCGACTTGAAGGAAGGTAAAAAAAAAAAATGACACCACCAGATGCAAGTCTTTAACGGCGTAAAGCTCCGGCCTCCTAGGCAGCCCTCGTTATCCATCATCCCAAACCATGCCGTCGTGAAGTAGCAAACATCAAAAAAACCTAAAACTTCTCTGGCGGTGGAACAAGCTCCTTGTGAGCTTGTCATGACTCTACCACGGGCGCGTTGTTGTGTATCGAGCAGCCTAAGCATTGACAATCGTCGCCGCAGGGACATGACGAAGTCTCGCCAGCGCAAGCATCCCCACTAAACGGATATGTCACGAAGAAGAAATCGCTGGCCGAAAGTGCTTGTTCCTCGCTCAGCCCCGAAGCTGCATCAGAGGGCGTCTGGGGCGCAGGAGGAGAACCGCCGCTGTCGCCGTTCGTGTGGGCATCGACCCCGCGGGCTCCATTTCCGTTGGTTGCAGTATTTTCCAAATGACCGTTTGCACCGTTTGTTCCATTCGTTCCGTACGAGTCGTCAAGCATGCTGTTCCATGCCGACCTCACGTAATCCTGCGTCGCATCGTTGTAAGGATGGGCAGCGCATCCAACACATTGACATCCGTCACCGCAGCTGCACATGTGTGATGTCGACTCCGAAACAGCGGGAGTTGTGCCATCAGACACAAAATTGAGTGGGGTTGACATGCCGAATCCTGTTGGCTGCGACGCCGGTTGTCCATACTGCAAAGCCTCCATCGCCTGTCGCCATTGCGCGGGTTGTAGAGGCGACATGTAGGAACCATACTGCGGAGGGTAGGTGAAGATTGTTGGTTGAAAATAAGATTGGTACATGCCCTGCGGCATGGCGATCGGTGTTTGTTGATAGGGTGACATAACCATGCCGTTCGGTGACATGTGGCCGTTGAGGATGTGACCGTTAGTGACGACGTTAGTGTTTATCGGCGGTGCTTTGCTGGAGCAGCAGCCGCCCTTCTTCGGTTTTGGTTCAGTCTTTGGACTTGAGGTGACGCTTGAAGGTTGTGCCGACTCCCCTTCACTCTTGCCTGGTCCTGAACAACATGAGCCTCCTTTGCTGGCGCTTGTTAGTGAAGGTGTAACAGGCCCGACGGGTGTCTTTACAGCCCCGTTGGCCGAGCCAGAGCAGCAAGAGCCCCCTCCGTTTGTTGCCTTTGTTGGAGCAGGCACTGGTGCAACTTTTGGTGTGATGGTGGTAGACACAGCACCATCTGTCTGAGGTACCATCGAGGCGGCTGGTGGAAACATGCTGCCGGGTATCTGGTGGGGGAACATCGGAAACATCATGGGCTGGTGGAATCCTCCATTGACGGCACCCATGATGGGCATCGAGCCGTATTCCATACTGGACTTCGGCGTAGGCAGGCCCGTCATGCCGTTCGCATGGGGCATGGGGCTCGGATGTGTCATGTCAAAGGGCGGCAGGATGTTGACGTGGGCAGCATCCATCCTCTCCAGGGTAGCGGGATCAAATGACTGTTTACGACTGGCGGGCTTGGCTGCGGACTTCTGGACTCGAAAGGAGGCGGCAGAAGCCTTGGTCGGAGACATTGGCGGGGCATCGCTCGCAGGTGACTCGGCCTTGATCACGCTCGATGTTGCCGACGAGTCGGTAGGCGTTCCCGCGGTGCTTGATCCGCAGCCGCACTTCTGCTTTCTGGGAATGGCGGCAGTCACGCTGCCGCAACCGCACCCGCGGGTGGGGGGATGAGGACATGTGCTTAAAGGTCTGCCTGGTTTTCGAACGGGGACCATTAGGCGCTCATTCGCGTGTGTGCATTTCGTGGAACGATGACCACGGATGCATGGCTCACTGAGCAGTGGATGCAATCAATGGTCAGCTTCAGTATTCCAGCAGCAGTAGTCGATAGCGAGGCGGGGATGGAAAGATAAACCAGGCGATGCGCATGCTTGACAGGAAAACATGAAATATGCAGTAGTAAGAGGCAGAAGACTGGTGAAGTGCACGACAGGAGGAAGACATGGCGACTTACCAGGCCATCTTCTGGCCGTTGATGAGGGGCATGGCGGGCGAAGATTGGAGATGCGCAAGGGATAACTTTGAGATTGGCGAATTTCGGGATTGAGAGAGCGAAGACGAGCGGAGACGAGGCTCTCAGGAGAGAAAGCGTACAGTGATGGTTGTCGCTCTGGTTCCAACTCCGACAAACCTTTGACCCTTGAAGTGAGCCGCGAGGTGAAACATGGAGGCGGGCGCCGGCTCCCTGGGTACAGCGTCGGTCTGCCCGAGTACGTGAATTAAATCGTCGGGTTGTCTCTTTGGGTATGTTTGCAGCGGCGGGAGGTGAAGCTGAAGGTGAGTTGAAACGATGGTGACTAGGTAGGCGAGGGTTTTCTGCGCAAATCAATTCGGCGACGACGTCGACTGGAGAAGCGGGATATTAAGCTGACGACTGGCAAGAAAGCTGAAGGTTGTTTGGAGATTGGAGAAGTAGAGTGTATCCGGTCCAGGTCGGGGTTTGGCAAGGTAGAAAATGGCGAGACAAAGGCGATCGGGACGGAGAGCGAGTAAGGCGAGGTACGACTCAGAGGCAGCGGCACAACAGCAGCAGAAATGTTTGTGAAGGGATGGCAGCAGTTAAGGCCGGCAGTCCTTTTGCGGTGGTGCTAGACGCAACGGAAACGGGCTGGTGGATCGTTTAGGTGGACGGACGTAGTCGTCGGGGGTTTCGACCTGCAAAAACCCACTGAGGGTGGCCCATGTGCAGTTGAACATTGGGGCCCTCTTGGGACGAGAGGGGACTTTCCCTGTAACTCCTCTGGGGCAGGTACCTAAGGTGAGGCGTGGTGAGGAAAGGCGCACTATGGCAGGGTAGGTAGGTGTACTACGTATTGGAAAAGAGAGATGTTGTGGTGGTGGTGTAGACCTGGGCCAGACTTTAGCGCCTAGAGGCTAGCCTAGCCCAGCCCAGTAGGCCGCCGCCGCATTCCTCCTGCCCCCCCAAGCGCGGCAGAGAAACAGCATGAGCACGGGTGACCAACAGCGGCCGACGGGACGAGAGACGAAGGGACCAATCAGATCTATCTAGTATCCTGGTAGCGCATCCAACCAGCCCCACGTGCGGGGGTTATTACACACTGGCGCCACGCTGCCGATGTGTTGCCAGCGCCTTATCCAGTCACCAACCACTGTACCACAGTAGCTGCGCTGCGCTGTTATACTGGTGAGTTAGGCTGCACTGCGGCACACCCACCCCTCCCTTGGACCCTGGACCCCCCATAAAACATACAACAGGTACGCACTTCCTGTCCTGCTCCTTTCGGTTTGAATGAGGGAAGTCATTGCCTTACTTGATCGTAGTGTAAGCGAGAGATACATAAATGCTCTTGGCGTGGTATCATTCGTATATATCCATCACAGACACTAAACTGCTCACACATACACATATTTATCTGAAAATATGTCGAGCATGAGATGATTGCCTTGGCTCGGAGGAAAGAATCTCTTTTCAGCTTTGTCTGATTAAAGAAATTACTCATCCAAGAAACATCTATCGTAACAAGGGGTCCATTTCATGGCATCCCGGGTCTATTGGATACCGTCGACGACGCGATATGTTGTCTGCCGGTGGTGTGTTGCCGCACTGTCTTGAATCTCATGCACAATATATGAGGTCCCTGCCGTTACCACCGCACACACCAGGACCTTGGAGGGGGAGGGGTAATCGGTTGGTCGGTTGTCGGGGGGCATGGCATGGCTTCACGAGCGACCCTCCCTACCATGTGCTTCTCCATATTGGGATGAGGATGGGGGTTTCTTCCAGCGGTGCCGCCACGAGGTGATGATGTCCAACCATCGTCCAGCTCTTTCACGAGCTCAACGTAATAAAGAAAACACGTAAAATGACTAGTTTTCCCAGTTGCGAGACAAGCCGCGTTTTCTCTACCGGGATACACTGCCTTGACAGATCAGAGGCTAGCATAGCATGATCGCCCTTTAGTTAGCATTCTGCCCTCCCGTACCGTGCCGGCCTCTCCCTTTTGTTGCCCGCCCTCTTCTGCAGTCATGGTCTGTTTCGTAAAACCTGTTCGGCAAAATTTCTTCTTTACGCCCATCTCGCATCTTGACATGCCTCGAGCTCCATTTTCCGCCGCCATGACTGCACCTCCACACCCCCATCCCGATAGGTAACCTGTCCCAGGGTCCGGCTTCAAGGATTGATGCAACATAAAAAGATGCTGATCCCACGTTTCGTCAAACCTTGAGTTGGGAAAATCTGCCTTTCGGTGCCGAGTCCATGGTCAGCCAAGCTAGCCTTCATATCAGATCGGACCAAAAATGCCATCAGTCACCAGCAAAAAAAAACAAAGAAACGGGGGTACAGACACCCTGCTTCACTCAATCTTGATGATTCTTGAATTCATCCCTGCATGATCCGAACCGGTCTATCACTCCTTTCCGTCTTAGCACGGCCAGCAAAGTAAAGTATACTTCTGTCCATCTCGCCATACCTGACATACGCAACCCCACATGGACATTGCGCCTCATTGCCTTTTGTCCATCCCACGTCCACCGCACATTCCCACGCCGCCAAATGCACCCGAGTCCCACGGCCACGCACCCTATAACAGGAAAGTCGAGCGTGATAAACGGGTGGGTGAAGTCGGGTAGGCAAATAGAACGAGAAAAAAAACAGCGAGAGGGCGTGGAGGAGGGTGGGATGCGAGGTCAATACTCCACTGCCAGAGGCTCGAGAGGCAAGGGAAGTGAGCAAGTTTTGATTGGCCAGATCTGGCACCAAATTCAACGAGACGGTTGTCGAACGAGCTACCACCAGATAGATACTTTTGCAGCACCCCCCCTTTCGACGAGGGTCGCTTGACGAAGAATGTGTATCCTTGCTGTGCAGTAGTAGTGCTTTGCGAGAAGGAAAAAAAAATCCCAAAAGATGGACACTTGTGATGTAACTTGTGTACTTGGGCCATACTGGCCTCGGAGCTGCTCTATTCCTTCTTGGCTTCTTCCAGTTATTCACTCGGCTTTAGCCCTTTGCGTCGGGAACTAGACTGCTGCAACTCGTTTTAACGAGACAATATGGCTGACCTGTGCTTGTGAAAGATGAGCCACTGCCTGTGAGGCTAGTCGTCATGTGCGCCGCTACGCCATAAAACACCCCGATACAGATCCAGAACAAGGGTTGGCCAACTTGTAGAACGCTTTCAATTCTATGCCGTCATGCCTTTTCTTGCCTCTTCTCCGTCGCCTTCACACAGCACGGTTTGCCGGTTCACCTTATGCATCCGCAATGCCATGCAATGCCATGCCTTGCCTTCTCTCAGCGGCCCTCGGCAATGTTACTTGGCGATACTTATGTGTGCCCTGCAGGCCAGCAGTCACAACCCTCCACATGTACCCTGTCCACCTGCAGTCCAGTCAAGACACCGGCGTTTGCAATGCTGGGCATGGGCTAATTCTTCAAATATCCTGCGTCTCCATTAGGTGAGCAAGATTGTTAATCGTCCAAAGCCGCTGCCTCGCCCCTGACCTCCCCTGATCTAGTCTCGGATAACACGCTTGTTTCCACCATACACTGCAACGTTAGTTTCCCTCATCCGACTCCCCGGAGTCGGCGAACATATCCACTGCCCTCATTCGTTTCCTGGTTTGTCCCGTGGGTCTGGATGATAGCTGCAATCTTCCGACCGTGTGTGGATTGGAGGTGCCATCCGCGCTCTCCGCTGCTGCTTCTGCCTTGCCGGGTTCGGCTGGTGTTGTCTGAGCCTCCGCCGGCTCGACTAGGCTGTCTTCCTCCATCGCCTCCCCCTCAACATCGTCGTCCGCCATAGGTTCGCCCTCCACATCTTCTTCGCTCATTGGCTCGCCCATGACGTCGTCTTCCTCCATCGGTTCGCCAGCAACGTCTTCTTCCTCCATCGGTTCACCTTGAACGTCATCATCTCTTTCTGACGTTGTTCTGCGAGGCACACCAAGGTCAGGAGTTGCCGTGGCCGTGGCATCAGCGCTTGGTGTCGAGGTTTCAACCAACTTCCATCTTCGCTTCTTGGCTGCGTCATCTTCGGTTTGCTCCTGGGCCTTGAGGGATGGCGGGTTGTCGAAACTGCTGGCAAATGACTCCTGACTCTCTGTCGGAAATACGCACCAACCTTCCCAAAGACCAAGAACTAGCCCAACACTTCTCTTCCACTTCTCGGCCCGCAAACGGCCCCAGTTTAACTTTTCGGCCATCAAGCCAAGGCCCTCAAAAACATTACGCTCTTTGAGTGCGCCTTCAAATATTTGTCGATACCGCCAAGCCCGCTGGATTCCGCTGTTTGAAGATGCAGATAGTATGTCGCTAACAACATACAGGCCCACAAGGCTTGCTGCACTTGTGTCTGGACCCTCTTTGTCGGCCTTGTCTTCCGGCTCAGGATCTGATTGCTCAGATTCATCCCTCTGCCTGCCCTTTTCTCTGCTGTTTGCTTGAAACTCCGGGTTCGCCGCCGTCAATGCAAAAGGCTTTTCAACGTTCGACACAATCATATCCACCACCTCCTCGGCACCCTTGCTTGCGTGCGTGAGAGCAAAAGCCGTAACTCTAGCGACATCTCCTTTCCGAATCTTGGATAATGTTGTTGGGAGGCGGGCCAAGAGATGGGTTAGTTTGGCCTTGTCTAGCGGGTTCAAGAAGGTAACTTCGGCCTCTGTTCCTTGGCCCTCCCGGTTGTCACCGTCGAAATCTTCGTCGTCTGACGAGTTGTACTCGGGGTCCGACACAAACTCGTCAATGTTGGCAACAAACTCGAACGGTAGGCTCCTTTCGGGTGCTTTCCAAGCGTGACTGCCGTCAAAAAGGGGCAAATACCTTCCTTTATTACGCCGTGATTCAGAGCCAGTGATAATCTCCCAGAGCCGCCAGCGGTACCAAATGCCTCCTTCGCTACGCGCATTCCAGATCCATGCCCACTTCTTTTCTCGCTGAACCTCAGGACGGCTCATCAGCAGAGCCTCAAACTCCACGCCGTGCTCGAGAACTGATTCGATGGTTTTGTTGATAAGTTGTAGCATTTTTATGTCGTTGGGAGGCTTGACAGGAACGTGAAGTAAGCTGTTTCTGTTGAGCGATTCACCAGAGTTCGGTCCGTAGGACGTAGGCGGCGCAAAGCCTCGATGGAAGGCTTGCTGCGTTGGCGCATTGCCGGGTGTCGCCTGCTGTGCGACTGGCTTCGCACCAAAAGGCTGCGATGCGCCAGAAGTGCTACCAAGCGTAGACGCCGTGGCGGTTGCAACAGCTGATGAGAGATGTCGATGTAATGATAGGTTGAATCCGTATCCGAGATAGCGATTCTGGAGTGAACTGACTGCCGCGTCAATGTCTGTTGCCGGTGTCTCCTGTGACAATGTAACGATGGCCACTGCGCACTTCCTCTCTGTGGCGGAGGATGCAACAGACGGCAAAATCTTGACGTTCTCAACTGTAAGACTTGATGGCATCAGCGATTTGATGAACGCTGGAGAGGTACCTGGAGGCAGCTGAGATAAGCGCAAGGTTGGCTTGGCTACACCCATGGCCTCCCTTGGGTCCGACCCGCCTTCCTCCTCGTCATCGCTGGTGTTGAAGGCCTTCGATACCGACTTTGGCTCGTCCCGGTCATCAAACCCCAGCCTGCCGTCTCTATCCCTCTCTTGACGGTATGCGTCGAACCCTCTCTTCCTTCCGAATGACCCTGGCGGGGGTCCTAAGCTGCCGGGGCCACTCTTAAAGCCGGATACAGGCCCTAAGCTCCCTGGGCCGCTCTTCAGTGCGGATGCACCGAAATGTCGCTTCGAAGCGGCAGCGCCTCCCAGCGGCGCGCCAAAACCAGGGCCTTTCGGTGGCCGTTGTGAAGGGAATGAGCCATAGCGGCCGCTCCCTGTGTCATCGTCGTCATGATCGAAGCTCTTGACAAAATCTTGGTATACTGCAGCGGTCTCGGCGGCCTCCCGGGCTTTTTTGGCTTCGGCTTCAGCTCTCTGTTTCTCGAAAGCGGATTGCTTAGGGGCCTTCTGAAGTTTCGCTTCGACGTCGGGAAACTCAACGAGGTTCTTCGCCGATGACATTGTTACCGAGAGAATTGTTGAAAGCTTCGTCGCATATTTGAGGAGGGCGCAGGTTTCGCACTGTCGCGCAATCGCGATCGGCAATTGGGAAGCAGTTTGTAGTTGGATAATTGAGTTACTGTAGCTAATGGACATAGCGCGCGGGATACCGTCCGTACCATCTCACTAGTCATAGCTGGTACTGTGCGTTGTTCAACTGGGGTCCATTCACACCGTGTAACTGTGGCTGGATCTCGGCTTCTGGAAAACCAGCCACAGCGGGACTTAATTTTTTGGTTCACATAGTGCAGTTTCCAGATGTCTATGAAGTAGATAATTGCTCTACATTTCCAGAGGACGACCAACATAGTTACTTTCTTCGTAAGTGATTTCCTTTTACAATTGTCCGTCCCCTTCTTGTAGCGACAGTCAGATATGCAGCGACAATCAGCAGCATCTGAAGATGCAAGAGACAAAAATTCATCAAAAACATACAACACCAGGTATTCGCTGGTCGTCACCGACCCAACTACTAATCCGGCCCTCACTGGCTTATCTATGGGAGAGCGGACGGGATCCCGAGTTTTCCAGTGGGTATGGTCGAATGTGATTGGGTAAAGTGTAAAATTTGCCTATAAAGGATGACTTGGCGAATAGTATACCTGAACAGACGTCCAATACTTGCAGTCACCAGTTACCGGTGCACTTTAATTTTTTCTCTTGCTATTCCTCGATCAAGTATCCATCTGGCAGCTTTCTCGTTGTAAAAAGATCATCTCCAAACTTTATATGCACCAAATAGTAGAATTTATAAAGTCGACAACCGGCTAAGAGGCCCACGGTAATGTGTGTATAAAGGTTTGTTGTTTTATAGGGGGATGGAGGGCGCTGAGGAATGGCGGGACATGTACCTTAGCTGCCGTAGAACTCAGAGCAAGCAATGGTAAAGAAGACGTAGAATTCGGATTTGGAACATGCATGCTAGCATCAACTCAGGCGGTTCAGTCTGAACATTCAAAACGATCGGGTGCGAGTCTCTATTCGTTATCTCGAGTAATATGGGAACAAGCCCATTGACGACAATGCACTCACTGCAAGAGCACCCCCATTCATAGACAACATTAACTCAGTGAACTCCTGGCTATTATTGGGAATCATTACTGGATTCCTGCTGGTGGCTTCTTTCACAAGATCAAGGAAAGGAAAAGATCATTGAAAAAAAAACAAAAAAAAACACTGTACTAGATCCGGACGATACTGCTGAGGAAAATCATCGTTGTTTAGATTCACGAGAACTCCTCCTGGGGCAGTCACCAATAGACATAAAGCGCATCAAGTTCTGATAATCTAGCTCCGCTGTGGAACTAGTCACTTCTCGATAGTTTGAGCGTCCAAAAACAAGGATGATAATGACGAAAACAAAAAGACGGCATCCATCTTCCCTTATATATCCCCCTCATTCCGTCCCAAGATCGACAAAAGTTGTTACGCAATTGCGTTTGCTGTGTGACTCGTCGTTGTCATCATGTTCGAATATTCGGTACAGTTTGCTGCCGTAAATATTATCCCAGATGTTCCTCCTGTTCACCCAAAATAGCGAATGGAAGCCTGAGTAGAATATCGAAAAAATGGGCGCGATGAAATGCTTGTGATGCCACTTCGACCTCTAGCCAGTGCTGGCTCAGAGGTCATGACTTCTTGACTGAACAAAAAAGGGCCCGAAACGATCGCTTTCCTGTCGGATGATGGTTGCTTGGTGGTTGGTGCATACACAAGGCTGGTCCGAAAAATGGACGAAGTATCCGAGCAGTCGAAAATCGCAGGGAAGTCTCCGCCATAGAAGTTAAAATGTTATCGCAATCACTTCCAAGCCACAACACTCCAGTTGAGGTCTGATGCTGCGTGAGACAGACGGCTTACGGGCCCAATAAGAAGCAGATTCAATCTACCTGCATACCGGAAAAGAGACCCTCATTCATGAAACAAACCCAAGAAGCATCAACAAAAGCTGGCCCGACTAGGACACATTTACTCCTTCATCATAATCGAGGCAAACTCATCATCTAAAGGCGAAAGTCAGTACACCCAACCAGGAAAAGGAAACAAGGAGAAGCCGGTCAAGGGGAAACAGCACTTACAATCAATCGACCCGTCGCCGTTCTTGTCGGCCATTTGAATCATCTCGTCAATCTCGGCCTTGGTCATGTTCTCGCCCAGCGAAGTCAGGACATGGCGCAGCTCCTCGGCGGAAATTGTGCCGCTACCGTCGCGGTCAAACACCTTGAACGCGTTCTTGAGCTCCTCCTCGGCATCGCCAACCTGCACCTTTTGCGCCATCAGGTTGAGAAACTCTGGTGCTTGCGTCAGCATTGTCATCTCCATGTTTGTTTCACGAACACTAAGTGGCTGAGCCAGTGTCAGACAAAGGACAAACACACCATTAAAGTCAATCGTGCCGTTGTTATCGGCATCAACCTCGTTGACCATGTCGTTCAGCTCCGTGTCGCTGGGGTTGAGACCCAGGGACCTCATGACCTCTCCGAGCTCCTGAGCGGTGATGTCACCTGCAGGATTAATGTCAGTTTGCTTTTGACTGGGTCATGGGACGAAAAAAGTGAAGAGAAAGACAATGCGAGATGAGACGGAATGGTCTAAGCCACTCCGTTCCCAATGGGCAAAATCAGGGGTTCGGTCGAGCTAAATCCCCAAATCGTTCAAAAAAGAGGCGTAGTAGATTTGCGCATATGTTATTACTGACCTGTTCCATCCTTGTCCTGTTCGCGGCGTGTTAGCAAAAGTAGCTATTTTGCATCGGAGTTGAGCTGAACCAGGCTGCCGCCAGCCTTGTGGAAAGGGGAAAGGGGAACTGGGAAGTGGGCAGGAGAAACTCACAAAAAGGTCGAAAACCTCCTTGTATTGCGCCCTTTGCTCTTCGGTCAACGCAGCAGCAGCCTGCACATAGTAGTCAGCATCAAATATTTAAGAAGGCGCATCTTGGCCATCTAGGGATATGTTGTCACCATTTTTTATGTTTGATTTTGTAGTGGTGATGAGTTGTTGTGAAGGAAGTTTTGGTGAGTGAGAGGTGGTTTGAGACAGGGAAGACGGCGTGGGACAGCTGAAAGCGGGGATGTGACGACGACCCCGCACGGTGCGATGAGTGCAAACAGCGTCATCAATTCATACGGTTGTCAAAAGTGCGTGGGCGTGGTGGGCTGGCCCTGTGTTTGTTCCAGGTTGCATCAGCATTTCCCTGTTGAGACGACCTTACCGACTAGCCATCATCCAGTCAGCCTCATCACAAATATTGTCCTTGGGCGGCACATGACCCATCTGATGGACCTGTTGTTGGTAAGGCTATGAGGCACAACTGCCGATGCAGCTGACATAATCCCCTCTGGGTCTAGACCACCAGTCATTGAACTCGGATATTGACTAATCGGCTCGTCGTACAAGTCGGGACAACGATAATGCTTTTCTTAAGGGTATCACTACCACTAGAACATTGAGTCTCGTTCTACGTTGATGTTGAGGGAAACACAAGTGTCTCTCGTGGGTTTGGTGTAACTCCTGGTGCGAGAGAAGGAGTTTGAAAGATGTACAGGAAAGGCAACAATAGGCACAGTTTCGAAAGAATTCAATACGAAACCAACAGTCTCGATCTACAACAACCACAACCTATGCATTTCGACTAGAATGACGTCGCAGGGATGACTGCCAACAGAACCAATCATACTCCGGACTGCAGACACCATGGATATATGCCTCCACTGGGATTAAGTATGTTAGCTTAGAGACTTATGGCCCACATACAAAGCAGTTTCAATGCCCGACCGCCCCCGGATCCAGCTTCCGATTCCGACTGTTTTTGTTACACGACTATCATTAATCGCCAGCCGCCAAGCTTGAATTGATGAGCATAACCACACAGACATCTTGTCGTCCTGCAAGAGTTCGAATTCATTACCTTTCAATAAAGGACACAGGAAAACTTGTATATCCATCGCAACCTATGTGTACGCCAAGCGTGCCCTAACTAAAACAATATGCACATTGGTAGTCTCTTGGGCCGACGACACCCCCCTCCCATGGACCCCACCACCAGCATTGTGGTCTCCAACAAAAAAATGGTAAAAAATTTGTTCGACCCCACGCCGAACATTGCAATCGGCTCTGGCATTGTGCTGCAAAAAACTTACGATAGGGACGGTTCCCCGCCATGATAGCGAGTCAGATCAACCGATACGCAGACAAGCCGGGACACCGCAAATTCGAGCTCCGATATTGCGCCGGTCCGGGTGCTTCTTCCAACCACCGCTTCCCCTTTCCTTGCCTCCCCGCTCCCCCATACTCCTTTTTAAGGTATGTCTCTTCCCTTTCATCTGGTGTCGTAAAATAGTATCTTTTTTCCGGATTCTCCCCCCCCCAATCAAGACCGTGATCAACCTCGCAGAGCCTCCACGGGTCCCGCCTCAAATCGTACAGTCCAGAACTGGTATCTGTACCAGGGACCTACCTTCACAGCCACACGGACAGGACACCGGGCCGCAAAACATACAAGATGGCAGACCCCGCTGAGGTCCCTTCTTCCATCCTCATCATTGGCTCCGGCGTCTTCGGCCTGACGACAGCCTACGAGCTCGCCCTCCGCCCCCGCTACGCCTCCACAAAGATTACCCTCCTCGACCGCTCTCCCGTCCCCGGACCCAGTGAAGACGCCGCCAGCGTAGACTCCTCCCGCATCATCCGCTCCGATTACGCCGACCCCGTCTACTCACGACTCGCTGCAAAGGCCCAAATCGAATGGCGCAAGACTGCCAATGCCTCTGACCTTGGAGGCGAGGGCCGGTATCGGCAGTCCGGTATGGTCCTCGTCGCCGACCCCGCCGCATCATCACCGTCAGCCACCCCTGCCGACCCTTCCAAAAAGTCGAGTTTGGAATACGTCCAGCAGAGCTATCACAACGTCATTTCCCTTGTAGGTGAAGACGGCGACAAGATCATTAAGGAACTCCCAACATCCGCCGCCATCCAGGAACATCTTGGTACCCCCAGAGCCCCTGGAACATGGGGCTATCACAACCCCCTCGCCGGCTGGGCTGATGCCGGCGAAGCCATGAAGCACTTCACCGCCCGCCTCCAGGCCCTCAACCGCGTGGAATTCGTCTCCGGCACGGCTGCCCGCCTAAACTACTCCTCCACGTCAGCCGTCACCGGCGCCACCCTCGAAGACGGACGCGTTCTCTCTGCGGACCTCGTCGTCGTCGCCGCTGGCGCATGGACGAGCCGACTCGTCGACCTCGAGGGACAAGTCAGCGCCACAGGCCAGGTAGTAGGCTACATCGACATCACCCCGGAAGAGCTCGCCGTTCTCTCCAAGATGCCAGTGGTCCTTAGCTTCAGCACAGGACTCTTCATGATCCCTCCATCGGGGCTGCAGGTAAAGGTAGCCCGTCACGGCTACGGCTACATCCACCCGGCCTCCGTTCCCCACCCGAACCCTTCATCCTCAGGAGAGAGTGTAGTCTCCCTGCCCGTAACCCACATTACGCATCCGGACTTCAAGCTCCCAGAGGAGGGCGAGGATGCGCTGCGCCAAGCCGTCCGCACCATCGTGCCCATCCCTGCCATTCACGACCGTCCCTTCGTCAAGACACGCTTGTGCTGGTACACCGATACCAAGACCAGCGATTTCATCGTTTGCCACCACCCAAATGTCAAGAACCTCTTCGTCGCAACAGGTGGCAGCGGTCATGGCTTCAAGTTCCTGCCTGTCCTGGGTGAAGAGATTGTCAATGTTCTCGAAGGCAATGGCGACAAGGTGTTCACGGAGAAGTGGAGATGGAGGGGGGTCAAGAGGGACGACAACGCGACAAACGCTTACGAACATATTACGAACGAGGATGGAAGCCGTGGAGGCATTCCCGGAATCATGCTGAACCCCCCGCGGGCTAAACTGTAATTGCCATCATCAGACACGTATATTCCATTGATAACGAAACGTAGATAACGTAAACGTGTAAACATCTTGTAACGTCCCACACCCACTTCTGGGCACCCCCCACATTTGGGCACCCCATTTACACCAAAAACGCCGTTTTTCGAAATTCTATATTAAACTAACTACTATACTTACTAAGAAAAGAAAATATATATAAACTATGTTAAGTATAATTATAGCCATCTAATTTTTTATAAAGGTTTAAATATAATAATAGTTATAATATAGAAGTTTAAAACTAAAAGCTTTAAAATGTTAGTAGATACTAGTAACTTACTAGTATTCCTTAACATTAGAAAAATATATTTTCGCTTATATATACTTATTTAAAAAATCTAGGAAATTAATATTTATACTTATTAAAAGTATATAATTATATCTAAAAGAGATTTAAAAGTATTACTTTAGTAAATATAGTATAATTAAGGGTTAAAATTCTATAATAGAAACTTTTCTTAAGGGAAATTTTAAAATATTATTCTAAGCTTAAAGAATTTTTTACTAAGTATAAGAATATATAAATCTACTATATCTTACTTAAAAATTCTAATCATATTAGTTAAATATCTCTACCTATTTTATATATTAAGATATAGGCTAGGTAAATTAGTATTATAAATGTTAAACCTTGAATTTATAATACTTATTATCAATAATACTAGTATATAGCTACTTAAGTATTATAATTAAGTCTTAATCTATTTAACATATATTTATTCTCTTTAATAAGTAAAGTATTTAGTTTAATATAGAATTTCGAAAAACGGCGTTTTTGGTGTAAATGGGGTGCCCAAATGTGGGGGGTGCCCAGAAGTGGGTGTGGGACGTTACCTATATAAATCAACTTGTTGGAAATCACGTCTCTCACGTCTCACACCCATTACATTGGATATTCAACGACCCATGACTTCGACGAGGCATGTATATGGAAAATGGACATTCATGAAAATCAGGTTTGGCATTCAACTCGAACTAATGCCCACTAATCAACTCGTTACAAACCCTCAGCTAAAGGCAGAGTAAGTATAGAGTGATTAATCTAGCCCACCTGACCCTCGCAGCAAAAAAGCCAGGCAAACCCTTTTCTCGTAACACATTCCAATCCGCTCCCCCCGACCAGCTGTCCAGAAGGTAACGCCGCTACCAAACCAATCCCCACGCTTACTCTCCAGTTCCTTCCCCTTCTCAGACCTTCATGCATCTAAGTCGCTTCCATTAAAGAACGGCAAAGTCGACCTGCGCATCTGCCGTCGACTATGCCACGAGCAATCTATGTAGTGTCGCGGGATGAGAAAAATCTTATTCTTTTCGTCTGAATCAAACCACCCGACTGGATACCTCCAATCCGAGTCCCCTCCTGTGCTAACGCCAATGCAATGCAACGGAAAATCAAATGAGACACAAACAAACGTCAAGGCAACCAGAGTCATGACCAAGGCGTCACCTTGACGTTCGCCTTTTTTTTATGTTGTGCGTAAGAAAAGCAGTCGTGGTATCGTGAAAAAAGGGTGTTGTCTAATCGTACAAGTCGGCAAAATAATTTTGGGTGATGGTAGTACATCGACTAATGTCGATGATCCATCCTTGGCTTCGGTTTTTAAACTTTGCGGAAATCTGTGGCATGTTAATGATTGCAGAGCGATGGTGAGGGGCAAGGAATACGAACCCTGAAGCACAGGATAGATCATCTCGAAGGCTTGGTAGATCTCCTCACGCACTTTGGCACCAGTGAGGACAATCTTTCCACTGACGAAGATAAGGAGCACAATCTTCGGCTTAATCATGCGGTAGATGAGACCAGGGAACAACTCGGGTTCGTAAGAACTGAAGTTGTGATGGCGCGATGCCAGACCTTCAAGACGAATAGGAAACTTGATGTCGCAAGAACCGACAATGTTCTGGATCTTGAAATCGGTGAACTTGGCGTTGAATCCGAGCTTCTGGATGATACGAGCGTACTTGCGCGAGGCAAGCTTCGAATCGTCCTCAGACTTGGCACCAGTAACGACCATCTTACCAGAAGCGAAGATCAGGGCGGTGGTCTTGGGCTCACGAATACGCATGATGACGGCGGCGAAACGCTAGAGAACCAGTTAGAGTGATTGTGACAGCGACGGAAAAGAGGTGACACAACATACCTTTGGGTTGTACTCAGCGTTTCTCGCGTGCAGGGCAATCGTCTTAAGGTCCAAACGGCAATCGAGGTTGACCGTGGCAACGATGTTCCTTAAGCGAGCGATATAAGCGTCATGGATCAGAAGAAGATCACTCATGATATACATACTGCAACGTAGGAGTCAAGCCACTTCCGCCCTGGGTAGCAGCAGGAGTCGCGGCGGGGGTCGCGGGAGTCACCCCGGTACCGTTTGCGCCTTGCTGGCCATTAGCGGCAGGAATCTGGCCATTGGCAGGAGCCTGAACGCCGTTTGCCGTGGGAGGGGGGAGCTCGTGGGCACCGCCGGGGAAAGAGAGAGAACCAGGCGCGGTGAAGGCCTTCGCTTGCGCAGCGCTGGTGGGATGGGTTTGGATCGCCTCCATGATTGCGGTTGCTTGGATATTGACCGTGGATAGGACAGTGAGCAGATCTGAATTTCGAGTCAGTATGACGTTGTATGTGGTGTAGCAAACGCGATTACCCCCAGGTAACGCTTAGGCTTTGGTGTCCCAAAAAGGAGTACGAGAAGGAAAAAAGAGATATTGGAGATGAAAATGAGACGAGGTAAGTTATGTGGCTAGCTGAGTGAGTTGTTGTGGCGGGCAGCAGCCGAAAGTGCCAGAATATTTAAACGATGGGCTATATGGCCCGTGCACAATCATCTTTGCGCATACGGACTTGGGATATGCGTGGATGCGAATGCAGGTGGCAGGAAGGAGATATGGATGAACGGGAAGGAGAGGTAGGACACCTACCAGACGTGGGAGATGAACAAGTGAATGTCTCCCCTACAGCGACTGCTCAGGACAGGTAGAATATGCGCGCAATCTTCTTCTTGCGATGCGACGATTTTGGAATCGGTGCCGGGCTTACAGCAACGGCGGGAAGGGGCGAGTGGAATTAAGTGAGGTAGACCGACGAGAGGGTCGTTGGTTTCGTAGGCGTCGCTTTGAATTTGCCGCGAATGACCCAGATACCACAATCAACTCGACGTCTCGGGATACCTCGTCACGGTTCAAAGTACTATGTCTCTATTCGTCGACGATGCGCACGGATTGTCTACAGAGCGCAGCTACTCGTTCTCGACCTGGTTGTCGTTGAAAGGTATCGCGCGAGGTAACGTAACGAAGGGGTGTCTTTGAAAGGAACGTATTCCAGTCCTTTCTCGTGCAGGGTAGGATGTCCGGGAACACTTTCAGTTAAGAGAGCGATACCACCTGTGCCCTGGCGGGTAGTGACAACTCCGACGTTAGTTGGAGGAGAGGTAGAGAGAGTAGGTAGACCTCGGCGGGTGAGGACTGCGACAGCGATATATGAACTGTCTGCCTGCCTGTCGATGATGGACGGGACTTGTGAAATGCGATGAGGCTGCGATGACGATGACGACGATGCAAGCTCGCGTGTGTTGGTTGAGATTTGGGTTTGGGGGTGATTTGAGTGGGGGTGGAGAAGGAAAATTAGAAAGGCCGAACGTGAGTGGGTGTGACTACGTAAGGCTGTCGGTCGGAGCTTCCGCGCAAGAATTTCGAAACAAGCGGGTTGGAGGGAGGCCTGCCTCTTTATAATTTTGGCCTTCGCCCGCCTGAGCAGTCGCCCCAACGACACTCCCCTGCCACGCAGTCCAGGGGCCCCAGGCAGCCAGTGCGCCGTGGCGGTTGGTCCTGCTTGACATTGCTTGTGCTTAGCGGCCGCGCTAAGGTGGTGCATCCAATCAGGGGCCGCAAAACAACTGATTTTATCTCCTTTGCACCCCCATGTCCCCCCTGTTGTGACCACCCAGCCCCTGAAGTACCGAGGCACCATGTCCCAAGTCTCTGTACTTGGTCACGAATTTTCCTTTTTGCGACAATGCTGCTGGCCAGTGCTCACGGTCTCCTTGCCTCTTCTTGGCTGCTGTGTGAGGACTTGGTGTCACGACTTGGGGCCTGGTGGGCCATGTCATCATCCACCATGACTGCTGCTATCCAGTCTGGTCGTATTTCTTTTTTCTGCCCTGAAGCCTGCTTTGCGCTCACAGCATTTATTTTCTTCTTTCTCTTCCACTTTTTGCGACTCGTCTCGCTTGGTTTGCTGGCACATCCCTGGATTGGGACCATCGGTCATCCCTCGCTCAGAATTTCGTCAGGGTTAACCATCCACACACACTCTCTCTCTCTCATACGCACACATACTCAGACACTTCAACCGCGACCAGCGATTTTCTTTCATTCTCTCATCCTATTCGGATCTGATCCAAAACGAAGCCTCCACTGACACTCTCCGCTTCGCAACTGTTGCGACCATGCCGACTTTTATTGGCCGTAACGGATACTTACTCGCCGCGACCACCACCAAACTCTTCGTCAGGCAATCACCAGCACGACACACCAGCGGAATCGGTTGCGACTATGACGACCGCTGCCTGACTGGCAAGGCCTGGAGGCAAACAACACGGGATCAATAGCGCGTCTTTCGCCCACTTGCTTGCTTCCACCTGCACTGCGATGATTCAATCCAGACCAACCAGAGGAGCCTGCCAATGCCGCCGACAACTGCCCGTGGACCATGTCAGGCCCAGCAAGCTACCTATTGTCTATTGATTGCATGTGCTGCTCCTCCTACTGGATGGACCAACCAACAAATCCCACAGCAATGCTACCACCTACGCTACCCAACTGGATACCACCACCGCCAACGCTACCCACGGCCTGTCAACCCATTCCGCTCGGTTCTGCCCCCTTCTGTTCAGCTCCAGCACTCCCTCAAGGCCATCAGCGCCGCGCGTCAAAGTCCCTTTGGCAGCTGCCTGCACCACACAGAACGGCTCCAGCCTTTTGGGTGGAGGAGGTCTGGGTTGTTTTTGACTGGCTCTCCTTTTCCCACGACCCCTTTCCGCTCCTCCCCCTCCCCCCTTTTTTCTTTGATTTTGCATCCTCCCAGCAACCGAAGATTTCTTTCCCTTTTCCCAACCCTCCTCCCCTCCCACTCCAACCACACGCTAGCAGTTTGAAACGCTAAGCCTGCTCCCTACTCTTGATGCCTCATTGACGATCAGCACCGACATGGCCTGTCAGTGCTGAGCAGCAAGCAGCGGCAACAGAAGCGGCACCCGCAGCGACCGGGCTCGCCGTCAAATATGTCAGAAAGGTCACCAGACCACGTTGTCGGCACTATGCCCGGACGTGATGACACGAAGACGCGAAACAGTCAAAGAACCACAGCTACTACGGCAAACGAAACTACGAGAGGAACGCGAAAACGGCACCCTTTGATGGCGCTTGCACTGCTTTCGGGCATCGGCTGTCCTGTAGCAGGAATTTAATGGGCCACGACAGCAACAGACGGCTTCCGACGTGTGAGTCATTGACTCTAGACCGGTTTTAATCGGCCAGTGCCAGCAATGGCAGGGGGACGTGAAAAAGCATTGAAAAGGCTGGGCTGGGCGTGTCTGGGTCGCCTCCCAGTGCTAACAATGCTAGCCCCCCCATGTCGTAAGATTTTCGCGTATTTGGTACGCGAGCCTCGCCACACCGCGGTTCATCAGTCCTGAGAAAACTCTGTCTACACCCACCCGCACCACCCATTACACTCCGATAAATGCCCGGTAAGTCCGACGACAGAAAACCATCGTGATGCTATTCTTCTCGGGCATCATCTTTCCTGTTTGTAAGCCTCTAAATGTGTGGCGTTCTGGCGTTGCTTCACCGTCGTGACATAGATGGGCACTTGCAGGAATTTTTGCAGATGCAAATTTGACCGTAATCTTACGGCCAGGTATCGGGTACTAGGGCTTCACGAGATTGGAGATGTGGCCCGTGCACGACCAAGTATCCTCTGATCCACCATTTAGTCAAGGTACTTCCCCAGACCATCAGCTTTGCCCTGCGCGACTCATGCCTAGCCCAAAGCCAAGCCATAAGTTTTTTCATCCTCTGGCAGCCGAGTGTGCTGAGCAACGAGAGTTCCAGTATTTGGGAGGCCGCATCTCGGCCTCGCGGGACCTGGGAAAGCTCCATCTGCACTGCGACTCATGCAACTTCAAACAGCATTCGCCCGATAGCCTCGTCGCGCCCACCCTCTCACCATATTAACTCCAGTGTCGCATCAATCCACATGCTCAGTCGATTTTTTTTTTATCCCTTTTGTCCCTCCCTCCTCGTCCTCCTTCTTGTAGTTCCATATCGTCGCCCTAAACTTTACGGCCCACCGCCAGTACACTAGATGTAGATGGGGTTTCGGGCAGCAGTCCCATCATAGACTCGGAAATCCTCAAGAAGCTTGTGCGAGTCGCCCAATCATCAGTGTTTATTGACGAATGGGAGCTTCCAGTTTAGACTGCCGTGTCAGTCAGTCTTACTCTCCGAGAAGTTGCCGATGTGTTCATTCCAGCCTTGTCAACCGCATGAAGTCCAAACCCGACTCGTGTCTCGACTAGCATTCTTTTCTTGTCTCCCATGTCCGTCCCTCATCCCCAGGTCATGGTTGTCACCACCCTCCCAATTAGGGAACTATGAGGCAAAAAGTGGACTTTGCTTTCCCAAGGCCACCTTTTCCAGCACCTCCTTCTCTTGTCACAAGCCTGGCGTGGCGCGGGTTAAAGTCCGGGCCCCTTGACACAGAAGGCCATCTTCCAGAAGGCTTCTTCATGCATTCACACAAACCCCATTCGTCCGATATGCTTTGACCAGGTTGGAAGTTTTTTTAAAAAAAAAAAAAAAATTTACACACAAAACAGTGTCGTCATTTCCTAAGTTTTTAACGTAAGGATACCGCTTCCTACGTGTATGACAACCAACACCTTGGACCCCTGTACACCTTTCCTGTCCATAAAAAAAAAAAAAACAGTAAACCAGCCAAGCAACCTAGCGCCTCCAATGTCATCGTTTTTTGGCTTTTCCGTTACCGCGCCACTCACGTGATCTATCCAAAAATGAAGCATGGATGAGGACGTCGGGCTTTCGAGCGATCCAATCATCTACCCCCCCTCCCTTCTAGTGTTCTCGGTTTGGGTTGTCTGAGCATGGGCCGCCTTGACTCTGCAAATAGAGATGACAGGTTATTCCGTTTACACTAAGCTCGCGCCAATAACGAATGTCTTCATGACATGTAGTACTTTGGACCCTCGCCTCCCTGTGGGACCTGCCAGTTGATATCCTGGTGTGGCGCCTTGATGTCGCACGTCTTGCAGTGAATGCAACTAGAAGAGGGAAAACAGAGTCAGCCAAACCATCCATTATCTTTTACCGCCCCCACGATTCATTGCAGTGACGGTGTGTGGGGCTATCAGGGACAAAAACTCACTTCTGCGCGTTGATCTGGAACCTCACGCCAAGCTCCTTGGTATCGTCCTCGACGTACTCGTACACTCCCGCGGGGCAGAACCTGTTCTCGAGGCCCTTGAACGCGGGCCATGTCTCGCGCGTGTGCTTTTCCCAATCCTTGACTTGCAGGTGCACCGGTTGGTCCTCCTCGTGGTTCGTGCCCGTGCGGCTCACGCTCGTCAAAATGTCGAAGCTGATCTTGCCGTCGGGCTTCTCGTACTCAATCTTTTGGAACTTATCCGCCGGCTTCGTTGCCGCGTGATCCGGCGTTTTGTGCTTCAGCGTCCAGGGCACTCTGCCCTTGAGGATGTAGGCCTCGAGGCCAGAGTACATAATACCGCCGTAAAGGCCGAGCGGGGTGTGGAAAGAGGGTCGGAAGTTGCGCACCTCCTTGAGTTCCTTCCAGATGGACGAGTTGCGTAGCTTGTCCTCGTAATCATACAGGAAAACAGTACCTTCGCCCTCGCCCCCCTCGGTCGTTGAGAGTGCGTCAAAGGCAGCCTCGGCCGCCAGCATGCCCGACTTCATAGCATTGTGCGTGCCCTTGATCTTGGGCAGGTTGACAAAGCCCGCCGAGTCGCCGATAAGAGCACCGCCTGGGAACGCGCATTTTGGTATCGACTGGAAGCCACCTTCGATAAGAGCGCGGGCGCCGTAGGTAAGGCACTTTCCGCCCTCGAGCACCTCTTTGTACATGGGGTGATGTTTCATCTTCTGGAATTCACCGTAGGGCGAGACCCAAGGGTTCTCGTAGTCCAGCGCGACGACGAGTCCAATGCTGACGAGGTTGTCGCCAAAATGGTACATCCACCCGCCACCGTAGGTGTCCTTGGACAGCGGGTAGCCCATCGAGTGCGTTATGGAGCCTTTGTTAAACTTTTCGGGCTGCACCTCCCACACCTCCTTGATGCCGAGCGCGTACGTCTGGTGCTGGCTGTCACGACGCAGATCAAACTTCTTAATAACCTGCTTGCTCAAACTGCCATGGCAACCCTCGGCGAAGAGAGTGCAGCGCGCATGAAACTCCATACCACGTTCAAACGTCTCCTTGGGCTTTCCATCGCGGCCAATGCCCAGGTCGTTTGTCGCGACACCCTTGACGCTACCATCAACGTTGTACAGGACCTCAGATGCTGCGAAACCGGGGTACACCTCCACGCCCAGCTCCTCCGCGCGGTCGCCCAGCCACTTTGTAAACTGATTCAGCGAAACAATATAGTTGCCGTCGTTGTGCATCTGTGGCGGAGTCGGGAGCGGGATGGCGCTCGACTTGGTAAGGAAGCGCATTCGGTCACCGCCGGCGGGGGTCGCATACTCGAAGCGGTCCGGGTTGTCCTCAGAAAGCCAGTCGGGGATTAGCTCGTTGATGGCAGTGGGCTGGATGACGGCGCCTGAAAGAACGTGGGCACCCATCTCGCCAGCTTTCTCCAGGAGAAGAACGCGGAAGTCTTCATTGCCGGCCTCGTTGGCCAGTTGCTTCAGACGGATCGCGGCGCTGAGTCCGGCGGGACCTGTCAAAATCACATCGTTAGTTATAGTCTTGGTAATGGAGGTATTACAATTTCGTACCGCCACCCACAATACAGACATCAACCTGGTCTGATTCACGCTCAAGGCTCGCAGGGTCAAAATCTTCCTCCTCATCGCTACGGCGTGTCCGGGTCGTCGTGAATGTCCGCGCACCCAACGGCCTGAAGACTGTAATGGCGGAGCCCCGCACTGAGGGTAACCGGCTCGCGTGCCTCGGGGTTGTGCTAGTGGTGGTGGCGAGGCTTGCTTGGGCGGGGAGTGTAATGCGGTATCGACATCTTGAGAGGTTACGCGTACTGCGCTGCAGACTCCTCGTGAGTGGAGTGGCGGTGCTCATCTTGGGCGAGTGTAGGTGTGTGTGTGAAATCGAGCTCCAACGCGCTCCCTAATGACGGAACTATAGGTAGTTCTTACGATCGTAGAATGCTCGTAGAATGATTGTAGAGCTGGACAATAAGTTACTCTTGGGAGCTCAGATGCAGTTCGGCTATTTGGTTAGTCACAAAAGCTTGACCGCGGACGTAGTCCAATTCGTCCGTGTCGTCAATGTCGCCGGATCCGTCTACGACTTTCAGAACGTCTTAGGTAGGCGAAGCTAGCAGGGTACTTCGAGCGCTGGCGCAGTTTGTCTTTAACGTGGTACCTCGGTAGGCCAATGGCGCTATGAACTGTCAATTGACGCAATAGTAGATGTAGTTTGAAAGTCGCGGGACCTGGGGTCTTTTCAGGCAGGCGGCAGGCACTTAAGAAAAAACCGGACTGTCGACTGGGGGTTTTCTGAACGACCTTCCTCTACGTAATTGAGGGGGAGAATTATCCTGGTGTGGTTCAATGACACTCAATCCCCAAGCTCGGGCCCTGGTTTCCGGTTGCTGGTGATAGCCGAGAGAAACCGGTCTTGCAGATTCGGGACTCAAACGATACTTCCGTGATGCAGCGAAAAAATGGCCCAAACAAGGTAGACGTCAAGTAAATCCTGCAAGGCGGTTTGGCATCTGACAAGTACCTGCGTACCAGAATACCGTGGACCGGGAGAAGCCGAGTTACTTTGGCCATTAACCGCCTGCAGCAAAACGAGCTTAGTCTTTGGACTCGGGACCACATTTATCCAATCATAGAGCTCAAATTTGAAATACCAGCTGGGTTCCTCCGATGTCGTTTCGGCTGCAGGGGCTGTACTGCCGTCGGCGTACCGTCGCCTTTGACCGAAATCCCACGTTTGCAGCTACAGAAAAGGGAGGACAGATTCGGCGGAATTGTCTTTTTCTGCCGGTTTTTTTTGCGGATTTTATTGCAGGCGAGCCGTCTCGAGGGCTATCACAGTGCAGCTAGGATTAATATACGTTTAATTAGCCCTGCTCAACTCTGGGTGCGAGTCGCAGCCACTGTCTTCGGTGTCGCTGGATAACTAGGCGGCACGTCTTCTTCCCTAGTACCCCAATCACTCTCTTTCGTCCCGACCGTCAACTCCAACACCCCGCCATGGTAGAAAAATTCGTGTGATATCCAGTTTTTGGTGTACGGTTTCCCGTTCAGCGTTGCGCTCTGGATGTATATGCCATCCGCCAGTTCCGCTTTGTCATTGGCGATCTTTCGGATAACAGCGGGCTTGGCCCCCCTTGACTTAAGCCGGACCTCAGGAAAGAACGGCGGGATAAGAAGGTAAACATCCTGTCCGGCGACAGGGAAGAACCCCATCATGGCCAATCCGCTGAAAGCACCCATCGCGCAGTCATCATTGCCTGGGATGCCATTGATGCTGGCGTTGAATTGTGAGGGGATGTAGCTCCGTGCGGTACGGGAGCTAAGACCGGGCCGTCCAGCGTAGTGGAACTGAAAAACGGTAAGGAAGCCCTGTTCATTTCCCATGTAAACAATGTTACCTCCATGGTAATATTCGAGTCTGTCAACGAAAGCATCCCGCCCACCCATGAGTTTAATCAATGTCGACATATCCTGGGGCGCAAAGAACGAGTACAACCAGGGTGAGCCTTCGTATGTTGCCTGCCAAGTGTCAAAATAGCAGAGATGCTGCTCTGTGTTGGGTGAACAGATGCGCGTGTTCTGATATTCGAACGAGCCATTTATCAGCCTTGGCATCAGGAATCCCTTATACTTTGTAGTCCCTGTCTCTTTCTTTTGCGTATCTTGGACAATGTCTGGCTGATCCGGATTCCAGAGATTTTGCCAGTTGGCGCTACGCTGCATATACTTGGTGTGATCCCCATTGTGGCCAAGTCCACGCGCCATCTCGGCGATGCAAAAGTCGTCATAGGCGTATTCGACTGTTCGAGAGATGGAACGACTGTTTGGCCCGCTTGAAATGCTGTCTATGTGATCCTTGGCGATATAACCCAAGCCGAACCAGCTTTCAAGGTTGCCTCGGCCTTCAACGCCGAAATGCTGTGGTGCCACTAAAAGAACAAAAACAGGCGATCAGAAAGGTACTCTTCATCAAAGGGACGGCTACGCACCTTCCGCATCGGATACTACTGCTTCATATGCGGTCTTCCAGTCTACGCCATTGCTTATATTCTTGAGGTAAGCATCCGCAATGACAATGTCGGCATTTGAGCCGCCTTGAGTAAAACCCTTGCAGAAGGACATTCTGCAATCTGGGAGCTTCCCAACAAATCTGTAAATATCCAGAAGTGCCCTGACCATTTGCGTCTGCGCCTCCGGATCAACAATGGTCAGTAACGGATGTTGGGCACGGAAAGAGTCCCAGATGCAGTAGAACGAGTCGAAGTACGGCTCCGATGACTGCCACAAGGGGTTTTCTCCTGTGTAATTTTGCGGCGACAGCAGACTCCTGTACAGCCCAGACCAGAAGGTGACCTGCATGTCCTTGCTGACACCCGTAGAGTCTACTTGAATTGCCGAGAGCTTTTCTGCCCAGATGGACTCGGCGGTCTTCACAGTACCTTCAAAATCGAATGTAGGGATCTCGGTCTCGGCATTGTGGCACGCCTTCTCGACAGATACAAACGATAGTCCAACACGAGCGAGGATCTGATTGTTTTTAGGGCGTTCAAAGTGCAGCCACGCACCGGCCGCGCCTGTAGGGTTATGTATACCTCGGGTAAACTCTGAGAGGTGCTTTACACTGTCATGAGGGTTCTCACCCTCGAAGACACCTGATTTCCTGATGGTGGCGCCTCGAAAATCAGCGCAGAAAAAGGCCGAGTAGCTGCCCTGTCCAAAGGAAGGTCGAAAGGTGCCATCGCCGATGATACGGCCGGACTCATAGACCTGTATACCACCGCTAGACCTGCTCTGAGCAATATCCGTCAGGTCGATAAGAATGAGAGGGTTGCTCACAGCGTTGATGGTCCCTTTGTTAGCCACATCCTCATATGAGACTGTTTCATTCGGCGAGAAAGTGAAGCGGTAGAGAGTGGTTCGCTCGCCCGCCGTCATCTCCGCACGGACGGTGTTGGAAAGTTCGACAGCAAAATAGCCTGGGCTAGCCAAGACGGATTCATTGACACGATACAGACTTCTTTGGTCGGTGGTGTACTTGCACATGGCAAAGTCATCGTTGGAGCAACCGGGATGAACGAAAAGTGGAAAGTTACCAAGCGACGGTGACTAGAGCGAGAGAGAGTTAGATACTTTCACGTGTGCAGGAACGGCCTCACATCTTACACCTCCAGTTCCTACATAATCGGTTAGCCGGGCGGTAGTTCAGCAGCAGGAGGAGTCTGCTAACTTGCCTGAATCATGCAGATGGGAGAAGCCGGTGATCTTGGAACTGTCAGAGACCCAGCCCGCAGCGTTCTCGGCACGGGAGTCTGTATCGGCGCAGGCCTTGGCCATGCCTGAATGAAACTGTCAATGACCTAATACGCATAGTCTAGTGAGTGAGTGTAGCGGACCGTATGGTAGCGTTGCCCCGGGGAAAACATGTCCTCCGTTGACAGTCCCAATCAAAGGGTCTATAAGTTTAAGGATGTCATGTTTAGCTTGAATGTTCGGCGTTGAAAAGAATAGAGAAGCTAATCCACCGCCGCCCGAGAAAGGATTCCAAAATATCAAGAAGACGACGAAAACAGCGAAGGCGACAAGACGAACAGGCCTGGAAAGACCGATCGCAGGTATGAGGACACCCATGATGGATGGTGCGCAACACTTGCCATTTAACAACGTCTCGCAGCTACAAGTCCAGCCTCAATATCGAGCAATGAAGGGGTCAATTGAATGTGCAGCCCCTTAAACCGACACGAGGCTTGAGGAACCACTGGTGCTGCCGCTTCCGCAAATCGAGGTTTTTGTGCCTCCTTCCTTAGTCAAGTGTTTGTTTCCTGGGGCGCTGTCAATATGTTTGATCAAGAAATCTGTCTCGGATCGGGTATCGCAGACATACCAACTGCCTCGTCATCTACTTGAAGCCAAACAGCAACGTGGACCAAATCACGAGAAAGAAGAACCTGCGTATGGAAAGACGAACTTCGTCGCCGTGTTGAGGTAGTAAGGCCAAATGTGTGCCTCAACGCAATTGGTTGATGTTTTCTTTCGTACCAGGGTTGTGATGAACCGTCCTGGAATGTTCAGATTCGGCCGAATGTTAGTTAGTTCGCCGTGTCTCGTTCTGAGCTCCGCCGCAACAGTCTTGGGTAAACAACCCTTCCGGTAGGTGGAGTGGTGAAGTTTAGGGCCGGTTAGGTTCAAGTATCAGCATAGGGTGGAATGGCGAAGAAAGGCAATAGGCCACATTTACAGAATTATATAGGCAGGTAGTCCCTGTCAAAGGTTTGTGCTCCAGCAGCACCACGGGGCGGAATGGGAAGGAGAAGGGGAGAAGGGGGTTCAAGGGTCGGTCTAGTTTGTCGCCTCGCTGTTGGAGCCACCCATCCTAAATTGGCAGCCACCACCTCAATGGCATTTTGGGGGGGACTCATTGGACCATAAGGATAAGATTCCTTAGACTGACGGAGAAATTAGCTTTCAAACCGCCGAGTGTGCAGGCTATGCACCTAATCGGGCCCCGGAGGACGTAGGTTTATTTAACTTCTGTTCTTGGTGCGGTTAAAATGCCATGTGGCTGCCTCAATCTGAGAAGATCCTGTGGCAGATTGAAGCAATGCTATACACCAATACAGGTCCGGTAGTCGCCTGAAGTACTCCCACGGCGTTGTAATTAACCTGTGGCGGAAACTACTGGCTGTCGCTACCCTGTCATGGATAAGGTTAAATGTTAGTGCAACTTATGCTAAACTGTTGATTACCCCTAACATCTACCTAAAGTAATTCATTCCCCTTCACACCTCGGAACTGGTTTTTTTTTTTTCTTTTTTTTCGTTTTTTTGCTTGTTATTGTTTTTAATGCTTTCTAGTTGTATTCTCTACTTAAATAGAGGGCCGAATTTTTCCCACATACTAACGCTTCCAGCCACGAACATGGTCCGAGAGCTTGTAGCAGTAATGTCTAACAATCGCCAAGGTCTTACCTCTTCTTTTGCAATATCAGTTCCTTGAGCTCGAATGCATAGATCATTCCGTCTCTGTGCAAGTTTCCGGTAGGCAGTCCAAGCGGACTTGCTTCGCGAAATGCGAAACGCACGACATGCCATTTATGCACCCGCATCGGAGGAAAGCAGCGACGCCAACGAATCTGGTCAAGGGCCAACATGTTTAACGGCTATTGTAATACAATAGCAATATCATCCCGGCTTCTAGAACAACTATCCAGAAGTCTCTGTTCTTTCACTCCTTTTCTAAGCAAACTTTCGTCACAACAAGCGGCCGACACGCAGTGGAACTTCCCCACCCATCCCAATCGCTGCATGCCTCATTGGAGAAACACCAAATCAATGCACCGAGCCTAGTGGCTGCCTTCACCGTTTCCTAGCATGAGAGATCCAGCTGCATAACGGCAGAGAACCCTGCTCAGATCCTCTTCAACTGCCTTAGGTAGGCCTCTCTCATTACTCATGACAACCAACTTGTCCCCCGCCGACGGGAAACCCGATCGGGCAGAACCCAGTCCCGCCCAGCCTGTCAAGCGGCTCAGGGTCCTCTCACGTTTGAGAGTAGACTGTTGTCTTGTTATGAAGCCCGTGGGAAACGCTACGTTCCAACATCCACCTCCTGGTCTAAGCTCCAGACCTTATGCCTGCCGCTTTAAAGCTTTGTAATGCTTAAAAAGTCGTGGGAACCCACGACTTCAGCATTATGGCTTCTGGCTGCTCCTCTTGTCTTGTCCCTGCCTCCTCTTCTTGGTCTCCTCATCACGTTCTCACTCCCCCACTTCGGTGCGTACGGTCTGGTGGGCACTAACAAGCAGAACGACATCATAATCGCCTGCAATACTACAGCACAACTGTCACCATACAACGTTTCCTTTCCCCGCGCCTTGGTCGGCCCGCCCATTATCCAACGTCACGCGAGCCACCGCTGATCTCGAGCAGAACATGCTTGCCCGGCACCTAGCTATTCGCCGGCCTTCATAACCATGCCCTGCCCGCTGAGGGGCAGGTATCGCGACGTCCTGCGATCCTGATCGCACCTCGTTGAAAACCCTCTCAACTGGAGTGAAATAGACAGAAACCGCCGCTCAGAGTTATGGCTCCTTTCTTCGGTCTACTGCTCTTTGCCGGCCTGGTAAATGCAGCTCTCAGATCTAACTGTCCTCATTACACCGACTACGCGGCAACCCCCCACGAACCTTTTTCTGAAGGTGTTCACCAGCTCTCGTACCAGCGCCCGCCACTAGAATGCCGCACCGCCAGCTTCCCGGAGGTCGAAAAGACCATTACTGAGATGAAGGCTCTAATCAAAGACCCCGATCTCTCCCGCCTCTTCGAGAACACCTTCCCCAACACCCTCGATACTACCATCGCCTGGCAAGGCCATGCCAACTCGGACTCGGACGAAGAACTCAGTTTCGTTATCACGGGCGACATTAACGCCATGTGGCTCCGTGACTCCAGCAACCAACTTCAAAGCTACCGCAGCCTCCTGACCCGCAACTCATCTGCAAACTCCCTTGCCTCGCTCTACCGCGGCCTTATCAACCTTCAGGCTCGCTACGTCCGCTTCGCCCCGCACTGCAACGCCTTCCAGCCGCCCGAGGAGTCAGAAATCCAGCCCACGCCCAACGAGGCCGGCGGCAGCGATCACATCTTCCCCGCCTATCCAACTTACTCCTTCTTCGAGTGTAAGTACGAGCTTGACAGTCTCGCCGCCTTCCTGCAGGTCTCGCACGACTACCACGTCGCCACTGCCGACAAGGATTTCTTCGCACGGCACCAGTGGTCAAAGGCCATCGCCGTGCTGCTCAACACCACTGACGCTCTGATGATGGGGACCTACGCCGCAGACGGCACACTTAATCCTTCCCCCGCGCTGTTCGAGCGTCGGACGACGTCGGCCTCTGAAACACTCTCTAATAAGGGCAATGGCGCCCCGACGCAAGGCGGCACCGGCATGATCCGCAGCTTCTTTCGCCCCAGTGATGACAGCTGCATCTACCAGCTCTTTGTGCCGGCCAACATGATGTTCTCGCGCTATCTCAACTCGTGTGCTGAGATCATGGACGGAATCGATCAGGATCTTGCCGAGAGGATGCGGGACTCTGCGGCCCGTGTCCAAGACGGCATTGAGGCGTACGGAAAAACAGACCACCCTAAGTTCGGCAAGATATATTCATACGAGGTTGACGGGTTTGGAAGTCATAATGTCATGGACGATGCCAATATTCCTTCTCTCCTTTCGGCCCCACACTACGGGTATCTCTCTGCTCAGGATCCCGTCTATCAAAACACTCGCAAATTCATCCTTTCCACCTCGAACCCCTACCAAATGCGCGGGCCAACATTGACCGCCACCGGAGGGCCGCATATCGGGCCTGGTATGGCGTGGCCTATGGCTTTAATCGCGCAGCTCCTGACTTCCGACGACGATGAAGAAATTTACAATGGGCTTAAGCAGCTTGTTAGCTCCACGAACAAGTTGGGTCTTATTCACGAATCAGTCAACAGTCACGACGCCACGAAGTGGACTAGGTCATGGCAAGTTCGCGTCCTCTCGATGTCAGCTATAGCGGCAAATGTGCTAACGAGTATGATTGTAGGTTTGCATGGGCCAACGGTCTCTTCGGACAGATGATGCTGGACATTCGCGATAGAAAACCGCATCTTCTTGAGAAGAGCTACCAGTAAGAAGCAGTACTCTGACAGGATCTAGATGGTATTATTGAACAAGGCGGAGGATTGCTTTCGTGAGAACTGATTGCGTTGATGACGTACAAATCTGACACAGGGCTTTCCTAGACAATCCTGAGGAAATGTCGTATATACCTACTGGATATAGACCGATCACACAATCAAGTCATCGACGGCCAGAAACCGGCAGTACTCTAGCTCATGGTCTCCAACGTACACAATCTCTCGCGTGTGACCCCTTGTGAGGACATGATTCAAGCTAGGTCTCCGAAAACCACTGTAAGGGCAACTAGTACATTCAATAATACATTCATATTCCGATACCTCTATCTTTTACGTCATAACATCATGAATAGTCTAGATAGAGGGCCACGCCTTAACTGAGATCGAACCCAGCTCCCGAAGAGACAGCGTAGAGCAGTTTCTTCCTGAGTGTTTCCTCATCCTTGTATCGCGGCAGTTTGAGCAGATTGACGCAAGTACTCGTGCTCGGCAGCCTCTCCTGATCCTCGCCGCCATCGCGGATACTAAACCGCGGGCTCAACTGCGAGAAGCCCAAAAGCGGTGCCCGTGGTGTACTGGTCACGTACTTGAGTACGTCTCGACGCTCTCTGTCAGAGAATCCTGCCATCACTTTCCAGAACAGCTGTACTGTAGGGTGCTCCAAGCCGTCGTCTCCGACCTCATACAGCCCCGAGTAAATGGTGTTCCGACGCAGATCGTCAACATCAATCTCGGAGCTGTCACCGCCCACAAGACGTTGTAACTCGTTCTGGTTAAACATCGATAGCCAAGAGGGTGCAATGATGGAGCGCAGTCCACGGAGGAAGGCGGCGGTCTGTTGAGCGGGCTGAGCAACGAGACGATGGCGGGCTACATAGGATATGTAAAGAAGTCGGTTGTCATTGGTGACGGTGACATTCTCTCCATTAGGAATCAAATTCCTCGTAACGGTACGCACAGGCTCCCCCGGTAATGAGATTTGATCAGTGATGGTAAAATCGAGCGACAGATCCGCCACATCCCCCGTGAAGTTCTTCAAACGTAGCATGCCCTGATAGAGCTCTTCATCAAGGTCCCTCAGATCGTTGACGTTGCCACGGTAGCTGTTTTCTCCTGTTTGACCAGAAATCCACTTCAATAGGAAAAACCCAGCAAATGCAATGTCTATGAGGATGCCCTCGTACATGCATTTGCCCACGATGCGGCCGAGGAACTCAAACTGGCGGAGCAGGTCCTGCACTTGGTCTTGCCATTCTGCAGTGTATTCGGGAACGCCAGCTCGTCTCAAAGCTTCTTTAAGTTCGTCCATGGCTGTCGGGTTTGGGTATAGGAGGCCTTGATTATTGGCCGTAAATAGTGAGATGCCGTCCATCTGCCCAAAGGCTTCTGTTGTAACACTTGTGAGAAACTCTTTCGTTACTCCACCTCCATCGATACCTGCCTCAACTGTGTCAAACTGGTCGACAAACTGGATCTGTATTGGTTCTTTGAGGCCTTCTCCTAGCTCGTAGAACTGCTCAAAGGCATCCTGGAACACCTGGCCTCGTCTGATCTTGCCGTGATGACGCCCCGCAGGGCCCCTACCCGGGGATCTTAGGGGATTATGCAGCATTGTCATTCTCCACTGGTCAGGGTCCATGCCATCCCTGCGTTTGTGCTTGTCAAGATAGACAAACTGACGAAATATCTGAACGCGGGTATCGAAAGGGATGACAAAGGGCATGTGTCTCAGTATTTCCAACTTCGGACCAATGACGGCCAGAAGACGATCCCTCTGTACCTTTCGCTGTTGAGCTCGAAGTTTCTCAATTTGAGCGTGTCGTGACACTCGTTGTCCAGCTATGGTGTGAATAAAGCTGCCACCGATGTTCGCATCTTCATCGATATCATCATCTTCGCCGTCGCTCGAATCAGACATCTCATTCTGTTGCCGTTCTTGTTCAGCGACAACAGCGCTGACAAAGCCTTCCATATCAAATTTAGATGTCATCAGCCAGTGATCCGGAGGCAAGAACGGTCGCCTCGAGTCTCGCTCGTACAGCAGTCGCAATGCTGTAGTGACAATACTCCGCAGGCTGCTCAGATCAAGCCTTGTGTCCGACGAGCTGGCCTTCGTGTTGTGCGTCTTTGCGTCCTTCAGCGTCTTTGTAGCGCTAGTTCCGAAGTACGACTCGAGCTGACTCATTGATATCGGCTCAGAGTTCTGGATGCCCTGCTGGATATCCTGAGCGTTGTAGTGCAATGTAAATGCCAGATGCTTTAGAACAATTGTGAGCTTTTCCACCTCCCGGAGGGAAAGCCCACATGATCGGAGACGAGATGGTTGTTCGCTACTTTTCAGAAGTCCAGGAAAGATACTGCTGAAGAAGTCCTCATCGTCACTCAAGCGGAGGATGAATATGTATAACTCGAGGAACAGTAACACTAATCTCCATTCCTGTTCTTTCGATGCGTTTGCTGACTTGGACTTTGAAAGATAGTCTCGCAGCAAGCCTATGACAGCCGTTGAGTCCTGCAGAATATGTCTGTAAATGCTAGTCTGGCTCATCGCCTGCCAGAGAAAAATGATGGTAGGTAAACTGCCTGAGCTGGAAGAAACATCCCCTAAAAATAGCCGCATGCGAATCTCATCGCCGTGGTTAGGGAAGCATCGGAGGAGAGTAAGTATGTATCCTGACAACAGACTTGCAGTCTCGAACTCTTCATTAGTAGATTGAGATCCAAAATTACTGTCTTTAGTTAGCTAAACTCGGGTGAAGAAGCAATGGGTTCACAAACGTAGTCAGTTCAGCCAGCAGAATTGAGATGCCGTCTTTGTCCACCAACGATGTAAGGCGTTGATGAACATACACAGGTAATGGCCGGATCAGTTGCTCCTCGATGCCGCTTGATTCCGTGTTTGAGATAGAATCTGGTGATTTTACGGATAGCCTTAAGCTAATATCTGTGGATAGGCTTGAGAGTTGCAGGTGTAACGCTTCCAAGTGCATTAGTCCCTGCAATTTGGCGCCAGTCTCCTGGTATAGGCCAATAAAATGTGCTAGAAGCCAAATCTGATTATCTCGACTAACACCATTTATGTGTCCCTCACGGTACGCTTTTGTAATTGCCGATGCGAGGTAGGTGGAGTCGAGGCTGCGGGAGAAGACTTGAGGATGCTTTTCGACGAGGTGCACATCACGCCGTGCTAGGAATGACAGAGAAAAGGCCTCATATGCTGCCAAGCTATAAGTTTCTGCTTGGCTATTAGTAGAGTGGCACATGTAAGACTGAGGCTCATTAGGTATACCGTTCACGGAAGTGGCTCCTAGCGGAACAAGGACAGCTTTGGAAGCAACCTCCAGAACTGCATCATCAACACCAGATGCACTACTTATCTCTGCGAGGACAGTATAGTATTGCCGGAACGATTTGTAGAGCGACTCGGGTGCGGTACCGACAATCTGAGTAAGGAGGATGAGGAGGAGTTGGGTGTCGTCTGGATGAAGACTGCAGGAGTTGTTAGTTGGGGCGTAGACGGGACGCGGCTGGTCTATCATTATGGAAGCTGCCGTCAGAGTCGTAGGGACTTACTTGTTCGAAATCTGAATTTCCAAGGCTTCTACCAGTATGCGGACGAACCGTGCTAGTCTAGAAGGAGGAAGTCGATCGGAGGCAAGACATTCAAAGCTAGTCGTACTCAGCTCTCGGGAGAACAGGATGAGCCGTTGTAAATCGTCGGTGTGAGTGGACTGAAAGGTTGTCAACAGCAGTGGCAAAGCCGTTGATAGTCTTTGCTGTGTACCCAAGTCGGATCTTGACGAGTAAAGAGCATCAAATGCCTCTCGACGGAAGTCTCGAAGTCGCCTCCTGGCACGATGGCCCCTCCATGTCTTCTGTATCTTGCCCGCCGCTTTCAGTTTCTCACGATCTTGTTGCCTCTGAGCTCGTTCAGCCTGTGCGTTAGAAACTGTCTTGGAGGCGCCGGATCCTGCGGATGGAGTCCATGATGTGGCGGCGAAGGGGTTGAGATTCTGGCCGCTGAGATTCACGTTCCGAGGGCGTCGAGAGTTTCCTGTAAAGGTGGGAAACATATTTCCGCGAAGGAACGCAAGTCGTATGAATGTTGTTGCAGTTGATGGTGCTATTTCATATCCTGGACCAATATCGTAGGGCCAACAGAGTGTAAAATGATTTCGAGGTTAGGGGATGTCGCGACGCGGATGTCTTCCAGAAGCTTCAGGTTCGGATGGGTGTATGTAATCGAAGTCCAGAATCGGCGATAACGCGGGACAGCACTAACGGTGACGGTGCTGGAGGGGAAATGCCGTAATTCACAGGCTTGGACACTGGTTGGTGGGGTCTGAGGTAAGCTGGACGCTGGACCTGGCCCAGGTTTGTGGAAGGTTCCGACGCACGGGACAAGCACTAGCCCCATTGCTGGGGAAGGTACCAGTGCTGATAAGGAAATGGGTCTTTGATAAGACACCATGGAGAAAGGGCAATAAACATCAGGGGCACACAAGAATTAGTTTGAGAACTAAGGCTATGGCAGTTGGATGAATGATAGCGATGATGGCCATTGGCTTTGGCCGGCAAGGACTGGTAGCGGCTTTCTAAGCCGTTACTGCTCACTGCCATCAAGTTTGAGAAGCGTACTTCGTCACCGATGAATAAGAAGCAGAAAGTCAACGTCAATGGTAGTCGTCGACTGAGACGCGGCTGACTCGGAACGTTATTGCGCCTCTCCCAATGTAAGGTAAGCGTCGGTGTAGAAACACAACAAACCATAAAATACCAAAGGAGAAAGGCAAGAGCTATTATGTCAAAGGCGAGACTCGGAATTCTTCCCGATGGGATGATATGCAGTGTATGCATCTGATGACCAGCAATTTTCAAGGGCTTACTTGATGCTCAATGGTTGCTTTACACCCTTTCATCCCAAACGCTTTTTTGGGCCCCGTGCCGTCCGTCCTCTCGGCAAGGGACCAGGCACCATCGGGTTAGGCGGGAAGGCAGGCCGTTAAAGCCAGAGCGATGTACAGATGAAGAGGTGTGTAAACATGAATTCCAGAGACAGCTTGAACCGAGTTGCCTTGCGTGTCTTGCCGTCCTCATAAGCCCTCGGACGTACGTCTTAGACGGCCGCTAGTAAGTTGATAGAAATGCCGGGGTTGCATCGTAGACACTTTCGGCACAGACAAACCACCTATTTGGGTGGTATTGAAATTACAATAACGCGGCTTTTGACTTGGTGGCCTTTTCCTTCTACTACTGGAAATGAGTAATATCCCACTGACATTGTCGTTGTGTACAAGACAAAAAAGCCTGTCATGTCAGAGATGGCCACGATTGATCAGACATAGGCACCAAGATAGTTATCAACATCACACAGGCAACCAACCAGTCGCTCCTTCTGATTCTGCTCGTCTCTACTCATACTTGTGTTTGTCGCAGGGTTCACGACCGTTTGGCCAGTCCACAAGGGTCGAAACCCACCGCATAAAATTTTCATAAAAAGATGGTCGCCCCACTAGGGTGTACCTGAGGGTTCTCAACCGTTTGTACCCCGCCCATGAGGAAGCTTGTGCCCGCTAATTCTTATCTATGGTTGGTCGCGTTTCACTGCAATGGCTGATAGTGCTCCCTGAATTATCTGGTTGGTGCATGACAGTGACTTACTGCGGGCGGTCGATAGGTACTCACGTCATTGGCACATGCCCTGTCGCCCCTCCCCTCGTGCAGAGAAAAACTGGAAGGCACACTTTGGACGCAGTGCGTGGGTGGGAAAAGTGGTAGGAAGGCACACCCTCCTGCAGCCAGGCGACAGGTCCAGTAAAAAAAAAAAAAAATCATCTCCAAAAGCCACACTCATTGAAATTTCTCTCCTCTCCTCTTCTTTTCTCTTCCAACAACTACACAAACCCTATCAACAACCCCCTTCACATCTAAAGAGGGTCTGACAAGGAGTACGTCTTTCGTACTTGTTCTCTGTCTCGCTCACTTTTTCATCAAGAAAAAAAACTTCCAAAAAAAACTTGAAAACCCCCATCAAAAATTTCCCACCTCCATCTACCCTCCCCCCCTCCAATTGCAAGAAAATCCCCAGAGGCCACGCTCCGACCCTCGTCTTTTCTTGCTTCATCTCAGCCGCCTGCCAACCTTGCATCAAGTGCGCCTCTTGTGTGTCGGTCAAACGTCACACATCAGAATAACCTCACTCGAGAAGAAAGGCTCTCCTTTGCCTCTTCCCTTACCCTTATTCTCTCACATCGTCCGGTCCTGTCACACGACCGATCGTCAGATTCTTGACTTGGTAAGTTTTTTTTTTCTTTTTTTTTCTTTCCCCTCCCCCTCCTGATATCCACATACATCAACCGGAGGGGCTTGCGTCTTCAGTTTTTCTCTCCAGCGTTTCGGTATCATCACGGTCATCAATAGCCCGTTTTCTAACGAGCCTTTGCCGTTGCAGTATCTTTTCCCTGTGTCAACTAAAACACCGATACAATGGCCACTACTACGAACAACGGCGCTGTCGACCAGCTTGCCAACGACTTGAGCAACGCTTCGCTCAACGGCACTGACTCCAAGAACGCCCCCGCCATCAACACCAACGTTGAGTCCGGTGCTCAGGGCGAGAATGCCGATGCGGGCCCTACTCCCAGCTCCGCTGCCCCCCACCCTCAGGCCTCTGCTTCCCTCTACGTCGGCGAGCTCGACCCTTCTGTCACTGAGGCCATGCTCTTCGAGCTTTTCTCCCAGATCGGCTCCGTTGCTTCCATTCGTGTCTGCCGTGACGCGGTTACCCGCCGCTCTCTCGGCTACGCCTATGTGAACTACAACACCACCTCCGACGGTGAGAAGGCTCTTGAGGAGCTCAACTACACCCTCATCAAGGGCCGCCCCTGCCGCATCATGTGGTCTCAGCGTGACCCTGCCCTGCGCAAGACCGGCCAGGGCAACGTCTTTATCAAGAACCTTGACGTCGCCATCGACAACAAGGCTCTCCACGACACCTTCGCTGCTTTTGGTAACATTTTGAGCTGCAAGGTTGCCCAGGACGAGAACGGCAACTCCAAGGGTTACGGATTCGTTCACTACGAGACCGACGAGGCTGCCGCTCAGGCTATTAAGCATGTCAACGGTATGCTTCTCAACGAGAAGAAGGTGTACGTCGGCCACCACATCCCCAAGAAGGACCGCCAGAGCAAGTTCGAGGAGATGAAGGCCAACTTTACCAACGTCTACGTCAAGAACATCAGCGGCGAGGTCACCGATGAGGAGTTCCGTGATCTCTTTGCCAAGTTCGGCGATGTCACTTCTTCCTCCCTCGCCCGCGACCAGGAGGGCAAGAGCCGTGGCTTTGGTTTCGTCAACTTCACCACCCACGAGAGCGCCGCCAAGGCCGTCGAGGACCTCAACAACAAGGACTTCCGCGGACAGGACTTGTATGTTGGCCGAGCCCAGAAGAAGCACGAGCGCGAGGAGGAATTGCGCAAGTCTTACGAAGCTGCTCGCCTGGAGAAGGCCAACAAGTACCAGGGCGTCAACCTGTACATCAAGAACCTCGACGATGAGGTTGATGACGAGAAGCTGCGCCAGCTTTTCGCCGACTTCGGCCCCATCACCTCCGCAAAGGTCATGCGCGACACTCCTTCCGACTCTAAGGAGGACGAGGAGGATTCCTCTGAGGAGAAGGAGACTAAGGAGGAGGAGAAGGAGGAGACTAAGGAGGCTGAGAAGGAGGCCGAGGACAAGGAGGCCGAGGACAAGAAGTCCGACAAGAAGTCCGATAAGAAGCTCCAGGGTAAGAGCAAGGGCTTCGGTTTCGTCTGCTTCAGCAACCCCGACGATGCCACCAAGGCCGTTGCCGAGATGAACCAGCGCATGGTCCACGGCAAGCCTCTCTATGTCGCTCTGGCCCAGCGCAAGGATGTTCGCAAGAGCCAGCTTGAGGCTAGTATCCAGGCTCGCAACCAGCTCCGCATGCAGCAAGCCGCCGCCGCCGCCGGTCTGCCTCAGCAGTACATGCAGCCTCCTGTCTTCTACGCCGCTGGCCAGCAGCCCGTCTTCCCCCAGGGTGGACGTGGCATGCCCTTCCCTCAACCCGGTATGGCCATGCCTGCCGTTCAGGGCGGACGTCCCGGCCAGTTCCCTGGCGGCTACCCCCAGCAGGGCGGACGTGGAGTTCCCCAGCAGATGCCTCCTGTCTACGGCATGCCCGGACAGTTCCCTCCTGGCGCTCCTTACCCCCAGGCCGGCAACCCTCAGTTCCTCGCTGCCATTCAGCAGGTTCAGCAGGCTACCATGAACGCCGGTGGTCGCGGTGGTCCTCAGGGCGGCCGTGGTCCCGTTCCTCCTATGGCCGGCATGCCCGGTCCCGGCATGCCCGGCTTCCCTCCCAACGCCCGCCAGGGTGGCAACCAGCCCGGTGCCGGTCGCGGTGCTAGCCCTAACGCCCCTCGCAACAACGCCCCCTTCCCCCAGGGTGGCCGCGCTGCCCCCGGCCAGGAGGCCAACGGCTCCAGCCTCATCCAGCAGCAGCTCAGCGCTGCCGCCGGTAACCCAGGCCAGCAGAAGCAGATCCTCGGTGAGGTCATCTTCCCCAAGATCCAGGCCATGCAGCCTGAGCTTGCTGGCAAGATCACCGGTATGCTTCTCGAGATGGACAACGCTGAGCTTGTCAACCTGTAAGTTTCACAATCTTATCGTTGACATAGACCATGACTAACGCCCTATAGCATCGAGGAGGAGTCTGCCCTCAAGGCCAAGGTCGACGAGGCCCTTGGCGTCTATGAGGAGTACATCAAGGCCCAGGGTGGTGAGGAGGGCGAAAAGAAGGCCGAGGAGACCAAGGCTTAAGCCGGCTCCTCCGTCTGTCACGCAACGTCATGAGCATGATTTCTTATGTCAACATACCCTTGTTACCCGGCATCCTTTCTACCACGGCTAGTGAGCATTCGACGCTCACAAAGTCACTGCTCAACACGGATTGGGAAAAGTTATTTGGACTGAGGCGGCAATATCGACAGCATTTTTAACGCCAAAGGGATTTCCACGACATGCTTCACACCTCGGCAGATGTTTGCTGGATTTGTTATAGCATCGTCCCCTACGGCCGGCATGTATGGTTAGACTTCTTTTGCTGCTTCGTGGGCAGGAAGATTGCAGGTTATCGCATAGGTGACCGACTGTCTTATCCCCAGGAAGGGCTCGTTGGGATGCGTCGTTTGCTACCCCGCACTATGGTTCCAGGAAGGCGTTTTACGGTTTATGTTTGAGTCGCGCGAGTTGCCTGGCTTCGCTCGCTGGCGATAGCACCAATACCCCTACACAGAACGGGACTCGTTTCTTCAGGCAATCAGGCAGATGGTGGTTATGAGGAGAGTGAGTAGGAAGGGATCTCCTTAATAAAAAGTTCATCAATATCTTTTGTTCCTCAACTGTGATTGTGTGCCTGTATATGTTCAACATACTTCATCAGTTTGATATCTCCACGTGTTTCGAAACCAATCCTTGGACCCTGCCGGTATATGAAGGAAGTCTTGGAGTTGTTTACTATGAGGGCATACGACTGTGCCTCTGCAGTTCTCACGCGATTCTTGATCAATAAAACTGCGAGTCTAGGGGCAATCAGCGAGATGCCTTTACCCTGGGAATGGGCTGCAGCTGGCAAGCAAATTTTCAACAATCCTACGAGCTACCTTTGGCTTGGCATTGGAATTTTTCTCCATACGAGTCGCCAAGAATGTTAACGTTGTCGAACTGCTTGTTTTGCTAATGGAGCGTTGGCCCCACGGCAAGTTGTCTAACAACGATCATAGAAGAACATGACATTAAAAAAAAAAAAAAAAAACCACAAGCGGGAATCGTATTTCCCGTTGACGATTTGGCTTCTGTGCTTTGGGAAGTACCCAAAACCATCCATTCAGCACCGTGAACTGCTGACTGTTCAGCCATGCTCGTCACATGGTCTACATCACATTCGTGATCGTTTAAAAGATTATTGTGCGGCGGGCATCATACGAGAGGAGAGGCAACAGGAGCAACAATACCTGCTTTCGCGGTGCTTTTCGCCGTATAAATATCATTATTCCACAACTCGCCAGTCACAGTAAAGCAGGAACAGCGTGGATTAGGCTGTCTAGCAGCAGCTTTCAGGTCGGTCTTTGTGCAGTGGTGGTCTCACCTTCCAGCCCAACAGTACGGTTAGTTTTGCATGCAGAGGCTGTTGCTTCGGGTTTCCCACGGAGATATTCATGGTCTCACTTGGTACCTTTGCTATCTCCTTTATACTAAACCTAGAAACTACATCTCCCGCCTCTTCCACCGTCCGGAGAGGAGGAAATGATACGTTAATAGCGTTGGGTGCATCAGGAAACAGGAAAAGTTGACCGAAATAATATGGCCATTGCCACATAGCGTCAACTTCGCCTATCCTTAGGATAACCACGGACGCAGATCCCACCTCACATAGAGACGATCTAGGATTACCCATCCGTAGTTCGCTACCCTTTCAACACTGCGAGAAACTCGCCAAGCCAAAGGAAAGCATGCACGAGGGGGACCGCTGAAAAAATTTGTGTATCTTCTACACTGTTCATGAGAAAAGGTTACAGTAATGACATGCGAGCGAACAGATACGGACATTGTGCCCGCGAGGAAGGCCAAGAGATGGCAATCAACGAATTTACACGACACTCGGAAGTATCTGCACTTGAACTTCTAGCCTTTGTGAGGAATACCCCAGCAAGTCTTACATGTTTATATACATACAAGATTCCATATACCTTTCCCAAACTCCAACCATAACCAAATCCAATACAGCCCCGTGTCCGATATATCCTGCCGCATCCCGTCACCTTGAGCTAAACGAAGCAGCCGTTTAATGGGTGTGTATGTACGTGCGACATCCTCTACCGAAGCAAACATCAGTTCCATGCGCCGTTATCTTTGCGTATTCCAGAGCAAAGGCACCAACGACCTACATGTACATATAACCGCTCTCTCGAGTACAAATCCAACTCCGGTAACCATGCTCGAGACTTGAGTCTCTTTCCTTGCAAATCCTTGAAAAAGTAGTTCTATCCAATCCGAAAGGGCGCTCTTTATTCCCTAAGATTTTACACCAGAAGCAGCGAGAATAGTGAGGCCAAGAGATAAATCACGTCACGAGGCAGTCGACATACTGTTTTCCTCTCCATTCTCATGCTGTACGGTCGTAGGTCCGCTCGTCGAGAAGTCGGCGGGTGTTCCCCACACTCCCGTACAGCATCTCCATCAACTTGCCTTTTTGGCGCGTCCGGACGCCCTCGAGGTACCCTCCCACGTCCTCCAAGCCGCGGATCTGGTCCTCCAAAGTCAAGGTACTGGAGTTGACGGACCGGACCAGCGGACTGACGAGCTTCCGCCTTAGGTTTTCGAGGTTCGCCTTGAGCGCCATGAGCTTGCCGTTGTGCTCGACGAGGATGCTCTTGTTGCGAACCGTCTTCTCTCTGACATTCTGCAGCAAGAGGCGGTTACGCTCGTACTTGGCCACTTCAGCCGCATTCGGTCCCAGAATGCGCGTCCAGAGTGATGATAAAAGGTCAGCATGTTGATCGTCCTGGGCGGAGGCCTCGCGGACAACGGTGCGGGCTAGATTTAGGAACTGGTGATCAATGGCCTCAAACAGCGCGAAGAGTGCCAATGAGTGCTGCAGCTCGGAGTTGATGGCATCCTCGAGCACAGTGAGAAACTCGTTAAAGGTGCGCTGGAGGGTGAGGCGGGTGCGCTGCGGGTTAGACATGCCAAAAATGTGTGTGGACAGCGAGCCGAGACGGGTCGGGACGCCGACGGGATCCTCTAGAACGCCTGTTTGGGCGAGGATGTTGTGAATGTTGTCAAAAGCGGCCGTGAACGGGGAAGATGGGAGATGTTGGACGTGAGAGAGTTCCCTGCGCGCCCAATCCATAACGATAAGGATGCTAAAGAGAGTGAGAATGAGCACAACTAAGACAAGACTGCGACAGGACTTACCCATCAATGTCGCCATCAACGTTGGCGAAGAACTTTGTAAGCTCAATGGCTAGCGTCTTGAGGCTATCGCTAAGTTCATCAAGCTCCTTCACGATAATGGGCGCTGAGGTCATGTTGCTTGAGCGCACACTCTCACCGAGGTCCCACACAGCGACGCCTGTAGCTTGTAGGTCGCCCACCTGCGATGCGCCGTTCTCGGAAAAATAGATGAGCGGCTCAAATGAGCGCGCGATGCCGGCGACTTTCACTAGATCGGGCACAGGTTGTTGCATGGCGGGCTGGAAGAGATTACGGGTCGCGCTGAAGGCAAGCATGGCGATGAGGATGGAGAGGATAGTGGATGACCATGAGTGAGTAATGAGGCGCCATTTTGAGCGGAATAACTCAACGACGGCCTCGATAGGTTCTGTGCGCTGCTGGACTTCTGCGCGCAATGCGAATCGGATGTCTAAGCAGCGTTAGTCGCATTGTCTACGTGAAGCCTCCCACTTCAAATGGGGTTCCTACAGTTATCTTGGTTCAAAGTGCCTTCCGAAGGGCTCGTTTCCTTCCACGGGATCTCATCCAGCTTGATTGTCGCATTATCTATCTTGGGCTCAGGGCTCGGTGAGCGCCCCTTATCGGGGCTCTTGCTCCCTGTTGGCAACCGCGTACGAATAGCGCGGCGCAGCACATCATCTTCCTCGTCGTCGGTACTGTCGTACTCCGGACTCGACTCCCTGGACCTGTGGCCGAACAAGGTCCGGTTCGGGGGCGGAAAGGCGCCCAGGACGTCTTCACTCCTCCGCCAGAAACCGCTGTCGCGGCTCCCGTTTCCGAGGCGGCGCCAGGCCGGAGGACTGTAGCCACCGACGGAGACTGAGTTTTCGGGGTCCGGGCCCAGGTCGCTCTCTGCGTCCGTCTCGGACCTGAACCCCGAGTGGTGCGATGGGTAGCCGAACAAGGGCGCCTTCTTCTGTTGGTTGGGGGGCGGAGTCGTCGGTTCGAAGTCGCCCAACGATGCGTCTAAATGATCGAGAGGATCGAACTTCGGCGGTGGAGGGGGCATAGTCGCCATCATATTGGCGGTAGTGGTGGCTGTTATTGTTGTTGTGGTGGCGGCGGCGGACGAGTGCGCCGCTTGCTTGGGTCGGCGGTGCCGGAAGGGCCTTGTGAGTCGGAGGCGGCAGGAGTGAGGGGAGCTCCTCGGTATGGTGGTGTTCGGCGGCGACGGCGGCGGATGTGGTCTTTGTCGCACGACTTGTGCGCCTGAAGAAGCTAAAGTTGGGGAGCAGCGTTGGTTTCCAGGAGATCTGGACGATATACAGGTAGACGAAGACGAAGGAGAGGGTGAGGGTGGCGACGTATGTGCTTGGAGCGATGGTGATGCTCAGCAGGGAAACGTTATTGTTGACGGTGACCAGCGACGGCATGGAGAGCATATCAACTGGTCGAGAGGTGATGCGCGGGCGTCTGCTCTCGCTCGCGGTCGCAGTCGGGGTTGCGACAGACAAAATATGCTTCTTGGCTTGGGATGGTAAGGTACTTTTTGGTTTCACGTATGCGCCGGCGTTCGCGGGGGGGTGGGAGGTAGATAGACGGTGTGAGTTGGAGGGGTGGGTGGGTGAAGGTGTCAGTGAGAGCCGCAAGTCAGACAATCAAGCCGAGTTAATCAAGTTGATAGCGAAGGCGCGCAACGACGAGTGAAAGCGGGAGGGGAAGCGTATGTATCAGAGGTATGGAATAGAATCTTAAGTTGTTTGGTCTAAGGTAAAACAAACCCAGTAGTTGGGTTATCACACAGAATAGGACGTACGTCGCTCAGGACGTTCGGTGGGTGGGTGGGGGGAGAGAGAGGAACGAGGTGAGTGACCTGAGGGCCGCAGGGCAGGAAGCATAAAAAAGCGGGAAGAATGCAAAGAAGCGGCATCGATCCAATGCCTCTTGGAGGAGGGAGGAGGAGGGGGGACCGCCTCTGCCGGTTGTCTTTTTCTAATGCGTAGAGCACCACTTCACTTGCATCTACTGCGTTTGCGCACCCTTGCGCACCCACCTGTACCACCTTGCGGCGAGTTGAATTTCGAGAGGTTGGGGAGCTCCCGTACCCACTTGCCAGGTTTGAGCCTTGCGTCCAATCATTGATTGGGCTTGTCAAGGGAGCGGCCGAATCTCAGGCCCTGGATTGGGTGGAGTGGAGAACACCAAACGCTGGACCTGAACGTCAGAGACCAAGGACGGATGAGGTACGTACCCACCTGGGTTTAGGTGCTTCGTTTGTTTCGTCCATGCGCTCAAGGTGCCAGTGGTTACAGTGGTTCCAGCAGTTCCTTCCTTATTCCCTACCGCAATCTGTCTACTGAGTCTCTATCTACCTTGGTAAATACCGCCTCTGTGTCGTCCGGCCCTTCAAACATACTCTCTTCTCCCGCAGAAAACACGGTCCAGCCCACGATCCTGAATGGACTCTGTTGCACAGGACGACGACAGGGAACACGCTTCTTTTTTGTTGCTGAGCTATTCCTGGGAGACGTCTCAACTCCATTTCAAGCCCGTGCCCAAGCTTCAACACCTTGCTCTCCCTCATTCTCTTTCTCTATCTCTCTCTCTTTTACTCTCTCTTTATCCCTCGCGCTCTCCATCTTTTTTTCCATACCCCCCTCTTCAGCGCATCTTGCCTCGCGTAGGCGTCGCGTTTTGGGATAGAAACAAGCGTGTCCCTCGAACGTTTAAGTGGTTGCATATCTTAACCACGGGACCAGCGATAGACAAAAAGGGAAGGCGGGGTCTGCCTGAATACAAACACAAGAAGCTGCGCGGACACCATGACATGTCGGCACCATCCGATTCGACAACGACGCCAGCAAGACGCGGCCAGAAGTCGACGGCAACACCTCTTTTGGTCTTTCTTGTTTACTGCCCCTTCCCTTTTCCGAAACACACTCTCGCTCTTCTGGGAGAAGAAAAAGCATCGGGTATCCATCCATCCAGACACACACACACACTCCTTGCTTTGTTTTCGCCCAGAGTCTCTCTTTTGAGACGTGGGCCCCCAGATGACCAACCGATTTGGCCCCAATCAGACATACTCATTATCTTATCACCCCGCATCACCGGTCCACTCACTGAGTCTCGTCGCCAAATCAACCATGCCCAAACAGTCCCCTGCGCATGTTCCCCATCAACCCCCCTCCCTTTGAGTGACTCGATCATGACTATGAACATACCGCCTGTTGGAAATTCATGGGTATGGCATAACTATGTCTCCTCCTACATTATGCAGGCGATCAAGGTGCATAAGCACGTCAGCCCCCCCCAAGCCCGTCGAACCGCATCATTTCCATGCTTATCACCACTTGACCACACACTTAGAGGGCACTTTTATACTGACCGATCAGCACACGCCGTCGCACATGAATCCAATGAATGAACTCAGATTGAGGGGGAAAAAAAAGTGTTTGTTTCTGAATTCTCTGCTATGCCGCTTTTTTGTGACAAAGTAACTACCTAAACCCCATTACAAAATAATCGAGACATAAGGCGTGGCTCATGTCTAGTCTAACCCACGCTTTCCCTCAACATCCCCCAAGCCATGCGTGGTTTGCCTTGAGGCAAACGCTCGACACAGCCGCCTCGCTGTTAAACAAGACAAAGAAAGAAAATGCTCGTCCTTCATCACGAGCTGAACCTACGGCTCCGCGGCTCCGGCTGTACCTGCGTTGACAGGTCCGCCGCCGAAGCCCTTCGCACACGGGAAAACAACCCAGAGAGCCTACGCTTCGGCGTCGACAGCTTCTAGTCAACCTTCGCGTTGGCTAGACTTTTCGCTCCCGGAGTATGAATTATGTTGACCTGCTTCATAGGCCGCTTGTACTTGCTCTGTTTCCGCAGGCGTTTACGAGCCACCATGACGGGCACAGAACTCTTAGTAACCAAGTAGTTTGAGAACGAGCCCAAGATGACACTGTGAAAGCTGTTAGACTAGTCGCCATGGGATCCGCAGAACTAAAACTTACCCCTTGAGTGCGCTGCGCCCGCGGCTACCCAGAATCACAAGGGTCGGGTTGAGGAGATCGATTATCTCAGTGATCAGGTGCTTGGGGTTCTTGCAGTGTAGGACCTCAACAATTACTCGCACTTGCAGGCGCGTCTTGCGCAAAAGCTTTGTCACGCGCTCCGTAATGTCGTCAATTGCCCGCAAACGCTCCTCCTCAGCTCGTCCGCGCTCCCGGCTTGATGGCGCTGGCGATGGCGTGCCGTGCGAATCCGTCCTCAAAGCTGAAGCCCGGGGAAGATGAGGGAATGCCGGGGCAACCGAACTGATTGCTGAGGTCGTCTTTGAGTTTGAGATGGCTGTAAGGGCGGCCGCCTGCTCCCTATGCGCTTTAGGATCGTCCGGCACCATAACCCCGTCGGTTGAATAAATGCCAGTCTCCTCATCAACGCAGTACATGCAAATAAGCGTGTCTCCGTCCCTCAAGACAGTGCCAATAGCCCACTCCAGGGCATGAGTAGACTCATCGCTCAGGTCTGTAGCAACCAAGTACTTTCGCAACCTGTGGTGCTCCTCTTCGGCCGCCTTTTGAATCTGCTCCCACTCACCTCGATAAATGATGCGAAGAGTCCGAGAATGCTCATCATAGTTTTGGTAGCCTGTGCTGGAAAATGCCAGCCTCTGCGCTCGCTTAATATCCGTGAGCGCTTCTTCATCGTCAGAGTTGACAGCCGAAGCCGGCCCCGAGCCCGGCCCTTGATCGAATGCCGTAGTCGGGTGAACACCAGACTTAGACTTGGATGGCTTTGCCTTTTCACCAGTGGGGGTGGTAAGAGTGATTTGCGGGTCGTCCAGCAATGATTTATATTGATACTGGGGCTGCTGGGCACTGACTTCGAGGCCTATAAACGGTTAGCATGTTACCAACACTGATCTAGGAGAAAACGGGAAGTAGCTTACGCTCTTCCTCAGCTGCGGCGAGCAGGCTAAGAGTCTTACGCTCACCCTTATCCCCGGCAGAAGACTTCGAGGTGTCGTCTGCAGAACGAGGGGACATCTTACGTCCTCTGTGTTGCTCCTCGTCCGAGAAGCTGTGCTCTTCATCGCTACTTTCCTCAAGCTCTTCCCCGTCAGGACTGAGGTAGTCTTTGGTCAAGCGTCCACCGTTGCGCTCACTTGCGTTGGACTTCTTGCGCGTAGCAAGCTCGCCCAGGTTGCCTTTAGAGAAGGCAAGATTAGCATCAGACAGTTTGCGATAGGCCCTAGTGATGTCTACAACACGGCCGTCATCAAGCATAGCGGTTCCTGGAATCTGCTGGAAGCGACCGCTGACATTAGGTGAGGGGGAGCGCATGCCTAGCCGACCATGGGGCGACTTGGATTTGCTGTTGTTGCCCCTACTCGAACTTCTGGCGTTCCGTGGGACAGGGTTGGAAGCGATTGAACCGTGACGGGCTCTTTCGCCGGGGAGAACGATGCCGGGAATTTCATTGCCGCGCATGACATCGGCCATGACGCCGCCAGCAGTTTTCCTTCCGCCCTGTGTGTTGCGCTTCGGCATAGCTTGACCGATGTTGTTGGTAGCAATATCTGAGAATTGGTAGTCCGAGGTGGGGTCCAGCCTGTTGATGGGAGCCCGCGGCCCAAAGCTGGGTTTGGGGCCTGAGTGGGAGTCGGAGAATGTCCTGGGATGAGGCGCGCGAGACTCTACGGGGGAACTGGGTCCAGCGCTAGCGACCTGCTTGGGAGCAGAGGTGTCGATATCGAGCATACTCCTGACTGGGGCGGGGGGAGCGTCAATGTCCAGCATGCTGCGAACTGGCATGACTGTGGTCCTGGCTGGGCTCTTCTTCCCACCTTCATCACCAATATCCAGCATACTCCTCACGGGAGAGCGAGGCGAAGTGTAGGGCGAGGGCGAGCGTGCAGATACGGGAGAATTTGAATTCCAGCTGGGTCGGCTCGTGGTGCCTTCGAGCAGCGCCAGGACGTCTCTCCTCTCCTCGTCCAGCATGGCCTCCATGCTCATGGGTTGGCGCGACATCTTGAGTGATGTTTTGGGGTGCCGTGCGCTTTCGGCGGTGTGATTGCGAAATCGGGGATGGTACTCAGACTCTTTGACCGTGTTATCTGCGCGGTAAAGGGATGGTAATTACTCTCGTTCGTGTGATGATGATGATGATATCGATAACGAGTACTTGAAACCGAATTCAGGTGTTTGGTTTAGTCGCGGTAAAATACGTGGTTGGTATATCTAACGGGGGATGATCTTGCGATGTTGACGTCGGCGGTGCAAGTTGGTCGGCAGAAACAGCATCGTGTAGTGGCAGTGAGGGCGGGTCGGCGGAGTCTTTCTTTTTTAGATCATGGCTCCTGGGGACCAGACCTAGAAATGCGGGAGGTTGCGCTGGATAGAGGGGGAGGGGCCCTAAATTAGCTTTTTTGAAGCACGAGTCTGACTTGCCAAGACCAACGGTCGAAAAGAAGAGAGAAAGTGGCCGTAAGAAAGCAGTAGAAGCAGTTTGGGTTAAAGAGGATGAGAGACAGGGCAGCGGCACACGACGCACACAATTGGTGGTGGCAGTGGTGGTGGACTGGGGGTGGCAGCAAGGTGATTGTTCAGTAAGTAGTAGTGGTAGTAGTGGCGGTGGTGGTGGTGGTGAGGCCGTGGGTACAGAAGAGTTAGTATATTGCAAGTGCAGAACCGGGCTAGGAAGGAGTGGTGGGGAAGGGTGCAGGTGGAGAGGAAGGGATCGGGGAGGGGTAGGTGCTGGGTTTTTAGCGTTCCCCTCTGGTCGACCCGACGGCGCAAGTTTGCAGCCTAAGAGCAAAAGACACAGTGCAGTGCCTGAGTTGCCCTGGGGTCTGGTCACATTTGCCCGCTGCACTTGCGCACCATTGCACCCTATGTTGTGTGTGTGTGGAGGAGGGAGGGACCCATGGATTGACACCTTATCCCGTCTCCAGTTCCATCCAGCCCAGCCCAGCCCTCTCCGTTGGGCCCCTCCAGACAGTGGTCCCCCTCTCTTTTTCACCCCCAAGAAGCTGAAGAAGATCAGCCATTCAGAGCAGCCGATGCCTTCTCTAAGCTGCTCGCAGTACACAACTTGATGGTGGGAGAGTAGTGCCTCGTCATCGCTGGTCTTGGACGTTGGTGGTACCTGCCCCCTCTGGAAACCCGGTGAGATGGCTCCTTGTCCATTTTCTGCTTACTCACTCATATGACATTTGAGATGAGGAGGGGGAGCCCTGCAATGAATGGTGGAAGCTCTTCTCTATCTCTCTTCATCACTGACGGTGACCCCCGGGCTGCCTCACGAACTCAATCGAAAGATGGGATGCTCCTCACCTCACACCGTTCGCCCCAGAAACTGATCTGCTGATTTGACAGGAAGACAAGGCACGACATCATTATGCACACCGTCCAGAGTGTGTGCACGGCCAACTCAGCCGCCTACACACCTTCAAGTGACTTACTTGAACTTCCGCACCCACTGAAGGGTACGTACCCCAATCTCAGTGCTGAAAAACGAGACAAAAAAGAATGGGGAAACAGCTGAGATCTGGGGGACCACTTACGAGATGTCTTGAACCTCGAACAAGATCGACTGCTTTCGTTTGCCGATGATCTTGGAATGCAAAAAAGACTCAAATAGAAAGGAGTAGAGGGAAAGAGGGGGAAAAGAATAACAAAAGTTGCAAGAGACCTCTATACTTTAAGACCAAGACCCTCAGTTGGTGAGAACAACAAGATGCAACAATTCAATCATTTGACACCGCCGCGCCGCCAAAGTGTTTTCAGTGGGTGTAACCCTTGACGGGCTGGAAGAGGGGACGGCGGGGGCCCCAAAATGCCCAACTCAAAGTCGGTGACGCATATCTTATCCACTCCGGATACACCTAGTATTATCATTTTCTTCGCCCTTTCTGCCGGAGTATTGTGCGCTATTCTAACCTTACACTACCTTGCATTACCCACGGGTCCCGGTCATTCTCATTAACACCTTACCCGCGGCCCCCGTCCTCGTTTGCACCTCCCAAGCCACACATCTTCATCCCTTTTTGTCCCCCGTACTTTACCGGCGACGGCTGCGGACGGGAGGGGAGAGAGCAGAGTGGGATTTCGTACCACATTCCAAACGAACAAACCACAGACGGCAACACAGTGCGCAGTCAGCGGTGCGATGACGACGCCGCCGTGCGTCGCCAAGAACATCCGGCCTCTTGGCGACCACGCCTGTACACCGTGTACGGTGCTGACAAGCCGGCCCATCGGAAGACGACGGCCACCCGGGCTTTGGAGCGGGCCTAGAAATGGACGCCGCCCCGGCGCAAGACGTCAGTCGAGGTGTAATGCTAGTTGTTTTGTCGTTGTCTGGTGGGAGGCGGCGGGCGGCGGCAGTGCTTTTCGTCACATGAGACTTTTTAGACCTTTGCGGCTCTGGGGATAATACCACGAGGGCGGTGGCTGAGTCTGGGGGTGCCGTTTATTGGCGTTTACTGTTAACAATCCACCACCTCATCAACAGGACATGCCACTCGAGACGTAAGTTTTCGCTCATCTAGATCATTTCCCCATTTTAGAGTTTCCCCATCGGGCCATCACATTGTCAATGCCACAAACCTCCACGGCTTGCCTTGGGAAACCAAGGCTTTGCTGTGGCCATACTAACAACAAAACATCTTTTGCCACAACGAAGTACTCTCGCGCTGAACCCTACTTCGAATACACACTAAGCGCGTGATACCCTCGTCTTCAAGTAAGGGTGGTCCACAGACTACCGAGATCTGCCTTAGCATTTAGCCCATTAAACTCCATTATCTTGACCGGAACCTTGAAGACAAGAAAGCTCCTCTCGAGCTCTGCATTTGTTTGGGATGATATAGTACAATATACAACTTTGCTACATTGGTTATTTTTTGTTTGCTCTCCGCCATTCATGCACCTCTTTAATGCGCCTTAACCGGCTTGACAGTCAAGTTGGCACGGGTGGCCGTACCCAGCTTGTGCAAAGCCAACCGCTTATCCCACACAGGTGACCTTCCCTCAACAACGGCGATGATCTCCTCGGCCACCCGGTGGGCGAACTGCGTCCGACCAGAACCCTTGGAAGGCTTCTTCTCAACAACGTCCAGAATCCACTGGAACGCCGCACGTCTTCTCTGACGCACAGCCAGGGGTGCGGGCAGCTCAAGGGGGCGACCACCACCAGCACCACCGGCAATGCGGCGGATCTTGACGAGGGGTGCAACCGAGTCGATGGCAAGGGTCAGGTATAGCACGGGGTTGAGTGGGAGATGGGCGGCCGGGGGCGCGCCGGGGAGCAGTGGGTATCGCGGGTTGATGATCGGGGGAGGAGAGGTTCGGAGAAAGTTGAGGACCATGGCCATGTTCTATTCCCATCTGATTAGCGCCCTTCTTCCGTTTGTTTAGACATTACTGCAAATGAACTTACCCTTTGCGCCAAACTCTTCTTTCCGTCACGCATCATCAGGTTGGTTACTTGGTCGAGCACGGGGTGATACCGGGACTTAAGGTGGCTTTGCGGCGGGAGAGGGAGATTGGGCAAGGGGAACTTGTGTCCAACAGGCGCCGGCTGGAGATCCAACTCGCTAGCTCCCTCGAGGTCTGAAACAATTCCGCCCTGAGCCAGAATCTCGAGCTGGCGAAGGGGGTCGCCATTCGCAGGCGTAGGAGGGATGGCGCCATCGCGGAAGAGCGCTTCTTCCTGGGCCTCGGTGAGGCCACCTTTGAGTCCGGCTTGTCCTCTCGCGGCCGATGCGAGCTCCTCTCTCGCAGCAGCGGCGTCTATTTTTGACCACGCCTCGTTCGCATCCGCCTGTAGCTGCCTATTAGCTTTCTGTCCCAGACTGGACCCTTATTGCTGGCCTTTGCTTGTGCTCGTGTGCCCGTACCTGCTTTCCTGCTGAGGACTGGGCATTGGCAGCCGCCGATGCCTTGGATACCTCTGAGGCAGCTTTGGATTTCCTCAACGGCGGGATCTGGCTGGATTCGTCCGCATATCCTCGCCTCGGCGCAGTCCAGGCGAAAGGCTCCTGTCGAAGGGCCAAGGGTCGGGAGCGCAGCGCAAGCGCCTGGCAGGCGTTGCGAAAGCTCGGCCGCAGAGACATGACTGCTCTGAATATATTCGGATTGCCGAGGGGCAGTAGGACCGCCAGTTAGGAGAGGCAGGAAGGGGAATGGGGCGTTAACAGTCGTCGTTCCGTGGGACGGTATCGCCGCGAATCCGTGTTCACGAAAATTATTGAGTCGCGGGTAATGCCGCTCCACTCATGTAGCTTTGCTTACCTACTGTAGTTGGTCGAGGTGGTTGCACGGTCCACCCCGGTCAGAGTCGATCCGCGGAAGAAAGGTAATTCCCACCCCCGATTTTCCAGATGAGCAGAAAGCTTGGACCATTTTGTCGTCCCCCTGTCAAAGTCGGGACAGGCCCGCGCCGTCTCCGTTGGTCCTCCACCCCAGAGTCTATTTATTACCTAAGCGAGCCTCAGCCCACGTCCGATCTGGATTCCCGAGATGCTGCAGTCAGTTTGTCTTCATCACATCCGCACTGAAGTTCATCGAGTGGCTTGCAGAGATACCGCGCTAATCATGACACTTATCCCTAGAAGACAGCTCTAGAGAACAGTTCCGCGCGGCTTGAATCAAACCCTGTCCTAAAAACGACCATTCATATCTACCGACCAGCTCTCATCCCACACCACATGTCTTATCCCTTCCCCGCTTCTTCCTCCCCGGGGATGTGAGTGTGAGTGTGAGAATGTTCCTCCCTTGATCTGATGGCTCATCACTTGCATGTGCTGCCTGGATAGCAATCCGCATGTAGGTATGTGTGAAGAGTGTGCGAAACTTACCACCGCCTCCGCCGCCCTCGCCCTCGCCCATTCGGCGGCCCCCAAATTGTCAAACCAAGCAGACCAAGCAAATGCTTCCCGATCCTGTCACAAAAACCGTTCATTAATATCGACCTATCTCAATCACAGTCCCGCCCACATTGTCGCACCACACCCACAAGACAACCCCTCATATCGCTCCTCTCATAATCCCCTCCCTCGCTGCATCTTGACCGAATAGGCAAGGGTCACATCACCGAAAGGTCTTCGGCGTGATCGACTGCTGCTGCTGTCACGGCTGCAGCACGTCGTGTTCAAAAACTCCTGCAGATGATGACGGCCGGGTAATTCAGCCGCCATTCATACCCATTACCTTGCTTGTCTCTGCTTCGTTCTGTAACATTTCCCTTATCCCAACTCAATCAATCCCACCCCTTGCCCTTAAGCCGAGGATGTATCCCCAGCGTGCTCTTCTATCCGACGCTAGACTGGCTTAGCTAGCAGCTGATTCAACTCAGCACTTTTCTTTCGTACCACGTTCGTGCTGGCTGGACTGAACTGTCTGACTGGACTGGGCAGGCAGGCTGGCTGGGGGGGCATGGGATCTGCCGCCGCCCCGTTACTAGCAGACTCCCTAGCTCCATCTTTTTTTTTTCTTTTGCAGGGGTGGGCCACTGCGCTGACACCGCTTCCACCTCCTGCATTTGTGATAGTAGCACCAGAAGATGTCATCGTTCATCGTGGGGGAAATCAGACTGAGCTATGGCCTACACGCGACCGAGGTTGCTTCGCCCTGCCCATGCCAATCGGCACGTCGTCTCCGTCACTCTCGACACTACGACGCGTTAGAAAAATATACCGTCATGGCAAACGACCGATGCTATTTCATGAGTCCTTAAGCCAGTTTTATTGTGCGAGAACAATTGGATAAAACAATACTGAAGGGTGAAATGAGTACACAGGTCAGTCACATTGAGAGGGAGTGGACATCAAACGCTATCAAGGACTGGAGGAAAAAGGAAACGCTCTGCTGATAGTGTTCAGATGTCCGGAATCATTACAAAAGGGCTGCCGACTCAATCGATGTGAACCTTTTTCCTTGATCATTTCCCACTTATCCCTTGTCCTCCATGGTTGCTTTTCCCTCATAACGCCGCTCCGAAAGAAAAACAAAATTTCCAAATTGCAAATAAAAATTACGAACAAGGGCAACCTCATAGCGCCCCTCTCTCTGTCATAAACAATCGCCCTAATGACCGTCGACTGCCTGTCGGTTCTGTTTCGCCAAGGTTCTGTCTTGTGCTGGAGTTTCTTCTCCAATGTTCTGTTCCACGGAATAAAATAAATAAAAAATAAAAGAAAAGAAAAGGAAGCGTCTGAGTCTTGATGAGGATGCGTAGGAATAGGCCAAGCACACCCGCCAATCCCGTTAATTGGCCTGATGAAAAATTGGATTTTGCGCCGTGTCTCTTCCAGCCAGATCAACACCAGTTGTTTTCCCGTTCTGAGCTCCAATTGAACGCTGGTAGAAATGTAGTTGTACGCCGATATCCGTTGTGCCCCCCTATCTGCCGTATGGCCATAGCCGGTGTTTCCCAATCCCAACTCCAGGTGTATTCGTACAAGTAAACAGCCGAGTAAGGATTAGGAAAGCAAGAAATAGTTCGTTTAGGAAAAGGGGCGTGAGTTAATGTGTGACGCTCAGACGAAGATGATCGCTCTCGTGTGTCGTTTGTTGTCGGATAATAGTGTTTCTAGCATGCTCTCTTGCCGTCATCCTCGAATTACCAGCCACCTCTGCTATTGGCTGGGGAGCTGGGGTTCGATCCGGTGAGGTAATTGAGGGCCATTTCGGCCGCGTCTTCTTTCGCATTGTTGAGGTTCTTGCCGTCGTACCAGAATCGTGCAGAGAGGGTGCGTCCGTGAACAGTAACTCGACTGGACCAAGCGGTGCGACCACCTAAGACGGGAGTCAGCCGTTAGTTTTATGGACTGCAACTGGGTGAGGTGATTGATCAGTGAAGCTTACCACGACGATCGGAAACAATCTGGAACACCGGGGGCAGGATGTTTGCTTCGCGGCAGGCGTCTGCGAGCCATTCATTAGCTTCAAGATGCTGTGGTATACGGGGGTAGTGCCATACCTTCGAGACGCTCCTGCCAGGTCCCTGCCTGACTGTTGTAGGAAGAGGCAGACATGGTCGCGGTAGACGAGTAAGAAGTGTTGGAGTACATGTAGTGCGGTGTTGAAGCAACAAAGGTTTGAATTTCGAGGGAAGTCGTATGTCGTCAAGGTAGAGAGAGTATGTTGGAGTGTGCGTTTGAGTCGGTTAGAATCGTTGTATGTCCAGAGGGGGAGATCTACAGCGACACTCGGCAGTTCTTATACTCAGGTCGGGCAAGTCGTGATACAGGATGGGAATATTCCCATTTGGGTGGAAAGATTATGATGTGGCAGAACAAGATTAGCTAGATGCTGTCCTGAGAAGCCAGAAAAGGTCTGCACGACAAATGGTAGATGACGGGGACGGCGGGTAAGGGATCAGTTGGGCTGGTACCCTACGGCATGCTGCATCTTGGATGGGTAGATGTAGAGGTGGGGGAGAGAAAAGGAAAGGAAGAGGAGAGAAAAGGGACATGATCCAAAGAAGTAAAGACACAGCATCACGTCCCAATGCCGTTTGGGTTTGGTACGGGCAGGACCGCGTCGTTTCCTGCGTTGTTTCTTTTTCTCCATGCCCTGGTACTTGTCTCTGATGAACAGCAGGTGCGGCGGCGGCGGCGAGGAAGAGAGGGGTGTGCCACTTGGGTGTGAGTGCTTTTGCTTCGTCTGATGCCAGACCACAGACCATACCAGACGTGGGGAGTGTGGTACTGGGCTGGGCCGGCAGAACGTCGTGATAAACTTGAATACTTAGCGTCATCTTTTTTGGTTTATTATTTTAACCCCCTGTATCTTTCGTTTTCTTACATTTTTTCTTTCATTTTCTTTTCTTTTTTCACCCCCCCCTCCCCCCCCCTCGGAGACATATCCTAGCTGTCGAACCCCCGCGTGGTTAACCGGTACATGGATGCCGGCGTCCATGGGTTGATGAACAGGCAGCTGGGAAATATGTGCTTGAATACTTGAGACAAGATTGAATAACTATATGTCGTAGGTAAGGTGAACACTTCTGGAGGGAGGCGGGATGGCCGCATCTCTGAGCGAGCAGCTGATTGGGGATTGGCTTAACCACGCTCCCTTATTCGGCGTTCGGGGGGATCAAGACCAAACAGAGCTGGCGTGGAGTGCCGACCCGTCGGGGTGGGAGAGGGAAATGATTGGGGAGTTTCCAAGCCGCAAAAACAAGGGCCCCTACATGGGAGTACTGGGGGGACGAAAGGGCGGACAGGCTGGACAAGCGAATGGAGGGCGGGCAGACGAGGAGGAGAGAAGGCAAAGGCAAAACGGCGGGCAAAGGCATGGTGCAAGTTGACCAGGGGTAGAACTGGAATCTCGAGCCGAGAAAGGGAGAGAAAACGAAGGTTACGGAAGGCGGATACATACAGGCAGCGCCTGAATGTACGGGTATGTTGCAATCTGAATGTATTCGTGCCATGAATCCTTGAGGGCATGATGTGAGCAAGGTATCCGTGTACCAAGATACGGATACCGTGTCTGACAAGCTACATGATGCTCCGGCTTCGAAGAGGCTTGACGCTCGCAGTCAGCAGAAAGATACATACACACACGCACGAACGCACGCACACACCCCTACACAGAGATAGAGAGAGAGAGAGAGGAAGAGCAACCGAAGCGCCCGTGAATGAACGGACAGGCGAGAGTAAGGGAAGGGAGTGGGAGTATGAAAGCGACGAGGCTGGAGAGATGGGGTGCGATGGCACCACGACCACGCAGTCAACGCCTCAACCAAACACAGGCTAATTGAAGTCGGGGCTGGCATGCCATGACACCTTGGTCGGTACATACGTAAGGTAAGGAAGATCAGGTACGGGGGTTGTGATTGCAGGCAGTGGGTAACGTGAGGTAAGGCAATGTAAGGTAAGGTTTTGACGACAATAATAGCATTGACATCAGACAACAAGCCAACGACGATTGGGCAATCAAGCTAAGAAGAAGGGCGAAGAGCTATGGGCACTGGGCCGGATTGAGCACTGGGCACCAGATAGGAAGAGGGCAACTTGGAGCTCTAGGCTGGGCTGGCTAATACGCCAGGGCCCCTCAGCGGCGGCATCAACTCCGCCAGCCGGTGAAGCGAAACGGGCCAGGATGGTTACGCTTAGCAGCCGGTGGTTGGGCAGTGCAATAGCGACGCCTCCATAATCTGGCAGTTGAAGGAAACTCGGTCAAGAACGTTTGGGCCTCATCGAGACCATCCTTACGGAGATGGACTGACGTTGAAGTATGTCACTTTCGGGTCGGGGAAAGCGCGAGGAAAAAAAGGGCAGTCGAGCCACGTCGATTCGATGCGATGCGGCAGGGAAGGGCGGGGGCAAGGAAGCAAAGGCAAGTGATGTATGTACAACAATACTGAATTGGTTTAGAGCACGAGGGGGGAGGAGAAAGGGAAAGGGGGTGGGATCGGGCAGCACTCGCTCTTAATCGTCACTTGGGGGTGGGGTGAGACAGAAGATCAGGGCAGGGCAAGCAGGGCATGGCATGGCATGGTATGGCGTATACCTGGTGGTATTGAGGTATGACAGGGCGTATGATAATGATGCGGCCAGGCTACAGATGCTGCTGATACTTCTGCTGATGCTTCTGCTGCTGTTGACATCAGCAGGACTGCTTGCTGATGCTGATGCCTATGTCTGATGGATAAATTATGAAGAGTTTGTGAAAGCGGGCGGATCCAACTTGGCATAGTTGTTGTCGACGCAAGTAGTATTGCTGTTACCAGCCGTGTTTGTCCCTTAGCTGTGCCAGTGTTTTCTGTTCAAACCCGTTGTTTTTTTTAATTCCCAAGTCTTACCTCGCAGTGAAGCACACCTGAGAGTTCCAAGGCAGGGTCCGGCAAAGTATCTTTCGCAAGGGATTCGTTAGGCAAGGTACGTGCGGCGGTTTGGCTGGTCTCAAATCGCGTCTCTGGTTCAGGGTTAGGCCAAATCAGGGACTCGGCTTGACCATTCCCAAGCTGCCGTTCGTCGTCAACGTCGTGGAGGACGGACGGGATCGTCCAGAGTGACAGGCGACCAGCCGGTGGGTTTGTGCAAGCGCAGCTCGCATGCAACTAAGGTACGGAAAGGCAGAGCCACAGCTGTTCGTACATGCGTATAGGCATACTACTACTGCTGCGTAAGTACGGATACAGCCTGCAGCAGCCGTCCAAGTTGGTCTGTGGTGTGGCATTGGTGGCCTTGGTGGCCTCTGTGGCCCTCTCTCTGGTGGTCCCTCCCATCTTGGTGGCATCGGGGATGAGAAGAGCCCCAGCCGGAGGGGTCCCTAGCCTCTTAGCCTGCGAGACTAAGGAACCGTCATGCTTCCCCGAAACGAAGGGAATAGGAAAAGGGGGGTAATGGAACCGGGAAGCCGGGGAACTGGGCGGCGTTTGTGTATTTGATTTGATCTTGTGGGTTCGAACATTAAAAATACAAGTACTGACAACTCAACTAGAGTGATCGAATTCTCTTTTGTTCTGAACGATGAGGGAGGGTCGAAGTGGAGAGGTGATAAATGCCCTGGTCAAGAGTGGCAGTGAAATACTGTGGTATTTTTTTTTTCCCGTCTTCCCTTCTGGGCTTCAGCATCATTGTCCATGTCTTCCCCACTACCGACAAGCCACGGTGCTGTAAGTCCACGCCCGCAAACACACTATACCGAGAGTCCGTACACACCGAAGCGAAGCGAAGCTTTTGACGGCGTCTTTTGTTATTCTCCCTTCCCTTTTCCTTTCCGGCTAGCTATGATCCTCCGCTCCGTGGAGTTCCATCATCTTCACCGTCTTTTGTGCTTGTTAAACTTTCCCTTTGGTGGAAACCGAGGTGAGGGATGCGACTCCACGGTAAGCACGGAAGACTTCAGACCCGGAAAGGCCCTGAGTATCGGCATAATACAATGTGACGAATGATGCGGTGAACCATCAAAGCTGTACGCCGTAAGGCCGTTGATGCAATGAGGTTATCACTAGCCAGGGGGCATTGGGCGCCTGTGGCTCTGGGCTTCCGTCAAGGACGGCCGAAACGAACGAACAGGTCGGGGAAAGCCAGCACAGGGCAGGCGGGGGCTGGGCTGGCAGCTTAGCATTTGCTTCGGGTTGCAGTAACAGTGCGCTCCCGTCCTAAGAAACCCCTGTTAGGGGAGAGAGGAAGGGAGTAGAAAAGGCAAGTATGAAAAAAAAGGATACCATGATCATCGCCCTCTCCGATCCCAGACTTCAGGAGGTGCTCAGGTGGCAGCAAGGCTTAAGACAAGGGACAAGGGTAAGGGTCTCTTCCTCTACGGATTTGGATACCAGACAATGGATCCCACATAATTGTCGTACGTAGCAGTAGTACCATAGTATGTAGGTAGTACGGATACCCTGCAGTCTTGATCAGGGGTTCAGGGTAAGACGAAGTTCTCTGGCCCCTACTATCCCTGTGAACTCAAAATCGACTAAGAAAAAAAAAATGCAATTCTTGTTCTTGATCTTGGTTCGTCACTGCCCACACTTAAATGTGACGTCTCTATTGCCTGCCGGATATGATCCTGGAAGTCTGCAAAGTATGCGAATGACTGTGAACATTGGATTCAAATCAATCTTCAGTCAACTACTAGTAGCGAGTCTGAGAAACGAATGGCTACTGGGCATCGTGTCATGAAGGGCCCAGCGACTCCTAAACAACTCGGCCGCACCGATCCGCCCTCGCCCTGTTGTTTGTTCATAGATCGGCGTTCGTCCTTGGCGGACCCTGGCTAAGAAGAGAAACACGGGGGCGTTGGACCTTGAGAGTGCAGACGGAGTGCAGGAGGGCGAGCAACGAAAACAAGGGTTCATCTGGTTGAACTGCGTTCTTGACCAACCCGTCGGGATCAGGTTCAACGTTCCCCGGATGTACCACGCATAGTCTTTCCGACTCCTTTTCACTTCGCTTCCCCCTACTACGCTTACTCCGCTACTCCGTACTTCGTTCCAAGACAGACGCTCCGACGTGTCCCTAACGACCTTTTCCAAGGCCAACAATCGCACCAATGTCGACGCTTGGACGTTGCGTCGGGAGTTCTTGGGCATTGCCATCCGTGTAAGTCCATTGGAGACTGCTGAGGGTAGCAACGATGGACATCTGCCCTGACAGTTCAGCCCTTGCCGCAGCTACGGCACGTCTCCGTGCCCAACCTCTTTTTAGCGCCACATCTGCCGCTCACCTCTCTTCCTCCTTCCTTCGTACATTGACGGAACTATGATGAGGAGCGGTCAGAGACAATCAACGACCCTAGTCGCTTCCGATTCTCTCCGCTTTCCTTTAGTCCCGCCGCCCTGGGGACTTGCATCAGCCTATAGAGAGATCCGGTTCTTTTCCCAGGTTACACGCAAGTAGCGGAGCTAACGATGCGGAACATCGCGTTGGCTGCTTCAGTCACGAGATCGAGTGATTCTAGATCTCCTACTCGATACCCAGGTTGCTCCCACAACGAACAACGCTTCACAATTTCTTTTTCTGTATGTTTCTATCCTGCTTGCCTTACCTGGCACAGATGGGGTTTTGCCAACAGGCATGGTTGCACCAAAACGAATACTGAGAGGTCTGTCATCGCAGGACGTGACCTCGATGATCAACGACCAGAGACGGGGGAGTTGTTTCTGCAAGATTTCTGCTTGTCTCGGCGGAACCTGCATATCCGAACCTCCCCGACTTGTCCACCATCATCATAGACTATCGCAAGGCAGCCTATTAGCAGGACTCGCGATTGATAGCACCAGACAAGAGCCTACGCACTGCCGCAGGCCCTCAAGATCAAAACAAGCAGCCCCAGTCATTTAGTCGGCCTCACACTGCTACTTGTCAAATCCTTCGTCGCCCTGCAAGGCGGGCGGCCAACGCAGCAACGGTCGCCAAACCGGTTTGGATGCAAGAAGCCGGTGTCAAATGCCCATCTCCCGCCTGTGTCTCGTTAGGGCCCTGCCTGAAATGTGGATGGATTGCCGTATGAAGACATCCGGAACAAGGATTTCACAGCTCGACAAGGTAAGGTTGCTACGCAGGTCACCTACATATGATCGAGCGAGCTACGTGTCGAAATCAGAAGAAAATTGCGCGGCTTGGCCCTGTCTGCCACATCATCTATCGGGCCACAGTTGTCTGCTTGTATATGCCCTGCTTTGGGTCCACGTGGGGTTGTCCTTCTTCTCTGCATGCCATCGCCCGCAAGCTGCCAGCGAGCTGATGCTCATAAGCGATCGCCCTCGCATGACTTGGTAACCCACAAAGTTTAGAGACTCAGGGACGTGGAAATGTCCGAGGCGATTCCGGCTAACATCCGAGTGTCAGCAGGTCTAGTACATCCATTCAATCGACATGTTTGTTATTATGTTTCGGTGCTGACGCGGATCATGATGCCGACTTTTGGAACAAGTCCCGTAGATGACCTCACAATTTGGAACCTCAGCCTCAAATCCGCAAGGCAGGCTCACATTAGAAGAGGTGCCTGAAGGAGAACCTCGCGGAACTCGTCTACGGTATCCAATTTGAAATTGCAGCCTGGGCTCGGGCTCTATCCCTACGAGCTCCCACAGAACGCATCGTCCTTCCATGAAGATACCCAGTGAAAGACCAGCAGCAGACCGTCATGGGCAAGCTTATGATGAAGCTGCCAAGGCCAGGTTAAATTGACAAGGAAGGCAATGTGCAGCTGAAAAAAGCAAGGACCAATTCCATCGTTATCGTATCGATGGCGAAAGTCTTCGGGATGTTGACATTACCTGCAGCAAGACCCAGCCCCAGAGGCCCAACGCCATCGCCAAGGTGGAGATCAAAACAGCCCCAGAATCATCCTGCTTAATAAAGATGTATGTATGAGGCATGCGATCGCTGCAGTTTTCCAGGGTTAATTACACTCAAATCCGGTGCCGCCACGCAAGTCATTCGCAAGCGGATCAAAAGGTCAAGGCTGTATCCTGTTGGAAATCTCCGTTCCCGCTGCGGTGGGCCTCCCGCGTATGACGGACATGTCGGGCTCCAGTTGGCCGCTTCCAGGTTGCACTTGGGCTTCTATTTAGGGCTCATCCGTTCCGGTCTACCACGGACCAGTCCCAGTCGATGGCCAGAACCGCCTGACGACCTTGCAAGTCGGACAACACTATTGTGCAGGATACGAGCCGCAGAAGATCGCGGTCAAGTGCCAAAAATGACGTCCCTTGACGTCGGATTCGCGTAAAGGGTGCCGTGGCACCAAAAAGCCTCAAAGAGCCGCCATATTGGAGATGAATGAGGGAGGCGAATCTACAGGTTCTTCGCCAACTGGCAGTCGGGTATCAATAAACCCGAGGGTGTGCGATCGGCCTGAGGCCTTCGGATTGAATGTTGACCGGTGAAGGAGGGGAGTGTATACAGCATCAGCACTGTCACGACTGAATGAGGTGTCAAGAGAGTGCGAAAAAATAAGAAACAAGCTGCGATATGTCTTCTTAATGAAGATTGTAATGCGACCCAACCATTCTCTGTGTCTGTCAGAAAACCTACCGCATATCAAACTGTCAACTGGTGTCCAGGGATGAAGGCTTATGTTTGCGGAAAGAGCCCCGTGGGCGGAATTTTAGATGCCATGTGAGACGACCGACCGTCTGTTCCCCATTCCCCCAAGAATCGCCTAATCAAAAAATGACCTGGAGACGCGGGGGATTCAGTGGAGGCCGAGTTACCTCGGTACCCCACAAGCTATAGACCGGGGGCTGAGCATTGTCCTTGTCCACTACCGGACCGAGTCGGCTAGACTGCCGTCAGCGTTGTTGCGCTTCTTCTCCTGCTGCAATTGTTTTAATCTGCTCTCTACACCACATCGACGAGACAGATTGTAGAACGTTGTCTTTTTTCTTCGCGCATTCTTAGAGCCTGTTGTTTACAGATTACACAAAGATAACACATTAGAGTGCAAAGCTACCTGCCCAACGCCAAGATGCCCTTCGACACTGAGCTGACCCGACGGTTGGGTATCAAAGGTACGTCAAAAGATGAGGGAGACGGATCAGGATATACAACGCATCCACAGCGTCACCATGCGTCTGGACCACTTGGATGAGAAGCCGTTTGCGCTGACATGATTTCTTCGTTGTTGGCAGTGCCCATCGTCCAGGGAGGCATGCAGCACGTCGGCACAGCCGACCTTGCTTCAGCCGTCTCCAACGCCGGCGCCCTGGGCATCATCACCGCCCTCATCTTCCCGACACCCGAAGAACTGCGTAAGGAGATCCAGCGCTGCAGGACCCTCACGAACCGCCCCTTCGCCGTCAACATCACCCTCCTCCCCGCCCTCGTGCCCCCGGACTATGCCGCCTATGCCCAGGTCGTCATTGACGAGGGCGTCAAGATCGTCGAGACGGCCGGCAACTCGCCGGGCCCCGTCATCAAGCAGCTCAAGGCCGCCGGTGTCACCATCCTCCACAAGTGCACTACCATCCGCCATGCGCAGAGCGCCGTGAAGCTGGGCGTCGACTTCCTCAGCATCGACGGCTTCGAGTGCGCCGGCCACGTCGGCGAGTCGGACATCACCAACTTCATCCTGCTCTCTCGCGCGAGGCAGTCGCTCAAGGTACCCTTCATCGCTAGCGGTGGTTTCGCCGATGGCCAGGGCCTCGCGGCGGCGCTGTGTCTGGGCGCTTGCGGCATCAACATGGGCACGCGCTTCATGTGCACGCTCGAGGCGCCGATACACCACAAGATTAAAGAGGAGATCGTCAAGGCTCAAGAGACGGACACGGCGCTTCTTCTCAGAAGATGGAGGAACACGACGCGATTGTACCGAAACAAGGTTACCGAGGAGGCGCTCAAGGTTGAGCTGGAGAGCACCTCGGGCGAGTTCTCCGAGATTGCGCCTCTGGTTAGTGGAAAGCGCGGGAAGGAGGTATTCATCACGGGTGATCCGGACTACGGCGTGAGTAATATCCGCATTCGCATTCGAGGAGCATCATTACGGCCTTGCTAACATTTGAAAAACAGGTCTGGACAGCTGGTCAGGTCATTGGTTTGATCCACGATATCCCTTCAGTTAAGGACCTTGTGCCCAGGATAGAGGCGGAGGCGGAGGCGGCGTTGAAGGAAAGGCTATCGCTTATCAAGCCATCGGCGAAGCTGTAGAGGTTGCTTGTGATTATGAGGTAGAAATATGTAGAACGATGTCCTGTATTATGCTCATGATAATTCTGGAACTTGACCACGTCATTGTTCTTCTTTTTTTCTCCTTTCTTCTAGATATTTTAACTTTTCGCAGTAAACCTTCCTCGACGATTCAAGAACGATACGCAACTGAATCTCTTCCATTAAATATTTTGATATGGTCAAGTCTGCCCTTTCTGGTACCTCGACGGCTACATTGGCAGACTCGAGCTCATCCTATTGGTGGTTTTCATATGATTGACTCGCGGTGCATCTTCACATGGAAATTTGTGAAAAAAAAAGAAAAAAAAAAAGGAAGAACACGGGGTAACCCCATACACGGGTCTGACAATTCTTCAAGCCAAGCAAACACGTGTTCCACTTTTTGGAAGACAAAGCACTTTGTCCATGGTTTTGAATTACATCTTGGAGCTTCAGTGCAGCCCCAGCTCATTCTTAGGATTTGACTAATCACCTTTCTCTGTTATTATAATCAACACCCAAAGTATGGGTAAACTCAAGATCTCGTGGGGAATGTCAGACCTCACGGTGAGAGGGTCTCGTGACGAATAGAAAAGAATAAAACAGGCGAATTGAACATCAGCTGCAGATGCTTGTGACGCAAACCCATTGACATTTGGGGGCGCTGCCAGTGTCTCGGCAGAGTGTTCCTTCAGCGAAACCAGCTGACGGATCCAATGACGGTCTCGCTACAGTTGACGCTGCTGCTTCCCCCGCAACAAAACCGGCGGCGGGCGGCCCTGGCAGGACGTACCATGTACGGGGGAGGCGGAGGCAAAGCGTGGAGCTCTGCAGCAACCAGCCCAGCAGAAACAGTGGACAGTGGCATGTGAAAGCTTGCTAGCGCGGGCGGGTCTCCCAAGTTTCGCACCAATGCGGTGTGAGTTCTGGAATGCCTCGGCCGGACTCGAATACCCCAGCTGACATCAGCGCCCGGTTACCCCCCAGTCGCCAAAGCACCCGCTATTTCTCATGGGGGATGGACTGCACATCGCGGCTCTTTGTCAGTTTCCGTTTCTTAACATCCGAGGCTCATTTGCCATCTTAGATCCGAACCTGATCTCACTGTCCTGCCGCCTGTTGTGTTCTCTTCATATCAATACACTTATCCCTTCCACTCCTCCCGTAGGCACACTGTCAAATCTCCAACTCTTTTTGTTTTCTCTATTCTTCATATAACTCCAAAACTTTATATCTACCAAAATGGGTGGTGAGTAGCCCGTCATTGACTCTCGAAACCTGGCTTCTTGTTGCTAATCATCGCCTGTCAACAGCCCTTGAGAGATTGACTCAAATTGGCGGCCAGGTCACTGGCAACAACAAGCAGAAGATTCTCCAGAAGAACCCTGACGATGTAAGCTCTCCCGACCTCGGCATCTCCTCTCGGCCATATCTAACAGCGTGTTTCTTCCCAGGTTGTCGTCACTGCAGCCCTCCGCACTGCCTTCACAAAAGGTGGCAAGGGTGGCTTCAAGGACACCCAGGCCGCCGACCTGATGGCTGGCGCCTTCAAGGCCCTCCTCGACCGCTCCAAGATCGATCCCAGCCTCGTCGAGGATATCGCCGTCGGCACTGTCCTGGCTCCCGGTGGCGGTGCTACCGAGATGCGCGCCGCCGCCCTCGTTGCCGGCTTCCCCCAGACCACTGCCGTCCGTACCCTCAACCGCCAGTGCTCTTCCGGTCTGCAGGCCTGCGTCGACGTCATAAACCAGATCAAGACGGGCATGATCGAGATTGGTATTGGCGCTGGCGTCGAGAGCATGTCTACGCAATACGGGTATGATCTTCCCCTCCATTCCACGCCAGCACACAGCGACAGAACACTAACTTGACGCCGTCTAGCCCCGGTGCCGTCTCCGAATTCTCCGACCTCCTTGAGAACTTCCCCGAGGCCGCAAACTGCAAGGTTCCCATGGGAGTCCTCTCCGAGGACATGGCTCGTGATCTCAAGATCCCCCGCGCTAAGCAGGATGCTTTCGCCGCCTCCTCCTATGCTAAGGCTGCCAAGGCCCAGCAGGAGGGCCTCTTCGACCAGGAGATTGCCCCTCTCAAGGTCAAGTTTGAGGACCCCAAGTCTGGTGAGACCAAGGAGATTACAGTCGCCAAGGACGACGGTGTTCGCCCTGGAGTAACCGCCGAGTCCCTGGCCAAGATCAAGCCCGCCTTCGCAAAGGATGGCAGCATCCACGCCGGCAACGCCTCGCAGGTTTCCGATGGTGCTGCTGCCGTTCTCTTCATGAAGCGTTCGACTGCTGAGCGCCTTGGACAGCCCATCCTCGGCAAGTTCGTGTCGGCCGCCATCGTTGGCCTCCCGCCCCTGTTGATGGGCCAGGGTCCCGCCAAGGCCATTCCCAAGGCCAACGAGAAGGCTGGTATCGCCACTGAGGACGTTGACATTTACGAGATCAACGAGGCTTTCGCTTCACAGTGCCTGTGGAGTGCCGAGCAGCTCGGCATTCCGTTTGAGAAGGTCAACCCCAAGGGCGGCGCTATTGCCTTTGGCCACCCCCTGGGCTGCACAGGCGCGAGACAGATCTCCACGCTGCTGTACGAGCTTAAGAGGACAGGCAAGAAGATTGGCAACACATCCATGTGTATCGGTACCGGTATGGGCATGAGCGCCGTCTGGGTTGCCGAGTAATTTTAAAATCTTCCAGTGGACGGGTTATGTATTTTAGTTACAGCATTTGGGCCTGGTTGTATATCAACAGAATGGTTCTGGATTTAGGCTTAGGCGCATGATAACGATGGTCTATGACATTTGACTAGCTTGTTCTTTCGTTTCCACTCGTGCTTGCTGTATGTCGTAGCTGACTTTTCTCTTTTTCCTTCACTTCTTTACAATGAAATGGCCGGTAACGACCCACTATACGAGGCTTGCGTAGCCTAGATAACCTCCCATGGGAGAGCTAGCCATCCATTTAAAAGATGAAGCTCTCCACTCCGTACAATCTTCTTCACGACTAAAGTCAAGCTCTAGCGCGCAATGAAAAAAGTTAAAACATGCCTGTCAGACGTCCATCGACACCCACCCCAGCCGCGCGCCCGAAGGCAAGACCGCAACAGGGGACGAGATCATCACCGCTCTCTATACAGATACTCCAAATGGAGTATCCGCCCTCCTTGCGGAGAGGTCGAGAGCAACCAGAGTTCTTCACTCTAGGGCGTCGAGGATATAACTCATCAACCAGGGTGGGATCTGTGGCTCCTTTAGGGAACCAAGAGAGGGTCGAATACTATAGAAATGATTCTCCTGTTGAAAGTGGTTAACGATTCTGCTGCTGATACGCCAGCTGTGATGACGCTTGCGCGAGATCACAAGTAAGGGGGGTGGGCACATACTGAAGTATTGTCGACATGAAGAAGAAAAAGAGAAAAGTTCGAAAGCTGCGCTGGGCGGACGAGACTTTATACCTGCTCTCGAAGGGGTCCCGGCGCCTCAGGGTTTGGTGGGGCCGTCGCTGCTGTTTTTTTTTTCTTCTTCTTTTGGCCCCACCATGAGATGGGAAAGTGCAGATGAGAATTTGTGATACGGTTGGGAAGGTGGGGTCGATGGTTGAGGTAGGAACCGCTTCATGGAAGAAAAAAGGAAGAATCAATGGACAAAACTTGCTCTAGGAGAGCCATTAACTTGGACCCTAGAGTTAGAGACTGGTTTTCCAGTCAAATGGATGTCTCCATATCAGTGAGCCCTGCAAGACGCATGCCACCACTCTGCACAGAAAGGGATAATATTTTCAATTTTGGCCAGGGATGTCAACAACAAATGGTTTCGTGGTGTAGTTGGTTATCACGTCAGTCTAACACACTGAAGGTCTCCGGTTCAAGTCCGGGCGAAATCAATTCTTTTGATTTTTGGATCAGTAATACAGTTTTCCCTCTTCTCTTAAGCCATTATTTTCTCCTCTCAACTTGTGCTGTCCATGTAGCGCCGTTCTACTTGCATAATGCTTGATTATATTCCCACTGTAGATTTTACGTTAATAACACAGGTGTCAATATCATTTTGGTTATTCTTCTAGGCGCTCGACCCTTTCTGGAAGAAGAGGCCACTTAAACGATCTCTCCTGGAAGTACTTTTCTTTTCAGGTAAAGATACACAGCTAAACGTCTCCTTCCGTGACATGTTGTGATAAGCTCAAGACCTTTGGCTCTGGTCTCCTGCCGGCTTATGGCCTCACGTTCTCCTGCCAGAGTCCCTTCCACCTCTTATTCTCCGTCTCTCTCCCCAGAGACAGAAGATAATGAAGAGCAGTAGTCATACCTCAGGCTCGTTAGCTTGAATGCCCAACCCAAGTCCCAGTCTTCCCTATTCACTCTTCTCAGAAGCCCACAACTACCCACCGTCATATCCCGCAAAGCTATCCTCACTTCGGCAACCCCTCCCTGGGCGCCCCACGACGGATCTCTCGATCCGCAAGCCGACATGAGCATCATGTTGTCCAAAATTGAGTATCTCCGCATGGTGTAGTTGGTTCATCACGTTCGACTGTAATGGTTATCACCCAAGATGATCGAAAGGTCACCTGTTCGATTCAGGTTGTGGAGAACATCTTCTAAACACATTTCTTTTTTCTTTAGGCAAAGATCTTTTTTGTCCCAGTCCTTTACCTAACATCCGTAGTTCTTGACTTCTGTGTGGCGTGCTACGACTGTAGGTCCCAAAACATCGTGAACTCGACTCAACTTCCGCATCGGAAAGTGGGAATGCGACCCATTCGTGTGGGAGAAGGACCCCTGCCACAGCTTGAAGGGATCTAAGTTGATTGGCGTATAATTTTTAAGAACAAGTTTCGTCAAAGAACTCAATAGGTTTGTTCAAGTCTTTACCTCGCTGGGAGAGCGGAAAGCTTTCAGCGATTGCTGTCAATAGAACTAAGTATTATTCATACACGATTCTCAAAACCCATCTACTATTTCTTTGCTTACATCCGCCCATGTATATCTGTCAGTCAGTAAGCTTTGGCCACTACGAATCTACTTTTCAAACACTTCACCTTATCCCACCTAGGGTTAGACCAGCCTTTGTCCTAAGCAAAGCAGAAGTCCGTCGTAGAATTGTAAAGCAACCTTCACGCCCAACTCACCTCACTCGCAGCAGGTTTAACAACACCTAGCATATTGGCTCTGCAACGGCTGCTCAGGGTCGCTCGTGGTTAGTGAGGTGATTAGTAAATGCCCCCGTTAGCATGGCACGGGCAACCCCAACTTTCATGTAAAGGATTAGGCACCAGGCTGTTGACAACATCCACAAGCCGACGCATTGGGGCGGCACGCTGTCCTTCCCCAAGAAAGAGACAACAGAACGCATTATCAGATTGCTACCTATTCAACAGAACGCTGCAAAGCCATGTGGCCAAGTTAGAGAACGTAAAAATATAAGTTGGATGAACCGAAAACCATCAGGCCAATGACATGAAACCATGTACCAAACAGACTGTCTAGTATTTTTCTCCGCCTCTTACCATATGACCGGGACTCACTCATGTCGCGAGAACCACGTCCTCTATGCTTCTTCGCCACCTGTTTGCTTAACAGCAACAGGCTCCACATTGTCCTTCTTTTCTTCGACTGCAGCCTCAACCACTGTCTCACCAGCCATGTTAGCGGCCAGTGTTTTAACCTCCTCTTTGTGGGGAGTATCTGTCTCAGTGACATCCTCTACCGGTGCCTCAGTTTTAGCTTCGACTCTCTCTTCAGCTGGTTCGTTGGCGATCGACTCCTCCGCCTGGGTCGGAGCTTCTGTCTTTTGACCAACCTCAGCGGGTTCTGTTGCGACCGAGCCAACTTCCTTTTCGGTTTCTGAAGGTGCGCTCTCGGCCTCAGGCACAATCTCCTTGGTGGATTCAGGCTTTGAGTCATCATCGACCTCAAGGACGCCATTATCGCCGATGCTCCAGCATATCCTAAGAGGAGAAAATGACAATGTAGGCCCTGAGGATTTGGCCTCCGTGACAGGCGCCGGACTCTTGGCGGGAGCCCTACGTTGGGGACCACGAGCGCGTCCCTTGCGCGCGTCAGCCAGCGGTGCCTTCTCCTTCTCCTCAACCATGTCCGCAGCAGGTGGCTCCTCTTTCTTCGGAGCCTGGGGGCCAAGCTGAAGACGTTTGTTTAAATCCGACATGAAGCCAGCCTGGAGGGCTGCGATCTTACCACCAACAGGTCTGGCGGGAACGGCGGGCTTTTGTTTAGGAACCGCATCTTGCTCCTTCGAGTCAACGCCGGAAGGGAGAGTCTTAGTAGGGCGAGCAGGAATCTGCGGCTTCGGCTTGTCTGATACAGCGGGCTTTATTTTATCGTCACTAGATGTTTGTTTCGGCCTCGGTCGGTCAGGGATAGCAGGTCGTTCCGCAGCTGAGCTCGATTCTGATCCCTTCTTCTGGGGACGAGCTGGGATCTGGGGCTTGTCGGTAGAAGCCTCGTCGGTGGGTTCGGGGGTGTCGACAACAGCCTCGTGCAATAAGCTCTCCGGAGTGTCTTCCCAGACATCGCGACTAGGGAAACGGTTGGTCATGCCTGGGCGAGCTCCTTCCTCCTTAGTTTGTTGCAATGCGAGAGGGAGGGGCTTCTTCTCCTTGGTGTCCAGACCGCGAGCCTCCTGCTCAGCGAGCTCCTCTTGTTTGCGAGCAAACATGTGGGCAGGAGTTTCCGTGCGAGGCTCGGACCGACGTCGAGAGGATGGACGCTCGTTTTCTGCTGGCTCGGGTGTCGATACTTCGGCGGTGTAGTTCACACTGTCGGGCGCGTCTTCCCAGACATCCTTGCTCGGGAACTTGTGACGGGGCTTCCAATTGCTTGCCTCGGAATCGGCACTCTTGCCCTCCTTTCCCTCCTCGGGGAACAGCGGCTCGTACTCTTCAACATCCTCAAGGGGAGTGGATGCCAGCTCTGTTTGTGAGTGGTTGTTGTAAATGCTGGTGGGTCGACTAGTGGACCGGCTCGGGGCCTTCTCAATCTCAAAAGCACTGCCGGAGCGCTCAGGTGGGGGCTCGACTGCCGGGTGCAAATCATACGGGTGAACATCTTTCTCTCGTTCATCCTCCGCCAAAATAGGCGCGTTGTATTTGGACTCATGGCCAGGATCGTAAGAAACGAAGCTTCTACGGCGGTTGTGGGACTCGTCCACATGAACAGTGCCGTCTTCACTGACGGCGTTTTCCGGCGAAGAGATGGCAATGTCAGGATGAGAGTCCCGGAGGGGGCTTAAAGGAGACTTGATGCGTTGGAGCTCGGGAGACTTCGAAGGCGGGCGCGGTGATGATATGCGCGAGGTGTATTCCTCGGAGGCGTGATATCCAACCTCCTCGCTTGGAGTGCCAGCATATTCAGCGGATGTACCTGTGCGGGTTAGCCACTGCACCTTGCCTAAAAATTATTAAGAGCTTACCCATTCCAGAGCCTCGGCTATGAGTGTCGTGAACGATCTTGTTGAGCTCCGTACTGCTCATGGCATAGTCGTTCTGGCGGTCATGAAGCAGAGTGGAGCAATCTTTCTTCAAGGTATCAGGATGCTTGTCATACCAGGCCTTCTCAAACTTGTCCGTAGGAAGAGCCGAGCTGTGACCATGAAGACCGTAGCTACCCGGGGGAAGCTCGTTGAAGCCGCGCGAGCTATGCTTACGAGAGTGGTGGCGAGGAGTTCCGGACCTCAGACTCTCGGGTGCAGCACCAGAGCCAGGTGCCGGAGAAGGAGCCTGTACATCGCCGAGATTGGGGTTCATCGGCACGCGCTGGCCAATCTCTGGAATACCCTGCTCATCCTCACCAAAGACGCTCTCGGATTTTTGAGACATTTGACTGGAGCTCGCTTTCTTCCTAAGACTGCTAGGTCTCGTCTCGTCACTGCTGGGCTTGCCAATGCCAAACGAGGCCGCTCTATCCGAGTCTGTACGAGTGACAGCCTGGACTCTCTGCTTGGCGCTCTGAGCCGGCATAGTAGGCTTAGGGGCGTGAAGCTTGAGGTCTTCGGCGGCAAAGCGGGTGTGCTCGGGGGAGGAAGGGGCCCGAGGCGGAGACTTGGTCAGTTCCTCGTTAACCACATCGTACTCGTTACCCTCCTCGCCGACAGAGGGCATAGCCACGCTGCCGGGGCGGTGGATAGGTTCTGAGGATAGGAACGCATTGCCTGGAGAGGAGCGGGTAGCCTTAGGGCTCTTAGAGAATGGGCTCTCATTCAAAGGCGAGGGAGCGAAACGATCGGGGTTCGGGGAGATGGAGCGTTCGAAGCGCTTAATAGGACGGGGAGGAATATGGGGCAGGGAAGAGGTATTCGTGTTCTCCTCCTTATCCTGACTCCTAGAGGGTCTGGGAGGGATGACGGGCGGTTGTACTGAAGCGGTAGACATGATGTCTGTGTGGTTTTTTGGAATGTAGAAGACAGTGGAACGATCGCTGACGGTATAGAGAGATGTCGGAATTTGCTACGGGTGGTGGTGAGACGGCAGCGATCAAATGTGGTAACCACTCGGAGGTAGTAATGGGGCCTGGAAGACGCAGAAAGCTGCAATCAGTACGTAGTTCTGGCGGTGTATCAAAGCAGGAAACAAATCACAGCCCCTGGCCTGGCTCGCTCAGTCCGTTTATCTTGACGCCCTGTTCCCGGGTAATAAGGTGGCGGGTTGAATGCAAGATAACGGCTGGAAAGATAGGACGAGGTAAGTTGGCAAGCAAGAGGGGGCAGAAAGACGAGCACCAAAAGGTGACAAAATGAGGATTTGCTGGCAACAGCATTTTTGAGTTTTTAGCTCAATATTGTTGATAAGTGCTTTTCTGTGATAAGATGGTGTCGTATCACGATAAAGTACAGGTAAGAGGCTTGCAGCATTGCATTGCCTTGCCCTTCCTAATCTTGTGTGGTGATAGCTGGGTCCGGCTAACAACCAGGTGGGCCTGCTTTCCCTCACAGCTGGACAGGCTGCATTGGTGGTGATGGTGTGCTGACAATGCACACCAAAGTATTGGACGACCACTTTGGGGAGGAAGGGGATGGACGGGAAACCAGCCAGATCGGCGGAGCAGAGCTTACTCAGGGCGGGGGGGGGGGGACAGAAAATAGGGCAGAGAGAATGACGACTGCGCTCTTGGGAGAACCACTTACAGCTATAGGTATGTAGAGATAAGGATAAGGGGAAGTCAGGAGCTGCTAGGTTTCTTGTCTGGTGAAATTGATGTTATTGTAATAACACGTTGAATGTGACGAGCAAGAGGTAAATGTTTGCAGAATTGATTTGCAGGCTGAGTAAAGGCATTGAACAAATTTGACAATCAAAACCAGGGGGTAGGCAGGGTAGAAAGAGTTACGACGACGTCGACTTTTATATTCTGGGTTGACGAAACCAGCTGGTTCGGTGACGGTGCTGTTGCCGCCATTCAACCAGTCACGAGCTACGTATTCCCTGGGGACAGAAACAGGGATGCTCGATGCCGGTACAGAGGATAGGTAGAGGCGTGTACTTTGCTTTGCGGCAGGAAGGCGCCAGCGCTGGGCTACTGCGTGTTGCTGCAGGAGCGACGAGGTGTGTAGTGAACCGATACAGCAAGTGTGTGGTCATTGTCATACAGTGAGATTCTTCGAGGGATGCACTGTAGGCGAATGATCCAGGTTGGGGAATCCACAGTACCCCGCCATTTAGCCCACTAGTACATCATACAGCAGACGGTGGGAAGAAGGGAAGGAGGAGGGAGGTACGCAATTAACCTTGGAAGTAGGTACCTACCCTCCCAACCACCAAAACCACATACCTTTCTTTGAGCAAGAACGTGTACCTGCCGTCGGTATCTTAAACTGCCAGGGGAATCCCCTCCCCTTTCCCACGACACAAAAACTAGTTATTATGGGCTGGGGCCGACCAGACAAGAACAGTCAGCGGTCTAGCTGAGGTTAGAAGGTGTGTTCAATGCTGTTGCTATGGAATTGATATGACAGCAGCATGGAAGCTAGCTATCGATCTCCTATCTACCTTCCCGTTCATTGTCAGGTTGTTGTGCTTGACTCCTTGGGCTGTTCCCAACTAAGTAGTAGGGCAAGAAAGAAAAAATAAGATAGAGTGAGAAAGAATTTGGCCGGGAAAACTCTCGATCATCCCACCTCTGTTCATCGATCGATCGAAATGCGTTGACAACTGCGCATCCTAAGAGGCTCAATTGGGCCAGAGCACGGCAGCAAGCAACATACACTAGTCAACCAACTGTCCATCTGTCCGCTTTCAGGGGTCACAACGCAGGATCTAGAAATAGCAGCAAAAGACGGGGGACAGAGAGGGAAAAAATCCAAATCAAAAGGCACAGTAGATTTCCCTCGGCCATCAGCTGTCAGTAGTTACGCTAGGTTAACATACCAAACGTGCTCGGCGTCCCATTTGTGTGCTCGCGTCAGTGTCAAAATCTAGAATCAGAAACGAAACCCATCCCGAGTCACCTGCGTCAAGGAAATTCAGTTAGGGCGCTGGGGTGCCCTTGAGTCTTTCACCTTCATTTTCGCTTTCACAGTGTTGCCTTTGACCCCAAGCCTCCAACCGGTGAGGCGGACCTTGGCGCATCAGCCAGGCGCATCCGTCATCCCCATCTTCAGGTCTTATTCTATTCCCCTTTCCCTTTTGATATTGGGCTACCCCTCGTCTTGGGGACCGGACCGTATTATTGACTCTTCAGTCTTGACGGATACTGGACAAGCAGCCAGTTCGGCGAGACAAGACCAGTTCCAGCTTGTGCGTTCGGCATGGGCCTTTCACAGGCACTCGCTGGTCCCCCTCCACAGTGGAGAGGTCCGCCGGGTCACAGTGGACGGGAGCTCCACAGGGCGTTGCCTGGTCCAAGGTCGAGCCCGCCCACGTCCCAATCGAAACTGTCCACTGAGAAAAGTTCGAAAAGTCACCCGCTGACCATGGCCACCTCACCCTAGGACGCCAGGCCAGGGTAGTCAGCACAGGTACAGCTCTGTACCAATCTAAGTACACTTTCAAGTATCTTTTCCAGGAACCGGAAGACTCAACCGGGACGTGTACTCCCGGTACAGGGCCTCTGCCAATTGCTTTCCAAGTCTTGTACTCGATACTCACAGTGCGACGAGAATTCCCCCCAAATAGCGAGCCCCACCATCCAAACCACGAGATGCTGCAAGCTCTGCATTGAGAGCGCACCGAGCTTGCAACTGGCCAGGCCATGATGTCTCGTCCGTTTGAATCTCGATACAACAGAATTAATCCTACACGAAGTATGCACGCAAGAGCCGTTTTGCACACCCCTGCTACTCTGCAACCGCAACCTACCTTTGGGGCTTCGTGATTGCTGCTACGGTCCTTTTTCCTTGTCCAACCAGGTGCTTGCTCTGTAGTGTACTCGTTCTTCACCGCATCAACCGGTAACAAGAGGTCCATTTAATTGAATTTTCCCGTCCCCCGGGTTGCAACTGCGGGCGCCGTTGATTCCGGGCTCTTCACCTGCATCCGCGATAGTCCAGACAGCACTGCCTCTCGGACTTCTATATCTGGCAGCTTGTGAGCATTCTTCAACGGGCGCCTGAGCGCTTGCGGGCAGCGAGGAGGCATTTTCGAGGCGGCATTTTCCATCACTCTAGAACACTTTGGGCCTACGAATGCTTTACTGTCCCGGGCAATCTCACCTGACTGTCCATGCATTGGCTTTTTCTCAAGTGACAATCATCAGCTTTGGATAGGGGGTGTCCCAACAGTATCGGATGAGTGGCTGTCACTGTCTTGGCTCCCTCCCACCGTACCGTACGCAACCAACAGGCCACCGTTTAGTAGCAACTTCCGTCATTAAGTGCCTGACTGACAGCATTCCTGTGGAGGCTTCAATCACAAGCAGCTGTGGACAGATTCAAGCTCCGTTGCCTCCGCAAACCGTCAACTAGAGACGGGAGAAGCACCACAAGCCCCGTTCTTTAACGATCGACCCATGGCCGCCCCTGGAATTGATCCAGTAGCCGTCATGCTTTCAGATGAGAACAGTTACTTAAACAGCAAGCGAAGGAAGGAAAAAAAAAAAAAGATGAAAACCGCTTGAATTCCTACAAATTGCACATTGAAAGATCATATCAAATTCAAAGTGTCCTCTTTGATTTAGAATGCCTCCCAAGTGTGCCCTTGCCGCTCTCCCCCAAGACTGTTGTTTTTGTTTCATCATCCCACAAGACCCCTGTGGGGGTGAAAACGGGGAACAATCGTCACCATCCGTAAGAGAAGTGAGTGGACCAGTATCTCCGTTCTACTGTCACACAGTCCACTGTGTGTAGGCGATTGCTGGAGCAGGCCAGAGCTTTCCAGTTTTTCTCTGTCGTCCACCCCTCGGCGTTGTGGCTAATGACGCCATAACTCTTCTTCTCGTGCCAGACCAGCCGACAACTCGCAGTTCCTGAAAATGACAGTATTGCCCATACTATTATGAGAGACACGGTTTTGAACCCTCGATGCATATTGGAGAGGCCGGAAGTCATTTCATTGTCAATTTCCGTTTGTCATGAGCAACGGTGAGGTTTTTCTCGATGGCTAATGCCACATCACAGACCTCTTTAACCAGTGTGTGCTCCCTCATCACACGCTCGGTTATAGGCCTCCCAACGTCAAAAGTGGATATCTCGATCTAAATCCACAGGTGCGAGCCGCCTTCTAGAAAAACAGATCCCCCACGGAAGCTGACGGGCGTTTACGTCAATATCCGGGGTTTCACAGGGTTTGAAGAATGATCCTCGAGGTATGTAGAACACCCTCATGTGGATGTTGACGCAGGACAGAACCAGGGGAACTCTCTTGTTCCCCCTCACACCAGGCGGTTGACCTGCTTCTTGGCGCAAACTGGGATGCGACCTTCAGCTGTGGTTGATTCTAGTTGATCACGAGCTTCGTGTGACAACAACGCATGATCTCTTTACACATCGCATCGGCACGGCGGCTTCCACGCTTTTGGTATATCTATTGAGCTAGCTTGCCCCCAACCTCCCCCACCTTCTGGGTGTGTTTCTCGATCCTACAACCGCACTAAGCGTATAGCTCTAGTACAGCTATGCCAACTTCAGAAGCTCACGACTTACACACACCCACACACCACTTACTACCGCGGACCGGAATGCACGGCTCTTCCAGACAAGCTCCGAGGGATATCATCCTTCAATTTCAATATTAGTTCATCATGGCACGGAGAGCATCGAAAGAAATAAGAAAAGAAAAAAACTGGCGGCAACGCTCAGCCAACTGTAGCGCTGCGTTACTCTCCCATCATAGTAGCGCAGGAAATGCTTCAAAACAGTAAATTTCAGTGCAGTGAACAAAGTTATCATGACTCTTGGAGCTTTCTAAGAACCAAAGCGCAACCGAGATTGAACACACAAAGCCTGAGCTCGTTCCGGGACGCCGAGTTCCTTTCCGACTATGCCGACCGTGGCATATCAAAATCACATTCCTCATCTCTTTCCGCCTCTGCCATCTCCCCACACCATCTGTGTGGCGCAAATGCGACCAACCCATAAGCTTCCTACACGTTTTTGTTCTGTACAATCGTTGACTCGTACATCTCCGCTCTCTTTTCATTGTGCTCCCAGGCACCGGATATCATTGTTGACGTTGCTTCTGTCCATCTTCATCCAGCGTGAGACTATTCTACCAATCGACGCCTGTTTGGTGTCGGTGTGTAAAGCATCAGATCCTGCGTTAGACAATCATCTGGGCAACACCCTGGCCACCAAGGGTCTTGCTGCCGACGAAGGCCTGGCCCTTGATGCCGGCAAGCAGGTAGCAGATGGCGGTCAAGGAAAGGAAGACACCAGCGGCGATCAAGCTGGTGGTGTTGATGATAGTGCTGAGGAACTGGATGACGGCCATGATAGCGTAGGCGCCAGCACGCATGTAGTTGGTCGAAATCTTGCGGATAAGGCCATCGAAGGTGGACGAGGTAGGGCAGATACGGAGCAACAGGGGGATCTCAATAAAGAGGATGACCAAAGAAGACGCGCTAGAAGCGAAACTTGTTAGAGGGAGCTCCAAAGAGGCTGGGATAACGGTGACGAGGGAAGCTTACATGGCGAGGGCGCAAAAGATGATAATCAGAAGGTGGATGGTGAAGATGTTGGCAATGCCAAGTGCTAAGCACAGGATCATGGAGAGTACACCAAGCCTGCATCGATCGCGTCAGCGGTGATTCTTCTGTGGGTGTTATCTGCAAGAAAGCTCGATGCTCGGCGAAGGTGTTACAAGCCGTCGCAAATTGCTACTCCGGTTTGTCCGAAATGGCATTGGCCGTTCATTCAAGGATTGTTCGGTCGAAAAGAATAGTGTGCGCGGCGCAAAGGAATGATCGGGAGGGAACTCTTACCATTGTCCGTAAATGCCTGCAATGATGGTCAGCAACAAGAACAGCTTGCGACGAATGATTTATGAGGTTGAAACGTACTGAAGTTGCGAGTCGCAAACTCCTCCTTGAGCGTCATCTTGACTGATGGGTTTGTTGGGGTGGTGGTTTATGCGGTTTTTCAGTAGGCGTACGTGGACTCTCGGAGCTGTCTACAGGTGGAGATGGTCCGAATTGCAGCTCACGACAGGTTGACGGGACGGAGATCGACAAGCTTGCAACGGGGGTCCGTGTTCAGTAATGGTTGATGGATAGATATGATGCTATCGATTTCTTGTTGCAGAAAAAGGACGGGCTCGATCGGTTTTGGTGGCGATGATGGGTATCGACGACGAAGCTTCCAGCCACAAAAAAAAGGTGAGGTGTTGTTGTCAGCTATTTTGGGGAAAGGCGACAAGACAAGAGAGTCGTCGTACGTAGCCTCTTTTCCGAATTTGAGGCTTGGAACTGGGGGGTGGGTTTGAGTTTCGACCAGTCAAATTGCTCTGTGTGCAAAGGGTACGGCGTAAGCTGCGGCGGGCGGATTTGGGGGGACTTGGAAAGGGTGCAGAGAGATGCAGGCAAAGTGGCTCCACCGTTTTGACCCGGCAGCCGAAGGGTCCAGTGCAGTGGTCTGGGTAACTTGAGATCCAAGGGCGAGGGCAGCGATGTGATTGAAGGCTGCCTTCTTCCACTCACTCTCCTCCCTTGGTTCACAGCCCTTTTGTTTCTGGCGACCGTACCTTCTGCGGTTTTTTGTTTTTTTTTCAAGAGTGTGTCAAATGTTTCTTCCTTGAAAGGCACTGGTCAAGTCTGCCTGCCTCCCTTTTTTCTCGTCCCGTGTCTTCAGGTGTGTGCCCTGTGCTCTTCTCGATTAGAAAGACACTTCGCCTTAAAGAGGAGAGTACACAGATAGATATGCAGGGAGTCTCAGTCCAATCCCCTGGGCGTTTCGCAGGCTATGACCCTTGAACCGGGGCAAAGATGGGATTGTGTAAGAGGTTTATGAAACGACGTCCTGACACTCTCCGAGCCCGGGCCAAGCACGGTCGATCTTTCTTGTTCCCTTTTTGTTCTTGTTTAATTCGTAAATTGAATTGGATTGATTGATTGATTAAAATTGTTGGCTTACGGATTTCATCGGGTTCAAGTTTGCTGTGTTGTTGTTACTGCAATAGATAGGTTGCTCGGCGTAGGAAAGACACCCCTGTCAAGCAATAAATGAATGGATGAGGTACTTCACGAGTGTGTCTGTCCAGTTGTCTGTTGATGAGCAACTGGAAAGGTTCTGAAGAGAGTTACGAGCGATTCATTGACGTCGCCACTAGTCAATCCGGTTCCTGAAATTGGCGACTTTATACTTGAGACTTCAGGCAGCATCGTTCTCCTGCAATGCCGGTTCGGCGAGGGATACACGCGGCCGGTGGTAAGGGTCTTACGTGGACATTTCTTCAAAAGCCTCTGCGGGACGACGAAATGCACAGCCATCTAGCTGGGCCTGACTCTTACTCGGATGCCTAAGGCTTTTGTGGTCATCTCTTGGACATATGCTTTTCTTTCTTGTATCGTTCCTACTAGCGCTTAACCCACCGACGGCTTTTTCATCATGTCCGGCTTGGGCCGAGGGCTCCGGATTAGCAATGACGAGCCGGGAACCCGAGTGCCCCTCCCGCATCCGGGGAACAGGGCCAAGGCATCGGGTGTCTTAGTCCAGGAGCCGCTGAGATCGGACGGGGCTTCCGTACGGAAACTTTTGTCCGTTTCGCTTCTCTCTTACTCGCCGCTCGCACCGTATTCGCCTGGCGAAGGTGTCCTAATCAACAGAGAATTGTGTAGAAGTCCACGGGGCCCGGAGATATCCTGTAGCGGCTCAAGTGTGGAGATCAATGGGCGTCAGTCAGCACCAACTTTGGAATCAGATCTACTCTAGGTGACCTAGGGTTTACTCGTGATTACATCATTCATCCTAGGCTCGAACCCATCACGAGTACCAAATTCTTTCGTTCAGTCGCGGGTGGGCCGGTACGTTGCGTCGACGTATGGCAGTAAATACTCAATTTGACCGCCAAGCGCCTCTATTCAACTTTAGTCGTATCATAGAGTATTACCTCCGGCCGCAGCGGTTTAACCCCGAGTCAGAAGGAAAAGGGAACAACCCCGCTCCAAGCTAAATGATCACCCACATCGTCCTCGTTGAATTCAACTGATAACCGCTCGCATCCTCCGTACATCATCACAACTTCGCCTATTGAAAAGTTCTCATTGTCATATTTTGGTATTCCGCTATGGTGTTGACAGTTCTCACCGATGACCAGATCAAGGCCATCTTGGCCGATCTGACGGCTGATGAGTTTGAAGGCTTTAGAAGAATTCTCTCGCAGGCTCTTCACGAGTATTCAACAAACACCCACAACATTGAGGATGGCACCTACCACCAACCTGATCGCCTCAAGACGGAAAACCTCAAGACCGGCGCTACGACACTGTATATGCCATCAATCGGGCCTCAGGGCATGGGATGCAAAGGTTTGACTTACACCTCACTTGGCGCCCAGAAATCGCTTACACATCTTTTGCAGTCGTGACCCTCAGTTCTGGAAAAGCATCTGAGGACCCCTCAAAGCAGCGCATCCAACCAACCGGCGCCGTAACACTTCTTTCACCAGAAGGCCAGCCCATCGGCTTCCTTCACGCAAAGACTCTTACAGCCTTCCGCACCGCTCTCTCCTCAACTTGCCTCCTCGCCCGTCGGGGTCAGGTTAAGACGGTAACCTGTTTCGGCGTCGGCCTCCAAGCCTACTGGCACGTCCGACTGGCGCTTTTGATCCGTGGCTCGACCATCAAGCAGGTTAACATAATCAATCGCCGTTTTTCAGACCAGGCGCGCGTGTTCCTTAAGCAGTTTTACCATGTGCCGGCGCACATCAAGGAACGCGAAGGTTGGGCTGACACGTCTTTCAGCATCTTGACGCCTGGATATGGCGAATTCCGGAGATTGCAACGGGAACAGATTCGGGATGCGGATGTGGTGTACTGCTGCACACCCTCAACCGAGGACCTCTTTGAGGCGGAGGTGCTGACAAGTCATGAGGGTAGAAGGAAAGGAAGACTGATTGCGGCCATTGGCAGTTATACGCCGCAAATGAGAGAGTTGCCCGAAGGGCTACTTCTACAGGCCACCAAGCATGAGAAGCCGCATTGGCATTTTCATAAGCATGCGCCTGAGGGTGGCGTGGTCGTTGTCGACACCCTAGACGGGGCGTTGAAGGAGGCGGGAGAAATCATTTCGGCAGGGCTGCAGCCGACGCAGCTTGTTGAGTGAGTATCAATCGGACTCCGGCACGTGGAAGGCAAACTGTTGACGGATTTTATAGACTTGGCGAGCTGATTATGCTCCGCCGCATGCGCGAAGAAGCAGAAGAGGCGGAGGCGGGAGCGGAGACCGAAGGCGATACGGCAAGTATTGCACCTTCGGAGCTCGACAAGCTCGACTTTTCTGGCACACCATCCATCAAATCCGCTTTCGCCAATTCAGATCGTGACTCACGGTCTTCTATCAGCAAGGACTCCACTAACAGCAGCAAGGGATCGCCACATTTGTTCCGCCGGAGTTCAAGCCAGTCTTCGAGCGAGAAGCACAAGAAAGAGGATGCGCTGGCGCGATGGCTCCGGGACGGGACGGTCATCTACAAGAGTGTTGGTTTAGGTCTAATGGATCTTGCGGTAGGCATGCACTTGGTTGAACTTGCCAAGGAGAAGGGCATCGGAACACGTGTAGAAGGATTCTAGAGAGGTGAAGATCGTAAATGTCCTTGTATAAGGATGAAGGTTGTCTTTTTTTGACTTTGTTCAAGATATCCCGATGGTTCCGCGTTACAATCAAATCCCCCCTTGCTCCATTTATACTCGCTCGAATCTGAGGATCAGACTTTCAGACATTGGCCGTGCGGTATAAGCGTCTTCTTGCTCAATGCCCATATCATCAACTATGTGCGTTGTGAAATTGGACCAAATAGCCGCCGCAATGAACTTCATCTCTGCACGTCAACACGTCAGAACCTTCTGTTTGTGAGAAATCTTACTTGAATTAACTTACCGTTCATTGCAAAGTTGGACCCAATACACATTCTTCCGCCGCTCCCAAACGCCCAGAAGTACCGGTTCATGTGCCTTCGCTGTTCCTCAGTGGTCTCCGACTCCAGCCAGCGCGTGTGGTCCCAATTCTCCGGCCAGGGGAACACTTTCTCATTGCGGTGAAGTGTGTAACCTAGGGCGGCAACCCGGACACCGCCTGGGACGTAACAACCACCAAGCTGGCAAGACGGATGAGGCGTTCGTCGCGGCTCTGGCCCCGGGATTGGTGCATGTAGACGCAAAGTCTCCATGATTATTGCATGGAGCACTGGAAGTGAATCGACTTGCTTGGGATCTGGGAGGGCAGGCAGAGAGGATCGATCTGCCGACATCCTCATGGGGGGATTCAAAGTCAGAAGCTCCTCCTTCAATTCTTGTTGCAAGCTCGGAGACTTGGACAGGTGCCAAGCAAGATACGTCAAAGCGATTCCGGCGGTTTCTTGCCCGGCCAGAACTTGGTCCAATAATTCCGATGCCATGGATAGGTCCTTTTTGAGAATGGTTGTTGAGTAGAGCAGAGATTCTTTCCCGTTAGCACGATGCTCCTTTTCTATCCCTGCTTCCAGGGCTCGGAAGACGACTGGCTCATCTACAACATCCTCCTTATCAATTTCAGTATTACTTCCATGAGTAGCCTGATAAGCTCTCTTGCATAGCTTCTCATTCCACTCTCCCAGCTCAGCATTTGCATCATCCACCCAGGCAGGATAGGGTTTCAGAATCGGTCCAAACCGCCCCAAGAATACTGTTAACCGCGGCATTTCCTGCGGCCAGAACCCATAGTTCGCACGCACGAGATACAGCTGCAGCCAGTGGTCTCTATATGCCTTTTGTCTTAAAAAATCAGTACTGTTACGGAGGCCGTACACGTAGGCTGTGATAAAGTCCATGGTCGAGGCAAGAAAGGTGGAGAATGCCTCAATGCCCTGGGGTCTAGGGCCGGCCGCTGAATTGGAGAGCAGAGGTAAGAGACGACCAAAGAGTATGGCCTGAGCCTGTGCCTTGGCAGCTGGTGAGGCGTGGATAAAAGACTTGGAGTACACGTTTGAGATCATGCGCTTACGGAGAGAGTGAGATTTCGAGCCTAAAGTTGAGAACATGCAGGGTACCCTTCAGCGAAATATCAGCAGTGATTTTACAAATTCAAGTAAAGATGCCTCCCAATCACCTACCCGTAGTTGTCAAAGATAGAATACCACTTGTCCTTCTCGAAACCGCCTTGGTATATGGTTTTAAGGGCATCGTACCCATCAACGCTCATCTCGCTAGGGCCTATTCTCACGACGGGGCCAAGCTTGAGGTGTGCTTTGTGGAGAAGCTTGTTTTGAAAGTTGTTCTTCCTTGCAAGAAGAATCCATAGTGGTGATATATGACACGACCAATGTGGTGCTGGTATCTTGGCCAAAGGCGAGAAGATGACTGGATAAAGAATGAAATAATAAACCAACCAGGCAACAAAAGCCACGGAAACGCAAGTAATTAGATTAAATCCCATTTTGGGGAAAGAACACTACAAGTCTGTAGTAGTTAAATATTGTGACTTAGTAGCCCGTCTCCAAGGTGCGACAGTTTAGTCAACTGGGGTCGTTGTAGTCACTAAAAGAAATGCAGCTATCACACAACTGGGTACCGAGACGTTATGCGATTGAAAACCAGCTCAATATCTTCTGGAACCTTCAAAGCTTATGGAGCCGAAGGTATCCTGACGGTTGCTTTGATTTTATGGCATCCAGCGGCTTGGAGTTGATCTGAGTTCAAGCCGAGGTGTCTAACAGCGGGGTCACAAGGTGCGTCTCAGGATCACGGGCCATTTTAGTGGCATGCGAGACGCCCAACGTCAATTCTAAAGTCACGGAACACCTAGGCAATATGGAACAGAAGGCGACAAAACACCACGGGAACCCTCAAGCCGTCCATTTTCGTAGTAACTGTTTGAGAAAAATTGAACTGCTTTGTTATGAGAGTAGAGAAGGGGTTGATACCCCATTAGCCGGAGTTTCGCTGGCCAGTTGCACACCTTGTAAAAGCTCGGTATGCATCTAACAGATATTGTGTCATAGGCACCCGCTAATCCTTGCAAACTTTTCTCTAGGCTGCAACTGGCATACTGTGACTCTTTTAATCCGTCACACAGCATCGGTCCCCAGTTTCGACCTTCAGGGATTGTTTGCTACTCTAGTCAATGATTGTAAAGGCTTGATATCTCCAGACTTGAAAGGGACATGGATTAAGGTGTCTTATAGGAATTACTTTACATTTCTCTTGTCATTTACACAATAGTTAAAGGAAGAGTTTTCAATCCCTTCTCACCTTCATCCTCATCATCTCAACCACCCGTCAGCATCACAGATTTCCGTCATTACCCTTCTTCCAACACTCACAGTTGCGTTGGGATTCTTGGTTTCCCCTTCCACCTGCTTCGTTACTCCTATATCACAAATACCAATCATCAGACAAATAGATTGAGTTCTCAAAGACAGTCGTACGCAAAACATGTTTGATCAGCTGCCAGATGACATCGTTTTGGAGATTGTCTCCCATCTGAGAACCGCTCGCGATGTCGCTAGGCTTGCATCGTCGTGTAAGCACCTCTACCACCTTCTTAGCGAAGATGGATGGCGTACTTTCGTCAGAACCTGCTTCCCCCTTCTGCCCCTTCCCGTTGGGAAGCATCCCAAATGGAATGAGTTGGCGAACACCTTAACCCGCCAAACGCGGGCTTGGGACACCAAAGCTTTCCAGCCCATCGCGTACACGGACAGCCGCCGCCGGGACGGCAATTTCTTCACTGGATACAGCAACGCAGCCCGTCCTTTCCATCCCGTTATTGACGCTCGTCTAACCTTTGACAAGAGCTGGGAGGTTGTCTCCTGGGGCGCTGGCGAAGATGTTGTAGGCCGCTTCAGGCCTCTCAACAGCCGAGGCGACGCAGATGCATGGTTTCGCATGGAGGGCAAAGCCAAGGGCTACAGCCCGGGAGTGGGCGATGTCACGGCTATCCAGCTTGCCGAACCGAATGGGAAGCTAGGCCTTCTTGTCGGTAGAGCCAACGGCGATCTGTCGCTTGTTTCAGCGGCGCCGGGGAGCGCAGGAAAGACGCTCTTAGATTTCAAGATTCCCAAGCCCACTGGCAGCTTAGAAGCTACCACATGGACCTCAATCGGTTCTATTGACATTCTGCCCAATCAAGCATCAGTGATTGCTGGTAACAGGGCTACTGTCAGCTTGTTCCCCTTGGACCCGGATGGCACAGGCGAGGCAGCTCCGTTAGACTCTCAAACATTTGACATGCCCGGCTGTGGCAGGACGCAGTTCGTCCACGCCGCCAAGGCGATGAACAACGACACCATCATCTGCGCGCTCGCCGGCGACACCGACCCGCTCCGTTATCTTACTATCACACCGACAGGCTTTACCTCCAACCTCGTCTCGAAGAACTCTTCTCTCCTCGCCTCTCGCGGCATCGACCCTGACAAGAAACTCACCGTTCGCGCAATCCAACCTGTTAGCCCAGGCCCTTCCGGCCATACCAATCTCCTTTTGAGTGCTTGGGACGATGGAACCTGTCGTCTGCTTGACGTTCGTACCCCGTCACCTTATGATGCCCTCTACCGCGATATGTATCAGCCCTTCGAGCCCATCTCGTCACTTATAACATACGGCTCCGACCGCTTCGTTGCAGGCAGCGCCGAGATAGAGGCGCTCAAAATATTCGACTTCCGATGGAGCAAGTCTTATTACCACTCCGCCGCCCTGCCCTGCTGGTCCGGCACGCCATTCCCGGATCCGCTTAGGGGTACTAGCAGTCGTCCGCTGAGTTTGATGGGGGTGGGATGCGACAGCTTCAGAGGGAGGAGCTGCGTCTGGCACGAGCATTCGCGGCGGGATTACTACCGACCCAACTACCGCTTCCATGTTATGCCCTTCAAAGGCGCTCCGAGAGCGTCCAACTCGCGCATTTTCTCCCTTGCGAAGGCGTCCGACGTCTCTGACTCTTTCTACGTTGGCCTCGCGGGGGCTGTTGCAGAGTTCACAACGGCGATTTCGGATGGAGGCGAGGATGGGGTGCCACCGGCGGTGGCTTCAGCAGCCGAGAAGCGCGGTTGGCGGGCACAGGAGTCACAATTCAGCTTCGCGGAGACGGGCGACGGATTGCTTCATCCAGGTGTGTCGATGAGTACTTTCATGCCTCGCCTCGTCCAGCGGTTCGGGGACGAAATAGATGCACCGCAGTATAGCAGCTGGTATACTCGGCAGACACCAAAGACAGCGGCGTGGCATCGCTGGGATAAAAGCTTTTGGCGGCCAACACACTTCACTTTCTGAACTGAAACCCATTAATAGAAGAATGATTTTAGATGGATAGGAAGGAAGCGGTGTTGTGAACAATACACAATAGATGGCGCCTGAAGCAGGAAAGAGAAGAAGTAGTTTTCACTCCAGGTAAGGTCAGGGATTTGGGTGTTACGGTTAGCACAATTGGAAAGAAGATTTAGCGCATGGGATCGGCGGGAATTACAAATATAGTAGAATGAGTAGGGAAAAAGAAGTTCATTGCAATATTGGTCTTTTACAACTTCGGACACTTTTCTTTTGCGTCCAAAAAAGATATGGTATACACATCACCAACGGCGATTCCTGCCACCTCCCTGAGACTCCTCGCTCTGTCGCTCTCGCTCAAGCATTTCGTCAAATTCTTTTTGAGCCCTGTCCTTCTCTGATGCTCCGGCGTCTTCAGACTGACCCTGCTGACCCTGCCACGCGTTGCCAGATGGCTTTTGCGGGCTCTTTGAAGCTTGGCGCAAGCGATCCCAGGCTGAAACCCCACCGGTGGACGATGACTGAGCCGCTGGTCTTGCAGCCGGAGCAACCGGCGACGCGTCGTCGGAATCCAAACCGTCCGAATCAGCCTTGCCCCAGCCTTGCTGGGAGGCGGAACTTTGCTGGCCCCACCCTGGCCGACTCTCTGAGGCCGGGATCTCTCGCGGTGCTCTGTAATCAGGTCGAGTGCTGGAGTATGTTTCCTGGCCATCTGTCGAGTCCGATGCACTGAGGGCCGTGTAATCCTGGTTCTGCGTTGTTTCGTCAATTCTCGTTGGCTCGCCGTTTCTTCTGGCGATTGCCTCGTCAAGCTGTTTGAAAATTATGCGATATTCCTGTAATTTCGCCTCCGCACGTTGAAAATCTGGTCGAGTCTCGTAGGCTTTGTCTGAAGTGCCTTTCTGTTCTGCTAAATATCTTTGCGTTGCGAGATTGTCCTCTATCTCCCGCATAGCACGGGTGACCTGATCTCGTTGCGCCCGGAGAGCAGAAAGCGGCATTTGGTCTGCAGTAAGGTTGATCAACCTTCCCGGTTTCAAATCTTTGCGGAACTGGCTGAGACGGTCGTCACGAGCGGCTGTAGAGATGGCGACGCTGGTCGCGTATGAACCTAAGAGTGGAGCGGCAAGAAGTCCGGTGACAATACCGTAGGATATGAAACGGACATTATGCCAAGTGATGTTGGCATATTGACCGTTGATAAACGGGGCCCTGAAGCTAGGAAACACTTCAGGGCTGAATTTGGTAAATTTGGGCTGGTAAAAAGGAAATTTGTAGGTGGCTCGTCCCTTCCACGCCATATATCCGCCAACTGCAAAGGCAATGGGCATAATCCAAGCCACGGTGCGGGATTCTTTGTAGGTGATTTCGCTCAAGGCATTCACTTCCTCCTGGGTGGGGTGCCGACCCATGCCTGCTGCAGCGCCGTTGAGCATGAACTTTATCTTTTCAACATGCTGGTCAGGCTTCTGGCCTAGGAGACGCTGCCAGACAGAAAACTGAGGAGTTGGGATCTGATACTCCGCAGGTGGTAGGTCTTTGATGAGAGCTTCGCTGAGCTCAGCCCTCACCGGGACAGGGAAGGCCATCTCGGTGATTGACTGAAGCTCAGTGCCAGGCCTCAATTAACACGACAGACGAGACTGTAATGTATCTGGGGTAAAATTTGTTGAAGTTGTAGATGAGTGATGGCCGTGCAATGAGTATGGATTAGTTGCCGCAGTTTTGCGGCTTGGAAGTCCTGACGTAGTCGTGGACTGACGGAGCTTGGTGGAGGTGAAGAAGCTCATGTGGGTCAGACTGGCGGGGTGGAAAGCCGGGTTTTCCGGCTTTCGGCAGAATGGTTTCTCCAGGGCACTTCACCTTCAATGGAAGCTGTTGTTCGCTCGTACAGTTTAATTTATCACGGGTTAAACTTGAGTAACTATGGAAGCAATAAATTTGTATTCCAGGCTTAAATACGCAGCTAGCCTGATTTTACTGGATCCATGTATTTGTTAAAAAAAAAAAAAACACGGATAAATCTACTGAAAGTGTTTATTAACATATGGCTTCGGAGTACTGCCCAGTAAACATGCTTCAATTGTCGGTTGGCTACGTCTCTACAATGGTAGTAGTAAGACAGACAGTTCAGTGGGTTTCTTAATGCAACAACAAGGGGAAACAATTGTTACTTGTGGGGAGTTCATGGTGACTCGCATTCCACAATGTGCAGGGGCGACAATGAGTTACCCAAACCCCACATATTTCCGGGAACGTGCAGCAACGCGTTGGTGTCCTATTAACAACCGTGGAGCAACGACGCGTCTTTGGACGCGTCTAGAGACAACCACTTTACCCTCCGCCCACCTACCTTAGCCAAACTTGCTTCATGACCCCTGTTTTGACTGGCCGGAACTTCAAAGCACTCCGCAATAGTTTCTTCGGACATTGAAGACCCAATATCGCCGGGATGCCTCTCAAGAAGTCATACTCGGAGCATGTTGGACTCCCGCCAAAGGTACATCTCTGAATTAACCCCTCCATTTGGATGCTAGCTGACGTTTCTCCCAGAATCGCTCGTGGCAACGCTCGAAAAGCAATCCGATCAATGCCCAAACGACGCCGCGGCCTCTGGACCCTGTCTCCAACAAAACGAAGAATAAGTTGAACAAGTTTCAGTTTCAATCGGCGGACAACTTCGCCGAGCCAGCAGACCAAGAAAATGGTGCAGTCAAGACGACCCGAGACGATATCACCATCACACCAACGTCAAAGCTGAGCTGGCGAGACCTCATGGAGTCGAACGCCCCAAAAGAAGACAAGCAAACATCGCCGAACGAGCGGATTCTATGGAACAACGAAAGAAACAAAGACGACCGCACATATGCCGCCGCCCTATCTCCAATGATGCCTAGAAAAGGCCGAAAGCGAGCTAGGAGCTCTTCGCCTATATCGTCTCCTTCGCATGAGCAACCTGCTACGCCGGCAGTTAATGTCAAGAAGCTGAGTGCGGCACTCAAATCGCCTCATGCGGATCCAACACTCGAGCTGTGGGACCGGTTTTCTCTGAGCAGCAACGGCAACGTCACGCCGCTGGGCGTGACGAATCCCGCTCTTGCGCATCTAATGTTTTCCTCGTCTCCCCGCAATCCTAAGACTGCTCCTGCCCCTGCTTCTGTTCCTTCCGCCGATGCGAGTTTGCGGAGAGCGATAAGTTGCGGTCTTAACTGGCCAAAGAGGAGAAGGATAGACCGTTCGGACACACCGTCATTCAATAGCACATTGACGAGAGAAACGACGGATAGCTCTAAGAATTCTCTTGTCACAGCCCTGCTGGATACTGTCACCGGCAGCATACAAGAAGACGGCAGTCCGCCGCAAGTATTAGATCCCCCTGTCGAGCATGATATAGAAACGCCGTCTCGCAAGAAAAGAAAACCAGACATCATAAGATCACCTCCTATGTCACCGACACCGAGACCATCTCGAGTACTAAACATATCACATCCAGACAAGAAAAAGGACCTGCAAATGGTGAAAGACTTAGGGCTGGATATGGAAACGAAAACAGGCGCAGCAGAATCTGATTACGGTGATGATTTTGACGAGTTAGACGATGACACTTTTCTGGAACTGGAAGCCGGCATGAGTCTATCACACCCAAAGGAAGACACCAGTGAACAAGCCCCCCCAGTGCCACCGCATACCCAAATAATCAAAGGAAACGATGCTATAGTGGACGACGAATTTGATGATTTGGATGATGACATATTCGAGGTTGCGGAAGGGATCATGGAGAGTGCAGAAACCGAGGCTATATCACACTCTGCGTCATCCACAAAGTCGTCTTCTGCAAAGAATATGGTGCCTTCTCTTGACAACGACCCAGACGACGTTTTCGGTGACGACTTTGGTGCAGACTTTGATTTCGAGGCCGCAGAGCTTGCCGCGACGCAGTCCGCTCAGCAATCACACGCCCCTTTCACAACTGCTGTACGTCCCAACCAACGGCTGCCGCGATAGCAAATGCTAAGATGAAGGTAGACGAGCCAAAAGCCCAAAGCTATTCAGCGATATCTGGTGACCAATGTCCTAGACAACGTATACACCGACGAGCGTGATCGATCCAGGACGGAAAAGGTATGAGGTCTGCCACTATACTACTACATGCGCTTACTCCTAGCTAGATACTGATTGTTCAAGCCGACAACAGCAAGAATATGAAGACCATACATCTCAGAGACGATTGGTATGAAACGCCAGCTCACGCCAAAGCATACGTACATGTCATCGGAACCTTTTCAGCCAGTGGCCAGTGTATCATCAACGACTCCCAAAACATATTAGTACTCCATCCAGACCAGTTGATATCCGCCACTGTTGTCGCCGATTCATTTAGTTGCATGCGCCGGGCGGTTCTGCAGGATCGTGTCAAGGCAACTAGCGAAGCTACTGCTCCTCTGGTCTATGGTACGATGCTCCATGAGATCTTCCAGGAAGCTCTTATGGCGAACACGTGGGACTTAAGGTTTTTGAGCACAATTATCGACAAAGTTATCGAAAAGCATGTTGAGGACTTGTACAAAATCAAAGTCAGCAAGAGTATTGCCAGGGAACATCTTCAATCAAAGATGACAGAGTTGAGCAGTTGGGCCACAGCCTTCGTGGCCTCTCAGCCGAAGGCAAGCATCACACTCCTGATTTATCAAATTATCACTAACAATGTAAAGCCTGATGCCGTCATTCATGACCGTAATGGCAAGAAAGCCAATATGTGCGTCAGTAAGCTGCTCGATGTTGAAGAACACGTTTGGTCGCCTATGTACGGACTCAAGGGGAACATCGATGCAACAGTGCAAGTCACAATGAAAGATGGGAAAGACAAGAAAACCCTGACCGTCCCATTTGAGGTCAAGACAGGCAAGCATGCCAATAGCAACCATATGGCACAGACGGCTCTGTACAATCTTCTTCTTTCCGATCGTTACGACCTTGAAATCGTTTATGGCATCCTGTACTACATGGAAACGTCTCAAACGATGCGCATACCCACCATACGACATGAACTACGACATATGATTATGCAACGGAATCAATTAGCATGTTATATCCGGGAACGTAGTGTTCAGCTGCCTCCGATGAAAAGAAGCAAGAATATGTGTGGGAAATGCTATGCCAAGGCACCATGCTTCATATATCACAAGCTTGCTGATGACGGCAACGGAGAGTCGAGCGGAATGGATGCGCAGTTTGACGAGGTGGTTAAACATCTTACGCCCAAACATCAAGAATTCTTCCTCAAATGGGAGAATCTACTGACAAAAGAGGAAAAGGAAACCCAGAAGTTGAAAAGAGAACTGTGGACGATGGTTAGCGAAGATCGCGAGAAGGTGGGAAGATGTTTTTCGGATGTCGTCATTGAAGAAGGCTCATGGTCCGAAGACTTGGGCACTTCAAAGATCAACCGTTTTAACTACACTTTCGTTAAGCGACTTCCGAACCCAAACCATTCATTCTTGGAGTCACAGCTGGCTGTTGGTGAGCCGATCGTCATTTCCGACGAAGAAGGCCACTTCGCACTTGCTCTAGGCTATGTTACTGCGCTGCGCAAGCAGAGAATCAGCGTAGCCGTTGACAGGCGGCTGCATAACGCTCGCATTCGGCAACCCGGTTTCGACGAATCGAACAATCAAGTCTTTGCTAGCATCATGGAGGTCGTTCCTGAGGGCTGCACACAAGACCAAACTCAGGGGAGAATTAGACAAGCGCCTACTCGCTATCGGCTTGACAAAGACGAGTTTAGTAATGGCATGGCAGTCGTTCGAAACAATCTTGTTCAAACTATGGCTGAAGGCGTCTTTGGCTCTCGCGAAATTCGTCGCCTTATCGTGGACCTGGTTCCGCCGAGGTTCAAATCGGTGCCCACACAATATACTGTGGCAGACCGAGAATCTCTCAACGTGGACCAGCATAGGGCGATCGAGAAGGTTATGAGTGCCCAAGACTACGCACTAGTGCTTGGCATGCCTGGTACGGGCAAAACGACCACTATTGCACATATCATCAGAGCCCTCGTATCCCAAGGGAAAAGTGTGCTGCTTACCTCATACACACATACTGCAGTCGACAATATTCTGCTCAAACTCAAGGACGACAAGACACCTGTCCTTCGACTCGGCGCTCCTGCCAAAGTACACCCAGATGTTCAGCAATTCGCAATTCTGGCTGGGCAGCCCATGGACTCATTTGAGCAGATCAAAGAAGCGTGGCATGAGACACCGATTGTAGCAACAACCTGTCTCGGCATTGGTCACGCGCTATTCAATGAGCGCACGTTTGACTACTGTATTGTTGACGAAGCATCTCAGATCACCTTGCCCATCTGCCTTGGACCGATTCGAATGGCAAAGACTTTCGTCTTAGTCGGAGATCACAACCAGCTTCCACCGCTTGTACAAAATGAGGAAGCTCGAGAAGGCGGTCTTGATGTTAGCCTGTTTAAGCTTCTCTCAGACACACATCCCGACTCGGTTGTGAATCTGGAGCATCAATACCGCATGTGTGAAGACATTATGACTCTCAGCAACACCTTGATTTACAAAGGTCGATTAAGATGTGGCACTGAGCAACTGCGATTCAAGAAGCTTCACGTACCGAATATGAACGCGCTAAAGCATCTCCACTACGACTTGTCGACCACGCACCAACCAGAACCACCAAAGTCGTTCTGCACTTCCATGGCAGAGAGCAACTGTTGGCTCCGAGATCTCATAGACGGCGAAACCCGTGTGAGATTTGTCAACACCGACACTCTTCTACCCCTTATTCGAGAGGAGGCGAAGGGCAACCGCATTGTAAATCCGGCAGAAGCACGCATTGTCAAACAGCTTGTTGAAGGCCTCCTCACGGCTGGCGTCCCCGATGGAGAGATTGGGGTCATGACACATTATCGCTCGCAATTTTCCTTGCTAAAACACGGCCTTCGCAACCACGTTGGCGTGGAAATGCACACCGCTGATCGATTTCAAGGGCGGGACAAAGATGTTGTTATCCTTTCGTTGGTACGTAGCAACGACGGATGCAGCATTGGCGATCTTTTGAAAGACTGGCGCCGCATCAACGTAGCCTTCACACGAGCCAAGACCAAGCTTCTGGTCGTGGGTAGCAAGAATACGCTTAAAGGCAGCGGGAGGGAAGAAATGCTAAGCAAGTTTATCAGTCTCATGGAAGAGCGAGACTGGATTTACGATTTGCCTGCAGATGCATTGGACAGCCACTTCTTTGACGACACAGCAACACAATTTACTGCAAGTGGCATCTCGCCTATCAAGGGGAAGAAAAATGCAAGCTCGAGAACGGGCTTTAGTCCGAGGAAAGCCCCAAGGCTGGGCCTAGGAGTTGACAAGGAAAACTACAGACCTGAGCCCAAGAGGGCAAGGATAGGGGAGAAGGTTCTTATGAAGAACAAGGTCATTCTCAGGGACATTCTTAATGAAATGACGAACGGTGGTTATTGATATACATAACTAGAGTTGGATTATGTGTCGCTGGCATGGGCGTTAATTGGGAACTGTTAGGATTCTGGTATATAGAGTGCTGTATGAAGCCACTCACGGCGCAACTTGAATACGAGCGATTGCATATGTTGGTTTAATCACGTATATCCATTTGCCATTGGAATTAATTGCGATTCCATTAAAGGAAGGACAATAGTCGTCTTCGGGGAAGAAGGGTCTTTTAAGCACACCGACGTCGTAAATCTTTGGGTGGTTGAAAAAGGTCTACCGACGTAACATCGTATCTAAGTCTCAAGGCCACAGAATTCACGAATCATTTTCATCTCCTACATATTTGAGATCTCCATTTCCTTGCTGAAGAGGAAAGCAATTGCCGGGTGTAATAACTCAAAGTGGCTGAATGTCGGGTGGAGTCGGTATTGCATATCACGTGATTCGATGACTAACCATCCCGACGTGGACCCGAGAATCCAACTCCAATCCAACAACCTCACTTGTGAGCAACGACGCAAACTCCGACCACCGTGCCGCGAAGCTCCCACCTCAATCCCCGTCCATCTCATCACCGAAATTACGCCAATTGGGACGCCCTTTCTCCCGAGAAGCAGAGTCACGACTCCGAAGATGCCGGCGATACGACCGACTGCGGCCATCCGCGCCGCCCGCGCTATCAAGACTACTACTGTCGCTCCCTCCACGAGGGCCTTCTCTGTGACGGCCCGCCGTGCTGGTGGCGGCTCCGACTTCGACCCCCCTACCGGCTGGCTCTGGGGTGTTAAGCCCGGTGAGAAGTACGAGAAGGAGGGCTGGGAGCTCCCCTTTTACACTCTGTTCTGCGGAGGCATCATCGCCACTGGCGTTGTCCTCGCCTTCAAGCCCGATACTTCGTGAGTTTGACCCTTCATTTCCTACTGCAGTATTGCCTCTTTGTAAACTTTGGTGCACGAGTGTTTGGAGAATCAGTTGTTTAGAAATATTACCGATTGTGGGCCGGCAGGAGTCGGTCTGGCTTGCGGCAATTTGTTGATTCAGGGTTGTCTCGGTCCATTGACTAACGATGTCCGAAATACAGGCTCGACACATGGGCGCTTGAGGAGGCTAGAAGGAGATTAGAAAAGGAGGGCATTCTGCCAGACCCTGAGAAGTGAGGAGCGATATCACGTCCATACATGCGTACTCGACAAACCGACTTTACTTGGGGCCACTTGGCCGGACGGGGAGAACATAGAAGAGGAGTGGCGTGACGGAACAAAGAACCCGAGCCGCGAGGATGGAGCGAGAAAAAACCAAGAAGCAGAGATTACGGAAGAAAGCTTTGCCTACGCTGGCGATGTCTTTTTTCGACAAAGTGTATATGACCGCCCTTGAACTAGTTTTCCTTTTCCCTTTTTACACTACGAGCGAAGACCTTCCAATCTTCGCGAGCTGCCGAATGATTAGATTACATCGATGACGTTTGAGCTTCTGCGGCCATGTCGGTGAGATGCTGATGCAGTTGTTGAAAGGAGAGGAGACGTAGTAATTGGCAGATTTAGTGGTGCAGCTCCATTGACTCATGCTCCCAGCGCTATCGACTCATCACTCACATGTTTGTCTTGGGCCAGAATAGTTATGTGAGGTTTAATGCGAATTGAGTCTAGGCTATACTCGCACTTGTTACAATTAGCACCGATAAAGAGGAAGCGTAGACACTGCATCCAAACACGTGCAGTACTTTCTTTAAAGCTTGTTAAACATCTATTGCACACGCTTTCCTTATGAATATCTACAAATTTACAACTCTTTGCTAACGCAGCGCTTACGATGAAGCAACATAGCTCCACTCGTGCTCCTCGTCACCGTACTGCCTCGCCTCAATCCAGCCCTTCATTCGCAGAGCGATCTCACCAGACTCCTCAGCTTCAGTAAGACCACAGTTGATGGTCTTGCCCTTCCACGAAATAGTGCGGATGGGGCTGACAATGGCGGCAGTGCCGGATCCGAAGGCCTCCATCAAACGACCCTCTTGATCGGCCTGGTCAAGCTCAGTCATGGTGTACTTGCGCTCAGAAACCATCCAGCCCTCAGGCACCAGCTTCTCGCGGGCCAAAGACAGAACCGTGTCACGAGTAACACCCTCCAGGATGGTACCATCCAGAGGAGCGGTCACAAGCTCCTTCTGGCCCGTCTCCTTGTTCTTGATAGCGGCGAACATGTTCATGGTGCCAACCTCGGTGACGTACTCCTCCTCGCCGAAAAGCCACAGGTTCTGCTGATGGCCGCGGCTGGCAGCCTCCAACTGGGGGACGATACAAGGTGCATAGTTGGCACCGAGCTTCTTGTCACCAACACCGCCGGGCCAGGCGCGGACGGCATAATCGGTGGCCTCGAGAGAAACAGCCTTGAAGCCAGTAGGGTAGTAGGGGCCGACAGGGGAGGCGATGACGTAGAGCAGGGCGGAGCCGGGAGGACCGACGCCAAGGGTCTTTTGAGTGCCGATCATGGTAGGTCGGAGGTAAAGAGAGTAGCCTCTCTCCTCGGGGATGTAGTGCTGGTCAAGCTGGACAAGCTTGGAGATCAGGTCGATCATGGTAGTGGGCTCGAAGGTGGGAAGGGCGATACGGGCAGCAGACTTGTTAAGACGAGCCATGTTCTTGTCCGGGCGGAAGAGTCTGATTTGGCCGCTCTTATCCTTGTAGGCCTTCATACCCTCGAAACATTCAAAGGCATAGTGGAAAACGCATGTCGCGGGATCGAGAGAGAGGTTCTGGTAAGGGATGATCTTGGGGTTCAGCCAACCCTCGTTTTGGTTCCACTCGATGGTGAGCATATGGTCTGCAGCGGATGGTCAGCAATCATGATCCGACAGAGGTGTAAGATTTATTCTGACCAGTGAATTTGCGGCCAAAAACAAGCTCCTCCGGGTTGCCCAGAGTGCCGGGAGTCTTGGTTTTCTCAACAGTAAGCTTGGACGCGTCGATGCCGAGAGGCTTTGCTGCAGAGGCGGCCTCAGGCTTGACGCTGTAAAATCTTGTTGACTGCCACGCGACGTTGGCTATCCTGGGTGAGGTCTGAGATAACCTGAGAGCACCGGCAGCGCGGGTGGCGCGGGGGAAGAGCTGTCGCATCATCGCGACGGTAGCTGTGAAATGGGAGAGAAAAAAAGGTGGAAAGTTTTTCTGGCACCCAAGCTCAGATTCTCGTAAATAAGAGTAGATATATACTGAACGGTATGACTCTTTCAAGTAAACCAAACTGAAATATGTCAGTTGCGGTCAATGGTGAACTCAATTGACCAATCCAATTCTTGATAAAAGCAGAGTAGGGCGCAATTTGAAGGTGCGTGGAGGCGGAGGAGTCAGAAAATCGGAGCGTTATCGGACCTGTTATGCCGTTGCTTTCCATCATTAACTGTTCAGGGTCCCGGCGCCGGACCCGTCCCGCTGCAGGTAGGTCAGCGACAGCATTGATTGGGTGACAAGCACCCCTCTAAAGCCGCGACCAGCAAGTGGGCTGGCTGCCCCAGCTCAGGCAAGGTGCCCAACCCAATTGCTTGGCGGGAGGCTTCTATGCCGAGCACTGGAGCTGCAGGGGTTCGTTACTGTGGGATCATCGCTAAAACATGGATATCTTGCTGATTGGACTTGGGACGCTCTTACCTATCAGCGACGTGGACATTGACGCGGCTGATTATCAGCTTGAGCCAACTTGCTAACTTGACTAAGAACCCCCCTTACTTTGAAAGGCGATAAACGAAAGATTCAGTTTCTCTTCCGACAATAATCCAATTCTTGTGGCTATTCACCCGCCCTGCATCAACCTTTAAGGACAAAGAGGCACCAAGCCCGCGAAGTTGACAGCGAAGTCCCAGCTTGGCGCAAACTCGCCTGTTCCCTCCTTGTCCGTCATGACGATCGAGTCCCCTCGAGTCCTGTGTCCTTCGCTTTGACGACGACATCCAACGACGACGTTCTAAGACATTACGATGTTCTCTTCGGCGCTTAAGTCGATATCATCGACCAATATTACTGCGAACTACTCTATCTCCTCGACACAAACCTCGTCTGCGGGCCCATGGAAGATTTACGACTGCAAAAAAAAGTCGACAGGAAAACCCTACAGCGTGTTCGTCTTCGACAAGAAAGCCCTCGATAGCCATGGCAACAGTCTCGGTCGATCCGGCGCGTCCGCTTTAAAGCGTGCGACAGAAGAAGTCGTCGAGCGATTGAAGAAGGAAGCCTCGAGCCTTGCGAAACTACGACATCCGAGCATCCTAGAACTCGTCGAGCCAGTAGAAGAAACTAGGGGAGGCGGTCTGCAGTTCGTTACAGAAGCCGTCACGGCCTCATTGGCGAGCTTGTTGCAGGACAAGGATGACCAGGAGCGAAGTGGTGGGGTTGGCGGGCGGTCGAGCCGATATGTCACTGAAGACTCGGACGGCGTGCGTCGCCGGCGCGAGTTAGAAATCGATGAGCTGGAAATACAAAAGGGACTTCTCCAAATCAGTAAAGCTCTGGAGTTTCTGCATGAGAATGCCGAGCTGGTTCATGGGAATCTCACTCCTGATGCAATTCTCGTGAATTCCAAGGTCGGTCAACCACTACCAGTTTAGCTTGGACAGTCTTTCGTCTTCATAATAGCACTCGACATGGTGAGCACCGGCTAACTTATATCAGTCTGACTGGAAAATCAGCGGTCTTGCATTCTGCGGCCCTTCTGAGGGCTCAAACAAGCCTACATCATTCCAGCCCATAAGCCTCTCAGAAGTGCTTAACCCAGACCCCCGACTACCTCGGTTTGTTCAGATGGACCTTGATTATACCTCTCCCGATTTCGTTCTCGACAATAACTTCACCACATTTTCTGACATGTTCTCGTTGGGCCTTTTGGCCGTGGCACTTTATAACTCCCCACATCGGTCGCCCCTGGAATCCCATGGCAGTCTGTCAACTTACAAGAGGATATTCAACTCTTCCTCAACTGTTCCGTCCATCTCCAACGGATTCTTGTCATCTAGGCCGTTGCCAAAAGAGCTTTCTACACACGTTCTCCCGCGCCTCATCACTCGTCGACCTGCTCAGCGTTTGACAGCTAAAGAGTTCCAAGAAAGCGAATACTTCAATAATGTTCTTGTGTCAACCATTCGTTTCCTCGACGCCTTTCCTGCAAAGACACCAAACGAAAAGGCCCAATTCATGCGGGGACTGGTTAGGGTTCTCCCATCCTTCCCTAAGACGGTGATGGAGAAGAAGTTGATGCCGGCATTGCTCGAAGAGATGAAGGACAAGGACCTCATTGCACTCATCCTCCAGAATGTCTTCACGATTGTCGATCTACTGCCAGCTGCGAGGCGGGTATTTGCCGAGAAGGTACGGCCGAGTCTCAAGGAAACCTTCGCTCCGCCTCCGAAGAAGGATCAGGCTCCCGAAAGAGACCCAACCAAAGATGCCGGGTTGATGGTTGTCCTCGAACACATGTCAACTATATGCAACAACTGCAATGGCAAGGAATTCACAGACGGTAAGACTAGCACTTTTCAAGACGAAAAGACTTATGTTTGCTGACACTCTCAAGACATTTTGCCCGTGGTTTACGCGGCAATTGAAGCTCCAACACCAGCTGTGGTTGACGCTGCTCTCAGGGGACTTCCCTCTATTCTCCCAGTACTCGACTTTAGTACCATCAAAAACGAGTTATTTCCCGTCATTGCGGCGGTCTTTAGCAAAACCAGCAGTCTTGCCATCAAGGTGCGGGGTTGCCAAGCCTTCGTGGTGCTATGTGGTGGAACACCAGATGGGCAAGACGATGGCCTCGACGCTTTTGGCGCAGCAAAGAAGAAGCCGTCTGCATCCTCAAGTATGTTGGACAAATACACGATGCAGGAAAAGATCATACCCTTGATTAAAGCTATCAAGACGAAAGAGCCAGCTGTTATGATGGCAGCTCTCAGCGTTCTGCATGTCGTCGGTGAGGCTGCAGACGCTGACTTTGTGGCCATGGACATTCTGCCCATTCTCTGGCACATGAGTCTTGGGCCCTTGCTCAACTTGAAGCAATTTCAAACCTTCATGGACCTCATTAAAAAACTGTCGAGAAGGGTGGAGGATGAACAAACTAAGAAGTTGCAAGAACTATCTGGCACCAACGGCAGCACGGCAGCTCCAAATGATGACTTTTTGGGCTTTGCGGGCGTTAGCGGAACCTCGTTTGACCAGTCCAACGGAGGAACGGCAGACGACTTTGAAAGCCTTGTCAAGGGTAAAACAGCACGAACATCCACGTCGGATGCATTCTCTAGCTGGGACGAAGCGCCTGCTGCGGCCAAAGTGGCTTCGCCCTCCGGAACTCGATCTGCAACCCCAAAGACTCCGGCGTTCTCATGGTCAACTCCTCCTCCAACCCAAACAGCAGCATCAGCAACATCGCAATTTGCACCGCCCAAACCACAACCCAGTTTCCGTACAGTAACCCCAGACTTGGGTAGTTTCCAAGCAATGACTCCGATATCAACTCAGTTCTCTAAGCCTTTGCAACCAACGACTCAAGCATCAGCACAACAGCAGACTCATACAAGCTCTTCAATCAATTGGTCTACAGCGGCGACTCCAACTTCCAACTTGTGGTCATCGTCAGCTGCATCTACACCGGGCTTTTCATCCAGTCATTCCATGTCGCCACCTCCAAGCGGATCCGCTTTTGGTGGATTGAATTCATCCATGTCCAACATGTCGCTTGGCGGGCAGCGGCCGGGCTTGTCGCAGCAGTCATCTTCATTTTCGTTGCCACCGCCGCCAGGCAACAACTCGATGGGTTCATCCGGCTCATCCGGGTTTAGTTTACCACCGCCGCCCAGCCACACAACGATGCAGTCAGGTATGGGCGCATACAACAAGCCTGCAACTAACACGGGAATGGGCATGATGAGTCAACAACCGATGAACAGCATGGGCAGCATGGGCAACATGAACAGTATGGCCTCACGACCTGGAATGGCTATGGGCAGTATGGGAATGGGGTCAGGTGGTAGCATGAACAGCATGATGAACAACAAGATGGGTATGAACAGCATGTCTGGTCTTCAGCAGTCGCAGCAGCAGTCACAACAACAAAAAGGTGGTTTAGATAAGTACGAGAGTCTCATTTAGCGGGCACTGGAAATAGCAGCAGGATGGTTGTAGCCCAGGCACCCCAGTGTAGTTGTTTACATGATACACTTGCTCTATAGAGTTACGTTATTTACGGCGCTCGTTAAAGGCGCCTGATTTCTGGAGGTCCGGGCTGAAATGCGAAATAACTTACAGTTGAACTGAATGCATTCAAGTTGCACGCTTGACAAGTAGAGTTGATGAGATGGTTTGTCGATGGGTTTAATGTAGGAAAGACACAGTAACTACACGACTCATGAAGTTGCATAGCGACAAAGTGTACAGAATATTAGTGTTCAGTACATGTTTGGTGGGCCGGCCACCCCGCAAAGTCAAGATTGATGAGGCGCGTGGATAGAGCAAGTATCGGCGTAGCACATGACGAAAAGAAAGGATTATCGGCGTTGCCCGCCTTAGGAGGGAAGAGGGCCGAGGGGGCAATTGCGACTCATAACCCTCGAATAATATTTTTCCCTCTCTTCTGTGATTTGGAAACACAAGCGTCTTGGAAACTATTGGGACTTCTTAAAGTCTCAATATGTTATTGACGTAGGAGTTTTATTATCACTATGATTTATTACACAGGTGTTTGGGAAAGGAACGGATATGTTTCATGAGGGGGCTAAGTGTCCATGATGCGATGATTTGCGGAAGGTGATGCTGCAGTCGGCAATGGAGACCGAGGCGTGCCTAGGGGTTCAAGTTGTGCAAATCATCTCGATCTCACACCACCAAAACAGTCTACTTGCTCAGCTCTATATTTACATCACTCAAAAGTTTCTGCTGGCAAATTATTCCGGACAAAGAGAAGATCATTTCTTTTAGCAAGACCGTTCGGGTTTTGGGCCCCCTCTCCCCTCATTTTTGGACTGAAATGGCTCTGGCTCTTGTTGGGTTGGTTAGTGTTTGTGGTAACGCACGCAAGCAGCCGGGGGGTAGCCCGTCACATGCGGGACCAAAAACCGGAACAAAGTTGGCTTGAGAGCACGGTTGGCGCAGGCTCGAAAAAGCAGTCGTGCGTATGAGATGGAAACTCATTGCACCAAGGATGCTTTGGGGGCTGGCTGAGCAGTGAGGTAAGGTAAGCATCGGCTATTAAGAGAGAAATTGAGTGATACAGGTTGGAAAGCGGCAAGGCGTGAATGGCTGTAGACCCTTGACACTTGCTTTGCCTAATGGGGGATGGGATGCAGAAATGAATGAATAGGGATTCAAGCTGGATGCTGGGCCCGATCGATTTTCCCATGTCATTGTTCTAGGGCGAGTGAGAGGGAAAGTAGGGGCAAAGGTAGATAAGGGGGCACAGTACATTTCTGGCGCCAAGGAGTTAATCACCCTGGGAGCGTCACTCGCTCGGATCAGACAAGCCAAGCTAAGACGAGGTAGAGGAGGGACAGACATTTGTGCCCGCCACACAGCTGGGTAGAAACTCATGGAAGTGCTACTGGGTAGATGGAAACACCCTGGAGTTGATGCTGATGATGTGGAATTGTCAAAAGGCTTAGAAATTGATGAAAGCTGTAATAAGTGCAAATGCCGCTGATGGGCTGAGGTAGATTTTGACGGCGGAATGGTACGGTAAGCATGACTGATTGGAGTGGGAACTTAGCCTGGGTACGTGCGTGAGTGTGTGAGTATGTGTGTGTGTGTGTGTTTCTGGTGTGTCTTTGGTCCCAGTCACCCCCGGTCGGACATTAGCCAAGGTAGACAAGGTAATGATTATATCAGAGCGAAGCAAAGAGGAACACCGTGGAGAAGAGGTAGAAAGGGGACAAATCGATGAGGAATTGCAAGCATTGATAGATGGCACACGCTTAAAGATGATGGAGTTCCATTTCGAGCCAGGTTTCGAAACTTTCTGATGATGGACAAGACTGCTGGAGATGGATTGTTGGACGACTGGGAGCAAACTCGGAAGTTTTGTAGGACGTGGCTCTACTCGTTCTCGTTTACACTCGCTCGTTACGTTAGATTCCGCTCTTCCATAACCGTAGGAGTACCTTTTTTCCCTCACTTTTCAATCGTTCCTCTTCGCATTGCCGCATCGTCCCATTCTACGTGACCAACCACACCTTAGTTTGCTGCGCTGTGTCTGTACACATGGTCCATCAATCATCATTTCAGTTCCGTCTTCAGCTGCCTTGTCAATGACGCGCGAAGGGTGCAAGAAAGGGAAAAAAAAAGCTATCTGGCTGCATTTCGTCTGTCTGAGTATTACGAACTACTAAGACGGACCCCCCTGGTCAACCTTTTACCTTTTTTTATTGCCCTTCCCTTTTTTACCTGGCTGCGCTCTGGCTGAGGTGGGTTTAGCAAATCACACTCTCATCGCACTCCTCGTCCTTTCTCTCTCTCTCTCTCTTCTCTTTTTGCCTTTCACAGCTCCAGCTGTTGCTCTTTGCTCACTCAAATCCAGTCTCGATCGTCTTGGATCCAGAACTGGTCGCCCACTTCCGTCTTTCCCTTTCTCCCTCCGGAACTCACGTCCCTCTGCTACTAGCCTATTTTTCTTCTTTCCCCTTCGCTTGCTTACCTACCAACCTTGTCTACCGCGCTTTACCTCACCTTTACTTACTTTCCCTTAACATCTTTTCCCTTCCCATCCCGTCCATCCCGTTGGGGCCAAACACGTCCCCATTCCATTAATTCTAGCCGTCCCATCCGTTTCGCTCGGTTTTTACTCTACCCACCCAACCTTGCCAACCTTGCAACTCTTTCTCCCTCTTCATTTAACCTAACCTGGGACTGAAGGAACCTTCACCATCTTCCTCGTGTTTACCTTCCTCATCAACTGATCTTCAATCTGTCTCTATCGTTGTTGATTCAGTACCGCGTTCATCAACCAACTGCGCCTTCAGCCAGTTCTCAGTCAATCAGTCTCTTGTTTGACAAAGACTTGGGCACACACGGTCGTCTTCGTCACGCCACCCAGGGAGATAACCGACGAGTTTCGAGCAAAAAGGCGGAACTCGGCCACTACAAACCTCATTTGCAGCCAAGGCATCTTTTTTTTTCTTCCTTCCCTCCCCTTGAAGGCCCGACCGTCTGCAACTTATTAATTACACCTTCCATCAAGCAAAGCACAAAGCTCTGCTCTTCCCACCTTTCCATCCCTCAAGTCAACTTTTAACCTCGCGAGACCATTTGGAGGGCCTAAGAGTTCCCCCCTCTGCGCCAACTCCGTCGCTCTTCATTTCCCCTTCGCCCAGCCCATACCAGGCCCGTCTTTATCCAGGCTATTTTCTGCCCTGTCTCACAAATATACCACATCGGCTGGTCGGCAGCCACGCACACACCATCAGCCAGACACGTACTCAGCAGCTCTGCACTGGTTTTGCTCCAGTCTGCTTATCTCGTTTTCATCACATCTCAGCTTCTTTTACCCGTCTGCCATTTCCCGTCTTGCCTTCAGCCCGTTGAGCAAACAAACGCACAAACTCTACGCTACAGGACAGAACCGGGAAGAGAGAAAAAAAAAATGAAGACACAACGGGCGGCAAACAGGGCCGCCACGGTCAAGAAGCGCAATAACAACAAAACCAAGACAGGTGCAGCGTACAAAGTGGACAATTTCAAGGTGCCCGAAAACCCAACCCTAGACGATATTAAGCATGCCGTCGGCCTTCAAGAACTCGATGCACGCGTCAAGGACGCCAAAGAGTCTTGCTGGGAAACAGAGTCACTGCTGGAAGACGCTTTAGCAGAGTTGGGCGATGCCAAACTCTCCGCGGAAGGTAGGTCACGGTTCTCTCTCCCTCCCCCATTACCCGGACAAGGGCATGACAATACATTGCTACTTTTAGCCTTGGATTACGTGTTTTTCCCACCATTGGCGTTTTGTTGATGCTAACTCGCCCACCCACCCTAAGACCCCGACATCTGCACGCCTGACGAGGCCATGGTCCTGCGCCACCAACTCAGAGCTCTTGGTCCCGCAGAATTCTGTAGAAGGACCGTCGATGCTGGAAGCTACACAGCCAAGAAATTGCTGTCGGCTTTTGGTATCAAACCACCACCCTTTCTAGAGGGCGCCGACGATGAGGCTTACTTTAGCATTTTGTCGCTCGCCATTAGCAGAGAATTGTCCAAACGTGCCAAGTTATTCCGGTTCAACACGGTTGATGATGCCGTTGAGTTGTTAAATCGGAGTCAAAACATCATAGTCCTCACAGGCGCTGGCATATCCACCTCGCTCGGCATACCCGACTTCCGCTCAAAGGGTACTGGTTTATACTCACAACTCGAGCATCTGGGTCTTAATGACCCACAAGAAGTGTTTGACATTTCGGTCTTTAAGCAAGATCCGACCATCTTCTACACTGTCGCCAAGGACATCCTTCCATCTACTGACCGCTTCACGCCTACCCACGCATTCATCTCAATGTTGCAAAAGAAGGGAAAGTTGCTCACCAACTACACCCAGAATATCGACAATCTCGAGGCTAAGGCTGGCATCTCCCCTGATAAAATGATTCAGTGTCACGGCTCTTTCGCAACCGCCACATGCGTTCAATGTGGCTTCAAGTGCGTGGGCGACGAGATCTTCCCAGATATCAAGGCTGGCAAGATCCCACGGTGCCCTCAATGCATTCAGAACCTGCGTCCTAATGGCAGCACGAAGCGCAAGCGCTCCGCAGGCACTGAGAGGAAACGGCGTCGGTTCAGCTCGGACGACTCGACGTCCGATTCAGAGTACGATATCCCCAGCGTGGGCGTCATGAAACCAGATATCACCTTCTTCGGCGAGGCGTTACCTGACGAGTTCAGCCGTCGCCTCACGGAGCATGACCGCGATAAGGTAGATCTTGTCATCGTCATCGGCACAAGTTTGAAGGTGACGCCGGTATCTGAAATAGTAAGCTGGTTGCCGGCCAATATCCCTCAAATTTACATTTCACGACAAGCCGTTAACCACATCAACTTCGACATTGATCTATTGGGCGATTGCGACGTTGTTGTTTCGGAACTGTGTCGTCGCGCAGGTTGGCCTTTGAAACACGAAATGGTCCCCGAGGACCAGGTTGTCAAAGTGAGGCCTGAGGGAAGCTGTGTGAGTAGACATGTCTTCGAAGTTTTCGATCCCAACGCTCCAAAAACCAAGACGGAGCCCGAGAACCAAGAGACGCATTTCGTAAAGCCGGCGAAGCCTGCTAGACCGACGAAGCCCAGAAAGTCTACCTGAGGGCTCTGTCGCAACTACGAGTTGTCAAATGTCGTCTTTTTTTTTTTTCGTTTCTCTCTTCTACAGGTTGTCTTCAGCCCCAAACCCCGAGCATTGACAGCTCACTTCCAATGGCCTTGTCGACAGCTCACTTGATGCCCAAGAGCCCCAACGGTACCTGATTCAGCAAAAACCAAGGGCGTCCAAACCCAAGACGGACGCACTATTGCCGATAGCGACGCATGCGTCAATACCACATGTGGCTGCCGTCATCGCCACGTCGCACATGTGTGGTTTTTACTGTTGTTTTTATTTTTTACCCTTTACTAAGGGGGTTGCCACTAAAAACAATAACCCTGCCGAGACTTTGTGGCACGAACTGGGTCTCCACCATGCACCCGCTCACCGTTCCTTGCCACCAAGTCTACGGAGTTGCGGTCTGTAACAAGCGCACACGCCCTATTCTATTTCGCTAATCAGGCTCGGCATATTACCAAATGGCTTTGTTAGTCCAACGACTAGAGATTCGAGAGCGTCTCGATTATCAGCATTCAGAACCAAAGAAACAGCATTGGACTTTTTTAGTGTTCACCACTGCCACAGATACCAGATTACGACTTCTCTTCTTTTCCCAATCAACAATGCCTTTTATCTCTCTTTTCTTTTCCTTGTTTTCAAGCAACTTTCAACCTCGGATAGGCGTCAAGTGTTTTACAATAAGGGATGGGAATACGGAAACGGTTGGACAAGCGGCGTTTGGGGTTTTGCTAATCCTGCAACAAAAGGACACAGCTTGTTTTGGTTTTCATTTTTCGTTGTTTTTTTTCCCCCCAACTGTGCTGGGTTTTCGGAATTTTGTCTACTTTTTTGTCGGAATACCTAGAAACCTAGAATAGGTTTACCCGCGTCTTTTCTTCTCAAAAATTTCTTTAGCAATAGAGACAGAATCAGGCTGTTTCGGTAGTAATGGACGACAATGATCATAAACACCTCAACTATCCAGTGCTTCTTCGTTGCATGTCTGCCTGCTGACAGGGGTGGCGACTCAGACAGACTAGTCTGGCAAGCAGCCATCCTGAAGTAATATTTTTGCCAGCCTAACAGTTTTATTCCGTCTTACATGCGTCAACATGCAAAGTCGTAACCCCAGCTCTCTTTGTAATCTGACCAAGCTGACTCCCAAAGTACTCTTAAAGAGGCTCAAGGACTTGGCGACTAAATAAAATAATGGGGTGTGAGCTTTGTCTGCCTAGCATAGAAGCAGGCTACAAAGCATTTGTAATTTCCTCAATCAGCTAAGCCTTTCGAAAGCATTTGGAATGGCTGTAGCCTGGAGTTGCGACTCTTTCTCGGATACCGAAGCCCAGGTATGCAAACGATGGCAACTGGAGAAGAAGCGCAAACGTCAGCGCTTGTCTGGCTGGGGCACATATCGCATCAGCATCGTCAATAAGAGATGATTTTTTTCTTGGGTCATAAACATTGCCTCCACGGTCTCCACCAACGTGGTCAGAAATCCTTTCGTGCAGGCGCACAGCATGGCGGGCAGCGGTAAGGGGACTAGGCAACATCTGTCACAGTAGCCTTAACTTAGCAATTGAGGTGAGTAAAGGAATCCATTTGATGTGCGGTTCACAGGTCGTAACTGGCGTTAGAACGCTTTGCTTTTGTCGAGGATCCCGCATCGACGGTAACGTCCGGTTTCGCTTCGTGGCCACAACCACGAATGTGGCTTCTGTCGGCCTCCAGAAATATTTTTGGAGGCTTGGGCTTGGGCTGGGGCTTGGGCTTCCCCTTTGCGAGGCATGGAGGAACAGGATAAGCCCCAGCTGAGTCTCAGTTAAAGGACTGACTGAGGTTTCGCGTCTCTCCATCGACAAACTGAGACGCTCTATAGGTGAGAGACGATCTGGCTACAACCATGCTCCCTAGGATTTGGCGGCAAAAGTAATCGTCACCCCCTGTGTTTGGTGTTGTGTTTCTTCATCTTGTTATGTTCTTCAGGCTACCTACCGAGACAAAATGTAAACATGAGTGGCGCTATGCAACAGTGTACTCAGGGCCTGATAAGTCGGCCAGACCCGGTTTTCCATGCCGGTGGAGTTTAGATGAGCCAGAATATGACGAGTCTTGGAAGAGGTTGATAAAATCACGGCGAACAGTCTATACGAATGGCTCTGCACGCAAGCAGGCGTGCGAAAAGCCTGGGTGCTATGCAAAGCCAAAACAGAAGCTTGTACGTTTCCAACAGCCAGCACGATCTTTCTGCCTGAATACAGTCGATTACGAAGACAAGTATAGTCACTCAAGGTTGGATGCCCTATAGTTATTCGTTTGAACATTATAGGATTGTCCCCTCGGATTCGACAAACCAGAACATCATGGCGGAGGCCGGTTCTTACGACCAACCAAGGCAGCTGAACCGCCTGCCAGGTGCGTCAACAGGCCGGGTAGTACTCACTGTCCTCCAGAGGACGACAAGACTCAGGCAAAAGCTCCGTGACGTATCTATGACTTGTTTGTCCGGTCCAGTCCAATGTAAGTGAGTTCTTCCGTAGAGACAAACTCAGCACCACCGTGGCCGCAAGACCTATGCAATCTTAAATGCAACCTCCACCAGCAACCCTCTGTTCAGCATTTGCATCCCTATCCAATTCTCAGCTCGTATTTTGTATAAATTTGCTTACTATCGGGGACATAATCGCTGAAGCTGACCGAATGGATACTGCAAGGGCGACAACTGACGTACGTACCTCAAAATTCACCCAAGGAAATACCAATAAAAGCTCATTCCATAAACATGAGCACGAAAATTCGATCGCGAGAGCACAACTCCAGCATAACACCAGACACATTTTGGAAAACACCACCATTCCAACGTCTTGGCAGCACTAGAGCCCAGAATCACCCACGCGGACGCAGAAACAGATGGGAGTGCTACGGGGGATGGATCTCCGCGCTGACAAACTCAGCGCAGCTACAGCATCACTATATCACGGCCGGGCAGCCTAAACATGAGAGACAGCATGTCGCCAGATAGGATAGGCTAGCTTTCGCATTATCGAGCGTGTTGGGGCCACCGGCCGATCAGCCAGTTGCTGTAAGTCAAGGAAGGCGGCCTGGTACAAGCCTGTCGCCAGTGGCGCATAGCTGACCTCAACTCTGCCATGTTCCCCTCACTGCTCAACCAGTCAGCTTCGGTGCCGAGATCTCGATCACAGCGGCGCGTGTTGATGGCACTCACAAAAGACATCCAATCAGCGTTGGCTAGTGTCAACATGAAGGGTGGGTGGATCTCCCAAGTTTTCACTAGAGGTCAAGAATAGGGATACCTATCGAGGCGATGTTTTTTTCTTTCTTTTCTTTCTGAAATTAATGATTTCTCGTTCCATAATGTTCGGGCTATGAGCCTGCGGTCTGTATATCAAAACTAAATAAGAACTACCGGGGCGACCGCGTACCCGGCTTTGGAATATAATATCCGTACAAATACACACACGCTTAGCGCACTGCTTTATTGGGTGATTTTCGCTCACAAAACGCCGCAACCCTTATGTAAACCTGCCGGCGCGATTATTTTACTCATTCAGCGCGTTTCTTTTCCTCCCCTGCTTTTTCGTTGGTAGGCTCCTCTCTTTCTTCCCGGATGGAGTTCTCTCTTGAGACCCCTCTCCTGATGTTGCTATTGTCATCGTCGTCGTCGCTATCCCGGCGGGGCCTGCGATCCGCTGGTGACCAGTTGGCCGCGATACCCGCGGCTACAATACCCGCCATAACAGTGGGGGCACCGAGTGCCGAGTTAGACCGGCTACGACCACTGCGTGACCGCTTTCGTGACTCAGGCGTTTGGGCCAGTGAGCCGAAGCTGTCCTCCCTGGTGGGAGTTGACGGCATCTTGATAGAGTTGCTTCGCGAGTGTGACGGGCTGCGCGAGCGAGCAAATGTTTCGCGCGGATGTTGCACCGCGAACTTGAGGTTGTTCAACCGTCCTCCCTTCATGCGTTTGATGAATGCCAGCTCGTCCCGGACGTCAGAGAACGCCGCCGGGTACATCTCGAACTGTTCCTCATCTGAAACGGTAAGCCCAGGAACGGTGTCCTTGGCACGTCGCTTCAAGTAGTCAGGAATAAGTCGCTCGATGAGAGCGTCGGGAATGAGCCGGATGATGACACCGAAGGGAATGGAGATGAAGCCCAAGATAATAGCCATGGCCCACTGAATACCACTCTGACCCTCCGATGCGATCTGGAAGGCTGCACCGCCAACAAAGACGATCAAAACCTGTCCACCAATCATGATAGCACTAATGGCGATGAAGAAGTAGTTCTTCGTAAGTCCCTCAAAAATGTTGAAGTGATTATCCAAACGACGGTTACTATAGTATGTTAGATCACGGAAAAGTAGGGTCTTGTTCAGAGAGGTGTACTTACTTCCACTGGTTGAAGATCTGCATCCATACGAAAGTGTTGAACACCAACGTTGCGATCTGCTCGTCGGGAATATGTTCGGGACCAGGCACAATAGCTTCCTTGCCGTAGAAGAGCATGAAAGTGATAGCCAGTTGGTAGACTGCTTGTCCGAGAATCATCTTCCACATGGTAGTAGTAATGATGGAGGCGTTACGGCTCTCAGGCTTCCTTTCCAACACGCTGTCCTGAGGGGGATCGGTGGCCAGGGCCAAAGCGGCGAGAGTGTCCATGATGAGGTTGACCCATAGAAGTTGAACGGCGGTCAGGACAGAAGTGCTGCTGACGGCAGTAACAAACGTAAGGATAACAGCTGTGACGTTGACAGTCAGCTGGAACTGAAGGAATCGCTTGACGGCATCGTTTACGGCGCGTCCCCACTTCAAGGCCTTGACGATCGAGTTGAAGTTGTCATCCATCAGAATGATTGAGGAAGCCTCCTTGGCTACTTCAGTACCGGCAATACCCATGGAGAAACCGACGTCAGCAGTTTTGAGCGCGGGGGCATCGTTGGTACCGTCTCCGGTGACTGCAACGATGTCTCCCTTGGCTTTGAGCCGCTTGACTAGAATACGCTTATCTTCGGGGCTGGAACGGGCGAGAACACAAAGGCGCGGGATGATTGCCTCCTGTTCAGACTTGGTCAAGTTGCGGAACTCGGGGCCTTCCATTACAATACCATTAGGCTGCAGGATACCGCACTCCTTAGCAATAGCCTCAGCCGTAAGCCTGTTGTCTCCAGTGACCATGCGAACAACGACACCGGCCTTCTGGCAGAGTCTGACAGCCTCCGGAACTCCCTCACGTAGAGGATCCTGAATACCAACCATGGCAATAAAGTTCATAGTGCGGAAGAGATCGTCAAATTCGAGTTCGTTCTTGTCACCGTCTACACGACGGACATTACGAGGTGGCCATTGTTCGAAGTCTCTGTAAGCAATACCGATGGTGCGAAGGGATCGAGATGCGTAGGCGTTGATGAGGGTGTTGACAGTCTGGAAGTTTGGCTCAGTCATTTGGACCAGAGTTGCATCCTGCGAAGGGTCTCGGAAGATCTGTGTGCACTTTGCAAGCACGATCTCAGAAGCACCCTTCACGTAGAGCCTAGCCCGACCATCTGGAAGCTGTACGACAATACCCATGCACTTGCGGCCAGAGTCGAAGGGAATAAGCTGGATTGTCTTTGCGTTCTCACGCTCTTCGGCAACAGGTCCCATACCCAGGTAATCGCGGGCCAGAAGAAGCAAAGCAGTCTCGGTCTTGGATCCAACGTACGTCTTCTCGCCGTCAACCTCGCCTTCAAATGCGGTAGAGTTAAGAGAGATAGACTTAGTCAGGATTTCCTTAACCGGAGCACTAAGCATCTTGGCAAACTCCGCGACCGAAATATCCGCAGAATCATCAACGGTACCGTCGTCGTCACCAGAGGGGCGCGAGCCACCAAAACGATGGCTAGTACCTACAGTGCCAGCAACTACCTGCATCTTGTTCTGTGTCAAAGTTCCGGTCTTGTCGGAGCAGATAGTGTTTGCGTTGCCCATAACCTCACATGCTTTGAGATGCCTGACGAGGTTCATGTCTTTGAGCATGCGCCTAGTGGCAAAGGATAGGGCGAGGGTGACAGCAAGAGGAAGTCCCTCTGGAACGGCCACAACGATAATAGTAACCACGGTAATAACAATGTTGATGAAGTCCTGGCCCTTCTCGGCGGGAGTGACGGAGGCAGGCTGCTTAGGAAGCCTAACCAAGAACTCGATGAACAAAACAATGAAAAGGAGGAGACCGGCGGCACCACCAAGCTTAGCGATGTACTCGGCAATAGTGTTGAGCTTCGATTGCAGCGGGGTGACCTCAGGGTCTTCGTCAAGGGCCATGAGAGTCTTTCCGTACGATGAGTGAACACCAGTAGAGGTAACCATGAAGGTACCAACACCTTCCATGATTCGGGCGCCGGACTGGATAAAGGGGTCTAACTTCTTGGGGTCCTCGCCGTTCTGAATCGCGTTGAAAACATCGTCGCCATTTCGCTTCTTGATAATATCAGACTCTCCAGTCGCCTGGGACTCATCACACTTGACGTTAAAGCCCTCGATGAGCACTCCGTCGACAGGGACGAGATCACCAGGTTCAAGATGGACAACATCTCCAGCAAGAAGGTTGTGGACGGAAATCTCAACCGTCTTTCCGGAGCGTACAACCTTGACATCACGATCCTTCTTCTTGCGGTTCAGTTTGGCGAATTGTCTTTCCTTACTGTAATCGTTTAGTGAGCCGACGATGACGACAATGGCGATAGCCACAACGATGGCAACACCTTCAACCCATTCTACCTTCGGCTCATCGGGCGCGTGAGGCAGGCCGACTGTCTGGTAGATACCGATGGCGAGTGAAACAACAGCGGCGGCAGTAAGAAGCATGAGTACCTTGTCTTGGTATGTAATCCACATCAACTCAAGAAGACTCTTGCCCTTCTTCTCAGGGATTCGGTTGTCCTTAAAAATACGCTTGCGGTCGGCGAAGCCATTGTCCTCGTGCTTGGAGTGATGGTCCGAGTGATGCACAGGTGTCGAGTCCGCTTGGCTCTCTTTGAAATCCCCGGATGAACTGAGATGCCCGGTTGCGTCGCTGAAAGAAACATAGCCGTCGAGATGCACTTCGTCCAAGCTCAAACCAGACTTGCGGTCGCTGCGAAGACCCTTCTCGATACCAGTCAGACCTCCCAGAGCATAGTAGGCCGAAAGACTTTTGGGGTTAAACAACTTGTTCAGCTGTCCTGGGGTGAAGGCGAAGGGGTTGTTTTCGGCTTTAAAATCTCCTTCGCTACCCTTATCCGGGGTCAAGGCGTTCTCATCCTTAATAATCGAGTCGTTCGATACTGGGCTGTTCTTTAGTGTCTTTTCTGTTGACTGGCTCAACACGGCGATAGTCTCGCCCTGAGAAGAGATGTCGTCGTTAGAGTCGATAGAGTTCTGTCTTGACCGCAGGTTGCTAGGTACGGCTAAGAAAGCGCGATCATTCCCTCTCAATGTCGCGACGGGACTTGATACATTGTGGGGGCTTTGTGGTCTGCTGTCCTTGCCCTCAAAAGATGTGTCGGCGCGCAACTTTGGTTTTGTGGGCTTTTCTTGTGGCGCTGCCCATGGTGCATTTGCGCCTTCGGGAACGGTGGTCGGGCTAACTGCATCATCCATGGGGGAAACGGGTGAGTTGGACACCTCTTTCTGAGCATTGTCGGCCATATCTGAAGCTGGGGTTGGCACGACACCAACGGCAGACGGATCTATGGTGATTGTAGGACTAGGAAAAGAAGAACATCAGTCTCGAAGCTTGGCTATAAGGCAGCCCAAGAGGCAGCGCGAGGCAACTTACGCTCTATTCCTCCGTTGCGGGGCTGCGCCTTCTTGAGGGGTAGAGTTGGAATCCATGGCTCCGCGTCAAGCTCAACACAGCCGCCTGAATGCTGCGTAGTCTTAGTGGTAGGTGAGGCGAATCGAGGAGGCCAGAGCAGCTGAACGAATAGGCGAACGTGAGGCTGTGCTAGGTGAAAAATGAGGGAGGCAGCCGTGAGGCGAAAGGAACGACGATATAGATGGTGTGAATGAGGGCTGACGTAGAAAAGGGACGATGGGACGATTCTTGGAGGCCGGGACGTCGTCGTTGGGACCGAATATCAGCGGCAGTAGTCGAGAGTAATAGGCACACGACTGAGAGAGGCCCTGTGTTGGGACGAGCTAGTTTGTTGCGGAGTTATCGTTGGCGCACACCTCTCCTTCTATCAACATGGCGGCAGGCAAAGCAGGGCGAGCAAGGCAAAAAGAGAGGAAAGAGGAAAGGAAGAGAAAGGATTGGGTAAGGTAGAAAAGAGGTTCGTTTCAACGAGCCCAGCGGTAAAGCATGCTGGAGGAGTAAGAAACTGGAGCCGAATAGAAAGAAAGGATGAGGCCCAGCAGTTGTGTTGTTCCAGTGCCACCAGCACCATCAGAGAGTTTGGATCTCCCACATGTGGTGCCAAGAAAAGAGGCAGTGCAAAGAAGTACACCTGATTGGCTAGGTATATGGCCAATACAGGGGTAAGCCCGCGAAGGGGCGCTACCACTCTTAATACGGTTTAGCGTGCCCGACGAGCTTTCGAGGGTCCCAGTAGCTTGTCAGGAGGTGGTCTGGGTAGACCCAGGTACTCAGACTTGGAGCCCAGCACCCTTAGTGTGCAGCCAAGTACCTGCCCGCTACTTCCCGCGTCTTGGTCGTCTTCATCGCTGTCGTGATGTGTGGGCTTCCAGGCCCCCGTGTGGGGCAAGGTCTGATTCACACAGTAGAGTAAGGATAAGACGAAGCGGGTACGTACCTCCCTCCATCTCTTCCTGGCTGGGAGAGTCTTTCTTCACCTTTACGTCCGTACCTCAGTTTACTTCAATTTTTATTTCACTTTTCAACCTCTGGGGTTGCTTCTAGTTTTCCTTTTTATTTATTTTTTCTTACACACAAACTGTGCACTAACCAGCAACCGGTGAGAAGATGAAGTGCCCAAACGATGGGCTTTTTTGGGTAGTATTGCAGACTAGTATTCCTTTATTCTTAGTGACCGTTTTCTAAGTATGGGTAGCCGGGTGGACGCATTGCCATGGATATTTTCGCTTGAGACGTTTGGATTAGAGCAGGGAACGAATTAAGCACCAAAGGACAATCCAAGTTGCCAGTTATTATCAAACGTCCATTACTCGGCGCTCCACCAGTCCACCACGGGGCACTACCTCAACTTGACAGCTGCGTTTCTCTGTTTCCAGCCCATACAGCTGGCGAATGGCAGGTCAATTTGCTCTGTTGTCGTAGTCGTTTTTTTTTCCTCCTTCACTCTTTCTCCCAGTGGAAAACACGACAGGTTCCAACGCCCGACAACTACTATTGATCCTCAAGGCTGAGCGCCAGGTTGACTGCATTACAAGCGAGCCGAGTTGGGCGCTTGTTGCTGGTACTGATGCTGTCTTTTTTGTTTTTTTTTGGTCTGAAGGAACAGGCTACTCTACCAAATTTGGATAGGCACGGCTTGGCTGATACTTGCTAGGCACCTATATAAGGTGGCCTTCAACTTCGTGATGGGTCAGCATAGTTGGTACGGCAATAGCGTGGTGAGCTAAAGTAAGAAACTAAGATGATAACGCCCCAAACCCCCCAGAGATCGGGCATCGATCTCGCCGTTTGTTATTACTATTTGCATTTATTTGTCATTTGTAGTGAAGCCAAACGATTCATACACCAAGCCGTTCACAATGGATCGAAAAATGTAGAAGCACCGGCCAGTTGTACTACGAAGTAGAGATATGACGGACACTGGCCCAGAACCAGTACAGTGCGTAAGTAAAGAGTAACAACAATCGGATCGACCGCTGAATGGCGGCTGCAAATGGTGAGGCAATTGAGCTAGGATGGATCGACAGACGGGACAATACCACTCTTCCACACAAGCTTTGCAAACTCTGCGGAGCACACACAGTCAAGGTTGAATTGCTCAAGTATCGGTAGTTACATCGCGCATGCCTATCCGGTGTCATACTTCCGCTCCAAGGCTGCTCCATGCAGGCTGAAGCAGGCGTTTTCGACAGGCGCACCAGACTGCTTAGCATTACACATAGATTTCAGACACTTTGGCCGTATCATATCTGAATGACGGTGTCTTGCCTTTTGGGCTGTCGAGTCTCGCGTAGACTGGGGTAATATGGGGGGACGCCGGTGCCGGTGTGGATGGATGTGGCAAGGTCAAGCCTGGTTAGTTGGCGTTCATTCACACCTCACATTTAGACATTTGTGCATCCCATAAGCTATCCGAGGAGGGAAGTGAGGAGATGGGATGCCATGTCGCAATTCCTACTGTGGAGGAGAGAGAAAAATCTGCAGTTCCTATCAACTTAGGGCACTGAATCAGCCAATTGATGGGCTGGCGAAGACGTCAAATGTGTCAATTTACAGTGCCTCCGTCGGAGGGATTTGCTGATGGTATTCCCAGTATGGCAGGTCGGAGCCGTTTCGTATTACATTGTATTACAAAAGTGCCCCTCCCAACCTTTGCACCATGGTCACAGTACTACATAGTATGAAGCCACCTCGGTCGGGCGATCTGGCTGACAGTGCAACAGGTGTGCAGAGTTCAGCAGGCGGGGCAAACCGCACCAGATGCCAAACGCCAAGATATTCTTCATGCAAACGATGGGGCTCTGGAATTGCATTTGAGCTTGCATGGCTGGCCCCTACCTTAATTTTGCTTGTTGTGCACGACGACGGCGACTGTCTGTGTTGCAGTCCAAAATAAGCCTTCATCGGTTTCTAGAGGACAATTTGCCCGTCCAGAATTGCCAGACCAGACCAACGCGAGCACAGGGCACATCGGGTACAGAGTTCAGCGGGCAATCATGCATGATGACGCCCATTAAGTCCATTCGCATCTTTACCTCGCTTTCATCAACGCCAGGGCATCGGGCACCCATCACGGCCAACTTGCGAAAAGCGGCGTACGCGACTGTTGATCTCACCCTTTCGGTCTGCCTCGTAGTGACACTGCAGGCGATTTTGTCTCGCTTGCAGCCTATTTCCTAACCCCCCTCTCACCTTATTAGGTAGCCACTGACTAAGTGATTCTTCAAACTCACTTACGAAACTCCAAGTGTGGAGGACTACAGTATTGGCAATACTTCTGAGAGCCACCACCGACCATGGTAAAAAGAAAAACCACACCGTAGGCGCAGCCCGGAATGTGGGCGACAACCAGACGAAAGTCGTGTATTACATTACCGTTTGTGGAACTATTCTCCTGGTCACACAGATAGGCATGTCACGTCACATCAGCAGCGCCTTGGGGTATTCGTATTGTCGAATTGCTGAAAATGCGCATCGTTGGAATAGGTAGTAGGGGGCGGAATGACAATCGACAGACGAACAGACAACATCCACATCTTGATCCCATTCATCGAATGGCATGGCTTGGCTTTTGCTTGGTATTCCAAGATTGAATGGCTCACCAACAAAAGACAACGGGTGAACCGTCCTGAACAAGAGACGACCAGCTTGGCAAGGTGGCGATGCCAAGCAATAGCCGCCAAATTACGGCGGCGACCACCTTGACCTTGGGTACGGATTCAATAAGACGGAAGGCATGCCAAATTTCCACTGCTTCCTTTCGATTCATGCCGCCATGGGAACCCCCCTCGCCCCGTCACTTCTTCTCCTTTTTTACCCCCCAGCGCAATCTGCCGCTTGGCTTGTTTGTTTTGGCGCCTGCTGGCTCCGGAATGGCGGGCCCACTACTTAATTCCGTTACCGACATGAAAGAAGACCACATCGGTGCGCTTGCCGAATCGGACCTCACGAACCTGGGCCGCTGTGGACGACGGTCTAGATTTTTTACGTCCTTCTGTATCCGTATCCCCACAACGTAACCCCAAACCTGCTGAGTTGTTCCCTCTGCCTTGGCTGACCTTCCTGGTCCTCTCGGTCTCTTCCCCCTTAACCACCTCGCCACCATCATCATTCCGGAACTTTTCCAACATTCTACCGATTGCTCCGAATCCTTGGAAATCCGTCATATCCTGGCTCGTGGGTTATCCGGACCCCACATCGAACACGACATGCCAGCCGGCATCTCTCATTCGCGATTCCTCGCGACAGCAACACGCTACCAACCGCATGTGGTGACTGACGGCTTTTGCGTATGTTCTTGAAGTGCCGTCGTCGAATCTTCAGCACATTCTCACCTCCATCCCAAAGTCGCCGTCTGTGTGACCTGGCTAGTGACCCAGTGCCTAAGCATCCGAGAGCCGACGAAACAACATGTCCAACCAATGCCATCATGCACCGTCCGCCAGTCGGTCCAGGCACTTCTCCGCCGGCCGTGTCCTACTGCGGACCACCCGCAACAAACAGCATGAACGTTGAGGTATTGCATCTTCGTCCCATCTTGGTTTATCTGCTTCTTGACTCGCCCGCCTCACGAACATCCTCAACCCAATCTTTCCAGTTGGCCGAAGGACCCGTTTACCTGTCAAGTTTCGTACATGACATCGGGCCTCGTAACACCTGGTAGGTACTTAGCCCCTCCACAACGCACTCAAGATGCTAGTCGGGCCAGCATTCCAACAACAGAATTGCTATCTAGCCTTCAACATAGCCAAGGCATGTTGGCCGCTACAAAGGAGAGAAAACAAATAATACAACCACATGAGAGAAGATTTAACTGATCAGGTTGCCCCTGCCGATGCTCCATAATACGTGGTTACGGCTTCAGCCGATGTTGTTGGGCGACCCTGACGGACGGGCCAACGGGGTCGAAACCGTCATCGACGCACATCCATTGAGGCTGAGCAGCTCAGAACGAAACTCTTTCCGCAACACTGGGGTTGAGAAACGTCGGGCCTGGTGGCGACCCCCTCGCGCAACAAACTTGCTTCGTGCCATGACACTTCTTGCAGACCTCCCTCAGCCCTTCAGCGGCCTCAGTAGCAGTCGGGAGTAGATGACGTTGCTCATAGGTCCAGCTCAAATAATCGCGATGCTCCCGGTTGGCAACTCTTGGAATTATGTGTAACGATTTTACAACTAGCCGGATGAAAAGAGGTAACCCAATTACCACAACTGACCTCCCAATGCCGACTGATTGAGGCTGTGCTATCTCGCGGGATGTTTCAGTCGCACCAACCACGTGCGTCGTGCAATTTTCCGGTGACTTTCAGGTGCCATTGGTATGCTCAGGATCGAAACTTCAGTAGCTCCAACAGTATTTAGTCATGTGTATACTTTGTAATTCGCCTTCAAATTGTTTTTGTTTCCCTTTTGGCCGGCCTTGACTAAGAGTAGGGACACCTGGTTTCGCCCCATGCATGCGCAAATACATCCAACATGTTCAACCTCCCTTTCGTCTTTGATTTTGCTGAACGCTTTCACTAATTGTCTTGAATGTCGCATTATTTGCAGCGACGATCATCCTCATTCGGCCCGTTGAATCTGAACCCCTTCTTGGCAAACATTAGAATTCATATTTATCCCGATAAGTCTTAGTTCCCGTTTGCTTGGCAGGAGATCGTAACTCTTGGCGACGCAACATCACGAGGCTTGGCTGACGGGGAAAAGAGGGAAAGAAAAAAAAAAGGAAAAAAAACGCTGGAGATGTTGCGATTTTGGTCTAGTTTTGGGGGTTGTTCATGTGTGTGAAATACTTGCTTGCCAAGTCGCCATCACGCCGGCGGTATCATCGACACTTGACATACTGATGATGGTGTCAAATAATGTCCGACATATTCTTGCAACTCCTAGGAGCCGCGCGGGTTCTATAACGTGTTGGGAAGATTTCGAAACTTTTGTGTAATCTATCTTGTTGCCGCCCCGCCCTACAAAACCTGTAACCATTCACGTCTTGCCACTCCCATACATGGCCAAGCCAAAGAACGCCTATCCCGTCCAAGCCGTACTGCAAGGCTCACACACCTTACTACCTACCACCACCACCCCTTTCACCTTCTTCCGAGGTCAACCCGTCTGACGTGAATCATGTCTCCCTTCTTCTCGCCGTCACGCGCTTCAACGCCGAAGAAGCCGCCGACAGACCTCTTCAGCGTCTCCTCCCAGAACCCGGCCACCACATCCTTGAGGTCTCCTCCAGTCTGCTTGAAGTCCGGGAAGGAGTTAACCTCGAGCAGCCAGGGCCTGGCGTCGGCGTCGACAAGGAAATCCAGCCCAAAGACCTCGAAGGCGTTGCCCAGCGGCTGGAAGTGAATCGTCATCTCCCTCGCCGCCGCCTCGAACACCTCGCCCGTGACATCGCAGATGCGCTCAAAGATGCCAGATGCCTTCTCCTCCGACAGGTCCCGCGACGCCACGAGGTCCCAGAACTGCTTGACGGGCGGCTGCGCGGACTGTCCACCCTGCAAGCACGTGTTGGTAAGATGCCCGTCGAGGTCCGTGTCCTCCCACGGCGCCTTGTATGGCTTGCCCGCGAAGAGCGCCAGCATCGGCTTGTAGACGTAGACGTCCAGGCTGCCGACGCAGAGCACGTATGTGCGGATGTGGAACTTGCGCGCGTCGCCCGGCAGCAGGAGCGGCGGGTGAATGTACGGCTGGGCCACAAAGTGCCGAAGGTGAGAAGTCGTGATGTAGTCACCGCCGCCGCCGCCGCCGCCGCTTCCTTCTTCTTCTTCCTCATCATCGCTTTCGGGCCTCTCTTCCTCCCACTCATCGAAAATGCCTTGCAACTCCTCCATAGTGCTGAATAACCTGATGCCCTGTCCGCGGTCACTCATACCCGGCTTCAAGATCCACCAGTCCCTGTCCTTGGCGTCCTCGACGCCGTCGTTGCGGTCCATGCTCTCGCGCAGGTCGAACGCCTCGACGAGCGCGTCGTCAAGGAACTCGGCGTAATCCACTTCGAAGTGCTCTCCCCTCTTGACGTGCGTCTTGAGCGCCGAATCAGGGTGCTTGGCAACCCAGTGGTCGACCGTCGCGGAGAGGTAGTGCTTGCGGATGAGGGCCTTTCGGATGATGTAGCTGTTTACGAGAGTTGTCGAAGAGTGGGCGGCGACGTGGTCAAAGTCGAGGGACTCGTAGGGCGCAATGTGCAGGACGCGAGTGTCCGGCGAAGGGAGGGATGCGGCGAGTGCTGGCTCGCTGTCGGTGGCAGCCTGCGGCGCGGGGAGCAGGTTGTACTTATCCGGGAATAGGCGCTCCATGGCCTCGAGGATGAGAGGCTGGACGTAGGGGTCTTCGTAGTGGATGATGGCATGGAATTCTGGGTTCGAAGATGGCTGTCCGAGTGCTGTCCTTATAGGCAGCTCAGCCTGGTGAGCAACTTGCTCCTTGGCCCCATCATCTTGGGGCCCGTCACTACAAACAGAAAGAACGTAAGAAAAGGTTCGGTCTATTGTCTGCGACGCAAATCGAGAGCATAGAGTACATGCTACGCCGCCGTCCTCTAGTGCCTTGTTTGTCTCTTTACCCATCTGTTTGTATAGCTCAAAGTGATACACGTCCCGACATCCTACCCGGCTTCTTCGCCATGTCATGCTCACACGTGGGGTCCAAGCTTGTCTGTCTCTGCGTCTCTGGTAACCAAGGGCTCACTTACAGAATTAACTCCTTCTTGTGCAGGTGCTCAGCGGCATGCCAGAAATTGGCCTTCAAGGGTGTCACGCTATATTAAAATGTCAGCATCAGACCTTTAGTATGGTGACAAGGGGTCGTCGACATGCCTTGTGTAGCCCTCCTTGACAGCCCAGCCGTCGTTGCCAGGCGGCGCCTCCTCGACACTCTGGTACACATCCGTGAACTTAGGCGCCCACTTGAAGTGCTTGTGCTTGTGTCCTGCAGATTTCTCATCCTCACCCTTCTTCTCGGCAGCAGGCGCGTCGTCACCGCCAAGCGCCTCACCAAAGTCACCCTCACGGATCTTCTCCTCCTCCTCATCCTCATCGCCAACGTCGCCCTCAATCTCCTGGAAGCAGCTGCCATCACGCCAGTAGTTCTGCAGCATGGGTGTGAACAACGTCTTGTGGCTCTCCACGCCCTCGACAAGCGGCACATTGACGCTGTACAGGTCTACCTCATCACCAGCAGGCCACTGCTCGTACAGTTTCTGAATAACGCGGACAGAGTGCCTTGCAGCGCCGTCGATGATGACGGGATCATGGTTTCGCGAGAAGAAGGCGTAGCTGATGGCAATGGACTTGCGCTTGCAGACTGCGGCCTCGAGCGCGCCACCAAGCGTTCCAGAGCTCAGGGCAAAAACGGCAGTAGTGTTGCGGCCGTAGTTGGGCCCGCTTACAACAAGGTCAATGGGCCCGCGCTCTTTGAAGAAGTGGTGAAGGCCGATCTGAACACACGACGCCGGGGTGCCGTCAACGAGAATCCACTCGTTGTCGGCTCCGGAGGGGGAGGGACGGGTCGAGGTTGTACCCTCCGTGCCGTGTAGGCCGTCAGCGGAGGGGCGGTAGTACAGTGGCTTGACTGTCTGTCCGATAATGTGCGCTTTACCGATCCAAGAGCGCTGGGTGTGCGGGAGACAGACGGAGACTACATGGCCAGCCTTCTGAAGGTGGTGGATGAGGGAGTGGACGTAGGGGGAGGAATGAGGGGACGGAGGTCCGTCATCGTTGGTGAGGAGGATGTGCATTGTGGTGGTTGGTTTGGAATGTTATCCTCGCGTTTGTGAGTGATTTTGACTGGTTAGTGTGAGGTGAAGACAGAGACGGAGAGATGCAGTGGGCGTAAAGGGCGTGTCGAGATGTTGAAGTTCAGATTTCAGGCCGAAGAATTGCCCCGCGGCGCGAAGGCTTGGCAAGAGATTGCAGAAGACCAATGGGCCTTGTAATGACACACTGCAATGTCGGTACTGGGAAGCCTGAGGGCACGAAGCACCAGGATTCTCTGTGATCAAGGTAATGAAGCCCACCCGTGATGAGTCGTGAGTTACCTAAGTGTTTGTCTGAAGGAAACAGAGACTCAGAGCGCAAAGTGGGATGGAGGGGTTGCAATAGTGGGGCATGTTGACGTTTGTTGGACACAGTTCCCCGATGCCCGCTCTCGGAGCAAAACGGCGGGCGACGTCGGGCCTCACCACAGCATCCGACCTACGTGGCCGCGCTCTTGGCTTACATGGTCACGTTTCCGTCATTAGATGCGCTAGGCTCGGATTGAAATCAGAGGTCGGAATGCGTCGGCAAGTCACAGATCAATGTCACGTATCAATAAATAGGGATGCATGCTACCAAATTCATTCTTCTTGTCCTGGTCTGTAGGTCTCACGGAGCATGTCCCAGCTCGCCATACAAACAAAATCAGTTCTTCTTACATGGCTTAACCAACGCCGAAGCCTTCCTGAACTGACTATCCGCCGCATCCATAAAGGTGTCCTAGCATTCATGACCCAAAAACTAGTCCGCTAGAATAAAAGGAGACCCAAGTTGTAGGTACCACTAGTACCAATCGGCCAACTTTGTCCCAAGAGTGAAAGTGAATACCCATTACACAAAAACTTATCGAGAACTGTGCTTCCTCGTTCTATAACCTTAACCGAAGCGGAATCCCGCAGCCGGGAATACCAAGAATGATATTGTGATTTGTCTCAATACAGAAGTTTAGGTACGAGCTCGCTTAGGAGCAGAACCTGCGAGTGAGTCTCCAGTGCGTTTGGTAGCCGTACTCTCGTGGCGATTCTTGACACGCGGCCAATCGTCAAAGGGACTTTGCCGACCTTTTCGTTTGATCGGAGTCGCCTCTTCTGACTTCAGTCCAGATCGGGTGGTGCGTCTAGTGTCTGGGGGAGTCGCCGCGGGGCCAAACTTGGGGGCTTGAGGGGTCGACGGGCACTCATCTTGAACATCAACCGGAGTCTGAGGGACGTCCTCCGGCTTCTCCAAGTGGTGGTCCTCAATGTCAGTGACGGCTTCCTCCTCCTCTAGAGTCGAGCCAGTGGCAGGAGCCTTGGGCGTGACTGGGAACAGAAGACGGGGCTTGATAGCCGAGCGGGTAAGCGGCCTCCTCAGACGGGACTCTGATGAGCTGCCCTCTTCATCTTCGTCATCCTCAGGCTCAGCGAACTTGCGGAAGAACTTCTTTCCTCGGCTGTAATATTTGTCAGCAAAACAATAAATTTCTTGAGCTACGAGTGTCAACTTACAAGACATAAATCATGCCATCTTCACGCTGAATGGCTTCGTCTACGGCCTGCGACGCTTCTCCTGGGATTGCGACCTTGCGCTTGCTGCGGCGGCGTGGGGGCTCTCGCTCGATAGTGGCACTATCACCGTAGAACGGGTTCTCCAAACTTGTGTCGGCCTCAGGAATACGATCTTGGGAATCAGTGAAAATCTCGATAGGCTCTTCGGTTTCTTCGGCGGTAAAACTCTCCAACGAGTTTCCAGAGTATTTCTTGGATGCTCGCTTCCTCTTGGGGCTGGCCAAGGCCTCGTCATCGCTGTGGAACAAGTTGCGCGCGACAGCACGAATATGAGCAGTCTGCTTCTCGGTAGGTGCCTTCTTGGGGGTCTTGGCTGGCGTAGGCAGCATGCCGGAGCGGCGAGAGACAGTGGTGGTGGGAGGGCGCTCCATCTTGTCGATGCCAAGCGACGAGGCAGCTTGCGATGCGCTCTCAACAGTCAAAAATCCAGACGCTCGACGGACGGAATCCTGAGCAGGCTGGCGCTTCTTCTGAGGTGTCGCAGTCGGCGACATGATGGCTGCGGAGCTAGAAGGTGCGACCGCTTTGCGAGTGGTTCTGGGAGGAGTGCGATGGGATGAGGGTTGGGGTGAAGGAGTTCGGTTTGCGGCTCGTCGAGATGAAATGCGCGCCGACTTTCGAGGAGAGTATGGTTCCCAATTGTCGCTCCAACCGTGTCTGGGAGTGGGTGGTGTTCGGATGGTAGGGGGAGGTGAAGGTGTTGAGGCTGCGAAGGTCGCCATTTTGGATCGGGTAGGGCAGGCAGGTACCCTGATATTCGGACTGCGATGCACCGTTCCTTCCTTTTCAGAACCTTTCAAATCATCCGTTGCTTGTGCAACTCGTGCCTGGGTGGCGAATGCGCGCAGTCGTGCAGATGTCGGTTTGCGATGTCAGACCAAGGGCCTCGACCTAAAGGTTGGAAGGAGATGATGGAGAGACAATGAACTCCGGATCAACTCAGGCGGTCAGAGTACAGAGAAGTCGGATAATCTGGAGATTTTTGGAATATGCTGGCAATCGCAAGAAGCTAAAAAATGTTGGAGTTTGCGATGTCTCAGGTTGCTCTGGCTACAAGAGGTGTGAGTAAGATGTGGATGTGCGGATGGAATGGATAGATGTTCGCGATCATGGGGCGGGCGGGCGGCAGTTGGAGATGGATGCAGGAGGAAATGGTCACATAACGTGGGAGGCTGGGAAAAGTAATGGCTGGTTAAACTGGCACTGAGAGTAAGGTGAGGTGAGTGGGCAGCCCAATTCAGCGACCTGTGCAGCGCACCAGCCCCAGCCCCCCCGTTTTCCAGTGAGGCACTGAGGCTTGAGGGGCTGCCCAACAGCTCATTTTCTATTCAATTTAAGCGAATCTCCACTATTAAGCGGGTACGCGTCAACTCCTGGAGGAAGCGCGAATTTTCGCGTGTACAAAGTGAGTCCGGCAAACAACGCTAGCGACCAGCAAGGGTCTCTTGCTGCCCCTCAAGCATCCCACATTTTCCCCCAAACGGCCAGGGCACTCAGGGCTCCAATCCGAAAGTCTCAACTCATCAACAAATAACGTCACAGTCCTTCCGGTCGCCGCGCCCCCGTCCCAGACATCGACGGTTCAGACCGCGTCCCCAATAGGATCTGCCCTCCAAGCAATCGACGGGGTACAACAACAAACCATTGCAGAAGCCAAAACCCCTCCCCTTCAGTACACCGCTACCTGCAGCTGCTGCAAGGCTCCAACTCCCGCATCATGGCCGACCACATGGACGATTCAATCACCGAAGACATCTGGGCGTCGCCCGGACCCGACGGCCATCCTGCCCCGTCGTCTGACCGGCCCAAAACCCCGGCTACACCAAAGACACCCAAAACACCCAAGACCCCTGCGAACCAACCTACCACTTACGATAGAGAGGCAGCATTGCGGAAAGAGTTGGAAGGTGTGCGCAACATCAATGTCGCAATCGAAGGTATTATCAACACCCTTGAGAAAGCCAAGGGCAACATGAATGTGAGTGCTTGCCGCCGAATGATGCCTCCCTAGGCTACAAGCTAACTTTGCGCTTGTAGACTGTTTCCAGTACTGTCTCCAACGCCTCGACTCTGCTCAATACCTGGACCCGCATCCTGTCCCAGACCGAACATAACCAGCGACTGATTCTCAACCCGAACTGGCGAGGTGCAAGCCAAGACTTAGTAGAAGTTGAGGCTGAGGCTCTTCATAAGCAGCAGCAAGCCGAGAGGCGGGCGGCTGAAGAAGAGAGGCGACGTGAGGCCGTTCGGAGGAAGCGAGAGGAGGAGGAGGAAGAGCGACAGAGACAAGCGGCAGTCAGCAGCGCACCCCGCAGTCGAGGAATTTCTCGTGGACGAGTTCGCGGCACAAGCACGGCATCCACCCGTGGCCATAGCTATTCGAGTAGCACATCGAGAATTGGAAGAGGCGCATCGAGTGTTCGCGGTGGATATCGGGGGCGAGCTAGAGGTACGGAATAGTGTTGGACGACTGTTTGTTTGCGCACGAGTACCGATACCCCAAAATATGTATTATGGCAGTCGGCCACAGACTAGCCTATTTCTTCTTGAAGAAATCGCTCATCTTTTTCATGCCCTTCGTGTTGACCTTCTCCAATGCCTTGACACCTCGGCTTTGGCTGGCTTTCCGCTTCTTTTCCTCTTCCATCTTCCTCTTCTTCTCCGCACGCGCCTCTTCTTCCTCTTCGTCCAGCATTCGTTTCCTTGAATAGTCGGCCATCGACCGAGACGAAGCAACTTCGGCCCGCAACTTGGCAAGTTGGCTCAGGTACTCGTCAAGAGGTGCAAAGTCGACATTGGCTGTCTCCTTGTCAACCAGTAGTGGCTTCAAGACTGCTGTCATCCCCGGCGCAACATAGCTCGAGCAAATGAAGTTGAAGGCAACCTTTATCCTCTGGAGGCTGGTAATCTCATCAGATGCCTGCATAGCGCTGACAACGGTCTCTTCAACACATTCACCAATCGAGGTAGCTGTTGTTGACGCGTTCGAGACAGCAGATTGCGTACTGTCCACCGTTGAAATAGAGGTCTGGGACTCTCCTGACTCGTTACCAGCTGTCGGGGTTTTGGATCCATCTATTGCTTCAATAGCAGGTTTGACTTCTATAGTCACGGCTTGCGACTTCTGTACTTGGATCGGGGCCTCCAGCGCTTTCTTCACAAACTTCTCCTCCATACTGGCAGGAAGGGTCTTGGAACTCATCGCCTGTGCTTTCGATAGAATTTGCTTTACAAGTTTCTTCTCGCTCAGCCGGTACATTTTCTCATCGCCTGCATCGACCGTGTCGCATACTGCCTCCATTCGTGATTCGAGTAGCCTCCGGGTCTTGGGGCATCGCAGAGCCTCGGCCATGTGGGATGACGATGTGGATACGGCATCAAAGTGGTCATCGCTAGAAAGGAAGAGCCGCTTCGCTTCGGTTGATTTGGCGTTAACAGGCCCAAAAAGACCGGGAAGGAGGAGGAAGATTGGGTCAATTGGTGTTGCAACAAAGAGGTCTGCACCATTGGTGACCTGGGCCTGAAGTCTCGACTCATCTTCGTTATTCGACTTTTCAAGCAGACCGGTGGATGTTTCAACCATCCAGCTTCTCGGCATTGTCTTAGGCGCCGCAATCTGGGTGAATTCGTATATGCCTGTCTCTGGACAAAGCAAGTAGCGTGTAGGTATCGCATATCTAGGATTAGGAAGCGAGACTATGCGAGCCTCCTTGGTCGCCTTGGTAGGGATGATAAAAAGCTTTGGGGTATTGTTCGATTCGTCTGGCAAGGTGTATTTGGCTGTTGACGAAGCACTGCTTGCCTCCGTCTTCGCCGCCGGGGCGGACTTGGTAGATCTAGTTCTCGCCATTGTGAGCCGTGCTCTGCTGGCCGTTACTTGATGACTTGTTTTAAGATGTGCGGCTTCAGTGAGAATAAGTAATGTAGAATGTCAATAAAGAAAAAAGGTAGAACAGTTTGAATGCGGACGAAGCAAATGTCCAAAGATTGAAAGTGAGCATGTCCAACTTGTAGGCCAGGGTTGAGCGTGGATAGATGGCCGGAGGTACGAAGTTACTTCGGTTCTGAACCCTGCGCTCAGGCGCGACGCGCAGAGTTCAATTAGAAGTGGAACCGCGTCTTCTGGGGTCTGTCGCGACAGCAGCCAATAGAAAGCCCGCAAATACTCGCACCACTCCACGTCAAACTCCTCTTCTCAGCTTAGCCTATCCAGGCTTATCGTGACGACAAGTTCAGATGCGATGGTTGATAACGATCAAGACATTCCCACCGGCATAAGCGTACCTTAGCTCGCGAATAAACTTGGTCAATTTTGGCTGCACCAACGCCAACGTCGCTCCTTTAGCCACTTCTCCGGCATTCTTGGGTCTCTGCCTTTTCCTTTGTTCCCTGGGTGCGAATGTTTGTTTGCTAGTCCAGACCCCATCAAGGAGCAACTGAGCCTTGCGCCCAAAGAAGCTGAGCAGGCCCGGCTGGCGGGTCATGGGCCTTGTGGCGTTGAAGCTCCATCGAATCGCCTTGTCGGAGAATGTACGAAGGCGACAATAATACCGACGACCACGTTACAGTGACCTACTAGCAGAATGCCTCCTGGTTCGTTATTTCGACAGTATTAGGAGAACATGATCATAACATTCAAGCAGCTGCCCCACCCGACGAGCCTCAATGGCCCCCTCGATCCCCTCACGAAGCCCTCATCAGCACACCAGGCGGGCGCGATCGCTTAAGACGACTTGCGAACCGAACATCTCCCTCTCCATCGCCGCTGAAAAGAGGACGATCGATGTCAGCTTTATCGTCACGGTCGGCAGGTTTGATGGAGGAAATGGACGACCAAGAGGAAGACGAGGATGAAGAGACTCTTCAACTTAAATTACAGGAAATTCAGGCGAGGTTAAAATTGAAAAAGTTACAGAGCGCAAAGGAGAAGAATGCAGGGGCTATGTCACCCAGACGCAGGACGCCTCCGCCCGCGCTTCCAAGACCAGCATCAAGAGGATTGGGGCTCGGCACAAGTCGACCAGCATCGAGACCACTGTCCTATCCTGCAGTTGAGGTACCTGTCTCTCCTGTAAGGAAGATGCAGCCTCCACAGCCTCAAACATCGCCCAGTCGGGTTCTCCTCGGCATTGATAAGGGCCTCAAAGCGAAGGATATTTCGTTGAAAAGAGCCCCAAGTGTATTGCGCAGAAACCACAATTCGCAGGACGGGCAATTCGGCGGTTATCTTCAACGATCAAGAACTCCTGGCCCTCAGTCTACAACAGAAATATCTCGGCCCCTGAGCTTTAACGAGAGGTTAGCTGCAGCAAGGACAACAGAAACTGATCGCCAAGAATTAAGAGACAGAGTTCAGCGCGTCAGGACTGGTGCTTTCGAAATTGGGCAGAAGGAAATCGATGAATACAAATCGAGGGCAGTCGACCTCCCCGAACAACCCGACATTGCGCCAAAATTCACTCGAGAAGACATACTTGGACACACAGCCGCCGAAGAGGATGACCAAGCCGAACGCAACGGGCAACTTGCGCTCCCTGCACCGCCGCCAAAAGATGAGGACGACCCACAAGGTCTTTACGAGCCTCCGCCTGAATCGATGATGGCTGAGGCTAAGTCGAAGAACACCAAAAAGGTCGCTCCTGCAGACATTCCTGAGGCTGAAGCATCAGCGTTTGAACCATACTCTAGCTTCCATCTTTCACAACGCATCCTACCTCACCAGGTCCTTACGAGGCATCTCTCTGGGAAGAAAATCTTCAAGGTGCCAGACTTGTTACGAAAAGTCAAAGCTCCCGATTTCCAACTTCCAGACGTTGAGCAGGATATTGTTGTCTTTGCCATTGTGGCCAAGAAGTCCGAACCACGGTCACACAAGCCACGGCCAGATCAAAATGGAAGTAAGCAATCGGACAGGGGGAAGTATATGGTACTTACCCTTTGTGATCTGAAATGGGACCTGGAGTTGTTTCTCTTTAACTCAGGGTTTACTCGGTTCTGGAAGATCACAGAAGGCACAGTGCTAGCCATCCTGAACCCTACCATCATGCCGCCTCCAGCAGGCCGTGAAGCAACAGGTCGATTCAGTTTGGTCATCAATTCCGACGCTGATACAATCATGGAAGTTGGGCGCGCTCGCGATTTGGGCTTCTGCAAGTCTACCAAGAAGGACGGCGAATACTGTAACTCGTGGGTTAATAAGAAACGGACAGAATTCTGTGAGTTTCATACCAACGAGGCAATCACCAAGCAGCGAGCAACCCGTTTGGAGGTTAACTCGATGGATTTTGGGGGCATTGGGGAGAGACATCGATTCAACTCCCGCTATATCCGAGACCCAGATCCGGTCGAACAAAAGAAGCGTCAATATGACCGAGAGACGCACAGCCATTGGTTTGCAACCAAGTCGATGAGCTCTGCGCAGCTCATTGATGGAGCACAAGCCCTTGCAGATCGAAGGGAAAAAGAAGAAGGGCTGAAGAAGCGAATGCTGCAGCAGGAGCGGGAAAGGGGCATCATGCAGCGTCTGAGTAAAATTGGGGCCGGAGCAGGAAAGGAGTACATGAAGAGAGCGGATCGTAACATTGCCTCCAGTGCATCTTCATCTTTCCCTCCACCATCAATCCCATCATCCAGGTCTACTGAAGAGTCACATGGGCTTAACGCCAAGTCTTTAGGTCTAATGGCCCCCAGAAGCAAAGACCTGGCCATACATCTAAGCCCTGTCAAGCGCAAGAGGCCACAGAGCGCACAATCCAGTTCTTCGGTAGGAGCTGCGGCATCAGCAACGAGTGGTGCGAAGTCTGGTTTTGGATGGGGCGGCAATCTCAAGGATAAACTTGCCAAGATGAAAGAAGGCGAGAAGCTGAGCAACGACAAGCCTCCGGTGCGGAAGAAGACGAGATTTGTGACAGAGAAGGGTATCCGCGAGGCCGGGCGAGAGAGCTTGGGAATGGACCTGCCACAGACGGTCTCCTTTGAAGATGACGATGACGACTTGGTTATTCTCCGGTGAGCCTGGGTAGCATTTTGGAATTTGGGTAAGGCTTGGTGAAAGTTTGGACGGATGGTTTTGGTGTCAAGGGATATCGACTCCTGGATGGAGTCCATGCGAAGCGATTATGGGAACAATCATGGTTTAAACAAGAAGAAGAACTTAAAGCAGATTTCATCCGCGCCGGGATGGCTTGATCATTTTGCTCTTCCGACCCGCCAGAATAATAGCTGCTAAGTGAGAAGATATGTAGCCGTTCAGGGCACGAAATATAACATTACAAGTCATTAGGGTTCCTCAAGATTTGGAAGCCGCAACGTAGCTCGGAGGCCTTGCCTCCTTGCTTTTTCCCCAGTCCGATTCCTGGTCGCCTAACGTCAGCTCAAGCGTCCGTCCCTGGGTGAAGAAATCATGTCCGATCCAGCTCTTAGTCCATGCCTGTCCGTCCAACTTGACATTTTGAATGAAGAGGTTCTTGTACGCGGCGTCAAATCCAATGCACTTGACGGTGGCCATTTTCCCCGTCACCTGGCTCTTAACGCTGACTTCCTCGAAGAAAGGAGGTGTGATGAGGTACACATCCTGTCCCGCCACCGGAAACAGGCCCATGACGGAAAAGGCAAGAAAGGCGCCCATGGCTCCTGAATCGTCATTGCCGGGCAGACCGCCCCGTGTAGAGTTAAAAGCCGAAGGAACATACTGATGTATTCGTTGTGCCGATAGACCCGGGCGACCAGCATAATGATATAGATAAACGGTAAGGAATACCGGTTCGTTCGAGATGTCTGCAAGAGGGGATGCGTGGAAGTAGTTCAAACGAGAGATGAAGGCCTCATCGCCACCCATCATATCAATGAGAGTTGATGTTGCATGAGGGACGATGCTATACAAAAAATATTAGTGATTTCTCTCCCAGGATTCCAAGATACAACTTACAACTGGTATTGCCAGATGCTTGCCTCGAATGTCTCGCTTGGATTCGTTGTTAGGGAACAGAAACCAGCCAGCGAGGAGCAGGCAATGGGGTCCTGATAGCCCCAAGTCCCATTCAGGTACTTTGGCTGGAAGAAACCTATGAAATTGGTGTCGGTGCCGTTTATGAGGGACTTTTGGTCTGGCTTCCACAGATTTTGCCAGTTCATGCTCCGTGCCATGTATTTGTCATGGAGGGTGCCTTCATTCAGTCCCTTAGCCAGAGTAGCCAGATTGAAGTCATTGTATGAATACTCTAAGGTACGGGAGATGCTCCTCGAGTTGGTACCGGAACCATTAGGATCAAAGTCGAGATACGGGATGTAGTTGAGAGTCTTCCAGCTGGCCAAGCCGCCTCGGCCCTGGTATGACCACTCATGCGGCTCTTCCTCGGCGTCCTTGGTCATAGCCTCTAGGGCCAGTTTCCAGTCTATCGAGGTTAAATTTTTGACATAGGCATCACCTAGAACTACATCGGCGTTGGAACCTCCCTGAGTCCAGCCTTTGCACAGGGACATGCGGCAGTCTGGCAGCCAGCCTTCATGTTTGTAGATATCTAAAAGCGAGTTGACCATTTGCGTCTGAGCTACTGGGTCGATGACGGTAAGTAAGGGGTGCTGGACACGAAAGCTATCCCACATGCTTTATGTTCATTAGGTAAGAGCTTGAGAAGAGATTTTCCATCACGTACCAGTAGTAAGAATCAAAGTACGGTATCCCAGTGTCCCAGAACGGGTTCTCTCCGGTATAGTTCTGGGGTGAGATCATGTTGCGATACAGTCCGCTCCAGAAGCTCTTTTGAACATCTTCCGTGGCACCGCCTGCCTTGATAGATACGGTGTTCAATTTGCCCCTCCATAAGTCTTTGGCCGTCTTGACCAGCGAGTCGAAATTGTTGGTTGGGTCCGGAATCTCCTTCTCGGCGTTTTGACATGCCTGGTCGCTGCTCTTGAATGACACGCTCATCCTGGCAGTGACAGTATTACGGGTCAGCCTTTTAAAGCGAACAAAGCCACCTCCCTCTTGGTAGAACATATTGAAGCCCCTCTGGATAGTCAGCTCTTTTGGTTCATTGCCCGCACGGTTGTTGACCCAGACGCCGGTGTCAAAGATCTCTGCTCCAAAGAAATCGACGCAGTAGTGAAGCACGTACGACCCAGCACCAAAGCTAGGCAGAAAAGTGCCGCTACCTGCCATCCTTCCCGTAGGCGTGTCAACTTTTATTGACGCGTTCTGCCTGCTTGCCCAGAGGTCCGTCAAGTCCAACATGACCAATGGATGCTCATTCCCACTTGGGAACTGGAAACGCATGAGCGCTGCATGCTCGGACACGGTCATATCGGCCTTTACGCCGGAGACCATCTCTACTGAGAAATACCCCGGCTCGGCGACGATCTCTTTCAGATCATATTTGGTTGCCCGGTCCCCGATTCTAAAGCGGCAGTTATTGAGCTCATCGCCGGGACAGACCTGCGGGAAAAGCGGGAAGTTACCAAGGCTGGGATTTCCGCCTGTGCCGCTATCGTGAACGATGCTGAAGCCGGTAATGTTGCTCCCGTCAGTCGCAAATCCACCTGTTTTCTCACCATCAACGTCGGCGACCGCTTTAGCGAGGCCGTACGGGAGTGTTGCGCCGGTGAAGACGTTGCCACCGTTCTGAGAGCCGATCAAGGGGTCGACGAATGCTAACGGATCAAAAGATTGGCAGATCGCCAGTCCAGCGCAGACGATGAGCGACTTGAAATAGAGTTGGAGCATGGTGAGACTCGGCGGACAAGTAACGAGTGAATATCAAACAATGTCAGATTGAAGCGTGGCCTCGACACATGCCGACGTCGAGGTCAATCGTACGAAGTGAACGGAGCCTGTCTTAGAAGATCACAACTGTCAAACAAGTTTTGGTCTTGAAATATCACTGGGAACAGTAGGATTTTAATAGCTGTGATAAAGGTCATTGTGTTCTTACGTCCACCGATCGTATCGAGGCCCCAACTACATGTTTCTAGTTGTCAAAAACTCTATTAGTTGAACCCCGCGTATCTGCTCTACTACATAACATGCAATCGGTTATTGCGGCCTAACTCTATTGATGACCTGCAAGTAATCGAGAACAATTTTGTAAAACACTGACCATACTGTGTCGTATTTGCCTGCAACTCCAACCTACCTTTGGTCCTAGGTCATCGTATATGGAAGCACATGGGCATGGACGGCTTGTTGCACTCGGTAGATGCTGGGCGTTAAGAAGCAGGTGCGGCAGCTTTTATGCATAGCATTAACGGCAGGCAGGCTTAGAATCCCCCAAAATGTAGAGCTTTCTTTCTTCTGGCAATGTTTTTGCCCTTCACTGATGATGGCGTACAATAAGGAACCGTCCGAATTTGGAGATTGTCTGCGGATAAAATTGGTTGGCGACTGGGGCGTTCGGGATGTAGGACCCCGTAGTTCGTTTCAATCACAGGGGTAGCTTACCTATAGAGGTCCCCACACCAGCTCATCAGAAGACCCCTTTTCGTGCTGTAGCCGACTTTCTAACCTGGTTGTTCACGGAACGGGACGGTCCATCTAGAATCGTTTTTTGCCTTCGCAACAAAACTTACCGAGTGCTCCATTGCATAGCTACTAAATCAATATTTTACTGATCTATGCGGAGGAACTGTGCCCTTTAATTGCATCAAGTAGAGCTAGAGGGTGGAAGGGCCCCCTTTCAGGTACATGCCCGAAACACTCAATGCTCCAGCTTAGCCCCAGAAAAGGCTCCGAGGATGGAGAAGGACACCTAGAGCTTTGAAACTTTCCCTTCACCTTTTATCTCATATATTATCTGAAAACTTCTTCTTCTCTTAACTTTTCATGCTGATATAAGCGACCTGACATTCTGGTCAAAATTCATCATGCTTGACATCTACCAGCTCAACCTTGCTGGTTTGCTCCTGGCGTGTGGTGTTCTCTTCTCCTCTGGCAGCCAAACAAAAGAAGAGGCCGCTAAAAAAGATGGGAGGAAGAATCCCAAGCAACAGTCAATACAGAAAAATCAAAAGGAGTCCCAATGGGCCTTCTATACCGTCTATGCCCTTGTCATGGGCTCAGATTGGCTCCAGGTAGTTACACCTGATTCGCCGCGTAACCTTTTCGGCCATCTTGCTAACTGGATCTCACAAGGGACCTTTTCTCTACTCACTCTACAAGAATGAACATGGCATATCTTCGGACCTTGTGCCTACCCTATTCACCACGGGTTTTATCTCCGGGGCCGTTGCGGGCTACTTCATCGGATCCTTAGCTGACCGTCACGGCCGCAAGGCAAGCTGCCTCTTCTTCTGCGCGGCGTACGCGCTCTCTTGCCTGCTCACCACCATTCCGAGTCTGCCGCTGCTCTTCATTGGCCGCCTACTTGGCGGACTCGGAACTAGTCTCCTGTTCAGCGTCTTTGAGAGTTGGATGGTCACTGATTTCCATGCTCGTCGTCTGGGGGAGAAGGGCTTGGACCTGTCACGGACATTTGGGTTCATGAGTACTGTTAACAGTGTCGTCGCCATTGTGAGTGGAGTGGCAAGTGAGTGGTTGGTATCCGCGACGGGTACTCGGAAGTCGCCTTTTATTGCTAGCATCGGATTGCTGGTTCTCGCAGCTGGGTTTATCTCTAGCCAATGGGTATAGCTACCCCTCGTTCCGATACATTCTTCCCATACTGACACCTGCGTAGGATGAAAACTACGGTTCTACGGGTCAAGGCTCTCCATCCAAGGCATCCAAGGACAAGCAACCCAGCCTATGGACCACGATGACAGATAAACGCGTTCTCACGATCGGTCTGGCATCAACAATGTTTGAAGGTTCGATGTATCTGTTCGTAGTTCTCTGGAGTCCTGTGCTGGGTGCTGCATCTTCCTCGCCCGACAATCTTCCTTACGGCATCATTTTTGCTGCCTTCATGGCGTCAACTCTTCTCGCTTCCCTCCTCTACCCTCGCCTGTCTGCCATGGTATCCACCCCCTCTCGCTTGCTCTTCGCGGTTCTTCTTGCCGCCAACGCCGTCTTCTTCGCTCTTGGCACCGGTGGATCGCGTCCGGAGCAGATCACCTTTTGGCTCTTTTGCCTCTTTGAGGCTTGTGTTGGGCTCTACTTTCCGTCTATGGGCTACCTCAAGGGCAAAGTTGTGGACGATGGTGTGCGCGCGCAGGTTTACGGCGTTCTGAGGATCCCGCTCAACTTGTTTGTCGTCCTGAGCCTGATGTTCACGAACGATGGCGAGGCCAACAAGGTCTTCCTCGCCTGCGGTATGCTGCTTCAGGCAAGCTGCGGTGCGCTATGGCTCATGGGAGGACAGGATGTGTAAGCGAAAAGCGCCGTACTTGTAGGCGGTTACGGAAGGGGGGAAGGAGGAAGGGGAAATGCAGAGTCAGATAGTAGATTCATTTCAATGGGACACATCAGCCTCATTTCAAGGGAGTAAATCGAACTGGACCCGGTCTCTGACCTAGTGATACCATGGCCACAGCTTCACCGACTTACTGACGTCAACTTAAGCGCTCGCAAGACATGCCGTTTCACGAAGCCCATCGGGCCGTTTAAGCATCGTTCGCTCGCCCTGGTGTTGGATCTCGTCATGCCGGGGCTCCAACCGGGTTTGACGCCCTGTCAAACGTAGCGCATGCGTGCACATTGTGTTTCTGGGACGAAGAAGCAACCAGGACAAACGGGTTTGTTGTATTCGCCTAGCAATTAACTATTGAGAAGAGAAATGTACTCCAAACGTCACTTTAATTTTGAACCTGGAAAGTTGTCGCAACTTCTTGTATTTTGCACCAACAGCTTCACTACATGTTGTCTGGTCACAGGGCCCAAACTGAAGAAGTGTACCAACTTCACGCTCGTCCATGGAGAAGCAAATTCAGTGAAAACATGATGCCTAGTCGCTCAATCCCTCAGGGCTAGAGGACGGATCATTGCCATGCGGATGTGTGTTATTCCTACCGTTGGCAATTCATTCAGGGAAGACGGTGGAATGACTTCAACATCTTCCACTTCAATTTTCAACCCCGGAACTCGATCCAGCGCTATCATCGCCCCATTTAACTAAGTTTGAACCATTAGCAATTCTGCTCCTCCATATATGGGTGCATGGGCGTGCTCACCTTTCTGATAACGACTTCCAACTCATCCTGAAGCTGCTCAAGTACTGTTTTCGCTGCATACTCAGTTATGCCAGCGGCCTTGATCCCCGTTGTCAAGGGAATCTCATCATAACTTTTCCCTTGTCTGGGCATGTCTAGCAACGTGAAAGATCCGGCCAGCTGATTCCTGAAGAACAACTGCACTTGGCATGGCAACTCCAACTCGCCTCTTTCAACCTCAACTCTGGCAAAATACTCCTTCTTCAGGATGGTCCTACGTTTCTTCGTCGTCTTGAACGACACAATCTCCGGCGGGCCGTAGAGTTCGTTCACAGTTCTGCTGACCGCCATTTTCGTCTCCCCCGGGGCTTCGTCCCAAAACCTGATGGGCGAATAGGTGTACCCCCAGTCTCGGATGTGCGTCACTGATTCGCTGGTGAGCGCTTGCCCTCCACTCCTGACAAACGGCCACAACGGACTCTGCGGAGTGACGACTGTACCTGGTGGAGTAGCAAACATCTGATCAGAGGGGTACGAGAAGTGCATTGTTGCATTTTCGAAATGAAGGGCTTGCCAGTAAGCTATGAGGCGGTCTACGTTGGTGTGATGAAGCCAGCTGGATAGCAGTTAGAGGGCCACAATTTAAGAAAGTTTGAGCAGTCGATACTCACAACAGGTAGTCAAAGGCAGACGTTGCGAGGAAGGCGAGATCTTGGCCACACGCTGCTCCGACATGAACCTCTCCATGAGGACCTTCGAAGTTGGCACCGGCAGTCTGTGAGGAGACCATCTCATCGAAGCTTTTTGCTTGCATGAACACATTATACTGATCGAACAATGTAAGTTGAGTTGTTATGAGACCCGAACCGCGCCTGTTCCACATCTGTAAAGAAGATTCGCTCAACTTACCACCTTCTCCTTTAAATTGTATCCACCTAGGATGTTGTTAGCCGTATGGGGATAGCTCTGCCCCTGATCTGCACAGCGTTTTGTATGAGTCTTCCCATCAAAACTGCCAAAGTCACCCCTGACAGCGGATTTGGGATACTCATAGCTGAAGAACGGATTATGGACTGTCACGCGACGTAGAGTGCCGTTGACAGGCTTTTTGATTACGACTTTGGAAAGGGCAGTAACGGGTGGCACATTGGATTCTGCGGCCCAGTCCCAGTATGCTAAGCGTAGTATTTCGGCCGCCTCAATGTACCGTCGCCTGAAAGCCTTGGGATACGTGGACGCAATTCGTTTGGCATGATGTACCAGGATTTGCTGAATGGGAAACGTTAGGTTAGCCCTAGGTTTGTGGAATGATACACGAACCTCATGAAGCGAGAGATAACCGCGGTGCCAGGTCCCGAACTGCATTTGCTTTGAAAAGTCAACCGATGCTCATGTCAGTAAAGTCATGGCTTCGTACGTTATGCGGGCAATAGCCAGCCTCTGCTCCCGTTTGCGGTCCACCGCCTGACCAAGCTATGTATGGCTGGCCATGAATACCTGAAACTGTCAGTTAAAATACAGTCAAGAGAACCTTGCTGGCAGGGTATTGACCTGCTATTTGAAAATAAGACGTTGGATCGGTTTCATTCGCATCTTGCATGGCTGTGAGAGCTCCAACGTAAAGATCCCTACAAGAGGTCAGCAGCTTCGTTCTCAACTTGATAAAACTATTTTCCAACCATTGCGGCCCTCCTTCTTCATAAAGGACGTTGATATCCCTTCTTACCGGTACCTCGCCTGTCTGCTGATTGACCCCGGACCTAACCCCAACGATGGGGAGATCTTGCTCGGCAGTTGTTCGGGGAACGACCAACAGAATGCCAAGGATCAACATGACTGGTAAGACTGCCATGGTGAGGTGAAGATTGAAGCTAAAGGGGTTCTTCGAGACGATACCTGGATGAATCAGAAGCTGGCCAAAATCAGGCAATCCATGATAGTTATATCTGCATTCCCACTCACGGTGGTCAAGTTGGTCAAGTCAAGCATAATCCGACGCTTTGCCAAAGCAAACGATACCGCCGAATCCGTCCCGCTCCCGTGCTGTAGCCAACCTTGTGGAGTATCCGACGTGTGGGAAAAGCCTTCGTTGGAGCCGTCGCATACTGTTGCTCAACATGGTGACGCTGCTTCTGCTTTCCAGCCATGAGCATGGTTATCTTCCAGCCAAGCAGACCAATTCCCTGGTTTTTCTTGGCAGCACCACTGAATGCCGATAGAAATAGTAACGGCACTCGGTGTCACCCACCAAATTTGCCAATATGTTCTTGTCGGCTAGGCGCCCATGCATCAGCAGACCCGGCAAGAGGCTTCATCTCGGCAGGAAAACCATAGAATCTCGGGAGGTCAAAGGCGATATTGGATTCAGGTACGCGGCGGCAAGCTGCATGTGCATCCCGAATTGGGAAACTCATAGGTGTGATGCATAAAACACCTGAGCGGTGAACCTCTACAACCCCCCTTAGCGCACTCTCATTGTGTTCCTTTGACCAGCTGGTCGGTTCTCAGGTTGGAAAGCTCCAATCAGTTTCAGCCTGTAGGGCCCTCCCACAGCCCTTAACGGCCAATACGATCATTATGTCCAACCAGTAGCACAGAGAGAAGTACAGGGCATCGTTTACGCATGGCTGCCGAGCTTCCGAGCTGCAACCTGCCGTCTAAGGCATAAGTTGCATGCATGCATGTAGAAAGACGCGTTTTCCTTGACTTCCCATGTCCGCTTTTGCCCTCGACGAGGTGCGTGCAGCCTCTGTAGTCAACACAAACAAATCCGGTGGTTGGTATGGATATGCGATTACCCTTCAGACTTTGCAGGCTTTTATGTGATGTAGGGGCAGGATACTGACGTGGCATAAGTAGTGCTCTACTTGCTGCAGCAATACGGGAGGCCGGTCCTACAGCTTTCCCTAGAGCTAGATATAACACTCCAATGTCTACATGTTCAGTGATGACATACACAGAAATACGTTCATAGCCTGCGAAGGGGAAAGGATTGATTAATCACGTGGCTGTTGTGCGAGGTAATCATACATGAGAATCAAAAGTTTTACCAACAGCATCAAAATATGCCACAGCGTATGCCGTGTCATTATATAGCATAGCTTGTCACTCAAGAGTTTCAATTTCCATCGTAGCGGTGTAGTGTATATTAAAAGATATTTGAAACGAAACTATAGAAAGAACTTTTGGGGCTGAAGTCGAGGGCAATTAACCGTGAGCAACAGCTTAGGGTAGACTTTCCTGGGCTTAACGACGCCATTCCATGTCCTGAATCCCGAATATCGATACCTTGGCCCAGATATCAAAATCCCATTCGCGAGACCCCTTTAAACCGAACCCAAAAACTTACAAGTGCCACATTCGTCCATGTGGCTGGAAACGAATGTCACAGCCCGTAAGAAAGAAGAAAAATAAGAAAAAAGAAGTTCCTCGTTCTAATCAGTTGGTGTTAGAACTGCTTTCCGACTTCCATTCGATGACATCATCATCATCAAGGTCCTTAGACCAATGCCTAGAACTGACGAGATTCCTATTCGTCAGCCACTGTATTGTGTAAAACATGGCCGGAAGATAGGAGTATTTTTGGTTGACTCAGAGAGACTTCTCGAGTAAGACAAGGTCTCTGAAACCCTCTTTCCAAGTCTTCATCTGTTCCGCTGTTGGTTTTGGCAATGGGCTTCGCGCAACTCCTCCGTAGCCTAACCATGCCTGGAGACCAGCTTTGACCCCAACAACGCCTCCTTGGATTGCGGTCCAATCACCCTGTGATACGGTTTCCTGCATCTCCTGGGCCTCTTGTTGCTTCCCTTCTTGGAAGAGTTCGATCGTGCGAATGCAAGCTTTGGGAGCAATATTGGCCAACCCTGCGAGAATTCCATGCCCTCCAGCCACCAAAGACTGGATTGAGAAGTCAGCAGAACCCGCGAGCACTAGGAACTCGGGCGTAGCCGCATTGGGATTCTTCGCCAGCTTTTTCGTGGCAGCAGCAACACGGTTCAGTTTGCCCGTGTTTCCACACGTCAGTTTGACACCGACAATATTAGGGTGCCGGGACAGTTCAACAATAACGTCAGATGAGAGGTCAAGCCCACCAACGGCGCCCGGAAAGTTGTAAATAATTAGGGGAATGGGAGAAGAGTCCGCAACCGTGCGGAAGTACTCAAAAATGGTTTTTGAAGACGGGGCAAACAGGCCGGCGTAGTATGAAGGTGGGAGAACAAGAGCGTAGTCTCCGCCAGCAGCCCACGCCTCTGAGCAATACTCAATCGTCTCGCGGGTGCTCTGACTACCGCATCCAACGATGATGGGCATCTTAGAATACCCAGCGTCGTTCAGAGCTTGACGGGTAGTGGCGGTGACAAGCTGCCGTTCGGAGTGAGTAAGATGAACTGCCTCCCCGTTCGACCCCTGCGTAGCGATGCCAGTAACACCAGCCTGAGCAAGTCGCACTGCATGACGCGCAATTGTGTTGGTGTCCACGTTCTCAGTACCAGGCTCAAAGAAGCACATGGTCGGTACATAGACCCCGGGAATGAGAGGCCGGTTTTCATGAAGATCCACTGCAAGCGAGGTGCTGTCGTATGAACTGCTTAGAGGTGATTGTGACTCTGCAGAAGCAAGACTTCCGATTTTCAGGCTCGAGGAGGTGCCTGGTCGGAAAGCGAGTCTGTTGAAGCCAGCCGTATAACTGCCCGCTGGTGATGGGGCATCATTGTGGGGGGCCATGCTCGGCTTAGGAGGGCTGTTAGAGAAGTGATGCGTTCGGACTGTGGGCGGTAAATGGATATAGTTCTATATAATGCGTTCCAAGAGCGCAGATCGAGATAGCAAAATATGAGAAGAGACCAAGGTGTGTGTAATAAAGGCCTGTATAACAAAGGTCTCTGAAATGGTTCACTACCGCTGACGGAGTGTTGTAAAGACAACTTATGGAGGAAGATGCCAAGAGTAGAACCTTGTCCTTGGGGAAGAGGAAGAGGAGCCCTTTTATCACAGGAAGAGAGAAACAGGTTGTAAGAAGGCCTGACAAGCTTTGCTTTGCTTCTTCCTTACCAGGCTCATGTCAGTCTCAGTCTGAGCAGGTGGCGTTTGAGGCAGCTTGATGCTTGTAATAGCTCCATCCGTGTGCCAAGGCAGCGTTACTCGACTCTAGTAGATAGGGCGGGCACGAGAGGCAGCCTCTATGTACACGAAAGTACCTACGTTGGGAAAGATGTAAGGAAGGGGCAAACGCGCCATGTGAGCAGAAAGTAGAGAGACACATCCCTACCACGTCAAACACTTGCTTGTCCTGGAAAGCTGTGGTACGAACAAGTGCAGCAGAAGCCAGGATGGTGAGGAGACTTGGGCGGCGGCTAGACCGGGGTCTTGCGACACAGTGCGGGAATATTGGGGCAGAACTGCTACTCAGCCATGCGAGATATGGGCCCGGACTTTGGTAGTGCGAGAGTTGGGGAGTGGGCAGGCTTCAGATACACCATTGCTGACGACAATAGATCAGGCCAGAATGGGCTGGGGTCAAGCCAGACGTATGTGTATTCTGGGGAACGCCCCCAGACCCTGTTGTGCAGCCGTGTGTGTGGGGGTTAGCTTCCACTACCCAGACGTAATCCCAACACCCCTTCCACGCATATACCGCCAGCTGGTATGGCCCGTCTAAGAGCCCATGGCTTGCGAACGTTAGTATGAAAGTTCGCTTGGACCTAACCAATAGCTTGTGACCCTGGTTAGCCGACTGCGGCCTGTTTTGGAAAGGAACCGCAGCCTATGGGTTGTTTGCTTTGCGGGTTAGATTGTAGGAAGTGTTATAAGCTTACCACAGGTACTCATGCGAGATTTTATGCGCGATGCCCTCGATCAGGATTTTTTTCAGTATTATAATCTCATTTACACAAGCGATTGGCTTGCGCTGAAAACCCACACAATTTCTTTGCCGTCGGGTTATGTGATGCTTGAGTAGAATTTAGGGAAAGAAAATGGCTTCCCGCACAATTAGTTTTCGTACAAATTGTAGCCGGCCCTGTCGGAAGCACTGTGTATTAATTAGTATGTAGGCTGACAGTAAAGGTGAGCTGTCGATGAGGCTGGACCGCATCTCATGCTGAGCGATGGTAAGCCAAGCCTGGATATTGGTTATCATAAATGAAGACAATGTCCCTGCAAACCTCTGCAATATCTTGGAGTGATCAATGACGAAAGATTCAGGTGCCGCATTCCTGAAAGAAAGAAAAAAGGAAGAAAAAAGGGAGCCCAATGCGCCAATGACTACGACCAAGCTGCATAAGTTACTGCCAGCTAGGGAAGTATGCCGCTGCGATGATGTCTTTGGCCAAGTCCACCATCCACTCGAGTCCAATATTGATATTTCTAGCCAGTCGGATGTTTAAAAAAATAAAAAAAAAAGACGAGGCCCTCTAAGGTAGCTAACAAATAGTCAGCGGCTACGCGATAAAACCCTTTTGCTCTTCCGAACTCATCTATCCATTAAGCAGGGTATTGTTGAGCTATGTCAATCGAGGAGTTTGGCGGCCGTCACCATCGCGTCAATGTTTTGTGCCCTCTCGGGTCTATTGGTTGAATCAACCTGTACAACAAGAAAGCAAGCGAACGAGATGCGCCTAATTAGTGCGGAGTCGCCGCCGTCGAAGTCAGACGTGGTTTTCCTAGATAGGGTGAAGGTCTTTGACAGTATATCGATTTCCGGGAGTATCAATGTTCTATTCCGCTTTGAGTACGTTGGATGGTCGGAGCAAAATTTGATTGATTATCATAGCAGCAGTGGTATTGCCTCGGTGAGTCCAGACGTCATGGGTCGCGTGATAATAGGCATGCTCTCGATTAACGAATCAGTCCCAGTTGGTGATGGTTAGTGTCAAAAGCACTCCAATGCATGCTCCTGGTTCGTTTCATTATTGGATCAACCTCAGCTGATAGCTAGTCATAGTTGTGGTGGCGGGCGAGATTCGGCTTGTTGCAGCCACTTTCTTCGCATAGTTTGAGAGAGCACCATGTACTCTGGGAATCTCTGTTGATTTTGAATGTCCATGTGACTTGAAAAAAATCTTCTTGGAGCCCATAGAGTGCACGACTATGAGACCTGTGTTGTAAAAGAGTCGATGGTATTTAACACAGCAGATTGGCTGCCCTGCAGATCAGCTGCAGGGGGAACTCTTCACGGCTGTACCGTATGTCCCTACCGTTACAGTAGGGGACCAAGCCAGAAACTCCGGCTAGACCGACAATAGCTGTCAACATACTAGTGTCGCCTTAACATAGTGTTTCTTGGAATGAAAAAAGGGACCAGCCTTAAAAGTCAATGTTTTCTGTAGTTAAAGGGGCGGAACGGAGGAATTGATATCAACAATAGAATGAGCTAGAATATCATGACATGAAGCATCTAATATCAGAGCGCCAAGGGCATGGGCCGGGTACGGCTCCAATGGTCTACACTTGCATATGTGGCGAGACTTCGGATATGTCCTGGTGGCTGGGCAGCTTTCTTCTTTTCCTCGTTTTCCCACCTCCATATTTGGCAATCATTCATCGCCCGAAAGGCCTTTTATTTTCTTTTTCCAAGAACTCGCACTTCTCATGTGCTTGAAGTAAATGTTGCGACCCAGTAGAAGGGTACATTCACACAAACACGTGGGAATCTGCAACCTGAGCCCCATCGCCAGTCACGGCCTGTAGGAGACTATCAAGAGGCAAGACTCGTCGGAACAAACTCGCCCATTTGTCTCTTTTTTCACAGAACCGACTCAACAAGTCTATGCTTGGAGTGCCAGGGTGGGTGCCTCATAAAACGGATTCACGTTTTTGCCTTTCTGTTTGTTCACTGACAATCTAAAATGGACACAGGAGCGGCACGCTATCGTAGGTACAAGGGTGGGGTTACTTCAACCTTACCGCCGCCGCCATAAGCGTAAAACCTGGGGTGGGCTCGACGAGACGCCTCTGTCGCTCATCCCCACTGCTCCCTGTTTCTACCTGATTGAGAAAAGCGAGGCTGCCCCATTCGTTTATTTGCAGTGGAGGCTTGCTAGGCCCTGGTCGCACTATGTATAGTAGTAAGTACAAGGTTCAATCAGTATACGGTGCCATTAGCGACGACAATAGAAACTGGCGATAACTCGATCTGAGGATTCGAGAACTGGCCGGGTTTAAACGGATCCAAACTTGGTCTTGCTAAACGCAAGTCATCTTTGCATCACAACACTAACCCAATTTTGAGTGACTTTGCTTCCAGACCATCGACATATGGACCGATGCAATAGAGAGGCCACCCCATGAAGCTGACGACCACCCATCCATCATGTGTCCAAAGTCCCCTGATGGCTTTTCGAGCTAACACATATTGGTTTTCTTCTAGCAAAAAGTTCCAGGATGTCGATAGCAATCAAACCATCCGGACGCAACTAAGAGGCATGTCAACAGAGACGGGGTGGATCGACAGCCAGCCAACGACACTAACCCCCACGCTAGCAGAAGCTCCATGAGGCTAGTAGTTATAGCTTGAGAAGCCCCTCCATGGCGCAGGTAAGGCCAACGTCTTAAAGAGGCAAGACCCCGGTCAGAGCTCACAGTGTGATGCCCCCAAGTTTGGATAGCTTCTTTTTTTTTTTTTTTTGTTATTACTTTTTTACGGGATCCTGTACGCGAAACGAGCAGTGCTGGAGAAGCCGCATCTTTTTAAGACTCTGTCGCGTTATCTCTACTCTCGTCAATCTTAGTGACGAGGCGATTTCTTCTTAAGTCCCAACGCCCATCTCCCAATTCCCTTCCCTGGCTAGTCTGATCTGTTGGAATTTGTTTTTAACCGTTCTGCCTTCATCTGTTGCGAGCTGACAACGGTACGCAAAATCCTTCTGTTCCTTATTACATGCAATCCTCCGAATCGGACACTGCTATTGAGATACTTGCATGAGCTCGTGACCAAGCAAAAGGCCTGGCAGTGGGGATGCCCGAGCTCTTGGCCTTATTACGTGCAGAATTAATAGTGTACGTCTATACAGTCTCTCACAGTGTTTTTCCAGTCTATGGAAGCCCTACCATCACGTAGTGTTGAAATTCTCTCCCCGTTGGTGTTCTCGGAAATAGCTGGAACAGTCTGCTGACCATTATTCCCCAGAATCCGCCTGGATGGTGTGGAGGTCCTGGTTCAGACACTCTTGCGCACCTTGCAGATACGCCGCGCGACTTTCCCTTTTTCATTGCTGCCTGCGTCAGCGTCAACCTCGTTGTGGTACAGCGGCACCTCGCCACCTTTTTCTCCCTTGAATCAAGGACAACCGGCTTTCCCCGCACTTTGTACCACATCACCGCCGACAGACTTTCGAGACTTTGGAATCAAGCCGATTTCTCAGCCGCAAGATATGGCGCCTCCATCGATCCGGTTCTCATATCGATGACCTAGGCACGCAGCTGTTATGGAGGCGCCTTCGGTCTCCTGATTGATGGAGAAACCTCTAAGCACACAGTCGGATATTGCCTGCCAGCCAACCCCTGCTACATGATCCAGTCTGACTGTGCAGTAGACAACTCACTTTTCCTGTCATTTCTGTCCTGGAGCCAATAGGCGAGATACTGCGTCACACATCACAGCAGTTGACACTCGATTCTCCAACATGTTACCGTCCCTCCGGTACTACCTCACTGCCACTTCTAAATGATCAACACCGAGCCGCCCATGCCACGTCTGCAGCCTTTAAGAAAATCCGGGGGCGGGACGTCATGCGTCGTGGTACCAGAAGCCTGATCTGGTATCCGAGCCCGACTTTGGCAGCATCGCTCTCACGTAAACAGTCTTACCACGCCCTGCCGACGTGAAAGAGTATTCCAGGGTCCTTTCGTGTGTCGGAAACCACCATGTCTCGGATAAGGCGACCTAATTTGCACGTCTACCATGGAAACATCTTCTATGGTCTCGGTCAGGCAAGGGGCTTACAGGACGCCTTTCGTTCTTAAGCCGTTCAATGCCGAGACGACCTAACCCACCGCTCCACCGCCCATCCTCTTGTGCGTATGGCAACCATTATGAGGCCAGCCACGCACAGTTGTCCTTAGGCTTGGTCCCTCAGTGATAGCTGTACAGCCTCTCTGCTAGCTGCTGTTGTCTTGTTTTCTCATTTCTGTAGATCTGACTGCCGTTTCATCTGACGATCGGCTGCCAACACCACTTCATTTCTTAATCTGAAAGAAGCGACTTAAGCAGTCGAAATGACGGAGAGCATATACGAAGTGAAATCTCTTGCTATATATCCATAATTTCGGTAATTCGAACGGTAATCCTGCCCCTTAGCTCCATGATGCTGTATAGGCTCGTTCTGTTCTTGACCACAGCGAATAAAACTTCACAAAACCCAAGTTTAGTAAAATTCACAAGACAGGTCCTAGAATCAGTTGTCTGATTTGGCAAGCCAAGCTTGATGAGCAATTTGTGGGAATCTTATGGAGCGACTAGGGGACTTTGGTACATCATTGCCCGGTAGCGATACAGAAATAATAGGCGGCTGCCAGGGCAAATATTGGGGTTAGTCGCGAAGAAGTCGCCTCATTACCTGCCACAAGAGGGCCGCTGGAGCAATTCCAATCTTAAAACTGATACCCCTGTAATCTTGAGGCCATCAATTTCCCATCCTTTGAGCTTGTGCCACAACTCATCTCACGAGGTTTTGCCTGGGTGTAGATTATCACCCACCGCTTCACGGAATACCTCATACATGTCTTGGCTCACCGAAAATCACAGTCCTTCTTGGTACCACCAGGCTACACAACCTAGGTAAGCCTGTCTTCATGTAAGGCGTCTTACCTTGATTTATGAGCAGAAAGGCCCTGCTAGTGCGCCTCAACCCCATGGCTGACCGAGGCAGCTATCTTGCTGGAACCCCCCACCCCCCACGGCCTTCTTTACCGGCTCGACAAGGCCATGACATACCTTCCCGAAGCAGCCTAAGTCGAGGCTTGACCGCCTCTAGGAATGTTTTTTTTTCTCAGATTCCCAGGTCAGCCAGCGACACGGGCGGACCGTCTTATCCGCCACCTCTGCCCATGGCTAGGGGTCGAGTGAACTACTGCGGCAGGGGCAGGGACCGGCGACGATCCGGAGACAGAGACCGGGCCTCGCTCCCATGCTCCTTCTACCTTATTCCAACGACATCTGTTGGGAAACAGTCGGTATGTTTGTTGAACACTGTGTGAGCTGAGAGAGAGGCCTTTCTAAAGCATCATGGTTCTCGGTACTCCCTGTGAGGGGTATCGGTATCTCGCAAAGACCGATAATGCGAGACACATCAGTTAAAATATGCAGCTCAAAGAGGTATATATCAGCTTTAGCTTACCTTTTTGAAGAATCATGATGGCTCATTCATGATGTTTCTCCAAGATTCCATGACACATTACAATAGTTGAATCATCCACACATACGGAAGCACCTTTACGGTCCGCATCGACCATCAGCCGCTTCGGTCTGCGGTCGAACATGGCTCTTCCGTGCTGCAACTCAGCTTTCAAGGAGCACATGTTACAATATGCTTACGTATGTAACATTTAGTGATGCCGTTTCTCGTGGTTCATGCTTTCACGAAAAGAGATGGTTCGCCTTCAAGGTGACAAATCTTCTGATATTGAGCAGCCACAGTGACCACATTTCGCTATACCGTGACGAAGGAGGAGTATTGCCAACGGGACAAGAGCTGAAAATCGTATTGTGTGATTTCCAAAAGCCACGGATTTCAGGGAACACTGTAGGTGTCGCCGCTGTCGTTTGGAGGCAAAACATCCACGACGAAGCACAACCTCTTTGCCCAACTTAAGACCCCAGCTGTAATCGTACTAAAGGTTAGATCCCGGGAACAATAACGTTTCAAGCCCCGACGAAAGTTCAATACAATTGGTAGCCCCTGAGAAAGTTGGCTTCTTGGCAGTGAAAACTCACCAATGATACACTCTATGGGAAGAGCAAACGTTGTAAGCTTAGAATACAGTATCCGATGAGAAAAGGTTCAGGGCCCGTTTTTTAAGTTAGTTCTTACCCTGGTACGGCTATACCATATTAGGTGTAACTCTATATAAAGTTGTCCAAACGGCTTCATTACATCATTCCGGAACGAGGCCGGTAGTTCTTCAATAAGGTACGGCGTTCTCGGGAGTTAAACAAGCCTCAACCCATGAAATATCCACTTCGTTGCGATATCAAGGAACGGTGTCACATGCGCCAAGTTTTGACGACGCAATTGTCAACGGGAGGAAGGCAGACAACCGTATCGTATACATTTCTCAAACAATGAGAAGTAGCTATTTTTCCAAGGTTCTGCGCTATGTGATCTTATACCTGCCATATCCCCATTAAAAACTTTCAATCTCGTTCGAAATTTCTCCCGAGCTCATAGGCTGCTATAGCAGGCCACCTTCTCGTCAAGGAAGGTGAGTATATCATCTAGCATATCTTTAGAGTACCAGTGCCCTAGCCCCTCATAACTCCTGAATTCAACTTCGCACCCCATCGTTCTCAGAACACGCGACGCATTTTGACCATATTGGAATAATACATTGTCGTCCTCGGTACCGTGACCGAGAAATACGGGAGTCTCTTGAAATGGAAACTCCGAGCTCATTTCTAGTAATGGGAGGTCCATCTCCCCCCGTAAAATATTCAGAGCTTGTATTAGCGGGGTCGCTGGCGACTGATTTTCATCATGGGCAAAAGGGTCTGAACCATCTTCGCTTGTTGATTCAAAGACGTCGTCTCCAACCTCTTGGTTTGCGTGAGACGTCATTTCCCAGCTACCGGTCTCTTCCTTACTATGGGACTCCTTTGACGCACACAAAGTGTCCCCAAGAACACCATTCATCGGCAGCATTCCACACATACCCATGAGGCCGCCAAGGGGCTTCCCCTCCCAGAGCAGCAGACACACAAGTGCGGTCGCACAACCCTGGCTTATACCACCCAGGATGATCCTATCGGCTCCGCCAACAAGAAGCGCTTCTTCTTGTAAGAGATCGTGCACAAAGTCAACAGTTTCTCTGGCGTGGCCCAGAACTGTCTCCTCCCAATCTCCGCTCCCATCATACCACTGGTTTATGATGGACCGTCTATAAATTGTAGCCCGCGACCGCGGCGCTGTGGGGAACACAAACCGCGTGTTAGGCAAAGCTTCTCTCAGACACTTTGAATCTGCCCCAGTTGATGACCCTCCTACTGGGGACGAGAGGAATGGAGGCGCGAAATTGCGGGCGCTGGACCCCCGACCATGAAGGAAAACAAACGTTTGCTTGTGAGGCTGGTCTAGTGGTGGAAAGATGATGGGCGGTGAGAACGTGTGAAGCGGCAGACGCGGTTCAGGCTCCGTGCTTGACCGTTCCGCCAGAGGTTGCACATCAGGCATGGTTGGTGGGTTACGAAGATGTCGATAGCAGAACTTAACAATGGTGATGCGGGGTAATACAATTTGAGCCATCGGTCCGGGAGTCTCCACATAAGTAGGACCCGGGAATTATGGGGCCGGTCTCATCAATCCGTGCAACAACGGGAGCGGGCCATCAGAGGGTATGTGAATTCAGGGGCTATATGGACGGCTGTCTATACAAGAAAAAATCTTAACAGGTAAAAGAAAACTTACTCAAAAGTTTGACGATGGATTCGACACCAGCGACTGTCCAAAAGCCTCCCTTTAAAGGCCCCATTGGACGGACATCCATTGGCCATTTCACCAGATCATATTGTGAGCGTGTGTCATGATGGCAAGTTCAGACCAGTATGGCTTTAGCACCTTCTCAATGGTTCCTTCTTCGACGAAACTCGGCTCACTGTTGTATGCCAACCTGGCCTTGATAAATTCCCAGTATCGCGGGTAGAAGCCAGATTCAGACCAGTTAGAGATAGCCACGATGCTTCCCTTCTCCGATACGTATATATCGTCGGCGTTGATATTCCCATGGGTGAGGACCAAATCATTTCCCTCCGCCGAAGCAAGCGCCTTGACAAACTTGGCATTCGTGTTCGCTTCGTGGGGATCGCCATTAACCGCACCTACGCTGTCCTTCAAGATATCTACAAATCCCTTATTGTCCGTGTAAGGCCGCCGACGGTTGAGTGGGCTGCATCCGTTGCGAGCAATAAAGCGATCCGTGATGCACGGGGCATGTGGTATCTTGTTTATCCCAATGCCCCTGAGCAACTGGAGAATGTCCCTGAGTTGCACCACGATGCGATGTTTCTGCCCATCTTCCAACAAATGCCATACCACACTGAGCGGTTTCCCCATGTGGGGATCTACTTTCTTTTCGACGACATACTGGTTGTAGGTGATGGCGTCCATCTCAACCGCAAAGTTCGGGATGGGTATGGATGTATGGTCCGCGATGAATCGCATGAGTTCGTATAGCCAGTACTGATAGTCCTCGCCATGAGCCAAGGGAGGCTTCATTTTGTCATGTTTCGTGAACAAAGGTGGCGTGAAAGGGGTCGAAGAAAACTGGGGTTCCAGTACAGCTGTTTCAGTTGGACTCGGTGGGAGTTTCGAGGTCATGTGATTCGAAGCACTCATGATTGTATTGGAATAGTCTTGTCGAAAAACGGTAATTATCGTGACTGGAACAGCGGTCCTACCAGCTTCGTCAAGTCTAAAAGGACGATGCAATCCAGTTCCTGAGCGAAAGAGAGATGCTAAAATGAGATTTATAACAAGCAATAAAGTCAAACTCTTGAATTCATAAACTTCAGGCTTCATGCAAAGTGGCAACCGGAGCTCACAGAGGCGTGTGGCTCAGGTGGGCCCGCCGGTCCCGGGCCAAAGTCTGTCTAAGCTTTCAACAAAAGTCTGCATCTTGTATGAGGCACATCCATATTTAATAAAGGCTTTTCAAGAACGTGTGTGTCCGGGAACACCAGAGACAGGTCGACACGGCGCAAGATTGATTTCGGGGCCGGCTGCCACGGAGACCGATATAATGGGGACTATTCCAGTTATTTTTGGTATTCTGACGTTGACGAATCAGTTTACAAAGAGGTTGCCGTGGTACAATATCTTCAGCTTCCATCTTATCTGAGTTTCGTTTCGCGCCTTGGAATCTGCCAACTAAGCTGAGTGAATCCGTCCAACATCTTTATAGTGAGTCATTCTTCGTTCGATAGACCGTTTTGATCACTTTTCTAGCCGGCTGTAAAGAAATCCAGCTGAGAAGTCTAGAAGTGAAGGGGCAACTGGTATTGAAGCATTCTCCAATAATAACTCTTACCATAGAAATATATCACGAGGCTGGAGCGATACTAGTTCCTTGTGTGTTTGTCATCCTCAATGTAACGGCAACCGCCGTTATAAACAGAGCCACAAAACACAGAACTGTGCCAGTTTCTCTGCACCGGCAAGGACTTCGTGTTTTTTGTTACAAGTCACTTCGAAACCTGCCAAATTCTTTCTTCTGTATGAGAAAGAAGAAGTCCCGATGGCACAGGTGCGATACTGTTAGTTGAAGCTGGCGACATTTCCTCTCCGCTGGCTTTAACTGCAGCGTATACATAAAGTCACGTTACGGTTCCCTTTTATACACCATTTCGGATATCCAAGGTCTATATTGCTCTATAACTGCTACTTACGCCTTCATTAGCCCTTCGTCTGTGACAGTGGTAGGGATATCAAATCAACTCTTGAGTGCTTACCGCTTGTACGCGAGCTGGCAAGTGTTTCTCGAGTCAAAGGCTTCCAATTAAACATACCATTGTTGAAATCTCATGTCACTGGCCACACGAGTGCAAATAGGTGCGACTGGGGATAACAAAAATAGTTTCCCATAAAAAGCTCGCGACTAGTTGCGAGTTACTATCATCGTCCCCCACCCAGGAGGGGGGGTAAAAAAACAAAACATACAACACCAGGTATTCGCTGGTCGTCACCGACCCAACTACTAATCCGGCCCTCATTGGCTTGTCTATGGGAGAGCGGACGGGATCCCGAGTTTTCCAATGGGTATGGTCGTATGTGACAGCTCTGTGTGAAAAGATAATTTATAAAAGGTAGAATCATCTCTGGTACTGGGTACGTAGGATCCTATTAGAACAGAAATAAGTTTTGAACATTATCCGATTCACAAAAAGACAAGTAAACAATAAATTCTGCTTCTTACTCACTAAGATTCATATTATCAAGTGAGACGAGGTGTCTCGGCGGTGAAGCTTGCGCAGAGCACCCTGTTGACAATGCCGGCGGGGAGGATTCCAAGAAGCCATTTTTTTTGACCTGGGATGTAGAGATAACTAACAGAGCCCTTTTTGGCCATACAACTTCTTCCGTGAAATCAGGGTCCATTGGCACATGCCATTCTGCAAACACAACTGTGCTGACATAAGGTTTATTGCAGTGGCATGGATGGCCCTTCCCCCGTTTGCTTTACATTAAGCTTCAGCACCTGACAGCCAACGGAGGTGGATTGGAAGTAAATTCTTACCGTTGATAATAATACTTCAAACCCGTCATACATGCCAACGGAGCGGAAGTAGGCGATGGAGAAAAGCATCATATTGAGCCAGCAAGGTCATCACGCCCTCTGGACTTGTTGGCCATCCCCACACATTACGAGACTATGTAATGTACAGAACATTCCATCTTCTACAAGACTGGGGGCTCTTGATCTTATTCAAGCTTCCGGATTTGTCAAACTTCGTCTTCAGCTTCCTTCGCGGCTGCGATATCGCAGGCCAGCCTCGACCCTGGCTGTGTCCGCCTGAAGTGGACAGCCAATGTCCTATATAGGACTTTTACGTTCCCATGTACGCGACTCGGATGGGAGGAAGAATCGTCTGTTTTCCCATGCATTTTACCGCCAAAAGGCGTGTATCCATCGGGAAGACCTTGTCGTCGTTCGACTGTGCACATGATCAACCTAGACGGTCGATATCGCCATTAAGTAACTTTTTCGACAGTGATGCCATAATTCAATCTGTTCATTGGCTCATGAGCTGGCCAAGTCGACAGGGTGCACCGGACCATGATGATCACTGTAGGAATGCTATCTTCTCGATGATGGAAACATCGACATTGAATGACTCCTCGTAACCTCGGCTCAGAGCAGAACTCGCGGGCTCATTGGTCTATGCTTCGTTTGTTTCATGTAGGTTTATGGCCAGTGTTTCGTGATTTATGATAGAAAAAACGGCATCGACAAGAAACCTTCATCTAAGAGCCAAGATGTCAAGGTCAGTACCTTTGGAAGGGACTTCTTTTGGCTCGGCTTCGGATTTACTCGGGTCGGTTGGACGTGTCGTTCGGAGAGCGCACCAAACGTGTAAATAAGATCCTGTGAAAGCTACTGGTTATTGATTCTCTGGTGGGTAATACCAAAAATGATACGGAACAGATTGCTTTCCATTAAAGACCACTATCCAGGCAAACTATTCAGCTTTTTGCTTCTTCTTGAGCTGTTCGGTTGACCGTGATATTGTGATCCAAGAGCCGTCCTAGTTAGGTTCGCTCAACTTCTTTATAACTCCAAATGGAAACGAACAATACGGTTTCATTTACGGGTAATCGGAAACACATCGTTTCAACAGAGGCTAAGCGCTACTACTGTGGTCCCATTGTGACAATTCGGAGCTGATTCTCAGCAATTAGCAAAACACCTGAGCCACAAACTTACAGGCCGGTCAAGATCTAGCCGTACCACGAAGACGTAACTGTGGCCCACTCCATGTGGCTAGTTATATCGACCTGGCGTCAATGAGACAAGATCAAAGTGCTAAGGACATTCAACTTCTGGTGACTCAAAGCACGTTAGTTAAAGCCGTGATTAAATGGTTCGCGACGCCTGTCTCTGCCACGTAAGAAGTTTGACCGACTCTTACGACACTCAATAACAAGCGTTCGTCGCGCCAAATGTCGGACACATCAAAGTAGACTCCTCTAATTAGATAAACCTCTACCCTCACCGACGTCTCCCGACTCGCAGGCCAGTCCTTGACTAACCTCGACCCCGGTCTCCGGATTCCAATAGAACGAAGCTGGCCGTGGCGTAATGGGACACCCCCCTCCGTTCGCAGTTTATTCTAAACCACAACATGGCTATTTTCGACTCCTGCCATTCATGATGTTCCCTTCCAGAAGTGCCCGCCAGTCAAGGATCATCTTGGCCGCATGCACTTCGACGCAGCCTGGCCGTTTCTACGCTCTTCCACTCGTTCGGCTAGCAGGCTGGGCTGTGTCCCACGACGACGGGCTGGATCTCAGCCGCGGCTGCCACGTCCACGATCGCGCTGGCATGGCACCTGCAAGCCCCGTTTAGGCTTCCTTGTGCAATGTATGGCGGTGCACACGTATGCGCTCTTGCTCCTTCGTAACCCTTGCTGACGTGGCTAGGGTGGTTTGGGCGGTCGTGATACGGCATTAAGGACAAGGCAACAGCAGGAGGAACGGAGCCGAAAGGCAAGTCGCGTTTGTGTGTGTATTGATTACATGGCTCCGACGGCGTCAGCAGGGTACGCGATCCGTCGTTGGACTCTTCTAGAGGGCGTGGCAGCGGCGTCCCATTTTACGACGACTTACCGTCGAGAAAGCCGATATGATGTTCATCAATCAATTAAGAGAAGTATAGTTCTAAAGGATTATTTCGCAGGAATCCTCCGGTTCCTGATGCCAGCTCTAGGCAGGGAGAATAGCGACAAAACCTGCTATCCGGATTAAGCTTGACCGTTGCAGAATCCCACGAGCACAGATGGAGGGCCATTTCCACTGCTTTTCCTTAGCAAAAATGATTCCTTTGGGTCAAGGATTTAGAGAGCTCACCCCGTCTGAGCTCAGCATCAGCCTCGAAAAGGGCCCTAGCATCGCCAAACGGGTTCATCGGACGACAGCGAATTTTATGGGTCTCGGACGCTAAATGCCAAGGAATTCATCAGCGACGGGCTGTAAGAGACAAATGAGCTGGCAAATGGTTTTTTTTTTTTTTAATTTTTTATTTTTTATTTTTCTTGTAAGAGCACCAATTAATTCAGCCCATTTCTTGCTGGCGTATCCAAGTCAATAGCGGCTGGCGGTTATGAGTCGATCCCTCCTGTAAGGAGAAGGGGGAAAAACCTTTTTCTCTAGCGGGTGACTTTGGTTGTTTAGTTTCAGTTCACCGCGGTTAGTCGGTGAGAGCACACGATGGGATGGCCCCCGAAAAGAAGGCGTTTGACCGGAAGGGACACACTATGGGTGACTAGAATCCCAACATGTCCTGACTAATTGACAACGTGAGTCGTTGATTGCATGCAGGATTAGACGGACCATGTCAGCAGGCCACAGAACATGCATGTTGATTTGGGGGAGGGAATTAGAATGACGAGATTGATTGGGCTCGCAAACACACACACACACACACACAAAACAGATCGTATCACCAGATGGCGACTCGCACCCAGTGGGAACCGGTCGGAGACGCCGTGTTTCTTCGGACC